TTCTTTCATCCTCTCATGGCTTCTGGTTTAGGCTGCAATTAACAAAAAATCTCTCGAAACTTGAAGCTTTAAGCTCGATACTCGAAGGTCTGGGCCTGCTGCTACAAGCACTGGATGAGAATGGGGTTGCCTAATGCGCGATTCTACAGGTGTGTAATGCTCTCTTTCATTTGGCCCGAATCTCACAGCAGCATTCGCTAAAGCTTACCTTCCTTGGTTACACGGCTCGTGTCTCTCCCAAACATTGTGTCCAACAGGCCAACCTTGGCGAAACCCGTATTGAAGAACACCACTACGCCCACGTACCAGCTTCCCAAGCAGAGGATCGAAGGCTAAGCGGCCCCACTACTTCAGCTGAATCCGCCGAGGAATCTCATAGCAAAATACATGTGACAAGGACGAGCCGTTCTTCCATATGCAGGACGGCGGGATGCTTGTGATTGCCCGAAACTCTGTGACATCCATGACGGTGTAGCCGCCGCGTCCTAATGTTGACGGTCAGAACAGGTGTGTCTCGTGTTTTCTTGGCCCAAGACGCAGGACTTAGAGAATCGTTCAGCCTACAAAATTCGAATGCGACCTATACAGGAAACTCGACTCCTGCTTAGTTTCTTTTATCGCGCACTGTTTTCTAGCCATTTTTTTGGCAGTAACGCCCAGCTTTGTTCCTTTTGGTCTGAGGCGTCATGGACATGGATGCTACGAAGCAATGTGGCACCGCTCCTTCGAAGAACAAACACTGCTGCCCTTGAATTTTTCAAGCTGCTGTTTGGATCGCTCCATTTTCTGTGTGCTACAGGAGGGAGGACAGCCTCTGTAGTCACTGCAAAACACGCAGGATTACTCTGTTTGACATTTCGCCAAGGTGGCTGATTCGATGATCAGGAAAACCATGCTGACTCGCATGTTTCGCGACTGCGTCTTAGACGTGATTAAACGTGTGACAATTCTAGTAGAGTCGCGTAAAAGGTACAAATTTACATATTATTCAAAAGTAATACAAAGTTGTTCCAGCAAAATGATGACTGCTACTTCTTCGACGAGGTGTATCTATAAATTCGGGAATGTCCGATTCATTTTGATAGATAGTAGTAGCAGCACTATTGACCCCGGCATATTAACCGTGCCTGCCGGCAATATTGCGCTTAACTTTCCAACTGCCTGCGGCCGCGTTTTATAGGTGGGATTTCGAACGACGTGCAGTAGTAGGTCACCCAAACAAGTATAAACTACAACTTGTATTTGCTTCCGCACTATCAAGCAAAACGCAGGACCTTCTCACATCCTCATATTCTTGACCGTGGTCACTTCTGTTGGTTTTCCCTGCTCCGTTCAACGCCAGCACCTTGCTAGTGTCGTCTTCCTGTCACTGGGAACCGTTACAGCCCCTACTAGGTTTTGCGAGCCACAACTGTCACCCCACAGCCGCAACTGACGCAGCCCTCATCGTCCTTTGCGTGCAGACTTCGGTTATGTTTTCCTCAGCCTTCCTTACCCCTTAGTTATCGGCTCGCTCACTGACGAGAACTTGGAAGATGCCAGAAGATGACCCCTGGGCCAGATCCAATACACTTTTCAAGATGCCTCTGAGAGGATGCCAATCCATTCAGTTTACTGGGGGACGTTTCATGAATCGCCGCTCTGAGCCTTGAAAAGGTGGAGGGAAATAACGCTCTTTTTCCGACTAGTTGGCCCTTGGGTAACAGTCCCATAGTCCGTGCTGCATGTCTACCTTGCCTTCCACGCCTGCACCAGAAGTCTGTATCCTTCCTGGCGCAGACAGGATCGAGGGAGTCAGATGAGCTGATGTCAACGGCAAGACCCCGTATGATTTTCGTGCAATTCTCCTCCATTTCAGTCATCGGTATTCAGCGTTCTCGAATTGCCGGCCGTCTCAGAAGGATACAGAACACATCGTCCAGTAATGGCATCCGATATCCCCGCATCATCGCCTCAAGCCGAGCTATATTAGGACCCCCGAATATCCCAATATACTTGGCCCGGAAGCCCTGATAGCGGTCTGATCCAGACTCTCGGCTTGCCAGGACTTTCGTAAGCCCGTATTACGTGCGCAGGTATGGCTATGATCCTTCAAGCTCGACAATATACTTGAGAGGAGGCGGTACATTCGAACATTAAATGCGACATCCTTGCTCTGTATAATGCAGGTGCACATGGAGCTCTCCGAAGCTAAATGAAGCAGGCTTTTCCCCTCCGAATCACTTTCTACGAGCATCTCAGGAAAATCTTAGACATCGAAGGACATGATGATCGTGGTCACCCCCGCTCATAAAATCAAGGTTCTGTTCATGGTGTCTTTCTCACCCTCACTGTTTCTCGCGGTCACGATGGCTTCACTAGATCAAGGTCAAGAAAATATTCGAAACATGGAAGCAAAATAAAGTGGTAAATTAATTCTGCAGTACAAGGTTTGTCATATCAACGATGCTCTGGACTCCATGAGTAACGGAAGCCAGTAGATGAACTTCAATGCTCACCTCTTTCATACGGCAGAGGCGTTAATCCTCCACCTGGTCGCATGGTCCTCTCCCTGATCATTGGTCGCTCCCTGCTCCTCAAGGGACATTCGAAGGAGGTCCTTCTTCGCCTTGATTATCGCTATCTGACAGCACTCTAACGGTCAATCCGAACTCGCCTGATAACGATATCGATGCGATGTGCTCACCACAAGTCTCGACTTGAATGCATCAACGTCTCGACAGCGCGCGCGCGCTGTCACCCACACGTACTTCTCGTGAGACAGACGCGAAAGAAGATTCATCCAGGAGATATCCAATGAATTCCTGAATATGCTGTTCCCTGAGCTCGAGAGCGGCGAGTTCAAGTCTAGTGGGGGGGCTCGTTAATATCGATGTCTCGCTTATCTCCAGAACATTACTTCTTGAGCCCAGCTTCGAAGCTCGCCCATTGGTCCAGCATACTCTTGTGTGTGCCGTAAATGTCCCCCGCCTGCTTGATTGCCTCTTCCAGGAAGTCGATTGCCGAGCTGGGCCGGAGGGGAGGGACGATATTGGGGAGCAAACACCAGAGCATCAACAAAAGCGCTACTGTGTTAGAAGCTGTCCCAAGGTTGGTTGACTGTCGCAATCGTAGTTGCGACCTCATTCCACTTGGTTTCCTTGGTGAACTTCGATGAATTCTCCTCGTTCTTGGCCATGAAGTGTGAACGAGTCCTAGCGAGGACAATGTTGCTGTGCTGTATCCCGAAAGCCAGTGTGTCGGAGTTTCATTTCCCCCTACACTGAATCTTGGATAGTTTTCGTTCTTACGAGGCGTATACTAGGGTCTGTACATACGCCCAGCTATGTAAACTGCTACAATTCTTTGTGAACTTGACATTCGTCAGTCTCATCGTGAGAGAGTGACATAGATAATACTGTTTTGCGTTTGGCTATTGCGTCAGAGGTAGCGGAGCATGGCAACTGGCGACATCAAAATGGCATCAAGTACAACTCTCACACTGTCAGCTTAGAGAAGTTAGACGCTCATTGCCAACATATACGTTCCACGGGCTCCCACATATCGAGATCCTTGCAGCGTCCGTCCATTTGTTCACTGATTCACAGTTTATACAATTAAATAGTGTCCAGAAAGCAGAGAACAGCGCAGAGCGATGAAGTAGATGTAGGTAATGATGAAAACCATGTGCTATGTCATGCTAGTTCTGTCATGGGGAACGGACCTTTTAATTTGCGGTCCGATATTATCTACGGCGGTCTCTAGAGCACCTAAAGTGATATCGTAAGAAACGTATGTTGATCTCATTCAGCTGTATGCGCGGGGTTTCTTCCCTTGTAAGCTTGAGCTTAAATATCGTCTCCCTAAGCTGCTATCCATGTTTTGGAAGCGAGGCCCCTGCCTGTAGCCGTTTAGCGCCTAAGGCTGCGATTGAATAACGAACCCATGCTTCTCAGCGCCTATGTCAATGTGCATCAAAACAACATAGACCGGAACACGAAAAGCACATGCATTCATGGAGCTTTTCCTCCGGTGCCCAAACGCTCAGGGCCATGACATAGCCCCAAAACAACTCGAAGCAAGGGCTATCTTACACAAATAAGAGTCTGAACAAAGCGTGTCAAAAACTCTCCACCATCGAAAATCCGACACCTCCGCTGTTCTCAACGTTGACAGGACGCCCACTTTCGGATACATGTCTTGACCATCCCGGACTGACGCACCCTCAGAAAGCTTGCAACTTGTACTATGACACTAAAGAGAAGCTATGTCCCAGCAAGGATATCGAATATTCATTCTCGGAGACACTGCTTGTCTGGATGGAAGCCTTAGACATGGGGGTGAACTTGAGAGTTCTCTTTAGGGTTGACATTGCAAATAGGCGGTTGGCTTCGAATGCATGGTTGATCAGCTTGTGTCTTCCAGTATCGTTGATAGCACCAACCTTCCGCCCTAGCACATACCGTACCCAGAGGCTTTTGGTTTGTGGCTCGGCGTTCTCATCACCTGCATGAATCTCAGCTGCCATAGTATGGCCTTCCGGTGGCGGAACATCAAGATGATTTGAACTTGGCGCTAGAATCTTTGGATCACGTGATATACGCAAAAGTCGAAAGGACGCTCTTCCACGTCCTAAATTGTCAAAATTACGCATGCAAGGCGATGCGCATCTAAGCAGGAGAACGTCAGCAAGAGCAAAATATTGACAGCATGGGGAGGAGGCTGAAGGTGAACATGCCGATGTTGTTTTCAAGTCTACCATGGCGCCCCAGCATGGATGGTCTGGCACTCTTAAATTCTCTACAAACAAGCAGATTAATGCGGCAGCGCTGACCAAAGGAAAAAGAGAGAAACTATAAAGATTTCATACGTTGTAATAAGCGAGGAAATTACGTCGCTTCCGCCATGGCAGTAGAGAAAGAGAAGGTTCGGCAGACACCGATACTTCTCGCGACTTGGCACGGATCTAGGTGCTATGATTCCCCACGATTCCCCATTATTCCATGCGCAAAATTTTATTTCCCGTGCCCCCTTGCAGTAAGCGCATCCACACCCTGCGAATCACGATTTGTTCACCGTTGTGTGACCCAGACTTCCCCTCAAGACGCGGCGCTGATATCGCTCAGTTGACTTCTATTTCCCCCAGATGGGGGGGCGATTTGAGTACGGTGTTTAATTGATATTCTTGTTATTACCAGAACAATCATAAAACAGTTGCCCCTGCCTTTCGACATGAAGATCGCTCTCCTCAAACACCGGGCCCTTTGGGAAATTTGAACACAGGCAGGGTCGATGCAGAATTAACACGTACACCGTGGAATTTCTCCGCCATATGATACCGCCAACTGACCCTCGCAGATTCCTTTCCAGCGTCTAGCGACACTCGGATCCGCGTCAACATCCAAAGGAGCATCAAGCCATGCTCTCATCAACCTGACACAATCGTCCGATTCGTGACAACGAGAGTCTAGCATGTTAACAAGGATGTGACTCTGGTCAACCAAACTAGACTCCCGGAGATCCAGCTCTTCAAGGCATGGTAATAGTACCGGCTGGTCTGGCTGGCAGAAAAAGGGAGTGAAGAATCTCTCGTTGACACTGCGAACACGGAGATTGAGTCGCTTGACGTGATGCGTCAAGCGTAAGAACTCTGCCATTTCTTGTCCCGCATCGACATCGCTGAGATCACAAGAGATCGTGAGGTCAACGAGGTTAGATAATGGCACTTGGGAGATCTCTGGAAAATAGGGCACGGAGGAATTGAAATCAAGCGATAACTTCTGCAGCGCTGGGAGTTTGAGGTTCATGAAGAGTTCCGCCAAGGCGCCTAGAGCCTCTTCGTCATCATCCTCTTCATCATCGTCCTCTTCCTGGATGTAGAGCTCTCTTAGGTGAGGTAGCTCAAAGACCTGGCTGGAAGTGTGCTCAGTTGTGCAACCATCAGTAAAAATGGTGATAGTCTCTGCTAAGGGTAATTTCTGGAGCAGATCAAGGATCACATTGTTAGATGAGTGCTTGATCGCACAATATTTGATCTGCGTCCACGGAAGGCGAAGGAGTCGACTAAAGTCGTCTCTACGGTATACATTCAACCATCGCAGACGAGGTGCGATGCTGAAAGTGTCAAGTTCAGTGGCGTCAGGAGGAACATTGGTTAATCGGAGAAGGAGATGCCGAAGTTGGGACAGGGATCCTCTGCACATGGAAAACGCTGGCAGGGAGACGTAGGGAATGGACAGAGCTAGTTTTGTACATCGGGAGATGGCTGCAAGAAGCGCGGCAAGCCCGCTGAGCGAAGAGATATCCTCCGGGCTATATATTCCCACATCAAGATCATGATCCGTGTGACCTTTCGAGCATGAGGCCGACCATGTACTGGAGTTTCATATCATTGCAGGTGTGATACAAGTCAAAAGAGAGCTCTATCGAGCTCCACAGCTCCGCGGTACCCAGTGCCACTCCTCGCCAGCGATGAGATACGTGCGATAACACCCACTGAGAGCGTTTTAGTATGTCAAGAGAATTACCAATTTTCCGTGTGTAGAGGAAAGTCTCTGTCTTGACGCATGCCGTAAATATTTCACGTAGGATATCGTCCGGAAGGCGACGTATTGGGTGGAAGAGTGTTTTTGTGTCCTGAAGGTGGTCTTCAACACGTTCTCGTTCGCGAATGAGGTCCTCGAGCACGGTCCGAGCTCGAGCAATCCTGGAGTCAAGATCAGATATAATATCTGGACCATCGGAGACCACAGTCGTAAAGTCAACTTTCTCATGATCCCTCGGCGAGTCGTTAGTTTGGAGTAGCTCTAGGACTCTTGCTTCATGGCGCAGGTAGTGTGAAGTGGCGTTCCGGAAATCGGAAAGGCCGCAATTGGGGCACAGATTTGCCATTGTTTAGAAAGGACTGAGGTAGTTACGATGCTCTAGAGGAGAATAAAAATCAAATGCGATCTAAACTCAACAGAGACTTTACCTCCCCCAAGGAAGCAAATGATTCGCGAAGTAGTAGTAGTAGTAGTAGTAGTATTACCGCCAAGGGATGTTATGCAAGCCCATGCAAGGAGAGATGTCCGGCATTTGCCGATGCCAGTTCGTTTCTTCCACCCTTGAACTGTTTCGCGAGTTTCTGTCTGCTCTTACAGCGTAGCCTTGACCTATAGGACGGATGTGCCGCCACTCTGAAAGAAAATGATCCGCCCATAGCCTTTCCTTCAGACTTGGATCGCAGTCTGTAGCCGCTAGGAAATCGAAACCCGATTATTCTGTTCGATGTTCCACCTAGGCAGCTGGGAACTATGACCAAGTGGCAGATGAAGTACGTGTAGGCCTTGTCGCAGTCGTATCTTGCAGACCATTCAACTTTGCTGCCGACATTGGAGCTCTCACCAGAAAAACTGGCGCCGCTCTCGCTGACGTGATTCCCGACGGCGCATTCAGGACCACCTCATTGACTGTCTATCTCGACCAGACCTACCCACAATGTCCTCTTCGCCTTTATCGTTACAGTCAAGGACATCACCGAGCATCATTCTTTTACACGTGCACGGCAATTACCTCCTATGTGAAGGAAGGATCTTCAAGTTGCAAGTCGGCGAGGAGCGAACGGTCTTACCAGCCATTTCTCTGTGGTATTTGATGGCAGGTATGGCATTGCTGCAGCTTGCAAAAAGCGTAACTAATCTGGGCGACAGGCATAGCGCACTCAATGCTTTCAATTCAGCCTTAGTCTCCACGTTCTCCTCTGCGTGCCCACTCTCATTTCCTTCCAAGCGTGTACACACATGTCCTCTCCATCCGTCCGCGCCATGAACCATGATCGGACACAGCGGCGCTGGCGCCTTTCTCAGCGGGCTGCACCTGTGGTACCGCGGGCGATCACGAAGCCGAACAACGAACCGAAACCACCTGGAGACGATGTGCTGAAGGTTGTTGTTCTTATCAACGCTGGCAGACACACACTGATGGTTTGCGCGTTCAAACTAAGAATGCCACTTGCCATGCCTCCACTCTACGAAGCGGCATCATTCAGTCATCGCCAGTCTCTTCTTCATCCCGCACGCCTACTATTTCTGACTAGAGTCCCTTCACTCTTCTCGGAATCCGTCATTAGATCTTCCAAGGAGCATTCCTCCACTTAGCCACGTCTGTCCAGCCACGACGAAACCGGCTATAGGAGCATCGTTGGAAGCCATCTCCGACAACGCCAGGACATTCAGTGCCTACTACGCCGAACCGATACATTCCTTATCATCAAGTCCTTGGAACAGCACGCACTCTGGCAGCAGCGGCAGTGGTGGATATTTTTCCTTCAATCCTCATCAACGCATCATCTGCAGAAGCCGGTCCTTCGAACGTTACGGCATCACCATCTACTTCCACTGATCATACTGAGAACCTTGAAATGAGCAACGACGACATCGTGACCTACCTTACGTTCCCAATACCCCTCTGCATTACGCCAACTCATGCCCTCGAACCCATTAATATCGGTCATAGAATACGATGGAGTATTCTCATCCTTAATCTCGACGGTCACACGTCCGAGCTGCGTTGTTCTCTTCCTTTTCACCTTCTTGATCATCGGCTACTGAAGGAAGCTCGTTCGCATAGGCGTCTTCTCCTTGGCGGTCCTAAAGTCGCACCAGAAGATATGGAGCTTCCGAGTTACACAGCGCACGTCCGGGAGGGACCAGGACCGCGCAGCGAACATGTTCCTTCCTGAGAGCGCCACAATGCGGGTCACCAACCCGTGGGTTACTTTACCAGTCTGATGAACGGCGGGATTGACAGACGATGTCATCGGAGGTAGACTTAATCGAGTGGGCCCGAAGTCATATACAGCACCGCTCCGATGATAACATGGCAACGTCCAACAGGTGGTTTATATCGACTATTCCTCTGCTCTCGTGCCCGTCCCTAACGAGGTCGATGCTAAGCGCTAATACTCCGCCCCGGTCAACCATTCACCTCCAGCAATGTAGCCACGAGATCTATGACACAAACTCAGAGTCGCCGTAAGGAGATGGCTAGCATCTATGGCACACACAAGGACTCTTGGCGGCGACTGCGCGAGCTTCGAGTCCAACTTTATGGCGGACCTTCACGGCGCCACTGCTGCCGTTACTACGGGAATACGTGAATCGTCAAACGTAGTATCAACGACGTGCATTTGCAGTGGAGGTCGTTGTACATGGCGGCTGAAAAGCAGATTTGGAGTCTTGCGGAGTTATGTGTGTCACCAGCGAAACGATATGCTTGGAAGACATCCTTCTGGGAGTCATTTGTGAACAGAAGAGCAATGAACAGGCGCATATAACGCACTAGGCATCTCTCACTGGACGAGGTGACATTACGATATACGAAGGTTCGGCAAACACCGATACTTCGGCACATGTCTTGATGCTACGACTCTCTGTTATTTGATGTGCGCCATTTTGCTCTCAAAGTCACTACCCGAGGATTTATTTCACATGTTCCCCTTCGTCAGGCCCTGGACTAGTAACTTTGCCGCTAATTGGTTCGACCCAGTGTCTTGCATACTCTTTTGGAACTTCGCCGAGTCCGACCCGAGTTGGGGCACTAGGCGTGGACCACAAGACCGTACATCCACCTTACCTTCGTACTGCCTGCTCCAATGATCATCAATGGACCCCCCGATAATATCGGTCTGAATCGCTGTCGCTTTTCTATATAACCTGGAGCCTCTGTTGGTCATGGCGGCAAAGCCATGATCACTTTCTACGATATTCCCACCAAAGCGGCTGATTCTCCGGGAACTATGATAACCTGGCGAACGAGGTACATGTGCATTCCCTCGCATGCACATCTCATACCTAACCGTTCGAATTTGAATTCGCAGGTATTGTCTGAACCTCAAAAACCTGCCTTACAAGACTGTCTACATTGAGGTCCCTGATATCGAAGCTCTCGCCAAGAAAATCGGTGCTGCTCCCACCGACATGTGGCCAGATGGAGTTACCCCCAAATATACGGTTCCAATAATCCAGGACCACTCCACGGGTGCTGTCATCTCCAACTCGCCTGCCATAGCCGTTTACCTTGACAAGACCTACCTCTCTATTGGACCCGTGCTCATCCCTGCCGGGACTATGGCCCTCCAGCTCGCCTTTCACCGACGCAGTCGATGAAGCTTTCGAGCATCTCCGTGCACCGCTCTTCTATGCGGACTTTCTGGTGAAGATGAACGAACGGACGACGACGCGTATGAAGGAGAAGTTTCCTGGGATCTGTGCGTTGGAAGGTGAGGAGCGCAAGGAGATGTGGGCTGTGACGAAGAAGAATCTGGGGAAGATGGATAAGTGGTTTGAAGGGAGCGAGGGCGGGGGTGACTTTGTTATGGGCGAGGAACCGTGTTTTGCGGATACGGTGCTTGGGGCGTTTTTTTGGTTGATTAGAAGCACAGTTGGAAGGGAGAGCGAGGAGTGGAGGGATATTGTTACTTGGAATGATGGGAGGTGGGGAAAGCACCTAGACCGCTTGGGGCTGTATGAAACGGTTGCGTAATAAGTAACCAAGCCTTTCTCTTCCGATTGTAATTCTGCCTTTATCTCTTTCTTCGGTGCCATCGTCGCCAATCGGGTTTATTACTGATCTCTGGCTACTCGTTCAGACAATCGGATATTTAACAGCGAGTCGAAACAAGAGTAGACACATGAGCAGAACTTAACTGCTCGGCCTATCATATCCATGCCAGCAACCGATTCAAGTACGCTTCGACCATACACAGCGGCCTACGGATGACGAGCTCCAATATCACAACTTCGGGACAGTAAGCCACGATGTACCAAATCATGATAATGTACACAGCACGGGCTGCACCCGTAATGGCGAACCTGATCAACGCAAGATTATCCTTGATGAACTCCACCATATGTGCTTGAACAAGAGCTGACGTCTGAGGCCATACTCCAAGATACGTTATGAAGACAGAGAGAAGCAACACCAAGAATAGCTTCGCATTGCGCTCAAGTCGGTAGACTATCCCTAAGTAAGATTAGGATAAACAAAACTGCACAACTTTGGCGATGATGGTGAACGCGCAAATCAGCTGCCAGTAGAGCCATGTATTCAGAAGGAGGTTTATCATGGTCGTCGTTGTGTCGACTGATAGCAAAAAACTGTGTTACTAATACTAGGTAATCCGTAGTATGAACTGGAAGCTTACACATTTTCGCAATCGTGGTTGTGGTTAGATGTTTGGGCTTTGGAGAGACGCGTGTTGGCAACATGGTATGTGAAAACAGAAGAGTGATAGGCATGAGGCATGGCAAACATGTTGGTGAATGGAAGGTTCTGTGGCCTTGCGACTGCGACAAAAGACGATGGCTTCTCCCGATCCCTCGTATCCACGCCAAGTAGCGTCTCCAAATTCACTAACGCTAGCGCAATCGGACTGTGATAATTCCGTGCGAGCTTCAAGTGCAACCTGCTGGCAAGCAAGTTAGTTACAGAACAAATCATGCTACGCAAAACACTAACCCAGGCTGCATCAGATCTCGTATTCGGGGCAGTGCTTTTCTGAGGACCCAAACCAAAAATATCAAGGCCGATGCCCATCGTGACATTGTGCGACAGGAGTACGTCTAGCGCACTGTCCTCGGAAAGCGGCGGGCCTGGAAGACCACAGCGCTTTAATAATCTTCTCTCATCGAAGAGGGTAATGAACATCACATACGTTCTCCTTGATTGCCAGTCGTTAGGGAAAGGCCGCACACGACTAAGGATTACGCCAACACCAGCGTTGCCTATCTCGGTAGCAAGAAGATGCGCTTCGGGCGCTCCAAGGAACGTCATACGAATAGATTTTTCAGATATCTCTTCTGGTTCTTGTTTAAGTTGTATCAAAGACGCCATAACATCGACGCTGTTGACCGTCACGACAAGCGGCAGTTCACCCTGGCGTTTGTATCGTTAAATATGCAATGCCATCTAAGGAACGGCAAAGACGTTACCTCAACGACCTTCCTAAACTCGCACCTAATTCTCCGTGTATTTCGCTAAGCAGCAGTCGCCTCAGAGCACCCAGTTGAGTGCTAACGTTGATGGGTGAAGACATGGACACCATAACATGCAGTACCGAGACGTCGTGTATTATGGCACCATCCTCCAACGTGTGTGCAGCACCGGTACTTAATCCAGACAACAATCCAGAAGATTCACGCGGTGTAACAGCAATAGTAACGCCTCCGCGATAAGGCAGCCTTAGATATGATCTTTCGTAAGTCAGTCTGAACCTCACGATTTGGAAGACGACGTACAGCATATCTGGAGATGCGAATTGTAAGCCATCTACTGCTCGTATTATCGTTTCTTCTCCTACCACTAAGTTCGGGATTTCGGATAAGAAAGGGTCAATGACCAGTCCATCTTTAGTACTGTCTTCGAAATCGATATCTGCTAGTCCCAGTGGCGAACCGACTGTGGTGAGGCCGGATCTAAAGAGACCTAAACGTTGAGAATTCAGTGAAGTATACGCTTACACTATTGATCCACCCATTAGATTGACGCGTCTAACGCTTCAGTCAGAATGAACCTCAGGACACGGTTCTATTCCTTAGCAAACAAATTGTCCATCCTTGACAACAACAGTGCCCGGTTCATCATTAGCAGCCGAAAACATTTGTTCTATTCGTCGGTTGCTCTTCAGGAACACGCTCGTCAGGTTCGTGAAGATGACAATATCCGAGGTCGATATCTTTGCTTGGAGGGGAGGCAAGCCGTCGTAACTCATGGCATCTATCGCCTCTTGGTCAAAGTCTGGCGTCATTGGGGCATGTTGGTAAGACGGTGGCTTAATCGTTCCTCGACCAGTGTCCTCGAGTTGAGTGAAAGAGAGCTGTGTTGGCAGATGGCGGTAGGCGATATCGAGCAAAGAAAAGCCGTTTTTCTGGCAAAAATATCGAAGACATCTTTGAAGAAGGAATCGGTCAGCTTTCGTGATATTTACGTCCAACTAACGAACGCACCTGATACCCAAATTCAAACGATTGTTTTCTCGAGATATGAGATACATACTCAACATCTAAAGAAGATGGTAGACGGGATAGAATGTTCGCAAAGAAAGCAAGGAGTTGCATCCATGGTGGGGGTAGGAGTAAAGAGCAGCTCGCTACGGGGTTGTCGGGCCGACGCGTCTCTCTTACCACCACCATGGAATTCGCCTCGATGTTCCTTCCTCACGGTCTAACGTCCAACGTTGGAATTGATCCTGCTCACCTGAAAATTGTGTCCTCTATACACATTCATGGCCCTATAAAGTTGCTAGACTTTTCGATTCAGTTCGAGCTTCCCATGCACAGCTTGGAAACAACATAATAGCATGATATTTATACCATGTTAGGCTCAGCTATGCCAAATATGATCCTTCAGACATACCCTCTCATCCACCACCACCAGGATGTCGGGAGATTCGAATATCGGCGCATGGATACAATTTGCAAGGCTTACTGTGGCTGCGGGTGAAATGGCCCCATTTCCGTACATCAAGGGTGTTGCAGGGTGTATAGCGACGATTCTTGAGGTCATTGAGGTACGTACTGTTAACCGCTGCTGTATGATATTGAGCGGGGGTCTAGTTAGCTGGCAAGAACAACGAGGACCTTCAGGACTTGGCAGAGAGCATTGGAACGACAATACGAATCATCAAGGAAACCTGTTGAAGCGCATGGTGATACGAGTGCGACTCGTTTTCGCTGGTGTATGCGTGGAGCTTCAGGCGTGAGTTGGCATGTACAGATTGCTGAACCCTACTTACCGAAGCTTCTGTCCAGATACCTAGAGTGTTTGATTGCTGAACTAAACACTACTCGACACAATTTGAAGTCCAAAAGCATTATGCGATTCCTGAAAACGAAGAAGATTTCCAGTGTTATCGATGGATACAAGCAGCGAGTGAACAACATCAAGGCGGATTACCTTGTATGCGCTCGGGCCTTGTACACGCTGTTATTTGTATTGACTGTCGGTCCCTTTCAAGGTTCTAGTTACTACCGACTCAAGGCTTGCGATGTCCGAGATGCAGAATGCAGTCACTCAAGCCACGGAGACAGCACAGTCATGCATCACCTCGACTGTTAAGTCTCAGGGTCACTATATCCGAGGCGAGATACGGTCCTTGGGTGATATCCAAAGGGAACATGCGGCCCAGATTTGCGAGAAGCTTCAGGATCTGAAAGGATATTATAAAGGACAGGTAGGTGGTCCTCATATCAAACATGTCTATATCTTATTCGTAGGTTCGAGAACTTTTCCCAGGGGACATCTACATAGGAAAGCTCGTGTCTCCTTGGTGTGACTCTTCCCTTGGATACGAAGACAGATACGGCACAGTCGAGAACAGCAGCACAGCAAAAATTATTCGCGTATACCAACATTCTCCTGGTAACGAAGAAGCTATACTGAAAGTAAGTGTCTATTACTATCTTATTCATTGGCGAAGTGCACATCATCTTGTAATCTAGCGATTCGATAATGATGCAGACACGTTGATTAGAACAAAGTTCGGTTTTCCATGTCTGTCTAATAATCATCGAGTGATGCCTTGTGTAGGCACCCGAACATCGCCCAAGTCTTCGGTATCTGCAGATCACCAAACTTTCCAGCAATCGTATTTCACGGTGAGGGTGCTGGTTCCTTTTGTCTTTAGTTTAGGTCTAATTTCCGTGTACAGGTATCACCCAGATCCCTTTCCGTGATTATGAACGTAACTTGACTGCAAAGCAATTTGTACCATTCTATATCCAACTGGTAAAATAGCTTCTCTTTGATATTTTGGACAAACACGGCTAATCTCCTGCTGTGCCACTGTGTAGTTCTACGAGTTAGAGGTATGATCTGCCAGAATCCAGAAGGACACGCCTGAATACCCATTTTGTAGTCGGTCTCAGAGTATTTGTCCACGCACTACACGTTTCTCACTCCAGGATTCTGGGCAGGTGTCAGTCAAGTCATGGAAGTCTCGGTATATACTGACAATTTTGAAGCGAGGTCATATCCATCTTAACGAACACGGGCAAGTTGTTGTGGTGGCTATGGTATCTGAATGGTACTTCACTGGGGGTTTTGTGATGCGTATCTTTGATAAACCAGGGAACCGGGTCCGTCTTCGGCGCCTGTCGACTGAACCGCTTCCCAGCCATGTCAACAGATGGTCCTTGTCACTGACATTGCGAAAGGATAATTTATGCAATGTGTATGATGCTATCAAACGCATCATTTTGTCTAAACCTTTTCAGTCTTTCCATCCACAAAATCAACCTTACGCGCCGGGTAGTGTACTGACCTCACGCGGGGAGACTTTGGTGGGCCGAGTTCAGACTAGATTGGACGAATGGAACGTGCACTGGACAACATCAGCCAACGATCACACTATACTATTGTTGCCCTCGACAAACAAGTTCGTTGTTACTTCAATCTTATATCTTCTTGCTAATTGTTCATTGGCAGTGGTTCAATAACGGTCCCTTTACCGTACGCTGGGACTCTGCCCTTCGATGCTTCGATCTGTTCGCGGTCATTCAACGGGGCTTTGAATTCGTGGATTGCGCAGGCTTCCCAGCTACAATCTTGTGTCTGTTCCAGGGGTCCTGTTGACGATGACGAGCTACTTCTAATAGGTAGATGTTTGTTGACTAACAAAGAACTATCAACTAACAAGCGTATTTAGATACAATGTTTACCCTTTGTGTCGGCCTGGAAGAGAGGTACGACCCTTTTCGTCTCTACAATACATTCATGGCCGAAGATCATCATACACTCTCGTTGTCAATAAGCGCTCCCTCCGTTGATTATCAGACGAACAAGGTGTCCTGGCCTGTCTTCGCGTGGTTCTATGACGCGGGCTCAGAGATGTCTTTGGTTGAAGTAGAAGAAGTTTTCGGCGTGAAGGTTTTTAAAGAGAAAACCTCGTGGACGCCGCCTGTGTCTAAAACGGTGCTTACAACCATACCCGAGTTGAATGCCAACTATGGATTTGACCCAGCCCGTGGCGGCGCGGACGTCTGCAAGTATTTTGGGTGGCCGTTCGTGGAGATCCTCGACGTGTCCACAGGAGGTAGGAAGATCTGGGTTCGTTGTGTGTATGGCCGCTGATAAAATATAATAGATTGGATGCCTTTACATGGTACCGTACCCGAATCGACATCAGTCATATCGGACGACGGGTATCGTACCTTGAGCGAAAAGACCGCCTCTTCGCCGAGTAATGCACTAGAGGAAGGACATGTTGGCGAAGCATCGGCCGAGACGGAGGTCGCTCCTGCTTTGCAAACCAGAAGCTTGAAATCGGGCCGTGGCTCATGGGTGTTCATAGTAATGTTCATTATTATCAGTATTATCCTGCTGTCCTTCGTCGTTCAGACCTATATGTAAATATAGATTCTGATACGTGTATTTAGTTCATAGTGACACTTCACAGGACTGAGGTCTGCGCGCCGACTCAATACACCCATAAATACAGTAACGGGATGATATGATAAAGGATACAGGATTAATTACAAGTCACACGCCCCTCCTTCTAACAGCCAGGTCAAAACTGCCTCACCAATACACAGCGACCTGTGAACGACCAGTTCTAATAACAGAATTTCGGACTTGAAAAGCGTGAAACGCCAGATCATAATGATGATGTAAGAGATCATTGCGATGGACACGATGCGAGCAGCGCCAGCGATGATGAATCTGGTTCCGATGAGGATACTTCCAGGACAACCTCCTTCCAGCCCAGGCAGTAGGTCTGATGTCAGAGGCCAGATATCGAACTGCGTAATCAAGAAGCAAAATACTAGCGCCACGAGTAGCTTCGTGAGATTGGCTCGACAGAAATTCCCTGGAACGAAGAAAGACATGAGTAATGGGTAGAAAGATGTGGAGTGAAACTGTACATACTGATTTCTTCCTAATAGATGTATGCAATAACAGATCCGATGAACGTGCATGTCACAGCTATTCGTAGGGCGGCTAACGACTCTGCACTAACTGAAGCCGAGTTAGATGATCAAGTTGACGTCCTGAGTTGAAAGCTCGAAACTTACTCATTTCTCAGCGGGAAATCGTCTGAAAGTGTGTAGGGCCTGTTGTCAGAGCAATGAGGCAAAGCACGTACGCACCATACAGTAGGAATGACCTGACTATCTACCGATCGGAGACTCTGTACATGCGCTAAAGCCTAAGACGAGAAGCATCATCCATCTTGTCAGATAAGCGCCGGTCCTGCAGCTGGGCGCTAATGCTTGAATGAGAATACTACTTCCCTCCTGTCAGTGAAAGAGATGCTGCGTAGCATGTTGTGTATATTGACCGACAACTGTCGAGGGATATCCCCAAGGTCTTTTGAAGCAAGGATTTTCACGTCTAACTTCGAAGCGCTTATTTGGCGTTTGTCCGGTTGAGCTTGGTACACTGAATCGATCCGCTCCCGATGGATTCTAGTCCTCTGATAAATAGCAATCAATATCACCCAAGAATATGCGAATCGCCAGTAAGTCGTACGTAGTAAGTATGTGAAAGATCGACCAAAAGAGAGTCCTTGGTTGGCAAGCTGTTGGGTGCCGACGAGCGCACACGTCTAGCCACGTTTTGCGTTGGAAAAATTGGGAGTTACAAGTCGGGAATGATGGTGGTGTTGAGGCAAAACACGAGAGAATCGAACGACAAGGCATGTGATCGTGGATCGATTCATCCGGCAAGTTGATTGCCAGCGGCACTGACGGCACTTGTCTCCTCTTCACTGTGACCGAACGCGACGACAGAACTTCCTGCATTTATCCTTATCTTGTTCCCTTACATCCCCTCACACAAAAGTGTGCCTTCAATATCGACTTCGACTGGTTGGAAGATGGGCAAGGACGGAGTGCTTTGTGGTTTCAACGAGAAGGTCTTTCACCCTTCAAAGACAGGCATATACAACGATAGCGCGTTGCTGTTATTGGTTCTTCAGGTATATATTATGAGTACGCTGATAGGTGCGCCACTTTCTCTTGCCCAAGGATATCCCTCACACGTCACCCAGGGTACTCCCAGCAAACAGACAGCAGTATTATTCCTTCGCCATGGTAGCATTTCGATGGAGCGATGCCCTCTTACTATCCCCACACAAATGAGATGGCGACAGAAACCGTCTTTGACATTTTCACGACGCCGACGTTAACCAGCTGTTGGAATCAACCCTTTTTCTCGCTCTCAGGGAGTTCGAACAGAGGACTTGAGAAGGAGAAAGCCCATAGTATTGTCGGAAGCTTCGATGTGCAGGGAATTTTATAGTAAGCATCACCGCCTCTACAGCGTTTTCAGCTCATGGCAAGAAGCAGGTCCGTCGTCTGACGTTGTACAGCATCTGAAGGTGGAAATCGCATCCGACTCGCTTTTATCATGACCGCAGGATCTTGGGTTACGTGGGCATACCTGGTCCAGAAGTGGACGCGTGGCTCTGATGCTAGCATTGGTCACACTGAGACGGAATCTCTCAAGCATGCGTTCAATTGGACCTAATTGTAAGCCATTGCGCTTCTTCCATATCGGCCTCATATATCTACATACGCCCAGGACACAACATATTCTCCAGAGAAGTGTCATACCCGAATTGCGGATTCGGATTTGATATCTCCGTCCACGGCTATCTCTCAGAGAACGGAATTCCTGGCAGTTTCATCTTCCCCTGCGGTCCTCGCCAGTGTACAAGGACCTGAATCGTATGATCCTCAGGCATCCCAGATAATCTACGCTCAAACAATCTATCACTGCTCCAAGCTGGCATATTCAAGTCCGAACGGAGGGAACGAGTAAGTCCATTTGGAAAAACTGGGTTTCCTCACTAATGAAAGGGTTTGCAGAGATGCTGGCAAGGTCGCAACGCGTATAATTGTCCTAGCGCCATCTGATTCTTCGTAGCAATGACAAAGCAATCGCCGGTTCATCGGTAAATGACTGTTATCCTTCGTAAGACGTTTTAGAGCTATTATTGCTTATAACCCAAACTAAAGTATCCTTCTGCAGAAAGCAATGTCCGAGCTGATCACACTATACGACGTCCCGACCAAAGACTGCTGATGCACCCGGCTCAGCGACGACATGGCGTACGAGGTATGTCCACAACTCCAAGACCTAGAATATTGGCGCTGATCAACATCTCTAAGGTATTCCCTCAGCATCAAGAACCTGAAATTCCAAGTCGTCTGGGTCGAGCTTCCCAACGTCGAAGCTCTAGCAATACGTATCGGAGCTCCCCCCACTGGTGTCAAACCCGACGGGAAATCGCCATTCTACACTATACCCATCATCCAGGATCCCTCTACTGGCGCCGTGGTATCAGAGTCCGCCGCCATCGCGGAGTACCTCGACAAGACCTACCCCACGTCCGGGCCGACGCTCATCCCTGCAGGAACGAAGGTCCTGCAGCTCGCGTTCCGTGATGCCGTAGCGGAGAGTTTCGTTCCGACACGTCCGTTCTTCTGGGGCGGAGAGATATTGAATGATGCAACAAGACTGTACTTGCTCAAGAGGCTGGAGGGACTAGGTGTAGGTCGTGAAGGTCCCAGAGGGAGAGGAGAGGGAGAAGCAGTGGGCGAAAGGTGCAGGCAGGGCTAGGGAAGATCGACAAGTGGCTCCCGAAAGAGGGCTTTGAGTTCGTTATGGGGAGCGAACCAGTCCTTTGGCGATGCTGTGCTGTGTGCGCTTTCTGAGGTTTACGAGGGGTATCCTTGGAAGGGAGAGTAAAGGAGTGGAAGGAAATGGCGAGTTGGCATGATGGGAGGTGGGGTAAGTTGATGGATAGGTTTCAGTCGGTATGAGTAAAAAAAAATGGAACCCTAACCCTAGCTTCTATTAACGCCTTTCCGAATGACCATCATGTCGACAGGTTAGACTGTGCTTGACTTTAGAGCCTTATCGAGTCCGTTTCAACAGTATTCCGAATGGGCTCAACAAGCCGAGGGCCCGTTACTACTCAGGGCGACTCAGGTATAGCCAGTACCGAGGTTAAAATCCAACCTTGTTCTCACAGATAAATCCGAAGATAAAGTTTGCAAGCAAGAATTAACAGCATGCCTCGACAACGTCCCTGGACTACGAAAAATGTTGGAGTTACGAGGTCGGCGCTCGGACGTGGTAACGGAAAGTAGGCTCGAGAGAAAGTGAGCAACACTGGATAATGTAACGGAACGTTACTGCAAGATGGTAAGTAAACTAATAGTATGGATATACGTAGAGGTACTCACATCTCAGCGTGTTGGTAAAAGCTGAGATGTGAGGCTGTGCATCGCAAAACGAAAAAGGCAAGAAATATCAAATACGTGTCCGTGTGCGTCTTGTACTACTACTACTATGTCTAACAAAAAATACCGGATGCCAACGATGGACAGCTTCAACCTATTAGGCTGCTATCACAACTGTTCACATAGCCGGGGACCTTACTTTGGTTTTTTTCTTGCTCGTTGGACTAGACCTGGTTATCTTCTCTCTATAAATCCAGCACCAAGGATACATCAAAAGCTTTACCTATAGTTATGAGTTATTGGCGGCTGAACATCGGAACATGGTCTCTTCTGATACAATTGTACGTAACTTCTGCGTTGTTTTTAGCGCCTTGTTTCACATGTTTGTATCAGCGAACCTTTTCTGAATACTTGCCGGAGATATCCGATGTACTAACCTGCACCACATGATTGCTTAATGCCGCAACACTCGTATGGACACGGTGATGTAAGTACGTGGTTGGCGCTTTTTTGCCCCCAAGCTCCATTACAAAGCCTGAATAGAACCCGGGAAATGAATCAGACGATGACTAAGACGTGGAAATTCTCTCGTACAGGTCTAATAGACTACTCGACCTTATAACTGACTGGCGCGTCTCTGTAGAATCAACACAACAAGATGTCTTCGAAGCCGATCACCTTATACGACATTGCAACCAAGCTTCCTGACGCGCCGGGATCTTCAACGACTTGGCGAACGAGGTACGAGTACACATCGTATACCGGCATGGGTACCTTAACCCTTATCGCAATAGGTACTCTCTGAACATGAAAAAACTCCCGTACCAAACTGTCTATGTCGAACTTCCCGACATTGAATCTCTCGCTAAACAGATCGGTGCTGCTCCTACTGGCACTAAACACGATGGAGTCACGCCTTTATACACGATCCCCATCATCCATGACCATGCCACAGGAGCCGTCGTATCAGAGTCTGCCTCTATCGCAGCGTATCTAGACAAAACGTACCCATCCGGACCTACGCTCGTCCCTACTGGTACAATGCCGCTCCAGCTTGCATTCCGTGATGCGGTAGCAGACGTCTTCCGTGGTTTTCGCGGGTTCATGGTTAAGCGCTTGATGGCAAATTGGAATGACAGGACGGTCGTGTATTGGAAGTCCAGGTTGGAGGAGCAAGGAGTGAATTTGGAGACGTTGTTAAATGGGGACGAGGACAAGGACAAGGCGTGGGAGAAGGCTCTGGCGGGGCTTGCAAAACTTGATAAGTGGTTCGAAGGGAATGAGGGGCCGTTTGTTATGGGAAGCGAAGCCGTGTTTTGCGGATGCTGTCCTCGGGGCGATTTTGAGATATGGTCGGGGTGTTTTTGGGAAAGACAGTAAGGAGTGGAAGAGTATTGCGAGTTGGAATGAAGGGAAGTGGGAGAAGTACTTGGAGAGCTATCACATCCCTATGAAACGATTCTTTGACGAAGTTTGAATAATATACACGCTTTCCCTCATTCAAAGGTATAACGGTATAAATAATATAGCACTCTCTATCACATACACTAGCACGTAAAAATGAGCTGCATAAGTGTGAACTAGAATAACAGAGCCCTCCTCACCATGCTTCTTCCTACAAATGTCATCCCTTTGTTCACTTGACCATGGGCTGTCAAGCCGATACAGGGATTCCTTGCTCGATGTTGGTTCTCGGTAAATGCCTGCCATCTTAGCATGTTACACTTCATGCGGCTATGAGAATACTGACATTCGGGCAAAATGCGAGCTGATGGCGAAGCCACCGAGCGAGCTCTTGGCTGCAGATCTTGACCCGGCGTTGAAAATCTGATTTTTTCCCAATAGAAGTATGCAATAACAGATCCGATGAACGTGCACGTCACACCTATTCGTAGGGCGGCGAACAGCTCTGTATCAACTGAAGCCAAGTTAGATGATCGAGTTGACTCCCTGAGTTGAAAGCTGGAAACTTACTCATTTCTCAGGGGGAATTCGGCTTAAAGTGCACGGTGGAGCAACGAGACAAAACATGCAGACACTATATAGTGGGGATAACCTGCCTATATACCGATTGAAGACTCTGTACATGCGCTAAAGACGAGAAGTATCATCCATCTTGTCAGAATAAGCGCCGTCCCTGCAGCTGGGTGCTAATACTTGAATGAGAATATTACCTCCCTCTAATCAGTGAAAGAAATGTTGCAGTACCATGTTGTGTATATTGACCGACAACTGTTGAGGGATATCCCCAAGGTTTTTTCAGGTAAGGATTCTCACGTCTAACTTCGAAGCGCTTAGTTGGCGCTTACCACTTAGTCGACTGGGCTTCGTACAGGATCGATCCATTCGCTATGGATTCTAGTCTTCTGATAAAGTAGCAATCAATATACCAAGAATATGTGAATGCGAAGTATGTGAAAGATCGACCAAAAGAGGAGTCCTGTTGGCTGCACTTCTCAGGGAACGGAATCCCTGGCAAATTTATCTTCCTCTGTGGTCCTCGCCAGTGTACAAAGTCCTGAATTATATATGAACCCTCGGCGTCCCCGATAATCTACGTTCGGACAATCTATCACTGTTCCAAGCTGGCATCTTCAAACTTTAAGTCCGAATGGAGAGAACGAGTAAGTCCATTTGGAAAGACTGAATTTCCTGACTAATGAAGGCGTTTACAGAGATGTTGGTATGGTCGCAGCGCGTATCATTGTCCCGGCGCCATCTGATGCTTCGTAACAATGACAAAGCAAACGCTGATTTATCGGGAAATGACTGTTATCCTTCGTAAGACGTTTTAGAGCTATTATTGCTTATAACCCAAACTAAAGTTCCTTCTGCAGAAAGCAATGTCCGAGCTGATCACACTATACGACGTCCCGACCAAAGATGCTGATGCACCCGGCTCAGCAACGACATGGCGCACAAGGTATGTCCACGACTCCAGACCTAGAAAGTTGGTGCTGATCAACATCCATCTAAGGTATTCCCTCAGCATCAAGAACCTGAAACTTCCAAGTCGTCTGGGTCGAGCTTCCCGACTGTCGAAGCTCTTAGCAATACGTATCAGGAGCTCCTCCCACTGGCGTCAAACCCGACGGAAAGTCGCCATTCTACACTATACCCATCATCCAGGATCCCTCTACTGGCGCCGTGATATCAGAGTCCGCCGCCATCGCAGGAGTACCTCGACAAAACCTACCCCACGTCCGGACCGGACACTCATCCCTGCGGGAACGAAGGTTCTGCAGCTCGCGTTCCGCGATGCCGTAGCGGAGAGCTTCGTCCCGACGCGTCCGTTCTTCTGGAGCGGAGATATATTGAATGATGCAACAAGATTATACTTGCTCAAGAGACTGGAAGGACTAGGTGTAGTCGTGAAGGCTCTCGAGGGAGAGGAGAGGGAGAAGCAGTGGGCGAAGGTACAGGTAGGCCTAGGCAAGATTGACAAGTGGCTCCCGAAAAGACTCGGAGGGCTTTGAATTCGTTATGGGGAACGAACCATCCTTTGCGGACGCCGTGCTGTGCGCGTTTCTGAAGTTTACGAGGGGTATCCTTGGAAGGGAGAGTAAGGAGTGGAAGGAAATGGCGAGCTGGCATGATGGGAGGTGGGGTAAGTTGATGGATAGGTTTAGTCGGTACGAGTAAAAAATGGAACCCTAACCCTAGCTTCTGTTAACGCTTTTCCGATTGACTATCATGTCGACTTCACTGTGCTTGACTTTCGAGCGTTATCAAGTCCGTTTCAACAATCCTTATCACAAGACTTGGTCGATCGGGATCGACTGTATACTAAATAAATTCAACATGCCGGGGGCCCGTTGCTAGCCGGAGCGACTCAAGTCTCAGTCATGGTTAGGTACCGACACCAAAACTCAATCCTGTTTGCACAGATAAATTCCAAGATAAATTCTGTAATACAATCATAGAAGGCGCACTTCGACGATGTCTCTGGACTACGAAAAATACCAGATGCGAAATGATGGACAGCTTCAGGACAGCTTCAGCCTAGTATCACAACTGTTTACATGGCCGTGGATCTTACTTTGGCGTCTTTCTTGCTCGTTGGACTAGACCTGTTATCTTCTCTATATAAAGCCAGCGCCAAGGATACATCAAAAGTTCTACCTATATTTATGAGTTTGCGGCGGCTGAACATCGGAATATGGTCTCTTCTGATACAATTGTACGTAACTTCTGCGTTGTTTTTAGCGCCTTGTTTCACGCGTTTGTATCAGCGAAACCTTTTCTGAATACTTGCCAGAAATATTCGATGTACTAACCTGCACCACATGATTGCTTAATGCCGCGACACTCATATGGGCACGGTGATGTAAGTACGTGGTTGGCGTTTTTTAGCCCCCAAGCTGCATTACAAAGCCTGAATAATTCCCTGAGAATCCGGGAGATGAATCAGACGATGAGTAAGACGTGGAAATTCTCTCGTACACGTCTAATAGACTACTCGACCTTATAACTGACTGGCGCGTCTCTGTAGAATCAACACAATAAGATGTCTTCGAAGTCAATCACCCTATACGACACTCCAAGCAAGCTTCCTACGAGTCCGGGAACTCCAAATACGTGGCGAACGAGGTACGTGCACGCATTGTACACCGATACGGACAGCCTAACCCGCATGATCATAGGTACTCCCTAAATATGAAAAAACTCCCCTACCAAACCGTCTATGTCGAGCCTCCCGATATCGAATCCCTCGCCAAACAGATTGGTGCTGCTCCTACGAGTACCAAACCCGATGGAGTCACTCCTTTGTACACGGTCCCCATCATCCATGATCATACCACAGGCGCCGTCGTATCAGAATCTGCCGCTATCGCGGCATATCTAGACAAAACGTACCCATCCGGACCTACACTTATCCCTGCTGGTACGATGCCACTCCAGCTCGCGTTCCGCGACGCGGTGGACGACGTACTTGTTGGTTTTCGTAGGTTCATGATCGAAGCCATGCTGCCAGATTTGAACGACAGGGCAGTCATGCATTGGAAGTCCAGGATGCGAGAGCAGGGAGTGAACATTGATGCGCTGTTTGATGGGGACAAGGAAAAGTTGTGGGAGAAAGCCCTGGCGGGTCTTGCGAAGTTTGACAAGTGGTTTGAAGGGAATGAAGGACCGTTTGTTATGGGAAGCGAGCCATGTCTTGCGGATGCTTCTCTTGGCGCGTTTTTGAGGTGTAGTCGGTATGCTTATGGGGAGGACAGCAAGCAATGGAAGGATGTTGCTAGTTGGAATGGAGGGAAGTGGGCGAAGTACCTGGAGAACTTCGCACCATATGAAGCGATTCTCTAATAAGCACTTGTTGCACACCTTGAGGCTGTTTGTCTGCTTCTCACATTTCGATATACAAGATTTGAATTTTGTGGCATTCGTTCGTATCCATCTGATACATGCGCCAGAGGCAGCATTGAGAATTTTGGAAGTTGAGGATTCATCTTCACATTACCGCATTATATTTTCTAGTACAGTTGACTGAAGCTAACTCAGGACCCCGGTAACATCCTTCCAGTGTTCCACTCATCTAAAACTTTCACCATTTTTTCGCACTTGCCCTTTACCGCCACATCACCACCAGGCCCAAAGACGAGATATGTGGGCCACTCCTTGCCTTTTGCCTTGCCGTCTCCTCTTACAACGTCCACGATGATCTCCACCTGCTAAGTCAGCATCACCTGTGCACCAGCCCCCCTCGAAGAACCCTTGAGCTTGATCACAGGTATCGTCAGTACTTCCTGATATAAAGGGGACCTGAGTGTAGTTGTGAAGGTCCTAGAGGGAGAAGGAGAGGGAGAATCAGTGGGCGAAGGTGCAGGCGGGTCTAGGGAAAGATTGACAAGTGGCTCCCGAAAGAGGAATTTGGAATTCGTTATGGGGAACGAACCAGTCCTTTGCGGATGCTGTGCTATGTGCATTTTCTGAGGTTTACGAGGGGTATCCTGGGAAGGGAGAAGTAAGGAGTAGAAGGAAATGGCGAGCTGGCATGATGGGAGATGGGGTTAAGTTGATGGATAGGTTTAGTCGGTATAAGTAAAAAAATGGAACCCTAACCCTAGCATCTGTTAACACCGTTCTGATTGACTATCATGTCGACTTCGATGTGCTTGACTTTCGAGCCTCATTGTGTCCGTTTCAACAGTATTCTTATCACAAGGCTTGGTCGGTCAGGATAGAGTGAACCCCGAATTGGTTCAACAAGCCGAGGGCCCATTACTACCCAGAGCGACTCAGTCATAGCCATGTACCGATGTCAAAATTCAATCTTGTTTGCACAGATAAATTCCAAGGTAAAACTTGCAAACAAGAACTAAAAGTATGCTTCGACAGCGTCTCTGGACTACGAAAAATACTGAATGGCAGTGATGGGCTGCTATCACAACTGTTCGATGGTTACAGACATTACTTTGGCGTCTTTCTTGCTTGTTGGACTAAATCTGGCTATCTTCTCTCTCTATAAATCCAAATCCAGCGTCGAGGATACATCAAAAGCTCCACCTATTTGAGTTTTCGGCGGCTGAACATCGGAAGCATGGTCTCTTCTGATACCATGTACGTAACTTCTGCGTTGTTTTTAGCGCCTTGCTTCACGCGTTTGTAACAGAGAAGTCTTTTTTGAATACTTGCCAGAGATATTCGACTGTACTAACCTGCACCACATGATTGCTTAATGCCGCGACACTCATATGGACACGGTGATGTAAGTACGTGGTTGGCGCTTTTTCTTCCAGCTGCATTACAAAGCCTGAATAATTCCCTGAAAAATCCGGGAAATGAATCAGACGATGAGTAAGACGTGGAAATTCTCTCGTACAGTGTCTAATGGACTACTCGACCTTATAAGTGACTGGCGCGTCTCTGTAGAATCAGCACAACAAGATGTCTTCGAAGCCAATCACCTTATACGACATTCCAACCAAGCTTCCTGACGCGCCGGGATCTCCAACGACGTGGCGAACGAGGTACGAGTACGCATCGTATACCTGGTATGGGCCGCTACCTAACCCTATTCACAATAGGTACTCTCTGAACATGAAGAAACTCCCGTACCAAACCGTTTACGTCGAGCTTCCCGACATCGAATCTCTCGCTAAACAGATCGGTGCTGCTCCTACCGGCACTAAACATGACGGAGTCACGCCTTTGTACACGGTCCCCATCATCCACGACCACGCCACGGGAGCTGTCGTATCAGAATCTGCCGCTATTGCAGCGTATCTCGACAAAACTTACCCGTCCGGACCTTCGCTCGTCCCTACTGGTACGATGCCGCTCCAGCTCGCATTCCGTGATGCGGTATCAGACGTCTTTGGTGGTTTTCGCGGGTTCATAATGAAGGGCTTCCTGCCGAATTTGAATGACAGGACGGTCGTGTATTGGAAGTCCAGGTTGGAGGATCAGGGAGTGAATTTGGAGACGTTGTTTAATGGGGACGAGGACGAGGACAAGGCGTGGGAGAAGGCTCTGGCGGGTCTTGCGAAGATTGACAAGTGGTTCGAAGGGAATAAGGGGCCGTTTGTTATGGGAAGCGAGCCGTGTTTTGCGGATGCTGTTCTCGGAGCATTGTTGAGGCATAGTCGGGGTGTTTTTGGGAAAGACAGTAAGGAGTGGAAGGACATCGCTAGTTGGAACGGAGGGAAGTGGGCGAAATACCTGGAGAGCCTCGCGCCGTACGAAGCGATTCTCTGATAAGCACTTGTTGCACACCTTGAGGCCGTTTGTCTGTTTTCACATTTCGATATACAGGATTTGAATTTTGTGGCATTCGTTCGTATCCCTTGGCATATGCGCCAGAGGCAGCATTGAGAATTTTGGAAGTTGAGGATTCTTCTTCATATCACCACAATTTTTTCTAGTACAGTTCACTGAAGCTAACTCAGTACCCCGGTAACATCCTTCCATTCATCTAAAACTTTCACCATTTTTTCGCACTTGCTCTTTACCGCCACATCACCACCAGGCCCAAAGACAAGATATGTGGGCCACTCCTTGCCTTTTGCCTTGCCGTCTCCTCTTACAATGTCCACGATGATCGCCACTGCTAAGTCAGCATCACCTGTGCACCAGCCCCCCTCGAAGAACCCTTGAGCTTGATCACGGGTATCGTCGTATTCTGATATAACGGGACTGGGTGTAGTTGTGAAGGTCCCAGAGGGAGAGGAGAGGGAGAATCAGTGAACGAAGGTGCGGGCGGGACTAGGCAAGATCGACAAGTGGCTCCCGAAAGAGGGCTTTGAATTCGTTATGGGGAGTGAACCATCCTTTGCGGATGCTATGCCGTGTGCGTTTCTGAGGTTTACGAGGGGTATCCTTGGAAGGGAGAGTAAGGAGTGGAAGGAAATAGCGAGCTGGCATGATGGGAGGTGGGGTAAGTTGATGGATAGATTTAGTCGGTAGGAGTAAACAAAATTGGAACCCTAACCCTAGCTTCTATTAACACCTTTCCCATTGATTATCATGTCGACTTTATGGTGAGGATTGGTTTCACAGCCACCAGCAAGACGGCTGTGCCGCTTTTTATTTTACACTATTTTTATTTTTATTTTACCGATCGTTACCGCTACTTGGCTTCGTACCACCACCACCTACGTATCTGTCCACGAATATACGTTCGTTCAAGCCATATCCGCCACGTTCTTTGTGCCTGCCGACACCTATTCCCAACACTTGAGTTTAGAGCCTCGTTTAGTCCATTCCAACAATGTTCTTATCACAAGGCTTGGTTGGTTGGGACAGAGTGAACCCCGAACGGCGAATGGGCTCAACAAACTGAAGGCCCGTTACTACCCAGAGCGACTCAGGCATGGCCAGTACCGAGGTCAAAATTCAATCTTGTTTGCACAGATAAATCCGAGGATAAATTTTGCAAACAAGAAGTAAAAGGCATACTCCCACAACGTCTCTGGACTGCGAAAAATACCGAATGCCAATGATGGACAGCTTCAGCCTATTAGGCTGCTATCACAACTGTTCACATGGCCGGGGACTTTACTTTGGCGTTTTTCTTGCTCGTTGGACTAAACCTGGCTATCTTCTCTCTCTGTAAATCCAGCGCCGAGGATACATCAAAAACTCTACCTATATTTATGAGTTATTGGCGGCTGAACATCGGAACACGCAAGTCCCTTCTGATACAATGTACGTAACTTCTGCGTTGTTTTTAGCGCCTTGTTTCACGCGTTTGTAATAGAGAATCTTTTTTGAATACTTGCCAGAGATATTCGACGTACTAACCTGGCACCACATGATTGCTTGATGCCGCGATACTCATATGGACACGGTGATGTAAGTACGTGGTTGGCGCTTTTTCGCCCCCAAGCTGCATTACAAAGCCTGAATAATTCCCTGAAAAACCGGGAAATGAATCAGACGGTGAGTAAGACGTGGAATTCTCTCGTACGTGTCTAATGGACTACTCGACCTTATAAGTGACTGGCGCGTCTCTGTAAAATCAACACAACAAGATGTCTTCGAAGCTAATCACCTTATACGACATTCCAACCAAGCTTCCTGACGCGCCGGGATCTCCAAATACGTGGCGAACGAGGTACGTGTACGCATTGTACACCGATACGGACGGCCTAACCCGCATGATCATAGGTACTCCCTAAATATGAAAAAACTCCCCTACCAAACCGTCTATGTGGAACTCCCCGATATTGAACCTCTCGCCAAACAGATCGGTGCTGCTCCTACCGGCACTAAACACGATGGAGTCACACCCTTGTACACAGTCCCCATCATCCATGACCACGCCACAGGCGCCGTCATATCAGAATCTGCCGCTATCGCAGCGTACCTAGACAAAACGTACCCCTCTGGACCTACACTTGTCCCTGCCGGCACGATGCCACTTCAGCTCGCGTTCCGCGACGCGGTGGACGACGTCTTTGGTGGTTTTCATGGGTTCATGATCGAGTGCATGCTGCCAAATATGCACGACAGGACAGTCGTGCATTGGAAACCCAGGATGCGAGAGCAGGGAGTGAACTTTGATGCGCTGTTTGATGGGGACAAGGAAAAGTTGTGGGAGAAAGCCCTGGCGGGTCTTGCGAAGTTTGACAAGTGGTTTGAAGGGAATGAAGGACCGTTTGTTATGGGGGGCGAGCCATGTCTTGCGGATGCTTCTCTTGGCGCGTTTTTGAGGTGTAGTCGGTATGCTTATGGGGAGGACAGCAAGCAATGGAAGGATGTTGCTAGTTGGAATGGAGGGAAGTGGGCGAAGTACCTGGAGAACCTCGCGCCATATGAAGCGATTCTCTAATAAGCACTTGTTGCACACCTTGAGGCCGTTTGTCTGTTCTCGCATTTCAATACACAAGATTTGAATTTTGTGACATTCGTTCGTATCCCTTGGCATATACACAGAGACAGCATTGAGAATTTTGAAAGCTGAGAATTCATCTTCACATTACCGCATTATATTTTCTAGTACAGTTGACGGAAGCTAACTCAGTACCCCGGTAACATCCTTCCACTCATCTAAAACTTTCACCATTTTTTCGCACTTGCTCTTTATCGCCACATCACCACCAGGCCCAAAGACAAGATATGTGGGCCACTCCTTGCCTTTTGCCTTGCCGTCTCCTCTTACAATGTCCACAATGATCTCCACTGCTAAGTCAGCATCACCTGTGCACCAGCCCCCCTCGAAGAACCCTTGAGCTTGATCACGGGTATCGTCGTATTCTGATATAACGGGACTGGGTGTAGTTGTGGAGGTCCCAGAGGGAGAGGAGAGGGAGAACCAGTGGGCGAAGGTGCAGGCGGGGCTAGGGAAGATCGACAAGTGGCTCCCGAAAGAGGGTTTGGAATTCGTTATGGGGAACGAACCGTCCTTTGCGGATGCTGTGCTATGTGCATTTTTGAGGTTTACGAGGGGTATCCTTGGAAGGGAGAGTAAGGAGTAGAAGGAAATGGCGAGCTGGCATGATGGGAGGTGGGGTAAGTTGATGGGCAGGTTTAGTCGGTATGAGTAGGCCCCCAGAAGCTCCCACCAGACTTTGTCCGGATTTTAGCATATTTTAGGCCCAAAAAATGCAAAAACTTTGTCCGCAGTTAGCATATTTTGGGTCCAAACGTCGTCGAACAACGTCGAACTTTGTCCGGATGTTAGCATATTTTGGGCTGGTGCTGACGCCATCGCTCTGACATCTGAGCCAATATCAGTCTCGATTTGGATTTCGGACTCCTCTCCGCAATATTTTCCAGGAAAATTCCAACGAAAATTTGTAGTCATGTCGAATACAGGTAAAAACGGACCTCAGTGCTGGCGGATATAGCAGAATCAGACGGCCGGTTCCGGCCCGGGAGGCTCGAAGACGCGACTTTGCCCGAGTTAGCATACTTTGAGCCCCAAAAGTCGCATATTTGAGGTCCGATTTTCGGATTTTTGCCGGACAAAGTTTGGTGGGAGCTTCTGGGGGCCTGTATGAGTAAGTAAAAAATGGAACCCTAACCCTAGCTTCTGTTCACACCTTTCCGATTGACTATCATGTCGACTTCGATGTGCTTGACTTTTGAGCCTTGTCGGTTGGGACAGAGTGGTCCCCGAATGGGCTCAACAAGCCGAGCGACTCAGGTATAGCCAGTACCGAGGTTAAACTTCAACCTTGTTCGCACAGATAAATCCGAAGATAAAGCTTGCAAACAAGAATTAAAAGCATGCTTCGACAACGTCCCTGGACTGCGAAAAATACCGGATGCCAACGATGGACAGCTTCAACCTATTAGGCTGCTATCACAACTACTCACATGGCTGAGGACCTTTGGCGCCTTTCTTGCTCGTTGGGCTAAACCTGGCTATCTTCTCTCTGTAAATCCAGCACCAAGGATACATCAAAAGTTCTACCTATAGTTATGAGTTATTGGCGGCTGAACATCGGAACACGCAGTCCAAGTTCCTGATACAATTGTACGTAACTTCTGCATTGTTTTAGCGCCTTGTTTCACGCGTTTGTAATAGGAAATCTTTTTTGAATACTTGCCAGAGACATTCGATGTATTGAATTGTAGTGCACGAAGCTTCAATGCCGCGACACCCGTATGGACGCGGTGATGTATGTACCCGATTGGCCTTTTGCTTTGTTACATTACAAAGCCTGAATAATTCCCAGAAAATCCGGGAAATGAATCAGACGATGAGTAAGACGTGAAAATTCTCTCGTACAGGTCTAATAGACTACTCGACCTTATAACTGACTGGCGCGTCTCTGTAGAATCAACACAACAAGATGTCTTCGAAACCAATCACCTTATACGACATTGCAACCAAGCTTCCTGACGCGCCGGGATCTTCAACGACTTGGCGAACGAGGTACGAGTACACATCGTATACTGGTATGGGTACACTAACCATTATCGCAATAGGTACTCTCTGAACATGAAGAAACTCCCGTACCAAACCATTTACGTCGAGCTTCCCGACATCGAATCTCTCGCCAAACAGATCGGTGCTGCTCCTACCCGCACCAAACCCGATGGAGTCACGCCTTTGTACACGGTCCCCATCATCCATGACCACGCCACAGGAGCCGTCGTATCAGAGTCTGCCGCTATCGCGGCGTATCTAGACAAAACGTACCCGTCTGGACCTACGCTCGTCCCTACTGGTACGATGCCGCTCCAGCTTGCATTCCGTGATGCAGTAACAGACCTCTTCGGTGGTTTCCGCGGGTTCATGACTAAGGGCTTCATGCAAAATTTGAACGACAGGACGCTCGTGTATTGGAAATCCAGGTTGGAGGAGCAGGGAGTGAATTTTGAAGCATCGTTTAATGGGGATGAGGAGAAGGAGAAGGCGTGGGAGAAGGCTCTGGCGGGCTTTGCGAAACTTGATAAGTGGTTCGAAGGGAATGAGGGGCCGTTTGTTTTGGGAAACGAGCCGTGTTTTGCGGATGCTGTTCTCGGAGCGTTTTTGAGGTCTGGTCGGAGTGCTTTTGGGAAAGACAGTAAGGAGTGGAAGGACATTGCTAGCTGGAACGGAGGGAAGTGGGCGAAGTACTTGGAGAGCTTCGCACCCTACGAAACGATTCTTTGACGAAGTTTGAATAATATACGCGCTTTTCCTTATCCTAAGTCCGTTTTCCATTTGTGTGATCTCAAATCAATCGATGCATGGTAATCGAATTGTTGTTCTGTGGTTCTAGCTCATGTCTTGGCGTAAACTGCTATCTGACAACTGACTCGCTGGAGATAAAAGAGAGCGTTAATGATCTGGGCGAGCTGGCATGATGGGAGGTGGGGTATAAGTTGATGGGTCAGAGTAAAAAAAGAAACCTTAACCCTAGGCTACATTACACTTCTTACGGACTAACTGCCATGTTGGTTCAGTCAGTTTCATGCAGTCCGGTCCAATCTCACCTGCATAGGTGAATACAAACGACTCAATTTTTCAACCAGTGAAAATGTGTTCTTGGATCCACTCGGGGACCTATGGTGGCCAATTTCACGAACTACTGCTTTCTTATAGAACCACTCTCAGCCGTGGACGTAACGCTGACATGATTCAAAGGTCTGCTATCTTCTTCTGCTTCTAAACGTCATTGCTAAGAGTTTTTTTAGGCGAATATCAGGAAGTGTATAACAGCCCCCAGCTCACGAGTGTGCTGTTTAATTATCGGAGAACAAAATCCAGACCTTTGATCAACTTCTGATAGAACGTACGTTACCTTCAGTTCATTTTTAGCATCTCATCTCACACATTGTTCTCTGATAGTAAACTTATACTTATTCTGAACTCCCTTCAGGTAGATTCACTATGTGCTCTACAATAATTATGGCATCTCTGAAGTACACAGTCTCTCGGTGGTCACCTCTTTACGTCCCTCAAGATGTGTTACAAAGGCATGAGTAATTAATTCCCTGGCCGACCGGAAATGACTCAGATGACTTAGTAAGAAGAGATTGTCAATTCTCACACAATTCGTACGTATAGAATGGACTACCTGATCATATAACTGACTGGCGCGTCTTTGCAGAATCGACACGACACAAGATGGCTTCACACACAATTACCTTCTACGACATACCAACCAAGCTTCCTACGAATCCGGGAAGTCTGAATACATGGCGAGCGAGGTATGCGTACGCGCTGTACATCGATAAGGGCAGTCTAACCTGTATGACAATAGGTACGCCCTAAATATGAAAAAGCTCCCCTACCAAACCGTCTATGTCGAACTCCCCGATATCGAACCTCTCGCCAAACAGATTGGTGCTGCTCCTACTGGCACTAAACACGATGGAGTCACGCCCTTGTATACGGTCCCCATCATCCAAGACCACACCACAGGCGTCGTCGTATCAGAATCTGCCGCTATCGCGGCGTATCTAGACAAAACGTACCCGTCTGGACCTACACTTGTCCCTGCCGGCACAATGCCACTCCAGCTCGCGTTCCGCGACGCGGTAGACGATGTTTTTGGCGGTTTTCGTGGGTTCATGATCGAACGCATACTGCCAAATTTGAACGATAGGACAGTCGTGCATTGGAAGTCCCGGTTGCGAGAGCAGGGAGTGAACTCTGATGCGCTGTTTGATGGGGACAAGGAAAAGCTGTGGGAGAAGGCTCTGGCGGGTCTTGCGAAGTTTGACAAGTGGTTTGAAGGGAATGAGGGACCGTTTGTTATGGGAAGCGAGCCGTGTTTTGCAGATGCTGCTCTTGGCGCATTTTTGAGGGCTAGTCGGTATGCTTATGGGGAGGACAGTAAGCAGTGGAAGGACATTGCTAGTTGGAACGGAGGGAAGTGGGCGAAGTACCTGGAGAGCCTCGCGCCGTACGAAGCGATTCTCTGATGAGCACTTGTCGTACTCCTTGAGGCTGTTTGTCTGCTCTCACATTTTCGATATACCAGGATTTGAGTTTTGTGGCACTCGTTCGTATCCCTTGGCTTATACGTCAGGAGCAGCATTGAGATTTTTGGAGCTGAGGATTCTTCGTATTTTTATTTCTACAATGGACTGAAGCTAACTCAGTACCCCGGTAACATCCTTCCACTCATCTAAAACTTTCACCATTTTTTCGCATTTGCTCTTTACCGCCACATCACCACCAGGCCCGAAGACAAGATACGTGGGCCACTCCTTGCCTTTTGCCTTGCCGTCTCCTCTTACAACTGTCCACAATGATCTCCACTGCTAAGTCAGCATCACCTGTGCACCAGCTCCCCTCGAAGAACCCTTGAGCTTGTTTACGGGTATCGTCGTAATCTGATATAAGGTTATCCAGATATAGAGGCTGGGAGAGTATTTGCTCTGTGACAAGCGCGGCGGGCTCCACGATGAGTACGCGAATACCCAGAGGCGCAACCTCGGTAGCTAGGGTCTCGCTGAAGGCTTCAGGAAATGCATTAGCATCATCCTTATATAACATACGTAAAAGCATACCGCGAACAGCTGCTTTGGACGAGGAATATGGAGCTGTAATCCGTGCTCGTAAGTGTTCCTGGTCACTGTTAAGTAGTTATATCACTGGAACATGCCTGTCATCTATATCAACGAACATATCAGTCACCTTATCTGGCCCGACAACTCGGTAAGTACAGATAAATAACTTACAGGAACTCTCTCGGGTGCCCACGAAGATCGGCTACCTATTTGGACAATTGTTCCTGACCTTTGCGCTCGCATCGCAGGAAGTACTGCGGTCGTCACGTCTATGACGCCAAACACATTAGTCTCGAATTGCTCCCTGAACAGCTCAGACCTGCGGACATCAGCTCCGGTCGTATCGTCCCGTAAAAAATGACTCACCCTCCCTCTTCGAAAATGGCCTTCACGCCGATCCCCGCGTTGTTAACACAGACATCGATACGGCCCCATACAGCAACGGCCTGGTCGACTAACAGACTTGATGGACCTTATATCCACTGGTCACGTCTAGCTCCAAAGTATGTACACGATCTGTCGACGGAAAGAGCCCGTCGAGCTTGGATACGGTACGCGCCGTGGCAATGACACGGTCCCCCCGAGCCAGAGCTGAGAGAACGAGGCGTTTACCAAGCCCAGAAGAGGTACCTAACACAAAGAGATGTTGATACGACGCTCAGATGAATAGATGCTACATACCTGTGATAAACCATACGAGAGATGACGGGGAGGACATTTTCAAGATCGACTTTCGTATGACTCCTGTAATATATACGCTTGCCAAGTCAGATCCGGGAGCGAATGATAGCCGTCAGGTCCTGCTGAGTGATATGACGAACAGGTTCTGGACCAAATTTCCTAGTTTTTCTTTTGACAGGAATTTTGAGGAATAGGTGGAGAGCCGGCCCTAAGTGGAGCACAGGCACAGCCTTATGCTTTAGCCGATCGATTATCACTTGGCAAAGGCAGTATCTACGCAAATAATGAATGTTAGATATCTGCAGATGGAAAGCAGAGAGAAACTAGCATAGTAATCAAAGAACGCGTATGGCCTTGGTTCCAATAAACCATAAGTCTACGTCCTCTTTTGTTCATCTGTCTAGAAGCACGGAATTACGGATTTTAGTTAATAGTGCTTTCGTCAGGATTTCCACTGCATAAGTCGCGTCCAAGTGTGAATCTTGTGGTTGTGGTAAGCGACAAGCAGATCTTCGCACGATTTCCGAGCCGATACACAACCCTAACCCTACAACAAGACAATGCCAAAAAAATGTGTCTTCAAAGACTTACGCGTAATCCCTCTCGGATTGTCTGGCGGGAGTGCTCAGACATTGCATCCCCGTCGACTCATGATGTAGATGAAATTTCAAATTTCAAATTTCATTCTGAATTCTGAATCACTGCCTACATGCGTGCCTACAACTTTCCGTACAGTCGCCTCAGGACAAAATGTCGACTTGCTGACATCAGCCCTACACTGAGGATAATTGCGCTTCCTGTGACCAGAATGATACTGATTTAGCCGCTCGAAGATTATCATAGAAAAAAATCAAAGACCTACCTGCATAATACCCGACAGCCTCAAATCCTCCAGTGGCGGTATTGATAGAACCAGAAATCGGCGGTCCTACCAAGGCACCCACAGCAAGGATACTCATCATCATGCCCACTCGCCGGCCCACATCGGCGGTGTCCCCGAATTCAATGATGGGGGCACACAGGAGGGAGACGAAGGAACCTGAAGTGAATCTAGTGAGCCTATCAGCTAGAGATGGTAACGTCGAGGCATATAAGATGGTACCCATAGATGACAGCGATGATAATTAGCGAATTTTGGTTCTTCGCGAAAGGCCATGAGTAGGTGATAATGGCAGACGCCGTAGTGAATGGAATCATCACGTTCATGGCTCCTGGTCCCCGGTTAGAATTAAAAAAGCCCGAAAGCAGGTTCGACCAACCAATCTTATCTCCGAGTAGCCCGGCAAAGTATCGTCCAAAGCCCGAAGCACAGTTGGCTATCGAAACCTAGATAGAAAGAGAAATCCTCCGGTACACCGACTTTAGCTGCACTGACGTCGATATAAGTCAAAACTGGGTAATTAATCAGTAGTGAAAGTCAGAAGAAACAGAGTAGGCATACCAGTGTAAATTCCGAGGAAAGACGTTAATGTAGATACACAATAAAGGGAGAAAGGCGCGGACTTGAATTCGCGGAAATTGAAGAGACCCCCGTGTACGTCGGTAGGTGGAAAACGGCGTTTCATCAGCTGGGAACATCAAGGATGAATATGAGATAGTCAAGAATAGATGAACACCGACCAGATTACCTAGGCCGAGGCCCAGCAGAAGAATCAGTGCCATGATTCTCATGGTCCATTTGAACCTTTCGTATACCATTGAATAAAACAGGACAGAAACGACCGCATTTATAATACACACCCTACGATAGGTAACAGATTCCTGGTTGCAATGGGTATGACGGTCCCGCCCAGAGACGAGCCCACTGCCATCAACCCCAGGGCGAACCTTAACCTCTTCTTGAACCAATGAGAAAGCACCGCGGTTGTAGGGTTCATGATTCCTCCGCACGCGAGCTAAGTATTTGATCTGCGTCAGTACGTCTACGAAGAGACGCGAGTGAATGGTACCGACTCCAACGGCGAATCCCTGGCACAGCAAGAGCTGCCAATACTCGTGACATTCGGCTATCAACAGCGTTGCGCCCACTAGTAGTAGGCTACATGCGGCGAAGAGAGGGTGGAAGTATCCCAAGTCAAAGAGCCGACCTGCGAGGAGGCCGGGCAAAAACACCAGCGAATACTGATCAAGGGTTAGGAGATAGGTTGAGAACGCGAGGCATAGTCTTCTTCTACCTGAATGGAACCGATCCAGGCTCTAGAAAGGCATGGTCACTCAATGGCAAGCTCGGTGTTTAATCATGAGGGCTCACATGTCCGACGGTGGAGTGTCCTTCAATATATTCGTTTGGTAGTAGGATTGAAAGACCTGAAAAAGGTCAATATGAAGGTCAAGCGCACGACCGGGAGATATTAATGCCGGACTCACGCCCCATGAGTTGACGTATCCAAACCTTTCAATAGAGTTGTTAAATCAGTTCCAGAAGTGAAGTCGGTATAGACAGGACCATATCCTAGAAGGCGCTCACGTCGTAAAATTATTGCACATCGACTGATGGAAAGGAAGCGAAGGAAAGGTCAGCATGGTGAAATACTGAATTCGACCAAGCAAGACCTACCCCAGCAACAACCAGCCAGGCTCGCAAACCGCCATCGGGATACTCGTCCAGAACACACTTAACTTCTGAGGACTCTTCGATAGGTCTTGATTCAATGCTTTCTGAACTTAGGGTAAACGTGCTGGAAACCGCGATATTTTCAGCGGCCTCAGAGAGAGTCTGGGGCGATGTAGACATCGCAGAAGTGGGAAAGGCGTTGAGGTAAATTGCTAGTAAGTCTGTTGCACAAATTTCTGGGTTTTATTCCACCGAGTACAGCCTGCCGGTCATCAGGACGATTACCGTCGATTAAACCAGTGTACGAGGCAAAAACTGGAGTAGACGTTAAAGGAGTAACAGTAGGATTTCCGGGATTCAGATTGGAAGCGGAGAGGCTGGATATGCCGATAAAGGTTCCTTGTTCATGGCGGTCACCAAGTATTTCCCAGTAGCCTTGGCTCCGTATGACATTGAATCACTTTTCCGGACAGTTCGTGACCGTATCCAGGTGCCAGGTGCAAATTATCCTGTAGAAGAATACCTGTTAGTCTCGTTTTTAGTGCAAGGACGGAATGGCGTTACGACAGGGATCCGCTTTTTGGGTCATGGTATCACTTGTCTCGGTCTGCTTTCCGGTTACCCATGCTGAAGGCTGGTAGTAATTGACCAGTACATCGTTCAGTGGAATTATTTGATTACCGCACCGGGGCTGTCGGCGGCCGTCGGCGATACCGTCTGAGATTTACCCTCCATCGACCAGTGATACGCAGAAAATATTAAAGAAGGCTTAGATAAAGATCGCCCTGTAATGATGCCTGTAGAAAGAGAGCTCAGGTCCACAGCCGCTTCCAAAAACGATTAAGGAATATGCCAGACCTAGAAGAGCCTTGATTGGGCATAACCTCCATCTGTCCGGTAGTCTTTCGTGAGAGCTGCAGTGCAGAGAAGTGCAGGGAGAGAATTCTGTCACAGACCGCCCTGAATACAGCAAGCATGTCATGGATCCAAGCGATAAATGAAGCAGCAACAAGTATACTTCCACACTAGAACGCCGTCCTCTCAGTACAAACCGTTCGTGGAATCTTCCCACTGGGAACCTCAGTAAGTTTCATTTCGGCATTTTGTACTCCTTGATGTAGGGCAAGAACCGGAAGCTATTTTGGTATGTACAACACGGATGCAGATCCGCCACGCAAACAGAAGACGTACGTAGTCTTTTCTATCCGGCATTCCAAAGCTACGCGAAGTCATCAGCATCGCGTTTGACATTGTCTAGTAGAAGACATACCGGAAATGCAAGTACGCTACGAGCGGTATAGAATCTAACCAGCTTCGGTTTGAGGGTGTCGCTGATTTCAAGTACTGCAGTGTGATACGGAGAATTAGCTTTTCGTTGTCCTATAAGGGAATGCATCAATTGGCTCATGCCGTTTCCTTCAAACGATAGCAAAGTCCCTGCCCGAAGTCAATCGTCTTGGTTAAACACAACACATTCAGGATTTGATATTTGCTATCAGAAAACATTGACACGGGTGACATTGAAGGGAACCGCCAGTGCATCAAGACGACCGGGGAAGGCGCTCCGTGATGCTAGAAACTGGCTTCTTTGAGCCATTGATGATCGGAACGCAGAAAACCAAGGCGCGACAAGGACGAGCGCTCCGCCGTTTTCCCCGAACATGATCAGCATACATGGTAGAACAGGGTTGGACGACGAATTACATCTTGGATTCATCAAGATAGGACGAAACCTGAGGAGGGGCGAATCATTTCGGAAAGACAGTCATGTTTTCGGAGGTTGCATGGCTAGCAAGCCTTGTTTGGAGCGTGCCGTATGGATCATGCTCCGCCTTCCGCCGTTTCCGCCCCTCGCTCCCTTCTCCAACCATTCTCTTCGAGATCCACGCCACATGCATATGAACGTGTCCATACTTATACTGATTTCTTCCCGTATGAATTCTCCCTTCTCTATCCTCAGATCGGATGGTATGTGTCCAAGGTAGCATTTCGCATCCCCTGGCAACTCCGACTTGACCTTGCTCTCGTACACTGGCATCCTCAGGGAAGTCTATTGATAAAATCACGACCAGAGAAAAGATTAAGGGAGGTTTCAAATACTGCGTCAAAAAAGGCGAGCGGATCGGCCACTGTCCTGATGGGTATCAGCAGTAGATAAGCTTCGGTGCAATAGTCAAGCAGTGTAGGCGAGTCGAGGACGACAGCGAATGGGATGAGAACGGTGAAGGAGTCTGCCATCATGATTTGTGCTGGCAGGGTCTACGACCGGCTCCCTACACGACTATGGAGCTGCGGTCGTAAGCACCGCATCATCCAGCAGGCAGGTGTCACTGCAATATCGGTTGGTTACTTGAAAGGTGCGAGCAATGAAAGGAGCCACCTTGCTTCTCCGGAGATTGGCTACATTGTATGAAATGGAAATGATTCCAGTCATATAATGGGGACTGTCAGGCAACCGAAAGCCAGAAATCCTCGCCAGTACCTTGCATGAACCATCTGGTGACAGCAAGTTTCATTACTCGGGCCCTACGAAGCTGAGGCGGACACGCTGCGTGGTTCAAGTTTGTACGGATGTCAATTCGATGGCTTTTCAAAACGAAAGTGTGTATTACTTTTCCGTAATCAAACTCATCGAAGTGGGCGCTTAAGTTGAAAAGAGCATTCGGCAAGGTAGACGTTCCCGTATGGAAATGCAGACGGAGGAAAAACATATTGAGATATGAGTGGTGGCGGTAAGAATATGGAAGAGGTGTCGGCGTTTTAATTGAATTTGGCCGAGGGCAGCCTGTTGTGAACTTTGGTGGGGAGGTCGTTTGGAGTTCATTGCTCACACCACTTCAAAGCGGTCCAGTGTGGAGAGAATTAAAAGGCGTTTCCTAGCCGTCTGCATGCGGCCGCTGCTGGTAATGGAGTACCGCGGCCGGTGTCCAGCGCTGCGCCACACCAGACGAGATTTCAGCCCTAGGAGTGACATAAGACAATGTATTTCCCCTCCTAACCATATTTCCATGGAAGGTATCCTGAATATAGTATTGCCTGAAGACCGCCCGTAAGGATAAACGGGCGCCTATTCCACCCATCCACGTCCGAACTTCGGTTAAAAGTGTAAAGTGACATTGATGATTGAGTCGAGTCGCGGCGATTGGAAGGAAACATGTTCCCGACAGTTGTGGATTCGTTGCTCCAGAACCAGTGGCCCTAGGTGAGCGTTCAGGCGAAACAGAACGAAGATACGCATCACCCGGACGTAAAGATAGTCTAGACTTTGCGATGGTACGCGGGGCAGGTATGTATCAAAGTCAGATCTGCGCCTCATGCTACGGCGTTCGGTCACCATGAGAACCTTCGCTCTCCGGCCCATCTTCGTCAGAACTTTGCCGTATCTGCGGTCGAGGACTTTGTTCGAGGAGGGTATACGCGGTTGCCACGTATTCCTTAGAAAATTCTAAAAAACGTTCAGGCTTCCGGTTAGGGATCAAGACGGTCGGTAAATCTGCGTTTTTACCGTGAGGGATACTGGAAATGGCATCAGCAGGTGGCAGGATGAATCATGGAAAGATGAGATATACAAGATAGTAGAAACTTCTGCCTCCACATCTTGGGTGTAGGTCTTCCGAAACGCAAAAGCCTGAAGACCGGTATATTTTCACACGACTTCGAGGATAAGATCGAATAAATCCTAATAGATTTTCGATACCTCTAGGAGAAACTAAGGATCAAATCTAAGGAACGACGAAGCGACTCACTCACCTCTGGCGAACGCAAACGCAGTAATTTACTTGTATCTACGTTTTGTTGGTTCGATAAACCGTGAAAATATCGCGCTCCACCTTCATCCGGCTGTACGTGCCTTCAGAAGGTGCTTAAGACCAGGCATTTGAGATGAATGTCGTCTGAACGCGATTTGGTTGTTTTGTCGTGAGCAAGGGGGTCTTGTTACAAGTCGACAGGCAAGAGAACGCAGGATTTCATGAGATAATGTCGGGGAAATGGATGGACACAAGTATTTTAGAGAACTGTTGGTGCAATTTGTTGGCGGGTGAAGGCTGACGAAGAATTCAAGGACCTACCAGGTACTACTACCGTTCCTCTCCCAGCAGCCACTACGAGCTTGCTGCCCACTAGCCAGGGTTACGAGTCAAATTCGTAAGGAATGACGCTTATACAAGTCGGCATTAGAAATGTACAGAGGACCTTACAGGCGTCCTTGCGATGGCGACGGTACAGGTAAGCAGAAAATAGATGTTGGTGGTTGTTAGGTTAGGGTTAGGTCCAGACCCCGCTGTGGTCGGCCCGCCGCGGGGGCGCCACCGTGACCGTGACGCGTCCGGTTATCCAAAGCTTAAACTTTGCGCGAGCTATTGAATATTCACCTATGGCACCTCAGCAAAGGCGATCCAAGGGTAAGTTGCAACAGAACGCTGGTGTTTTTTCTCTTCTTTCCACAGACTCAGCTATATTGATGAACGATCTCACGAGAAATTTAGGACCTGGAAACAATTTTGCGCTGGTTTTGCAACTTACATTCACTTTCAGTGAAAATGGACTGTCATCTGGTCGTTTTTATCTGCTGCATGGCGCTTTTCTTGGGTCATCCGCAGAGACCTTACCATGACTCTGGCGAAAGATGAGAAACTATGGTTCGTAACTTGAAGGCTACCACCAATACTCAGGTAAGACGGCCTTCGGATAGTTACTTCATGCACGAAGAACCGAACGAAACACAAGTCTGGCTTGACATGATGGTAGTTCACAACCGGATTGGACGCAGAGGTGCACCTTCTCTGGTACATCATCCAATTGTTTAACGGGAGCTTTACTGACCTTCAGTCTTCCCAGAATACTACCAACCCTTGGGGTCCCGGAACTTCCTCGCACAAATGGAAGAACCTGAGTGAACGTACGCCTCGTTTACAAGACCAGAATAGTGTCCAATCCATTTCAATGTCGATGCATGCTACGGGTAGGCATTCTTTCCATACCTCAACGGCGTGGAGTGTCATTCTACCTCCAGAATAGCACTTGCACTATACTAGAAGCCCACTAGGCTACCGCTTATTTCTGAAGTGACGTTCCCACGTTTCGCCAAGCCATTTCCTTCATTGGTCGCTAGTAATAGAAGACTCGGGCATGATTGGATGATCCTTCAGGATGGCACAGTCTAGAATGATCATTAAATCAAAAGCAAGACTCTACCACGATCTCGTTTTTCATTTCTGCGAGCTACGCAAGCCTCCTCCCCAGCTAGAAACGCCTATTCGAATCCTCCTCCTCCCCTCGTAATACTTACGTTACGTTTTGACTGTTATTTGTATAGGTGTACAGTATCACCACTTTTCAAACGTAAGAGGCTGCGCTACAAAGTTCTCGGGCATGTGCTACTGAGCTCGCCGCTCCTTGGAATCTTGGAACAGAGTCCCATCCGGATCACCCCTAGCGGGCATCTATCACCTTTCCCTTTACTCTGATGAAACGCTAGGAGGAGGGGTTTTTATAAACGGAAGAATTGACTGGCCCGCATCACGGGGCTGATCACAATGATTCCTTTTCGCATGAAATGCGAGGCAAAACAGTCTTTCTCGTCTCAGACGCCTCAGACAATCATGCCGTTATCCTGCGGCTGCATTCCATGTCCTGAATTGACAGCTGTAGCTAATATGTAGATGGAAGGTAGAGGCGTATGATACTTTCGAAAAGGAAGATTAGCCACGAGATGTAATGGGGTGGGGATATACGTGAATAAAATAGTCCATTGAATGATATTGAGTACAGAATGAGTGAGTGAATGATAACAATACAAGTCTTGAAAACGAAGATGAATGGTCTGCGAAAGATGATTGTCCTGATGCCATGAATATGAATGATTAAATGGATTTAGATGTCGTTGCGTTTGACTATGGTCATCAGCCCCGGTACACTCTTCGCGCAGTCGAGTGAGACAGGTCGGTGAGGATCCGGATGTGATGAACGTGCAGCGGAGGCAGAATAGCGTATCTGAGGACAAGATTTAGTCCTGCGACGACAGTTGAAGCTTGGCAAAACATACCTGGACTTTAAATGTTCCATTTGGCCGATTCTTCGGTTCGCGTATCGTGCATGTCCACCTAAAATTCCATTGAGCCACAAGAATCAAGCCATGTATACTAGGGAACATACCTCTCATCAACAAGCACATTGCCGCCTATATGTTCTGCAGTCTCGAGTAGAACGCCCCGCGACGCGCGCAGGAGCAATTTGACATTGACAGCACCAAGGCAGATGAAGGTGTCCGTTACCTCCATAGGCTCTCGTTTCTGGCACTCCATCCCTTCCTCCACACCAGGGTGCGATTGTGGCGCATCCCCAGAAGATGACTCGATACAATGCGCCGGGCCGTTCCGTCGCATCTTGACAAAGAGATTAGCGACCTTTGCAACAGATGTTGGTCGGGGTGCCGATGGTGGGGTAGGGGAAGGTGGCTCGGTGTTGCTTGTGCGTAGAGAAAGGCTGATCATCGTAGAAAAAGGTCGGGGTGAAAAAGTAAAGATGAAAGAAAGAGTAAAGGGTATATATATAAGACGCGAAATGATGCAACGTGTACCGCACGACTTCTTACAGGGTCGTGATTTGCTCCTTGTCTCATTAGGCGCTCGGAACCCTTTTCCGCCGCGATAAACAGAGTGACTTGGATCGAGGTTGCTATTCTTATGCTATCAGACACTCACGCTAGGACGGAAAGGGGATATGTCACGGATGGAGACACTGACCGAACAGCAAAAGAGTCCGAGAAGCTCCCACATTTCAATCTCAGCGATCTTTGAGGCGAACTCTCTGCGATAAGTTACATACATGTATAACTTGAATACTGGGGGTCCCGCAATCAGCACTGCGGAAGACTTAGAGAGCAACGGTGTGACCCTTCCGCTACCACGGCTTCGAATTCCCACGATAACTCTGGACCTTCACGAATTCAATGACGGTACATGTAGATCTGCGCAGTAGAGCACAGGAGGCGACCAGTGATACTATCATGCACGTTCACCTCTGCCTCCTATTGCACAATTTGAACTGAGAACACGGTTCGTGGAGCCACGTATGTGAGTGACGCCGCAGCCCTTCACATCTGAGTCCCATGCACTATGGCGCCACGATAGCCACATTACTAGCCTGCAAAGTTCGTCCGTCAATAGTGGAAATGAACGCGGAAGACGGAGTCGCATGACAAACTACTCGTTCGGTCCAATATGGTCGGCGATGATGGTCGATATTCGGGCCGCAATATCCGTGATCACCTCAAACTGGGGTTTGGCCGCTGGTGCTTATAACCGGAGTGATACTAACGGGCGGAACGTCCAGGTGAGAAACCCATACTTGCATACCACTTGCTTGGTCCGACTGACGGAGGTTGCTACCAACCCCGAAGGTTGGTCAGTGTCGAAGCAAGTTATCGTCTCACGAAGCGGAAGGCGCCTATCATGATTCTACAAGCGCAGTAAATGAACGTCAATGAGTGGAGATTGCATGATGCACTCTTCACGATAGATCACGTTGATCCGCTATCCATGGACAACCAAGATCTTGATGTTCCTTGTAGGTCCCAGGCACTAGACGTAGACCAATTTTGACACTTGTAGAATGCAGAAGACACTCCATATCCGAGTAGAAAACAGATCAAACGCGCCGATTAAAAAATGGGTTTGTGGAAAACATCCCGGAGAATTGTCTTCCATGGAACGAATAAAAAAGATTACCACTATCGGGTGAGCCAACTTTACGTACCCCCTCGTTGAGAACCAGAGGGTCCTCAGAAATGGCATGATCAACGCGGTCGTTCCTAGAGAAATCGGGATGACGTCCCATATGCGTTCAAACGCCATTGTCCTAGTTCTCATTAGCCGGCGCCACAGGACCTATGGGAAGGCCTGGCGGTTGTTTCGAGAATGGAAGTCCATAATCGGGGGACTAGGCAACAGAGGAGGCGGCCCATGCGGAGCAGGGGGAAGTGCGGGACAGAGGAGTCGGTCCAATATACTGTTCTACGACTTGGATACGGTCTCGAATCGAGGACATCGGAGGCGTACATCGCAACCTCGTCTACATTCGAGATTCTGTTGTCGCGGATAGAATGTCGCATTTCTCCAGGTGTCCAGCGTGAAACACATGATTTGGACCATATCTTCGTCCTTGCCTGATTTTGATGCCGCGTAGGCGGAAGGTCTAGAGCATGTACTTAGTAGAAGAGAGTAGCGTGGCATCAGCAGCCTGGTATTCGGATCGGTAAGTATATGTGTCAGAGCTTATGGGTGTTAACGTCCTTCTGGTCGCAAGAGGTTATGACAGAGTAGATTCTGCAGTCGGAGAAGGAACGATGAGATATCCAAGCGATATAAGAGATGTGATAATAACCCTTTCAACATATTGTTCGGTATTCGCTGTTAGCGAATAGTACTCTGAAGAGATTGCGACGCATTTGACCGTAGGCTTGATAAATGTGTTGTTCTTGAACGTTTTTGAACCAGCATTCGGTCTGTATTTTCGCTGGACGGAGATACGAGAGATCAAGATTAAAATGTGAATATATACTACTTTAGCGTGAGAGGTCAGAGCGGCTATTGGCAATGGTCCATTCCACCTGGCTTCTAGGATCCACGTAGGCTGGCTTGAGTAGTCTCCGAAGTCGTAATAACGGGTTGTAAGCATACATCTTGCACAAGGTCCCACAATCGTCTTCAAGTCGTCTACAACCTGTGGTCTTGGTCAATCCATTCGGTCTGCAGCATTCAATGGATACTGAAAGTGTCCCAGGCAGCTTCATTCCATATGAAATGTGCTGAAAACAGTGATATATGAGATAGATCGCTCCCGTACAGCACCACTTTTAGCTGAAAGCTAACTCATATGTATCCAGTTTCCCCAAGACCTCGATACCAAGCGATGCTGATACCGATATGTCGTAGAAAACAGAGGGGAGAATTAACCAGGTCATTTGTGAGATTTGACGAAGGAAGCAGTCGGTGCGCGCCCCTGTAGGAAGAGTAAGGAAAGCGCGTCAACGGCACGTGACTCTCGTCATGCCGCGGAGGAATTATTTATGTCAAAATTTGAAATTAATAATTAATTTTACTCGTCTCCGGCCGGGGGACGTCTGGCAACATACCACCTCCACGTCTACTCATTTTCTTCCTGTTACCCTGCTCATGCTTTCCCTTTCTTGACGTATCGCACAAAAAAACCCGCTGGATATCCTGAAACTTCGTTGGACGCAAATAAGATACCTGTACGTCAGAATTGACTTTCATTTGCTTACCATTCTCAAACGAGATATTCAGCTCTCCTGTGCAAAATGTCAAACATCGAGCTGAACCGACTACGGTCAAGTCCCCACCCAGACTCTCGTTTCCTGACCGAAGAGCCGCAGGACATACATGATATATTCATCCACTCCAACGCGTCCTATCTACCCGACGGCCGACCCGGACAACATCCGTCCACCATGGAAGCGTGACCTGCACGCCCTGCTCGAACAGCCGAACATCGTCAGCGGGGGCATTTCCTCATACATGTCCTCATGACATTCCTGATCGTTCTGTCCTGCCATCGTAACGGTGATGGAAACCGTCCCAGCGTTTCACTCGATATCAACACGGGTCTGGTTTGGCTTTGAGACAAGTTTGGTAGCATTGTTTACGGTGGAATATGTTGCGCGGTGTATAGCATGGAGTGGTTCATGGATGAGTTTGCTGAGGTGGATGGTATGTGAGTAAATTGCGTTCTTGCTTTGTCATGGTTTCGCTCATGAGGTGTAGCTTTCTACGGGATAATAGACTTATTGTCAGTGTTGCCTTATTATATAGAGATTATCCTACAGCAAGACACAGTGAGTGTCCTTCTATCTGAGCACTTCTGCAGGCAGGCTCACAGCACTAGTAGAGTGTCTTCTTTAGATTCTCCATTCTTCGGAATGTTCAGATTACTCCGAGTTTTTAGACCTTTCAAATACAACCACACTATCCTTCTGTGCGTCATATCAACTCTCCAAAGACTAAACGCTAATTTTCATATAGAACCATAGAAGTGATGTTCCTCTCGGTCCGGAGATCCCAGCACTGCGCTGTTGGCAATTGGGATTCTTTGTGATTATGTTAATGACCATCTTCAGCACTCTTCTGTGAGCCCGACAATATTCTTTGCTAGTGCTGTACTGATACCATCAAAGGATACTTTATCGAACGTGGCACCTGGGATACCACACTAGAGACATTTGTCAACTCTGACGGTGACCCAACGCAGTTCGCATCTATACCTGCTGCAGCCTGGTTTGTCATCGTCACAATATCCACTGTCGGATACGGCGAGATTACCCCTCGCTCTTTCCTCGGTCGCCTCGTCACATTGCCTTTACTCGTCTTTGGCTTGCTCCTCATCGCTCTCCCCAGCTTTGTTCTGGGACGGGAATTCAGTATCGTCTGGGAAAAGATGACTGAGAACCAGCGTCAGCCAATTGACGAGCTTGATATCGTTGACTCGCCCACGCTGACGAGACCGCTGTTCAGTACAAGTAGTGCATCGAGCGCAAGTGGCAGTTCAAAGAAAAAAGATCTGTCAAACAGGAAGCTCGCGCAAAATCAGACGGAGTTGAGCAGGCAGATCGAGCAGCTGAGTGCGACCGTAGAGGCGCAGGGTGCGATGATTCAGCGGTTATTGCAGGTGATGGACAAGGGCAAGCAAAGGGAGCAGCGATAACGACGAGGATTACAACGTTCTTGTGGTATCTGGAATTCGCTATATCAACGTTATTTGAGACGAAGTAACTGTTTTGTGATGAGCTGGTCAAGCGTCTCGCTTGCTAACAAATGGATTTAGGAAAGTAATTGATTCTTAAGCAAACTGTGCATCATCAGCTTCATCGAAGTGGTGCTTCGTAACGGAAGTGAGGAATCGATCAACCATTAAGCAATTCCACCTGATTGCTGATCATGTTTTCATAGCGTAGATGAATATCAGATACATAAACAGCCGTATCTTCATACTCAGAAGTTCCCACTCGGTCGAATGATGTGTCGGTGATGGGTTGAAAGTCCGAATTGGTCTTTAATAATACTCCATGAATGCATGTCCTTCATATTAGTCGGACCTACGAGTTTCTCTCAATGTTCCGGGGTGCTCACCCATCACTTGTAACAAGTCAATGTCTCCACGGATCGAGCAAATTCACGTCGGCATCTAACAGCGATCAGAAGGTGTTCGTTCTCGATATGTTGGCATGTTGGCGTGTTAACCGCGTTGCTCCCACGGGGATGCTCGAGTAACTTCTTGGTCTCCAGGCCTTTCCCGTAATAGAAGACGGACGATAAGCGCCAGGATATCTGATATCCCGGCGTTTACTGCCTGCTTATACATAAAACGTTGAGACGTGGGAATTTGCATCGTTCCTCCGCCTACCGACTGCCATCACGTCTGAAATTTCAGCACCGAACCTCCTACCACAATCAATAACGATCAACCACAATGTCCACTGCTGATCACTATGGTCGTGTCGGGGCCCAGGGCCCTATCCTTAGTGCTACCTCTCGTACCTATCCTGACTATGGAGCCATAGAAGCTGCCCTAACTGGTGAGTGCCGTCGTCGACTCAGACATCCCATACCATCGAAACTTACAATCGACTCTCAGTCCCCTCTCCTGCGGTGGCTAATTACAGAGCACCCTACGATGCAGGCCAGGGCCTTTCAGTCCTTGGCAACATTATCGGAATCTTGATCTTGATCCCATTCACTCTCATTGGTATCGCTATATGCATCGGAATCCTCAGCGCCTTGTGTGGTGCTTGTATCGTCACTGGCCACTGGTTATGGCTTCACCTCAGCTCCGCCACAAGCCCTTATTCCGAAGCCAGCTTGTGGTCAACCTTCCTGGTTGGATTTTGGGGATCTGCGGCTACACTTCTTCCATTTAGCGTGTTGAATGCTTCGTTGAAGGCGTGTTTCATGGGTGCTTCGGATGGAGTGGGGATGGTCTTAATTCTCAATGTTGTATTGGGCTTTTTCAAAGTCGGATTTGATTGCGTGGCCGGAGTGCCTCTGGTCGGGTACTACTATGGTATAGAGACGCTCGGACTTACCTATGCCCTATGTGCTGCGTATACTGGAGGGGTGATTGTCTCCTTTGTGTTGATGATGATAGTACCCCGATGATCCACGACGATCCATAAAAAGTTAGGTGTTTTGTAATTGTACAATCTCTGAGTGTTTAGTTGTGTTGAAATTGTAGCATTACGTAGCCGTAGCACTTGCCTGGACCATTGAAGTCTTTGCCGACGTCTCGACAGGAAAGAACTTTAGGTGGTCATTGGATCAAACTTATATCTGCTTGTCGTCGTCATTTTTTGAGGGAGGGATGCTAGGTATCGTACTATACACCGTGAAGTTAATAAGGTTCATTGCAAAATATGTTGTCAGGAGGAACTAAATACAGAATTGGGCGGGAGTTACGGAGCATACAAGCATTCTAGGTTCATTGCTAATGTGAAATAATGAAGTAGAGAGAATGAGGCGACGTACCGGCCTCTACAATTTGATGAAGGGCGGTGTAGCGAGAAGGAGCAGCATCATAATGCCCATCAGAGCTGCTACTCCAGTATATACAACACAGATGACATGACCAATGACGCGTGACGTTCCAAATATCACCGGATAATCGAGAAGCTAGCAGATAGAGCTAGGAAAACAGGGCCAATAGCGAGGTAGATTAAGGCTCCGACAATCTGATCGATATCCTGAGTCCTGTATAGACGGTCACTGCAGTAGTTATATTCTGGGAGTGTTTTGCGACTGAGTATGGGTTTTTGTGAGACGGGAGTGGGATCTAGGACACGGTTGTATTGTAGTCGCGGTGGTAACGGGTTAAGTTAGGCAAAGATGAACATCAACGCGAGGATGGCAGTCTTCAGATAACATTATGATTGTTCGTTAATGTTTGTACGTCGAGGAATATGTGCTCGATAGAGGTAAGCGATATAAAGAGCACGGGTTGATCGCGGTATCGAACCTGAATCGAAGTGAGGCACCGTTCTCTCCGAAGCGCGTATTATACTAACAACCGTTCATCATTGCTTCACAAGAGGGGCGAGATGCGTTGCACATGGTGGCGTTAAGAAACTATCTTACCCAGTCAAAGGTCGTTGCTTTAATAGAAGCCAAAGTTCACGGCAAAGGTTGGTTGATTGATTTAAGGTGAATGCAATCGCAGCAGACCAATTTTCCAATGACTAGAGAGCTATTTAGAAATTTCTTTTGAGAATCGCGTCTGAAAGAGGAAAGCCTGACTCACCAGCGGTGGCGAGAGTTGTGGGACTCGGTCCGAAATTCAACTTCGGCAGAGGACGCGTCCCTAACAACAATCATGGGCCAGAGCAACGGGACCGCCATGGCTAAGCATCACCAGCAGCACAGAGAATTAGAGAGCTCAAGCAAGCGAGCAGGGTGCTAAGGTGAGTCCTGGTCGCTATCGAGAAGAAAGTAGCAGTAGTAGTAAGAAAAACTACATTTATTTGTTTATTTATTTATATAATGAAATTTAATCAGCCGTCAATGTTTGTGTTTGTTTGAATTTCGCTCCTCTGACTTTTACGCCTTCCTTGGCATCCCCCATCCCGATTTCTCTGCTGTACCAGTACACGCTGTTCTGTACTACTTCAGTCCTCTTTTTTACTTAGATTTCTATTCACTTTAATCCTTCATGTGAGTGTGCTTTTCCCTAGAATTTTGTGCCATTTTTCAGCGCCAAATGCTGGGGAAATGCTGACATGTCCGTCCACAGCATGACCGCGCCTTCAAATTCGTCTGCTCACCGCAACGTCGTTCCTTCTGAGGTTGGATGGCAGTTCGTTCCTCAGTACTACACCTTTGTCAACAAGCAGCCCGATCGTTTGCACTGTTTTTATACGAAAAAATCTACTTTTATTCACGGGACTGAGGGGGAGGATGGGAAGCCTTGTCATGGTCAACAGGTGCGTACAGTTTTGCTTTGCTTTCTGTGTCTCTAATCTCACTTTTTTATCAGGAAATTCACGCGAAAATAACCAGCATCGGATTCCAGGACTGTAAAGTCTTTATCCACTCTGTCGACGCTCAATCTTCCGCCGACGGAGGCATCATTATCCAGGTTATTGGTGAAATGTCCAACCATAATGACCCGTGGCGAAAATTCGTTCAGACCTTCTTCCTTGCCGAGCAGCCAAATGGGTACTTCGTTCTCAACGATATCTTCCGTTTCCTTAAGGAAGAGACCGTTGAGAGCGACGAGGCAGAGGAGCCTGCTGAGACCGTTGCGCCTATGGAACCACAACCTGAGCCTGTACCTGCTCCCGTCGAGGTTCCACGGGAGCGCACCCCGACTCCTCCCCCTCCTCCCCCACCGGTCGAATCCGTCCCGGCAACACCGCCGCCTGTGGAGGAACCGCCGACCACGGTAGCTGACGTCCCAGAGCCACCAGCGCGGATTCCTACACCTGAACCGCCCAAGCCGCCTACACCTGCCCCCGTGGCAGCTCCCCCTGCTCAGACGAACGGCATTCACCCCCCTGAACCGGCTGCTCCTGCTCCTGCTCCTGCTGTTGCTGTTCCTGCTCCTCCCCGGATCGCGGAGAAGGCCCCGGCGCCCAAGGCTCCTGCACCCAAGACGTGGGCCAACCTCGCTGCAGCCAACTCCAACAAATGGGGCGCAGCCGTGGCGCAAGAGTCGAGGGGAACTACAGAAGTCGTACCATCCTCGACGCCTGGAAGTGGAACGCAGACTCCTTCTGCCCCTGCCCCTGCCCCCAATGGACCCGTTCGTGCTCCTCACCCAGCATATGTCGCGGCGCAGGCAGTGACCACTTCCCATTGTTTCGTTAAGGTATGATTCTTCACAAAAAAATTCCTAGTCACTTCTCATGTCTTTTTAGGGCGTTACGGAGCCGGTATCCCAACCCGCGTTGACCGCGCAGCTTGCGCATTTCGGAGCCATCAAGGAGGTCGACATTGTGCGTTCCAAGGCTTGCGCATTCGTTGAGTTCACTACTGTCGAGGCTGCTAAGCGGGCTATTATTGCGTCGTTACCTGCTGCTCAGGGTGGCGGAGGTGGTGTTTGGGTTGAGGCTACCGGTGAAGTCCCCAGTATACGGATCACTGTAGAGACCAAGAAGGAACGGGGCGACAGGCCAGTCAGTCGTCCAAGAGGTGGTGCTCCCCAGGGCGAGACACGGGGTGGTGGAAGTGGCGGCGGCGGATTCCGGGGTAATCGTGGCGGTCGTGGTAGGGGTGCAGCTGCAGGGGGAGGAAAGTAGTCGCGGTGGATCTGCCTGCTCTCCCGGACTAAAAAATAAAAGGAATAAAAAGTACTGATCTTCCTCCCAATCGTCTTTGTTGCGCGCGTCTTCTTATTTACTATCGGTCCTTTTTACGGTCGTTGTTGTTTTGCACTTATTTTCTCGCTCTTGTTGTCCTTGCATTCTTACATACACTCACCCATCCGCACACATCACGCCCTCACTAACGCCCATTCATGTAAGTAGGTTTTCGTTATGCATACATACTGGAAATCCTGATAATGCTCTCGATGTCCATGTATTCGTAGCACTTTCTCTTACAAAAAAAAACAAACAAAATTTTCATCAAGTATAATTCGGTTTCGATTCTCCTACTTTATAATTGCCACGTCTACCATCCACTACTACCACCGTACGGCGCCTGAGGGAAGTGTGGTGGACCTTGTCCATGCGGAGGATAACCACTGTACGGCTCTGCTCCAGGGAACGAAGGAACTCCATCCGGAGGAGCTCCAGGAGGCGGCGAAAACCCGCCTGGAGGACCTTGTCCATATCCACTGTATCCCCCACCACCTCCTGGGAAGGCAGGAGGAGCATCAGGGAAGGCAGGAGCCTCCGAAGGCGCACCAGGGAACGAGGGCGCAGACGAGTACGACGGGTTGTATCCCGAATGATGATGGTGTTGATGATGCGCCGGCGGAGCTCCCGAAGGAGGGGCATAGGATGCAGAGGACGCGCCAGGGAAAGACGGTGCACCAGGGAACGAGGCCTCAGATGTAGCTCCAGGGAAGGATGGAGCCGGGGAGTGCGTTCCTCCGCTATGGTAAGATGATGACGAGTCCGTTCCGCCTCCATAGTAAGACGACGCCTGGCCCGTCGACGGAAGAGGTGGTGCATTATGGCTATGCTCATGACTGTGTCCGTAATGCGCTCCTGGGTATCCAGATGAAGGGGGTCCAGGAGGCGAGGTGAAGTTGTCTCCTTCTCGCCTGTTGCCACTTCCGCCGCCGAAGAGATGTTGAGCTTGCGCTACTCCCGGAATCTGGTTGGCATACCCAAGCAGGGCATGCTGTGCTTGCTGGCCTTCATTCCATGCAAAGGTGCCTTGCGCCTCAGGAGGTTTGCTGCTACTCCCTGAACGCTTGTTGTTCCCTTTCCGAACGGACTCTTTGGACAGTCGGCCAATGATTTCGTGTTGCTTGGATCCGAGACTCTGAACCCACTTCTGCATACATTGCATCATTTCGTTCTGCACCTTTGAGTTACGGTTCATGAAATCCGGATGGAACCTGAAACACGATTTAGCAGTGAGACTGATGCCAAGGGAGGATGCCATACAGTGCTGAAAGGATATCTTCGGTTACTTGATGTACGTTGATAGAGGTATCATCCCAGGCCTTGGTTACCAGTGTAACAGTATTCACCTTGATAAACTTTAGCTTGAATCGTGGCACACACATACAAAAGAACTTACGAGTACAACTTTGGCAATTTCACCGGCAGGCTCATTGAGTATTAAGTTCTGAAACGCGATGAATAAAAGTGTATCATCAGGTAATGATCAACTCACGAAGTGATCTTTACTCAAGAAAGAATGTGTTGGGTCCGACTGTGAGGACACGTCAATCAGAATCATTATCAAAAGAGAACAGAACGAACAGCGCGGGGATCATTGAACACTTCATATTGATCATGACTGTTGATAACCTCATTTGAAGCCTCCGCTAAACCTGTCGTCGCGGTTTGGAGTAAGGGTTTGACGAACGGCTACATCATTGATGAGTAAGTGAGGTTTGGAAGATCTCAAGTAACACACCTCTATTGTCGAAAAGACGAAGACTGTTCGGAATAGCGTAAGTCAGCAAGAAATTCTCTTCAAAATCATTAAATGGGCACTACCAGAGACGCCGTCCATAATTTTGTCAATCAGGGCTCCGAGTCCGGGTATCTTTTCTGGATTCTGATCAGTCGCGAATACATAGCCTCCGATATAGACGCACCGATAGTCTTCTCTATCTTCTTCGCCACCGAGTCTCTAAAGCTCAATATTTGCCATAGCACGGAATGCAGTTCCTGAGGCGACATGTCCTCCGGTCTCTTTCCGCCTTGAGCGGGTCCTGCCCGTATTCGCTCGATGTTATCCATGTCCCGCGACATGTCGCCACCCATGCCACCAGGCAGGGAGCTGAACATGCTTCGGAGAACATCTGAAGAGCCATAAGAACCTCCGGACCGAGCTGAGGTGGACCTAGCGTCGTCGAGCTTCTTATTTAAGTCTGATACGGATGCTTCGCTGAGCTTGTCACCGGCCTCTGCCGCGTCGGTCAGTACCACGTAGTTGATAGATGTAAAATTGAGAACGTACCTCCTAGTAAGGAGTGAATAAAGTCGCTGCCACCAAATGTCCCCGTCACGATAGGTGCCACCCATTGTCCATTAGGTGCCTGGATCCTTACTTGATCACCGACGTGCAGGAATACGTCCTTGTATCCCATCGAAACAAGAGCGATTTCGCAAAAGTTGGAGTGAGCGGAAAAATCTTCAAGGGTGTGCAGGGCTTGTCCCAGAAGGCGGTATGCTTCGTATTCATCTTGCTTCCTGCCCTGTGCGCGTTGCTGGCGACCGAGGTGAATGCACTTCTCGAGTGTACGTCGGACAAGGGCTTTGCTTGTGTCCCAGCCGCCAGATTCTATTTGAGCAGAGGTTTTCAGATGCTCTGAATTACTCTGAGATTCGACGCACCATTGGCAATGTAGTTCTTCATTCCAGTTTGATGGTCAATTTCAATTTCTCTGGGCTACATGAGCAATTAGTATTTTGAAAAGCATTGTGTGTGAACAAGCTCACATCGACAGGTCCGCGCAATTGAGGATGGTATTTCCTTGCATCTTCTCCTTCTCCGTAGCCTTTCGGGTTGTCGATATGTTCGGTAGGCAGATAAACTCCTAAGCGTTCGGGGGTGACCTCAAATTCGTTTGTGGCGTATCCGTGGGCCTGCAATACAAATTAAATGTCAAGAATATGACCTAAATGGTCACGCACCATAAATCCTAGCACCATGCATAAGTTTATGATTGTCTGGTACATAACGTTGAGGAGTTGAAGTGGAGAGGATGGGAGCACCTACCTGGAGCGGGAGTTTCTTCAGGCCAGCAATATCGACAGCCTATTGCATCACCGGTCAAAATGAGGTTTCGTGATACACTTCTATCAACAAACCTGGCTGTAATCACGAAGCCAATTGCTGTTGATATGGTTCAGTCAAAGCCAGCGCACAAGACTGGATAGCGAGCGTACCCAAAATAGACGCGTTTGATATCAAGACCGCCGAATTTTGAACCTTTCCCAATGATACTAGCCAATGCGAATCCTCCAGCGCCTTTCTTCACCAGCTCTGCCAGAGCATCTTCCTATACGGCCCTTTAGTGATGACTTGACTTTGATTTCAGTAATCGCGACTCACGATATCTCCGTGGCGGAACGCCTTGCCTTCCATATAGGCAAAACTAAATGAGAATATTTGTTGATCAGGACGTTCACACAGGACTCGAAAGTACTCACGATGGTATGTTCCCTGCTCCAAACGCATAGACGCCGTTGCCGGGCAGACATACTGCAAAGAGGAACACTAGAAGGAGGAGAAACGTCGGATTTCCCGACATGATGATGGTGGTAGGGAAGAAGAACGGATGGTGGCGTGGACCTTAGACGAATACACTGCAAAGCTGTGGTAACGCAAGTCCGCTTATACCGGCGTTGACGATAACTGGCGATCTTCAGAATTTTTGAGAGTCCAGTAGCGCGTCGTCGATGTTCTATACAGCGACAAGGGTCGTATGCCGATCCAAAAGCAAGTGGGAAGCGGTCAAGGGGCTTTTTCATCAATGTCAGGGCGTCGGGTCAACGGATTTAGTGGGGTGGCGGTGCTGCAACCTTCCATCAACGATGGAGCTTCCTCACCACCCCGTAATCAGCCAATGCCATGGGCATCGTGCGCGATGACCATAGATCTTCTGCACTTAATCGTATCATAACCAGAGGGCTGGTTCTTGTTGTCCTGCTCTGTGCCCTCTCGCTATCATGGGTATTCCATAGGGCCTGTGACCATACTTTGGCCGCTATACCAATTCACGCTCCAGAAATACTCAAAAAGTGCCAGAACCTGCACGTTTTACCGGGAAAACCATCAGGATTTGACGATAGGGCGGAATCCGATAGATATGTACAGACTGACGAGACCGACGCTATTGAAGAATGCGACAATTTGGACCGGACGCGTTTCTGGCTTTGAAGTTGTGAGAGGCGACCTGTTGATGGATAAAGGACTAGTCAAGAAGGTCGGAGACATTGATGCAGAAATGGACGTGTTTGGCGGCGAGTTGGACGTGCAGGACGTTGGCGGGGCCTGGGTATCGCCAGGGTGTGCATCAGCGTATATCGTTATATCATTTTCTTCGCTAATCTATGAGCAGAATTGTCGATCTTCATTCTCACTTGGGTGTATGCTCTTCTCCGGATTTCAACGGGTGCTCAGACGGGGATTCGCTGCATGGTATCGCACAACCATGGCTTCGCAGTCTCGATGCTCTCAATACTCACGATGATGCCTATCGTCTTTCTGTTGCTGGAGGAATCACAACAGCTCTCATTCTTCCTGGATCCGCTAATGCCATTGGTTCGTTCAGACGTTTCTTAACATCCGAGTTCTGCCTTCTAACATTCATCTGTAATCTAGGAGGGCAGGCATATGTGATTAAATTGCGCCCTACAGAGGAGAAAACTCCCTCTTCGATGTTACTAGAACCGCCTTTCTCGTTGAACGGCTCATATGTCGACCCCTCACTACCTCCGAGGTGGAGGCAAATGAAGTATGCGCTCCAATTTCATGACTTTGTCGTAGGCTAAATACCGTATCCATGTTGCAGACAGGCATGCGGTATGTATATTTTTTGTCAACTAAACGTCTCTAATCATTTCGAACAGGCGAGAATCCAAGTTCGTACTCCTTCCATCGTACTGCTGTCCAATGTTCATGCCGATATAGGCGGTGTCTATGAAGGCACGCGAATGGACATAATCTGGGCGTTCCGCCAAGCATACCACACGGCCCGAAGCATCCGGGATAAGCAAGATACTTATTGTACCAAAGCCCTCGCTGGCCAATGGTCAGGCCTAGGCGATTTCCCTGAGAGTTTTCAGTGGGAAGCACTTGTAGATGTGCTCCGAGGACGAGTCAAGGTACTCAAGCTCGGCGTCTTATTCAGATTCTTTGCTCTAATGTCCTCCAACTTCAGATACACAACCACTGCTACGAAGCTGTAGATTTGGATGGTATAATAAGGGTGAGCACACCACTTCCGTTGCGGAATGATGCTTCAATGATCATTTACATAGCTCTCACAAGAGTTCAAATTCCCAATTGCGGCTTTTCACCACGCGCACGAAACTTACCTCGTGCCGGACCTCCTCAAAAAAGCATATGGTCTTTCCCTACATATCATGATATCGTTCCTTGTCTGATTCATTATTTACAGGGCACCCACCGGCATCAGCTATCTTTTCCACGCTTGCGCACTACAAGCGAGAGGCTTTTCGTGGTTCAGAGTTCGCCGCACGGATTTTGTCTGAGCATGGTTTAGATGTGATTGTGAAGGTCGTTTAGCTCTTGTTTCCACTGAGCCTAGTTCACTCACGACAATTAAATTATAGAGCGACCATCCGGCAACAAATTCACGGTATTTACTCCACGAGGCACAGCTTGCGCATTATTATGGACTACCAGATAATATTGGACTTGCCTCCGTTACGTCTACTCCCGCAAAAGTCATGGGTCAGGATCACAGGATTGGATATATAAAAGCAGGTACTATATCTTGGCTGCAACTACTATCCTGGTGCTCACTTGTATCGATCATCATAGGATATGACGCAGGTAGTCTCTCCGACCTTTCACTGGTTTCTCGTCACCGATTGCCCCTTCACTAGATATCGTCATCTGGGATAGTCATCCTCTTGCTTTAGGTGCTACGCCTAAGCAAGTGTACATCGACGGAATAGCCCAGTTCAACAAGTCCTATTCAAGGCCAAAGCCGCCGTCTCACCAACATGCACCGAAGACACCAGATTTTGACCAAGAGGCAATAGACGCCGTGAGGTATGACGGCTTGCCACCCCTCCAAGCAAAGATATCGATCTCGGATGTTGTTATCTTCACGAACGTGACGAGCGTGTTCATGAAGAGCAATCGACGAATAGAACAAGTATTTTCGGCTGCTAGTGGCGAACTGAGCACCATTGTCATCAAGGATGGGAAAATTGTTTGCCGAGGAATAGAACTATGTCTTGAGGTTCATTCCGACTCAAGTGTTAGACGCGTCAATTTAATGGGCGGATCAATAGCGTAGGTGTCTGCCTGGTATACTTCATTGATTTCTTATCGTTTAGGTCTCTTTAGACCCGGCCTCACCACAGTCGGCTCGCCACTAGGACTAGCTGATATCGATTTCGAAGACAGTACTAAAGATGGACCGGTCATCGACCCTTTCTCATCCGAAATCCCGAACTTAGCGGGAGGAGAAGAAGCGATAATACGAGCAGTAGATGGTCTGCAATTCGCATCTCCCGATATGCTGTACGTCATCTTCCAAATTGTGAGGTTCGGACTGACGAAAGTTCATATCCAAGGCTGGCTTATCGTGGAGGCGTTACTATTGCTGTCACAGCGCCCGAATCTTCCGGATTCTTGTCGGGATTAAGTGCAGCATTCACTACCGGTGCTGCACATAAGTTGGAGGATGGTGCTGTGATACAAGACGTTGCGGCGCTGCATGTTATGGTGTCTATGTCTTCACCCATCAGTGTTAGCACTCAACTGGGTGCTCTAAGGCGACTGCTGTCTGGCGAAATACACGGGGAACTAGGTGTGCAGTTTAGGAAGATTGTTGAGGTAACGTCTTTGCCGTTCCTTGGATGGCATTATCTATTTAATGATAGGGATGCTAGGGTGAACTGCCGCTTGTCGTGACAGTCTACAGCGCCGATGTTATGGTATCTTTGATACAACTTAAACAAGAAGCAGAAGAGAGGTCTGGGAAATTTATTCGTGTGACGTTCCTTGGAGCGCCCGAAGCACATCTTGTTGCTACCGAGATAGGCAACGCCGGCGTTGGCGTCATCTTTGGTCATGTGTGGCCTTTCCCTAATGACTGGCAATCAAGAAGGATGTATGTGGTATTCATTACCTTCATTTGCGATAAGATTATTGAAACGCTCTAGTCTCCCTGGCCTGCCGCTTTCTGAAGACAGCATGCTAGATGTGCTCCTGTCGCACAATGTCACGGTGGGCATCGGCCTCGACATCCTTGGTTTGGGTCCGCAGAGAAGCACTGCCCGGAATACTAGATTTGACGCTGCTTGGGTTAGTGTTTTGCGTAGCATGACTTGTTCTGCAACTAACTTGCTTGCTACCAGGCCGCACTTGAAGCTGGCACGGAACTATCTCAGTCCGATGCTCTTGCATTGGCGTCAGTGAATTTGGAGACGCTGCTTGGCGTGGATAATGAGGACTATGACATGGTGGCGACAACGTTTGGAACACTGCTTGAATTTGAGAGTAAGGTTGTCGGGGTTATTTCATCTAGACGTGGAGTGGTTGATCTATTCTGAGTTACTGAAAAATGCTGTCTAGTCTTCTCATTTAGATCTACTGTGGGCATGAAGACGAACCAGTAGTTGGCTCCAACAATGGTTTGATACACAATGGCCACTAAGCTCTCAGGATTGTATTTATCCTACATCTCTATTGCCATGACATATTCATTGGAACGCCTGTATTCATAACTTCGCTGGCTTCTTGGTCTAGGGATATTATGACTATTTCCCTCGTATTGACAGTCTAATGAAACTGTATTAAAGAGTGAGTGTATCAAGTCAGCGCGTAGTACCAGTGTTGTTTGACCTCAGTTCCGTGAAATATCACTATGAATGAAACATACTTGTCAGAATCTACATCTACATGTAGGTCTGAATGTTGGAACAATGAAGGACAGCAGAATCATACTAATAACAAAGGACATTGCGATGAACACCCGTGAGCCACAGCTCAATTTCGACCCTCTGATTTGCACAGCAATCTCTGTCTCGGTCGATGCTTCATCAATATGCCCTCCCTCTAGTGCATTACCAGATGGAGAGGTGGTCTTCTGGCTCAATGTACGATGCCCATTGTCCAATATGACTGATGTCGACTCGGATGCATTGTCATGGAGTGGCATCCAATCTATTGCATTTTATCAGTGGCTGTACACACAGTGAACCCAGATCTTCCTACCTCCCGTGGAGATGTTAAGGATCTCCACAAATGGCCACCCAAAATACTCGCAGACATCCGCACCACCACAGGCTGGGTCGAATCCATAGTTGGTGTTCAACTCAGGTACAGTTGTAAGCACCGTTTTAGACACATCTGGCACCCACAATTTCTCCCATTTAGAAAGCTTCACACCAAAAACATCTTCTACTTCAACTGAAGACATCTCTGAGTCCCCATCATAGTACCACATGAAGACAGGCCAGGACACCTTGTTGGTCTGATAATCAATGGAGGGAGCGCTTATTGACAATGAGAGTGTGTGATGGTCTTCAGCCATGAATGTATTGCAGAGACGAAAAGGATCACACCTCTCTTCCTGGCCAACACAAAGGGCAAACTGTGTGTCTGAATATGCTTGTTAGTCAATAGTTGCTAGTCAACAGACACCCACCTATTAGATATAGCTCATCATCATGACCATGATGCCTGGAATGGACACAGTATTGTAGTTGGGAAGCTTGCGCAATCCATGAATTCAAAATCTTGTCAAATGAACATGACCAGATCTCAGCATAATAGGACAGAGTCCCAGCATATGGTAAAAGGATCATTACTGAACCACTGTCAATGAACAATTAGCAAGAAGATATAAGATCAAAGTAACAATGGACTTGTTTGTCAAGGGTGACAATAGTATAGTGTGACCTTCCCAGGACACCTCCCATTCATCCAATCTAAGCCTGGACTCTGCCCACCAAAGTCCCCCTGGATGAGGTCAATACACTACCTGGCATGTAAGGTTGATTTTGTGGATGGAAGAATGAAGAATGTTTAGACCAAATGGTGTGTTTGATGGCATCATACACATTGCATAAATTGTCCTTTTGCAAAGTCAGCTGATGAGGACCATCTGTTGACTTGGCTATGAAGTGGCTCCTCAGTCAGCATGTTCCAGAGACTGACATGGTTCCATAGTATATCAGAGATATACACAAAAAGACCCCCAATGTGGTACGAGTTAGATACTATAGCTGTCACTGACAATTTGCCCATGTTCATTGAGCTGGATAGGACTTGGCTTCAAAATTATCAGTATACATCCAGAGTATCCATGACTTGACTGACATTTACCAGGCCTCCCAGATCAGGAAGGATGTAGTGCCTGGACAAATACTCTGCTGACTGACTATAGAATGCATATTCAGGTGTATCCTTGACACTGGCAGACCATACCTCTAAATCATAGAACTACATATTAGCACAACCAGAGATTAGCTGTGTTTGTACAAATATCAAAGAGAAGATATTTTACCAGTTGGATATAAAATCGTACAAATTGCTTTGCAGTCAAATTACTTTCATAATCATAGAAAGGGATCCGGGTGGTACCTGTACATGGAAGTTAGACTAAACTAAAGACAAAGGGACCAGCATCCTCACCATGAAATATGATGGCTGGAAAGTTTGGTGATCTGCAGATACCAAAGACTTGTGCGATGTTTGGGTGCCTACACAAAGCATCACTGGATGATTATTAGACAGACATGGAAAGCCAAACTTCATATTAATCAAAGCATCTGCATCATCATTGAATCGCTAATTACAAAAATGATGTGCACTTTGCCGATGATTAAGATAGTAACAGAGACTTACTTCTCAGTATAGCTTCTTTGTTATAATGAGAATGTTGGTATACACAAATGATTTTCACTGAGCTGCTGCTCTCGACTGTGCAGTATCTGTCTTCGTATACAGGGCCAAAGCAATGCCAAGAGGAGACATGGCCCTTCCTACATAGATATCCCACTGGGAAAGTTCTCGAACCTGCAAATAAGATATAGACCTGTTTGCATATGAGAACCACCTACCTGTCCTTTATGATCTCTTTTCAGATCCTGAAGCTTCTCACAAATTTGGGCCGCATGTTTCCTCTGGATATCACCCAAGGAATCACCCAAGGAACGTATCTCGCCTCGGATACAGTGAGCCTGAGACTTGACAATCGAGGTGATGCATGACTGTGCTGTCTCCGTGGCTTGAGTGACAGTGGCACTCAGTGCACTCTGCATGTCAGGACATTGCAAGCCTTGAGTCGGTAGTAACAAGAACCTTAAAAGGGACTGACAGTCAATACAAATACCAGTGCATACAAGGCCCGAGCACATACAAGGTAATCCATCTTGATGTTGTTCACTTGCTGCTTGTATCCGTCGATAACACCGGAAACCTTCTTCATTTTCAGGAACCGCGTAATGCTTTTGGACTTCAAATTGCATCGAGTGGTGTTTAGTTCGGCAATTAAACCCTCTAGGTATCTGGACAGAAGCTTCGGTAAGTGGGGTGCAGCAATTTGTACATGTTAACTCACGTCTGAAACTCTACACATACATCGCGAAAACGTTTCGCGCTCGTATCACCATGCGCTTCAACGGTTTCCTTGATGATTCGTATTGTCGTTCCAATGTTCTCTGCCAAGTCCTGGAGGTCCTTATTGTTCTTTCCAGCTAACTAGACCCCCGCTCAGTATCATACAGCAGCGGTTAACAGCACGTACCTCAATGACCTCAAGAATTGACGCGATACACCCTGCAACACCTTTGATGTACGGAAATGGGGCCATTTCACCCGCAGCCGCGGTAAGCCTTGCAAATTGTATCCATGCGCCGATATTCGAATCTCTCGACATCCTGGTGGTGGTGGTGGTGAGAGGGTGGGTCTGCCGTTGGCACAACTGAGCCTAGCACGGTATAAATATTGTACTGTTATGCTGTTTCAAGCTGTTGAGATCACACACATGGGAAGCTCGAGCTGAATCAAAAGGTCTAGCAACTTTATAGGGCCATGGATATGGATAGAGGACTCTAAATGCAAGTGAGTACACCTCCAGACCTATATCTGCCATATGCTGGAAAATGATGGGGCTCATACAACTTTGGGCAGAGGCGGTGTCCGTACCATTAGAATATCCATCCGAACAAGCACGTTTACGGAGCAGGGTCGCAATGAGAAGGTCAAAATAACACCATTGATGGTAGAGATGCTGTTTGGTTTATTCTAGGACGATAAAGCAGTCTATGTTAGGAGTATTTTAGACTGCACAGTGACTGGTCAGTATACAAACGGAAGGGGCAACACAAAACACGCACATTACATGTCCGGTGGCATCACTCAGACTGGGAAACGATTCTATACAAGTTACAGATGCCATGATGATACACTTCCGCGATAAACATTAGGAAATCTATGAATGTACATTCGCGAAATTTGGGCATCGACCAGCGGAGTTTCACTCGAAGATGTTGAGTTCGTTTTCGTGCTTTGGCGAGTCATTCTTGTACATATCCCAGAGTCTGAAGATAGAATTCATTTAGGAAGGGCTTTCTATAATGATTCTAGAGAAGCCATACCGTGCCAGCTCATCGATGTACAGGGACTGAACGCGCCTAATCTCGTCTATATCGGGTTTATCAATCTGCTTGTGAATAGGTCGACCGACTAGAAAATGCGAAGCGCTCAGAAATTAGACGGAAATTTAACAGAAAAGTCCGAAAAACTCACAAGACATGCGGCGATTTTGGCATTAATATGAACTCGTAGGGTTGTGCGAGCGTGGTAACACCCGTCACAGATACAGAGTACGGGGTGCAGATTTGGGCTGCAGCATACGCTAGGGATGAGGTTGGGAGTGAGATAGGAATTAATGACACTATTGAGCGTCATGGCAGGCTCACTACGGAAAACGGAGACTGCTATTGTATTCCATGATGTCGAAAATGGGGATGTATGATGGATGACAGCTGTACGACCGCTGGAGAGTGTGGAATGCGGCGGGGATGGAGATGGGGCGTCGTTGTCGTCATTGTCGTTGGTGATGCCGAAGTCTGCGGGGAAAACGAACTTTAGAATCGAGTTCCCCGATGTCAGATACGCGGAGATGGTGCTAATTAAGGGCCTGGGGCGGGAAGTAGTTGACACCCAGAAGGGTGTGGCTGTCGTGACCGCTATTAGACATCAGTGTCCCGATCTCCACCCCGCCCTCCTGCTCGTACCGTCCTCCGCAACACACATTCTAAATGCCTCTCTCTCGCTACCACAGCCGTACTCCACCCTCTAACACGGCTCTCCTTCGTGTTTCAAGTCCCCCCTGCACTCCCGTTGTTGTCGTCACTATTCTGGCTGTTGTCGTCGCCGTCATAGTTGGGATTCCGTTACGGGTCCTCCCCTGCTATGAGATGGGGTCCGATATTGAATCTCAGGTGATATACCACGTCCCCCACGTCCAAGGATTGCATCCCCAATGGCGATTGAGGTCGATGTGCATGTGGGGAATATGGGATGGGTCGCGCTGGGGTATTGGGGGACGTAATTGGGCAATTCCAGGGAGGATGGTGGGCGCAGTAAGGGTGGAGGTGGGCAATCCCGCATTCGGAACCGTGCTGCTTAGTCAGCGATTTGATCAAAAAAAGTGACCCATATGTTCGTTTGTCTTTCCCCCTTTCCTCGACAGTCTTGCAGTGTTCGTACAGTGTAGAGTATGTCTATGATAGTCCAATATACTTATTTCTTATGCTTTAATCTGCCTCTGAAAGCCACTGGCTGACCTAAAGTCACGAGTTATTGGACTATATGATCCTTCCAGTCTGTCGTGCTTCAAATTGGGGTCAGAATAGTCCCGCCGTATACGAAAAAAGGTATTTTCTTTTCATATATGTCTATTTCATCATCTTCTACAGTTTCCGGATCCTCCAATTCCTCTTCTGCAATATTCCGGCCTTCCTTCTTGCGTCGCTCTAGCGCTGCTTTGATTTCAGTTATTTTCTGGGGCCAGTTCTTCACTCGGCTCTTCGCCGTTTCCACCTCTTTGTCTATCTTCCGCCACAAATACAAAGTACATAAAGGCGAGACTTACCCACACAATGCCAGGAATGGCGGGAGAAATGGCGGGACGGAAGCAAATTCGCGTCGCATCACACTGTGTCACACTATGTCACACTCAACAGGCGGTTGTGCATCCTTGACGTCCCCCTCCTTCCACAAGGGCTCGAACGTCTCAAAGTAAAAGCAAGCTACTATTAAATTTTCAATAGAAGAAACGTCTTGCCTTTATTTTCTTTTTATTACTCTGTCATTCTTCATTATACACCAAATCAAGGTCATTTAAACAGTATCGGGAGCATGCCAGCTTCAATAAGCGAAGAAATTTTTCGACTCAAAGAGAAACTCAACTTTATTTTTGATACAGAACGAAAGCTTGCCAGTAGATTTTTTATAGTACACTTGAATGGGATAATACCCGGTAAAATTGACTGTGTTTACCCAATATACGAGTTCATGACCATTTAAAACGGAAGAAAAAGGCAACATTTTGTAGAGAAAGAACAATAAAACATTTTTTGCCTATACAATATGGTATCACTTGGCACGATTCATATTTTACTGGACTGGGTCATTTGAGGCAATCACGATCGCCCAGAAAGAGGCGTGGGAACAAACCGGTTGATGAGCCGTATTGCCCACCTCCAGTAAGGGGGCGTGAAGTGGCCATATCTAGCGTCGCTGAGGGGTTCGAAGGACGTGTTGCCTCACATGAGGACTTAAGCGGGGTGTAGAGGATGAAGTGGTCGCAATCTGGAACTCTTGAAACCACCAGATACGCTGAAAAGACCTGAAACAAATGCATTAGTATAGAAGATAAATAAAACGTACTATAAACCCATGAAAATGGGCAAAAGGAACGGAACGGGCGAGAGGGCAAGAACCGAAGCAGCACGGTAGAACGGATGAAGGAGGTGCATCGGCCCGACAACCCGGTAGCGCGCCGTTTTTGACCTCCTACCACCACAATGGTTCCAACTCCTTCCTTTCTCTGCCAACATTCTACCCCGTCTTTCGATGTTGGATACGATTATTCTACCCAGATTTGTATCTTATATCTCGAGGAAACGATCATTTGAATTTGGGTATCAGGTGTGTCTCTTTTAGTTGGACGTACATATCGCGAAAGCTGACTGATTCCTTCTCCAGATATTTCTTTGATATTTTCCTGGAGGAATGGCTTGTCTCTGCTCGATATTGCCTACCGCTATCTTCCAACACAGTTCCCTCTCACTCGACTCGAGGACACCGGTCGAGCAACAATTACTATGCAGGAGCAAAGTGAAAGAAACTGCGAGCGGAAGGCCATTCCCCGTCCTGACGACGTATATTGCCCTGGGAGCTCATTATATGCGGCGAATATTGGTGTATTGGAGGCCATATCTCTGTGTTTCTCATACCACCACGGAGATACCCCAAGCTCTGATTTCTATGTCAATGTGAATCGTTCTCAGCGTACACGTCAACTCTCGAACACCTTTCGTTGATCGAGGGTCATTCACCCATATCTTCTCAAGCCTCGAATCTATAACGGATCGGGAATTATGGACTCACGAGTACTGCCACCTCTGCGGTGACCAATGTTGACTCAAGTATTTTTACAGAGGTATATACTGCTATTATTCCATGACCAAGGATCGCATTTCACGTCCGTGACGTCCTCTTTAGGAAGAAACGGCAGCCGACGCGAACACCGTACATACGGATTTGCTACCGCTCTGGCGCTTCCCATTCTCCCGGCGCCATCAATCTCTCAACGCGACACAACTCACCAGCTCCTGCATGGACACAACAGTAGACCCGAGCCCTCCACCGGTACCACGGCTTTTGCGAACGTGTGGAGGCGGGCCTACGATTTCTGCGTCGGATTAAAAAAACTAATCGGAAACCTTACCTTACCTCCATGCAGTCGAGAGATGCTACCTCAGAAGACAGGACTGTATCAGGAACGCTGCATCTAGATCTTATCTTAGCGGTAAGGAAATGAACCATAATCATAAGAAACTACCAGTGAATGCTTACTCTAGGCATTCACAACTGTCTCTACATGCGGAGCTGTCGGAGCATCGCTCTAATGACAGAACCTCCATTACGCATATCCCGATAACTAGTGCAACAGCCACCCGTATTCACACATGAACCTCCATGCATCAGCACAACGCGTCGCCCACCTAAGCTCCGCCTTTCGATAGTACTGTCGAAAACGCTCCTCTCAGCCTCAATTAGCCACGCTCCTCCCTCCAAGTCGGGCACAAGGAGTTTGTGACAAAGGATCCACGCCAGAACGATGGAACTTCTGTCGTAAGGTCAGTTTACCATTAATGCAAGGAAGCAGTGAACGGCTAACCAAATCTGATCTGGTAGATCTCTACGTATTTGGGCGGTAATGAGTTCGCGTCGTACCCGGGAGGCGGTGTCTGCTGCTTTGAAGTCGCTCGCAGTGGCAGATAAGAGAGGCTCAATTTCTGAGCCTAACACCATGACGGGTGTAGGCGGGTATGACATCGACGTAGCCGACGATAGGTCGATTTGCCGTCTCAGCCTTGGTCATCTCGGAGTTATAAAGCCATCAGCACGACGCTGTTGCAATACTGCTTACTACCAGGAGAAGGGACTGCGCTGTTCGGTCATTCGAGCCGGTTCCAGAGAGAAACTTCGCTATGTTTCTCGTCGCAACTTGAAGTCCGCGACATTTGCTCCCGACTTGCAAGAAAGCTGGCTTCATCGACGCGATTTCTGGGGAAGACTTGCGACTTTACTAGCTTCCAACGCCAAGATTCAGATGCCGCCAAGACGTGTCCGTCGAGTAGTCTTCCTCAGCTGAACGATCATCGACCATAATTCTAGGTATCAGACGAGTCTTCAATGCTTGCTGTGACCGCTTTTCTATGCTTTTTGACATTCATCTCAATGGCTGAGAAGTATGTACAAGCCAATTTCACAGCATATACATTGACATGGCCAACAGAACGCGTCAGAGACACCGTGTCGTCGACGGGAGCAATCCAAAGGTCTCCCGAGGTGACGTTCCTCAATATGGAAGTCAGGATGGGAGTTTCGAAACCCAGTGCGTCTCTTTTCGCTGACGCACCTCTCTCCATCATTAATTTCTTGATGTTAGAAAAATCTTCTCTGGCAAATGAAGCTAGGGCCGGCAGTGTTAAGTTACACTGTCGCGCCGACACGTCAATGTTGGACACAGATTTTCAGTGCGTTCGTTCCCACTTTTGTAGCATATATGCGCGCTGATACTAGTCTTATGCAGTCATCCCGGCTTCTTTTCTATGTAGCAACGCCGATATGAGAATAGTAATCAGGGAGATACCGAGCCGGATCCCTGTGCGTCATCTTCGCTGGCATATAGTCACTAACTCATCCAGTCTTGCAGAAGGGCATGGAACGAAGAGCCCTTTCTTTGCAGGGAGTCTAAACGTATACTCCCTGCTGCGGGTTACTCTATGAAATGCTGAGGCGCGCGCTCGGAATCGATGTCAAAGAGAGCAGGTCTAGGATCTGAACATTGTATGTTTGCTTGTTCCACTTCGCTTGCTCTCAAACTAACTGTCTTCCAGACACGTCAGGGAGAGCTTTGCGCCTCTTGTGTATTTACGACCCTTCCAATGCTGCGGTCCTTCTCCTCTTCAATGCAAATCGATGCGCAGGGAACTGCTGGGGACACGCTTCTATCTAGACAAGTAGTGCCTCTGAGAATGAAGATTCATCGAAGAGAGATCACAAAGTGCTTGGAGGCGCATTTTCTTCAGTACTATAGTACCCGTTGCAAGCCTTCGGAGGACATGTTAGCCGGAATGGTCGAGGCGTATATCTGGAAGGAGGGTAGCTGATGTCAATGTCGACGATAGTGAAGCTATCCAGCACCTCGCCGCGAGACGAGGATTTTGATCCCGTGAACACTGTTTTCCTTTTTGGATATACGAACTTTGTTGATCGTTGACTACCATGTTGTACTACAGACGCTGAGTCTCGGCGCACTCGTTTGCTTCCTTTTCAGTTGCATTGCTTGAGAAGTCAGTCTTGGGTAAGTACTACGCCTGGATTCCCCTTCCTTTCGGTGTTTTGCTAATCTTTTCATTTTCTAGTCGGTCTTTGCTTAGATCTCGTTCGTCTGAGGTGACCAGTTGGGGTCATTTTCAAGGCTTTATAGTACAATGGTACGTCTGGTTTGTGTGTCTCGATAAACTGTTATTGACACTGTTGGGCGTAGACTGAAGGAAGGTTGTAACACAGCTTTATAGCCTTCATCTTCAATCGCAACGGCTGCCGTTCAGAAGCTGCATAAGCATGGCACATTCAAAGGTAAAATGCAACTATTTCGTCTCCTTACCATTTACTGAAGCAAAGGCTTAGGTTCTGACTTCTGTTCGTAAGTGTTCCTTTGCTTCACAGATCCATGATTTACTTACCGTTTGTATAGTACACCGTCAGGATTTATCTCGACGTTCATCGTGCTCCCAACAAGCATTGAATGTAAGCTTGGTCTCTTGTAACTTATCTTCGTTTGCTTACCGTTTCATTGGCAGCGCCGTGCACACCTTGTTTTTGGCGCCAAAGGTAAGGCGATGGTAATCTCACATTTTATCTCACTTTACCCACCTTTTCTTAGCTAACGAAATGAAATGTCCTATTCAAAGGAGGGGTGGACGAGACCTTTCGTTGTCTTCAGTAAGTCTTTCTGCTTCGAGATTCCTTCGTTTGCTAACGGTTGCTTTGTTAGTCACTTTTTAGGCCCTTACCCTCGCGATGGCTTAGCTACTATCAGGTTAGTTCAGTCTCTTCTACAAAAGGCACCGTTTGCTTACTCGCACCTTGCCAGATCCGGACGAACCTTTGAGCAGACGGTTGGCAGCACCAACCCCTTCGTGCTTGCCCGGAGGTTACGATTCAAAGAGGGTTGGGGCGAGATATTGTCTTCGGTAAGCGTTTCTGTTTTTGAGTTTGCTTCGTTTGCTAACCGTTATCTTGTTAGTCACCTTTGCAGCGCTTATCCTCGAGATGGTTAGTTCAGTATCTCATGTACGGGGTACCGTTTGCTTACTCGTACCTCGCTAGATCCAGGCGAAGCTCTGAGTAGACCATCGGCGGCAGCAGCTAAACGTCGTGCCCACACTATGCTTCATATCCCCAGAGGTTACGATTCAAGCCTTTCGTAAGTACCATTGCTTAAGTTTCCTTCGTTTGCTAATAGTTGTCCTATTAGCCGCCATTGCGGCCCTTATCCTCGAGGATGGCTCTGCAATTATCAGGTTCTTTCAGCTTTTCCTGCACAGAGTATCGTTTGCTTACCCGCATCTTGCCAGATCCATACGAAGTTCTGAGTAAATTACCTGCTGCAACTATGCATCAAGCCCGGATAATGACTGTAAGTGAATATTTAGCTCGCTGTTACCTTTTCGTTAGACTTACTGTAACTCCGTTGGCTGCTAGCCCCCCGTGCTTGACGATAACATCGTTCTCGTGGTTATGGTGAGTCTGATTTAGACTAATGCATTTCATCCACTCACGACGTCTTTAGCAGGTTCTTGTGAGGTGCCGTTCATACTTGGAATATTTAACATTAGTTCTGGACTTACCATAGGTAGTGTAGCCATTGAATAAGTACGACGATAGGCCAACGATGCACTCTGCAGTGCCGAGAACAAGGTAACTAATTTCTTCCGGTGTTTGAGTCCTTGCTGACACGCCGCAGAGTTGGATTCGAGCAGGTTCAATTCCCTTGCTTATGAGCTATTTCCTAGGGTAAGGATTTCGTCGACTCCAAGTTCGAGTCCTTGCTAACGCGCCTCAAAACAGGGTACTACCTTAGACTGGGGTGCTAAGAAGTTGATGCGCGCGCGCGCTATGAGAATAACGGCAAAAAGGTAACCGATCTCTTTCAGGGTTCAAGTCCTTACTGATGCGGGGATTGCTACTCACAGGTTATATTCGAACAGGGTTCAATTCTCTTGCTAATGCGCTGTTTACCAGTGAAATCATGGGTAAGACTTTCATTGACTCTAGGTTCGAGTCTTGCTAACAACCAAGGGTAGCTGTTCTGGACTTGGTTCTGACACGGGCTCGCTCAAGATCCCGGCAAGGGAGGAGTACAATAATCTAGATAAGTGTTCGAGTCCTCGCTAGCGCACGCACTCAATTCTCAGGCTCAAGAACAAAGCTGCAAGCGAACGTCGCGGTAGGTGTTCAATTCCTTGCTAACGCGTTCAATTATTAAGCTGAAGAACGGAATTGTGTGCCAGATAATGGTAAGACTTGTAAACTACTTTATACACTTGGATGCCCTACTCACGCAAAAGCTTTGACAGTAATGGCAGTGAAGCTTTGCTTCAAACATAAAACTTGGGAACCTGGTAAGAGTTCTTGTTGCCTTTGGGTCAGTATCATTTCTGACGCGTAGTTGCTTTCTAGTCTCTTGATGAGTCCGAGGTGTATTCGAATGGTATATACGTAGTGTAGGGCATCTGTATTAACTGCATTCATAATGCAGTTCATTTTGAAGTCATCTTTATGTTTGTGCATGAGAAAGTCAAAGTTCTATCAAGGTAGCTACTACATGGACTACTACACGTGCGCGGACGCGGACGCACACGACAACACTGCGCGTGTATACATGCACTTGGGCAGCCATCCACTTCGGTGTCCGACTTCTCTGCCGACACCCCTGCCCTACCTCTCCCTTCCCTTCCTTCCCTTCCCTTTTCCTAGCGGCATCGAGGCCTCTTTCCTTCAAGTCGACCGTCGTCCGAAGAGAAGCTTGCGAGCGTCGAGAGTTCGAAATCTTGCAGGAGGACAAGTTTTCAATAAACAACAGGAGGTGGGTTATGGCGAGAGGCGAGCGTCGAAAGGAAACGGGACCGGGGAGAAGAGGGTGTCGTAACGACAGGAGGGGTGAATAGGAACTGGACCGGGGTGAGGGCAAATCGAGACTTGTAGCGGATGGATGCGGAAGAGAGAGACGTCTCGGTGATGGCGGCAGGACGGAGGGAGACAGATAATAAGTGGAGTAGACTTGCAGTTGCAGGCTAAGACATGCATGGGGGTAGTCACTGAGTACTATATGCGTCACGCGTCGCCCCAATACCTTCTCTCGTCCTCCGTTCGATCCCCAAGCCTCCAGCTTCCTCTTGCAACGAGACATAGTCCGCGCACCCAGTGTTGGCTCCACGGAGGGTTGTCGTTTGGTGAACCGATAAAGACAACGGACAAGGTTGTTTGGAAAACGCGTTGATTTCGGGTCTTTTCTGTGCTAGTGCTTGGAAACGGTCACCGCCGTGAGTTGGTGTACACGGTTAACATGGGCGGAGTAAGTACTAGGCAGCAATGTGATGTTATAATCCCTACTATATCTTGATCGTTGTGAAGGGTCTCCCTTCATGATTGCCGGGAAAACCTCAGCGCTTTCTTCATGTCCACCAAAGTCTCGTCAATCTCGGCAACGGACCTGTCGAGAAGACCTTGAAACTCAGCATACAGACAAGAAGGAGCTGAAGAGAGTACGCTTAACGGACTGCTTTTTCACGGTGGTCTGATGGAACTCACGGCATTGTACACACGCTTCCTTTACAACAGACAGCGTCGGTTGGGGCAGGGATCCTCAGCGTCCATGTACCCTGTCTCTGGGCATGATGGAAGGGATTTTGGCATCGTACATGGCAGATACAACGCGTTGGAGATTCTACTATTGTGATCAGTATATATCAACAAAGATCTGAGATACTCACGTCTTCATAGAATACCATCACTACAAGCATCCTCCCATCCGTTTTCGACCTTGGACATGGACGTTAGCGAATAGGGCGGGCATCACTCATCCGGAAGTGCGTGCAGAGGCATCAGCGTAGTCTCGTCTGGGCCATTCAATTGCAAACTTGATTTTCTTCTGGCATTTATCGTACTCGGCAATGTCGTTTGGGTTGGTGAGCGGTTATTAGGAACCTGGTTTTAGGGAGGTCGTTGACTAAGCATTTTTGGCGTAGTTTCTTTGTTGTGGGAGGGGTGTTCGTATTATCAGAGGGCGAATTGAAGGTTTAGCTGCCCTTATGACGGACAAGAAGATGCGAGAACGAGTTTGCTACAGTGAAAAGCTTTGACGGATGACCGGGCCGATAGCCGAAGCCTTTTCATCGACCACGATGGAACGACCTACGCATTGTGAGTGTATTCATCTACGCACTAATTCCAGCTCACCCTTTGCAGTTCTGTCGACACCCTTCGGACTAGACCTGAACCTTTCCCTCTTCTTACGAGCCAAATTCTCCTTGTTAGAGGGCTTGGTTACCAGGCTACCTTCGGACAAGCACATCCTATTCTCCGTGCAAGAGTTGCCGCCCTCAACCTTCCCGCACCAGACTTTACGCTGTTCGCAGGTCCTCAACGCGTCCACCTCACTCTTCCCTTCCAACTGCACTCGATCTCCTGCACCGCCTCCCGACGCTCCTTCCAATCATAGACGCACCTCCGACTGTCACCCTCAACACCCTCGATGTCCTCAGAACGGAATCCCGTCGTCGTGCCCCGTTTTATGGGTCGGTCGATCTCGTCCCGAGCCTTTGTTCAGCCGCAACAATGAGATCTTCTGAGAAGAGGGCTTCATCACTGACACTCATGAACAGCACCTTCCCATCTCACAGAGATGAACGTTAACTCTTGGCGTGTCGTACAAGCCCATGGTGACTGCGATCGGGAGCTCTACGTACTCGCTCTCCTTTACGCTGAAGCATCATATTTGAATGGTAGAGGCTGTTTCGTTCGAGGTCGCCTGTAGCTGGGACGTGGACGGCGCCTATGTTAGCTGTGGTAGCACATCATTATCAACCCGTCTGCCATCCACACCTTAACACTGCATATGTCAGCTCCTCCCATCCGTTGTTCCCTTTGCACAGTCATACTTTCGTCCTGGGAGCAAGTCAATCCGGCACTACTGCCATTCACGGATTCTCTCCAAGACGCCTTTTACTCGTCGCTGGACCATGGTGAATTCGATAAGGCTTGACCATTTACTAGCTTGCTCACCGGCAAGACTGAGGGTGTAAGGGAGTGCATAGTGAGGTGTATCAGGTATGGTGAAGAGTAGCAAGGCTACTCTTCGCAGACAGACCTCACCTCGGGCAAAAATCACGACGATGTCAATGACAGGAGTTCGGCCAAAAACTGGGACACATCAAACAACCAGTTGTCGAAGGCGTCGAGAAGGATATTTCGAACTTGAACTAAGGAACGGATGGTGGTAGATGCTAGGTGGCACATTTGGTATTGTGAGTGGCGTTGGTCCTCCCACAGATTTCTGATTCAGCGCTGCGATTCGAATCCGGTCTTCAAGTTGCCGTCTCGTCTTGCACATCCACGTCCCAGCGAGGTGTATCAGGTATGAAACTGGTGGCTTAGACTGGTCCGACAACGATGATGAAGACATGATGGTGGTGGGAGTGGTGGGTGGTAAGAGAAGCGTGTCAGCCTGACAACCTGGTAGCAAGCTGCTCTTTGACCTCCTACCACCACCATCGATGCAACTCCTTTCTTTCTCTACAATGATTCGTGGCTTCGGCATTCGCTGACTTCTTGGTCTGGGAATATTTTGACTATTCAATCGTCCTTGTAATTGTGGTTCCTACTAATAAAACTGTATTAAAGAGTGAGTGTATCAAGTCAGCACGTAGTACCAGTGTTGTATGACCTCAGTTCTGTGAAGTAACACTATGAATGAAATATACTTATCAGGATCTATATCTACATGTAGGTATGAACGCTGAAGGACAGCAGAATAGCACAGATAACAATGAACATTGCAATGAGCACCCATGAGCCAAGCCTCGACTTCAAGTCTCTGGTTTGCACAGCAGTAGCGATCTCTGTCTCGGTCGATGCTTCGCCAACATGTGCTCCCTCTAGTGCATTACCCAGTGAAGAGGCGGTCTTGTCGTTCAATGTACAATACCCATCATCTGATATGACTGATGCCAACTCAGATACGGTATCATTCAAAGGCATCCAATCTATTACATTTGATCAGCGGTCATACATGCAACAATCCCAGAGTCTCCTACCTCCCGTGGAAACGTCGAGGATCTCCACGAATGGCCACCCAAAATACTCGCAGACGTCTGCGCCACCACGGGCTGGGTCGAATCCATAGTCGGCGTTCAACTCGGGTACGGTTGTAAGCAATGTTTTAGACACATCCAGTCCGAACAATATCTCATCTTTAGAAAGCTTCACACCAAAAACTTCCTCCGCTTCAACTGAAGACATCTCTGAGTCTGCATCATAGAGCCATGTCAAGACAGGCAAAGACACCTTGTTCGTCTGATAATCAATGGAAGGAGCGCTTATTGACAATGAGAGCGTATGATGGTCTTCGGCCATGAACGTATTGCAGAGACGAAAAGGGTCATACCTCTCTTCCAGGCCAACACAAAGGGTAAACCGTGTGTCTAAATACGCTTGTTAGTTGATAGTTGCCAGTCAACAGACACCCACCTATTAGAAATAGCTCGTCATCATGACCACGACACCTGGAGTGGACACAATATTGTAGTTGTGAAGCTTGCGCAATCCACGAATCCAAAATCCTGTCAAATGAACGCAACTGGATGTAAGCATAATAGGTCAGAGTCCCAGCATACGGTAAGGGAACCGTTATTGGACCACTGCCAATGAACAATTAGCAAGAAGATATAAGATCAACGTAACAACGGACTTGTTTGTCGAGGGCAACGATAATATAGTGTCGTTGTTGTCCGGTGTTGTCCATTCCACGTTCCATTCGTCCAATCTAGTCTGGACTCTGCCCACCAAAGTCTCCCCGTGCTGGCATGAGGTCAATACACTACCCGGCATGTAAGGTTGAGTTGGTGGATGGAAAACCTGATAAGGTTTAGCCCAAATAAGGCGTTTGATAGCATCATACACATTGCATAAATTGTCCTTTCGCAATGTCAGTGACGAGGACCATCTGCTGATTTCGCTGGGATGTGGCTCCCCATTCAACAGGCCCCAAAATTGGACACGGTCCCCTGGTGTACGAGAGATCCACATAATAAAACTCCCAATGAGGTATTCAAATGATACCATAGCCGTCACGACAATTTGTCCAGTGTTCATTGAGAGTGATATGGCTTTCCTTCAAAATTGTCAGTATACATCAAGAGTATCCATGACTTGACCTGACATCTGCGGCATCTGCCCGGCTTCGCATAGCAGAAAGCGGGTAGTGCCTGAACAAATGCTCTGCGACTGACTGCATAACGGATATTCAGCCGTATCCTTCTGGACTCTGACAGATCATACCTCTAAATCATAGAACTATACAGTGCCACAGCAGGAGATTAGCCGCATTGGTCCAAAATATCAAAGAGAAGGTATTTCACCAGTTGGATATAGAATGGTACGATTTGCTTTGCAGTCAAGTTACGTTCATAATCATCGAAAGGGATCTGTGTGGTACCTGTACACGTATACATGGAACTTAGACTAAACTGAAGACAAAAGGGACCAATACCCTCACCAGTGAAACACGATCGCTGGAAAGTTTGGCGATCTGCAGATGCCAAAGACTTGTGCGATGTTTGGGATGCCTACACAAAGCATCACTTGATGATTACTGGACAGATATGGAAAGCCGAACTTCATTTTAATTAAAGCATCCTGCATCATCATTGAATTGCTAGATAACAAAAATGATGTTCACTTTGCCAGTGAATAAGATAGTAACAGACACTTACTTTCAGTATAGCTTCTTCGTTATCAGGAGAATGTTGGTATACGCGAATGATTTTTGCTGTGTTGCTGTTTCTCGACTGTACCGTACCTGTCTTCGCATCCAGGAGCAGAACGACGCCTTGAAGGAGACACGAGCTTTCCTATGTAGATGTCCCCCGGGAAAAGTTCTCGAACCTACGAATAAGATATAGATATGTTTGATATGAGGAACCACCTACCTGTCCTTTATAATATCCCTTCAGATCCTGAAGCTTCTCACAAATCTGGGCTGCATGTTCCTTCTGGATATCGCCCAAGGAACGTATCTCGCCTTGGATGCAGTGAGCTTGAGACACGACAGTCGAGGTGATACGTGACTGTGCTGTCTCCGTGGCTTGAGTGACTGCACTCAGTGCATCCTGCATCTCGGACATCGCGAGCCTTGAGTCGGTAGTAACCCGAACCTTGAAAGAGACTGACAGTCAATACAAATAACAGTACGTACAAGGCCCAAGCACATACAAGGTAATCTGCCTTGATGTTGTTCACTCGCTGCTTGTATCCGTCGATAACACCGGAAATCTTCTTCGTTTTCAGGAATCGCGTAATGCCTTTGGACTTCGAGTTGCATCGAGTAGTGTTTATTTCGGCAACCAAACCCTCCAGGTATCTGGACAGAAGCTTCGGTAAGTGCAGTTCAACAATCTGTACATGCCAACTCACGCCTGAAGCTCCACACATACATCACGAAAACGCGTCGCGCTCGTATTGCCGTGCGCTTCAACGGTTTCCTTGATGATTCGTATTGTTGTTCCAACGCTCTCTGCCAAGTCCTGAAGGTCCTCGTTGTTCTTGCCAGCTAACTAGACTCCCGCTCAGTATCATACAGGAGCGCTTAACAGGACGTACCTCAATGACCTCGAGAACTGTAGCTATACATCCTGCAACACCCTTGATGTATGGAAATGGGGCCATTTCACCTGCCGCCGCAGTAAGCCTCGCAAATTGTATCCATGCACCAATATTTGAATCTCCCAACATTCTGGTGGTGATGATGAGAGAGTGGGTCTGCCGTTGGCACAGCCGAGCCTAGCATGGTATAAATATCATGATGTTATGCTGTTTCTGAGCTGTTAAGATCACATGCATGGGAAGCTCGAGCTGAATTAAAAAGTCTAGCAACTTTATGGGGCCATGTAAGAGGATAGAGGATCATCAGAAATACAGATGAACAGCAGGCTGAAGTCCAAGCTTGGACATTAGGCCGTGAGGAAGGGACGTTGAATGGGCAAATTCCATGGTGGTGGCAAGAGAGATGCGTCGGCCCGACAACCTGGTAGCGAGCTGGCTTCCTGTCACTTATAGAGGGGCAACAGCGATTCAGACGGCTGTGCATCCACCATCACATTGAGCTGTTTGAGGGCTGTGCCACAGCTTGAGTTCTTGACGTGCAGCTGATATACATGAGAAGCTCGTGTTTATTGTGATTTTCAACCTGTAACAGGATCGTCGACTAGAGACGAAATTATAGATACCTATCTGTGCGAAGCTTACAAAGATATTGCCAAGAAAGAAAAGCTTGTCGAAACAGACATAAAAACACGTAGCAGGATCCGAGATGCCGACGCTCCTTCCGTCATTCAATTGGCTATCCTTTGATTCTTCTCACGAACCACTGGAACATAGATCGCTGTATCCACAGAATGTAGCCTGTCCACGATAAGAGTGATCCTCGTGTCGGAACTCCTACTCATCTCCCTATATAGGGCCTGCAAGCACCGATGTCCAAAGGGGAGTCAAAGGTTCGTCATTCCGTCAGGGACTGGCTCGAGCACAGAGGGATTGTCGATATGGACACGATGCATGTTATCGTCGGTGTGGTCCTGTATATGAGTTCTGGGGGATAACCCCTTTGACCCTGAGCCCACTCGCTGTATCGTCTGCTAATCCCGCCGTTCATCAAACTGGCCAAGTCGTGCACCGAACGAATGTTCCCTGTCGGCTCCTCGCTATGAAACCAGTTTTGTCATGGTCTGTATCGATGTTGCATGTCTCCTCCTGGAAATAGCATGCCCGAGTCTTGAAAGCTTGACTCTTGGAAAAGAGGAGGAACGGCACCTTGGAAGGTCTAGTAATGGATTCCGAGAAGCGTTTACGTGAACTGACCCTAGTCGGAAATAGCGCGCGCGCAGGATGAAGAAGAGACCGACGATGCGTCTAATCTCGTCTATATCAGGTTTATCAATCTGCTTGTGAATAGTCGACCGACTAGAAGGAAGCGCTCAGAAATTAGACGGAAATTTAACAGAGCGAGGAACTCACAAGTGAGACATGCAGCGATTTTGACGTTGATATGAACTCGTAGGGTTGTGCTAGCGTAGTAACACCCGTCATAGATACAGAGAGCACAGGGTGCAGATTTGGGCTGCAGCATGCGCCGGGACTCAGATTGGAAGCGAGATAGGAATTAATGACACTATTGAGCGTCATGGCAGGCCTGCTACAGAAAACGGAGGCTGCCATCGTATTCCACGATGTCGAAAATGGAGGTGTATGACGGATGACGGCCTGGAATGCGGCGAGGGGTGTCGTTGTCGTCATTGTCGTTGGTGATGATGAAGTCTGCGGGAAAAACGAACTTTAGAATCGAGTTCCTCCATGTCGGATACGCGGAGATGATGCCAAGTAAGGACGTGGGGCGGGAGGTAGGTGCGTATGTTGGATTCGGGCAGGGATGGCGGCAGCGGGGTCGTCATTGGTTACATCATGAGTTTTCCTGGCATCGTTAATTGAGTCCATGGGAGGCATAGCCGTCGTGACCGCCGTTGAACATCAGTGTCCCGATCTCCACCCCGCCCTCTCGCTCGTACCGTCTTCCGCAGCACACATTCAAAATGCCTCTCTCTCTCTACCACAGCCATACTCCACCCTCTAACACGGCTCTCCTTTGTGTTTGAAGTCCCCCTTGCACTCCCGTTGTTGTTGTCACCGTCATAGTTGGGATTCCGTTGCGGGTCCTCCCCTGCTATGAGATGGGGTCCGATGTTGAGTCTCAGGTGATATACTATGTCCCCCACATCCCAAGGTTGCATGCCCGACGGTGATTGAGGTCGATATGCATGCCATTGAGGGCCGTAATTGGGCAATTCCAGGGGGATGGTGGGCGCAGTAAGGGGATGTGTAGTGGCCATATCTGGCGTCGCAGAGGGATTCGAAGGACGTGTTGCCTCACATAAGGGCTTATGCGGGGTATAGGAGATGAAGTGGTCGGTCTCTTGAAACCACCAGATACGCCGAAAAGACCTAAAACAAATGCATTAGTGTAGAAGATAAATAAAACGCACCATAAACCCATGCAAATGGGCAAAAGGAACGAACGAGAGGGCAGGAACCGAAGTAGTAGTGATGGAAAACTGGAAAACTGGATTTATTGGCCACCTCTGCTGATACAGCTCAGGTAAATAAGCGCAAACTAATCTACCTCGGTAGCTCATTGTAAGTAAAGGTACACGTATGAAGGGAAACGGTCAGGACGATAAGATAGGAGATAAAAAGGATGGTAAATCAATGGCTACGGCGTTATTATTCTTTTTCGATGGAGCCGGACGTACCCTTCGCTTATATTCCGCCCAAATCCTGCCAGCCAGACGAATGCATGACGTGTGCCACGTGTGAGCGATGCGTACCAACAGACGACTTGTCTTCGCTCCCGGCAAACCAGTAAGTGCGGGCAAGGGTGGCGTTAGGCCAAGGTAGAAGCGAGATAGAGATTGGGGCCAAACGGGGCCATCTTCAAAGAGACATCGGACCACCTGAAGAAAGGACCTGCAAATGAGCAAGGGTACTTCTGCAGAGTCCAGGATACGGGATGTCTCGGTAATCAGTGTTTGTGTGGCATGTTGGCGGAAGGAGCGATACACAGGGCACGAGACGAAGACGTGGTGGACGGTTTCCAGTGCATCGCATCCACTGATGCACATGGGGGATACGTTTCCGAAGCGTCGGAATCGTGCGTACGTCGTGTCCAGCTGATCTGATCTCGCGTAGAGCTGTACCAAGGCTGAATATGCCGAGGAGGCCCGCAAATAGGGATGTTCGGGAGGTGTGTGTTGGTCGTGGAACGGCAGTAGCATCGTCATGGCAGGGCGGAAGTCTGGGCTAGAATAAGCAGCGGAAGTGAGTACAGATGGCAGATATGATGATATACTTGTTTCAATGTAGCCGTCGTTTGGTGAGTAAAGCATAAAAGAATCCATAAAGAAAGTAGGTAAGGGTGCGGGAGGTGGCCGAATTTGTAAATGCTGAGAACCTGATGCGAGCCGATCTGCAAGCGCATTAACTGTTGAAGGGGTCGAGGAGGAGTTGGTGTGAGCTGGAGTGTAGATGATATTGGGAGGATGATGTGGTGGTGGAGAATGCTGCAAGAGATGAAGGAGCCATCGGTAGAGCGAACGACCAGGAAGAGATGACCATTGATGAGGCAGAGGAGGGAGGTGGAGAGCGGAAGATACAATACGAGAAGAGTTGAGGTGGTCGGTATAGAGAGTTGGAGAAGAGGGTAGGTGAGAAGGGGGTGATGGTAAATTGTATTGATGTATTGTTGATGCTATGAGTCCGTACGTCTCGCCATGATAAACCCACGCTGAAGTACGGAAGCAGTCGAGATTCATGGCCAGGGCAGAGGAATGAGAAATTGACGAGAAGGTTACTGAACGTTGATGTCGGAAAGAGGGTGCAGCCGGAAGCATAGATGCGTCAGATGCGAAAATCCCAGGAGGAATGGAGGTGGGAAAGGGCGCGTGAGGGGAAACAGCGTAGTAGGCATTGATGAGATCTTGTGCTTGTTGCATACGCAACCTTGGAGGTAAACCCAGGAACCAAAGGGGCTCCAAGTCCAGACACTGACTCGCAGCTGCACCACGGAGGAGATTGTCATCCGTGCCAGCGATCTGTATGCGAGTTTGGCAACCAACCGCTCTCCGTCGTCTCCCTACAACATTATCTGTCATGTCCGAGTCCGTAGCCATATACCCATTGACCAGATCCATCAGCGTTAAATCGGAAAGCCACTGTGAGGTTTGTAACCACTGTTCTTGAGCGCGAGTGGTAGCATTTTGAAAGTGGACATTGGGATGAGGTTGTAGTTGCACAACGTCATGTTTTGCGGGATCTAGGGTGAAGGATGCGATGTCAAAGAGGTGAGTCAGTCCGGCATTAGCCAAGTTGGTTATAAACTGTGGTGGTAGACTGAGACGAGTGTGTAACGTGCGATTCAGGTGACGCAGAGACACATCGCCATAGAAAAGGAAAGAGAGATCCGTGTTACGGATGGACAAACCGTTTTGGCGCATAGTGTCATGTGCAAGCCGCCACTGGAAAGGCAGGCCACTTTGTTGCCGCATGAACGAGGTGTTGAGAGACGCGCCGTGAAGAGGAAAGACACAATGGTTCAGTTGACATGTCCAGTCCGCGAGCGTGATACGAGCCATATCTCGGAATGTTCCTATATGATGGTTAAGGTCACGAAGCAGGCCGTTCACGGCTGCTACGCGATTCAAGCGAGAGATAGAGGGGAAATCAAAACCATGGAGTGACAGAGGCAGCGAAAGCAAGGTAGAGTTAAAATGAAAAGGAAAGGAGAAGTACTCGTGTACCTTTGCTGTGATCAAATGGTCCAAGTGAACAGCGTCAGTCTCTGTAATTGGCTGATAGGCCAAATGAGGCCTGAGTTTTGAGACTAGGCACTGTGAAAGGACACGGCGTAGTGCCGGCAAAGGAAGGCGAATATTTTGGAGTGAAGGGAAATCAAAGGAAGATATCAAACCCTTGAGCTTGTGGTACTGCGCAGAAGGATCATTGATGGAAAGACGCAGGAACTCGATGTGAGAGGTCGACACCGAGAGATCATGTTGGACTAGGATATCGGGCTGTGCTGGGTGGACCGATGTAACTTGGAGATGAGAGGGAGGGTTAGGAACGTTTCGAAGGAAGGCGGCTGATTTGGGCCAGTTGGTTTCACCGCCATATGCGCTTTGGAAACGTTCCGACATCGTTATAGAGGAGAGGCACGTTGGCAATGAGGTTGTTACAATGGCAGAGTCATCCATCGCCTCCACCATCACAACCGGAATCGAGATTCTGTCGTCGGGGAGATGAGGTTGACCACGGGAGGCTTGAAGTGTTGCAACATGAAGGTGGCCAGTTTGGTGACGCAGGGAATCGGATAACCAGTGACTACCCATACTACTCGTCAAGGTGCACTTGATTGGGGACAGTGGTCCGCCCTGTTTCGTAATCCCACTAATTGTCAGTGCGTCTGTCAATCCGTAAAATGTCTTTATCCGATAAGAGACATCACTCTGGGCTGAAATATCGAAATCAATGATAGAGGAAGGCAAACCATAAGCCCTTATGGCGTCGTAAAATCCTTGAGGCTCGAGTCGATCAAAACCCTTTTTCTGATCTCGCCGAACGATGTATAGTGGAGTTTTGGTGCGGTCGGCCCAAGTTTCAAGCTGAGCAAGGAAAGAGGTCAGATCTCTTCCCTGTATGCCTGGTTGCGTCGCAATCTGTCCTTCTGGTAAGACAGAGTGTTGAGCTAGATATGGAGTTAGCAAGGAATTCAGCCACGCAAAAGGCATATTCATGCACAAGTTGCTTGTGCAGATTCCACGGAAGTTAGTGAGATCAGTTGCATCCCCTCGTTTATGAATGAGGGAAATAGAAGAGGGCTTAACACAAGAAGGGAAATGAGAGGTGTCAATGCAGTAGTTCCAGAGATCCAAGACAAGCTGAAATGAGAAGTCATGAAGACTCTTTACCATCCATTTCTCCCAGCGATCAGGACCAGGAGCCGGTCGGGGATTACCTTTACGAATCAGAGAGCGGCCAGAAAGCAGGTCCATCTTTTGAGGCCATTGAAAGGAATCACATCTGACGTTTTCCCTGATTGAACGAACAGATGGACAATCCATCCATGGCTTTGGTGGGTCAGGACGGTCATTCCTGCAGTACAATGCAGAAAAGTAGTCCATCGTTTGAGCCTTAACATCATCGGCACCGGTAAAGTATTTGCGAGCATTAGGATTGTGGTCGTCGGGAATTGAAATAGCTGGTGGAGGTCCTTGAAACTGCGAAGGAGGATAGAGACGCTTAGCAGAGCCACCAAGAAGACATCTGTTAAGACGACTTTTATCGGCTTTGGTGGAGCGCGAACGTCGTTCATCCCTTTCAGCCTTGTATCGAAGCTTGGAGAGAGCAGAGCGAGCCTTTTTATAAAACAGAAGAGAAGAAGGTGAGTAGAATAGTGATGGAGGGGACAGAATTGGATGAAGGAAGGGATGACCAGAAAGGGCCTGAAGATAGGTGCCCGTCCATCGATTCCGGGCACACAACTGAGGCAGAGATCGTCTTTTCAAGGCGGAAATCATCCTATTCAAGCGAGAATACTCGCGAAGAATGATAGTGATGGTTGGGGTTACTATCTTCTGATGCGAGCGGTCGTAGGTATTGGGGAGATCAAAAGCCTCGTTGCCAGCGGCCAGGAAGATGTCTGTTAGAGCCTGCCATCGAAGTTGATAGTCGGAGTCATTTGTTATAGGATGCTCATGAAGTCGAGCTTCCCGCGCAAGGCAATCAACACGGTCTGCAAACGTTTCGAATCGGTAAGACTCATGGCGTTTGGGGACTATGAAGCGAGGCGGGTAGGGAGACCTGTCTTGAGAACATGCAGATGTTAGAGATGAGGATGCATCCAAATCTATAGGCGGTGAGCAGAAGACTGCTGATGATATCAATTGGTGATCAGTTCCTGGCATAAAACAGCGAGGAACAGAGATCACAGAGAGATCAATCCCATGGGATGAATGAGCGCAACGGTCAATGATGGACCGACAAGTGCCATTGTAGGCATTGAAGGTGTACACATGACGAGCATCATTATCATTCTGGTTCTCCCATGTATCAATCCCACGAGACTGATGTAGGAAGTCACGGTACGCGGTGCGGGCATAGTTGTCGCCTGTCGCGTCGCCCATAACCTCTGAGGATGTGAGAGTAACATTAAAGTCACCTATAACTTGCCAAGAGTGTTGAGCAGATGCACATAAGTAAGAAATGCAGACCCAAAAGTCATGGAGAGCGTCATGCGGACTTGGAGCACCCCCTGGGTCATACGGAGCATATACTCCCACAAGGCGATGAGAGAAGCCCCTACCACTGTCAGAGGGAAGAACGACATCAACGCATACAGCTCTTCCAGCCAGTTGGGGCGGCAGAGGGACCAATTGCGAGTGCAACGAAGCAGTAACTCCTAAAGCAACGCCCCATTTCGAGGTGGTTTTATCAGCTTTAACGCCAGGAGATTCGAATACCTTATAGTCTCGTACGTTGATGCGTGAACGCACCGAGGAACGGGACTTGGTCTCAGCAATCAACCAGGCATGTGGACGGTGGGTGGACACAATGTTAGAAAAAGCGGAATGTTTCATCACATCAGAAAAACCATTCGTATTCACAGAGACAGTCCGAAAGGACTGAGACATATTTGCAGATACAGAAGAAAAGAAACAGAAGAAAAGAAACAGATGGAGAAGAACAGGGACAGAAAAATGAATTTTCGTAGAAGAAGAAAGACGCGTAGTTTCTCCCATATCTCGCCCAGATGTGCGGAGCATTTTTGAAGGTGATTGAATGGGTTCACTGATAGTGGGAGGAGAGGAAGCGAGGTTACAAGGAGAAACGTGAAGGAAAGGAGGCATGCTCACGGATTGATCCATCTGGGGTGTGTTATTTTCACCGACAGGGTCAAGGCGACGACGCTGATGGGGACGGTCATCCTCCTCGCCTTCAGGGTGTTGATGGGGAGGAAGTTGGGGCCCGTCAAGGGAGGACGTCAAAGTGAAAGTCGCCATCCTGTCGGCCAGTGACGTATAGTAGACGTTAGCCTCACCTCGTAATTTGTCTTGAAGCTGAATGGCCCTGTCAAGCGCAGCGATCTGGTTATTGACCTGTGCCTTGACCTCATCATTAGGAGCCATCAGCAAGAAAAGCTCCTTAGAGGACCGTTCAGCGCGAAGACGAGTGAGCTCATTATCTGCCATAGTCAAGCGATGTAGACCAGTTTGAGAGGCAACAGACATCGCGAACGCATTTTGAAGAGCATTGACGGAGGCATGAATGCTCATGAGAGACTGGTTCTGGATGTTGAAAACGTTCTGAACAGATTGAACAGTCTGTACGCCGTTTTCGCGGAGAAGATCAATCTGCCGTTGCAGGTTTTGAATGTTGGCTGAGGCTGTGGCTGAATTTTCACTGTGAAGATAAGTAGGAGAGGCTGGACATCCACGCAAGTTGAAGAAGAAGAGGTACATGGGTTTTGAAATGGTGACGTAGGGAGGTACACCCCGGGGCAGAGGTAGGTCGGTGTTGAGCAGGCGAACAGTGTTTTCGAAGCTATCCATGATGACGATGTAAGCGTCACCATTCAGTTCCATCCTGCTCCGAATAATTGAGCGAGGACCGATAGTCTCGCGAATGACTGCATCCATCCCACCCTGAAAACCCTGGATTCCGCCACAACCAGTGATAGCGATGTCATACCCGAACTCTGGCACAACGAAACGAGGCCGGAATATGGGTAAGACACGGTGATTGATGACTATCGGGTTGGATTCCAGGTTTTCAATGGATGCGGGATCGAGAAAGTCAAACGCAAGACGGATAGCATTCGCGAGGGGCATGATGGTATGGAACTGAAAGAGCAGGCCCCTACTGTTAAGAGCAGCAGCAAGCTGGTCTTTCATGTTCTCAGCGTCGTTGACACTGTCCATGTTGAAGAAGCCCCTTCGAGTTCGGTCATACCCGCTCGTAACCTTCCAGTCGGCTTTGAGTCTGCCATGAGCAATGATAGCGCGCCTGACGCTGTATAGAATGTCAGGTCGGGGAGTGGCGGAGAGCGATGGGGATAGGGATATGAAAACGTAGTCAACAGCCTGTCGAGCATTTCCAGGGACGACTTTAAGATCAGCTGGTAAAGGCATGTAGGTCTGGGGCGAAGTGAGACGAGCGTGCTGGACAATGTGGGGGTAGGTGGCCACAAAGTCAGTCTGAGCAGACGACTTTGAAGACCGATCTAGTCCTGACACGGCGAGCTCCAGACCCACAAACACAGTTGAAGAGGGTTCGAGCTCTCCCGGTGGAGTATGAGGGCGAGGGAGGTGGTCGAAGCTGGGGTTTTCGAAGGCAGGCAGGGGGTGAGACATTGTTGCAAAAGTGCTGGGGTGGTTTCAGATTCTTGAGGGCGAAAATCAAGTATTACAAGTTGATAAGCAGAATAGATTGATAAGGAGAGTAGGGTTTTGGGAGAATTATAGTGAGAATATCATAAACGGCGGAAGGAAAGGATGAAGGAGGCGCGTCGGCCCGACAACCCGGTAGCGGGCTGTCTACCACTACCATGGATCCAACTCCTTTCTTTCTCTGCGAACATTCTACCCCATCTTTCGATGTTCAATAGGATTATTTTACCTAGACTCGTATCTCATATCTCGAGAAAACGATCATTTGATTTGGATATCAGGTGCGTTCTTTAGAGTTACATACCGCAAAAGCTGACCGATTCCTTCTTCAGAGATTTCTTTGCTATTTTTTCCCCCAAAAAACCACTTTTCTGTGCTCGATATGGCCTACCGCCGTCTGCCAATACAACACCCTTTCCATCAACCTGGCGACACTGGTCGGGGAACGATTACTATGCAGGAGCAGCAAAGGAAACCGCGAGCAGAAGGCCATTTTCTGTCCTGACGACGTAGCTTTCTTCAATGGTGGTCTGTGCGTTCAATATATGCAGTGAATGTTGCCATTTCTGTGTGTGTGTTTTTTATCACCACGGAGGCGCCCCAAGTTGGTTTCTCTCCTACCACCTTCTCGGTTGTGACAAAAGCCGACTAAATATTTTACAGAGGTATATATTACAATTATTCTGCGGTCAAGGTTTGCATTTCACGTCCACGTCCTCTGACACGAGTATCACACATGGATTTCCACTGCTTTGGCACTTCCCATTCTCCCGGTGCCATCAATCTCGGCTCATAATGCGAGGTAACTCCCTAAATCCTGCCCGGGAAAAACGGTAGACCCGAGCCCTCTATCACTATCATGGCTTTTGCGATCGTGTGAAGGCTGGCATATAATTTCTGCCTCGAACTACAAGACTAATTGGGAACCTTACCTTACCTCCATGGACTCGTCCCAGATGGAGATACTACCTCAGAAGACAGGATTGTACCGGGAACGCAGCATAAGATTCAATTGTGTAGCCGTGGATATTAGATTACATGGGATCACGACGAACGATCCGCTTCCCGAAGGTTACAGTGCACAGGACACTGCTGAAGACGTCGCGTTGTTCATGGTGATTGACTCATTGGTTCAACGTGGCTTAACTGATTGCGAGGTTCGATGGGCAACATCAAGTTACCCGCCTGCCACATCGTGGGCTTGTCGATGGGCAGTATGGTAGCGATCTCCCTCGCTGTCTACTATCCAAATCAAGTCGCCTCTCTTTTCCTTGTGTCGCCGCTAGGGCTGGAGGAGGTGCGCTTATTGATGTGTTTAGGCAGTAGCTGAGACTGCACGTAGCCGGCAGATGTCGCCGATGGCCGACGGGAAATAGCGGAGAACTGGAGGGAAGCGTTCAAGACAGGCGAGCCTGACATGGCAGCCATCTCTGACTCTGTCTACGGCGCCCATCAATTAGGTTTCAGCGATAATCTCAACGACTTTGTGAACGTGTGCGTACCGTGGTGTTCTCTTTTTCATTATAACTAACTGTCGTTTCAGGCTAACTAATATCCTAATTCCTCCGGCCTTGAAGAATTCTGTTCCTGGTTTCTTTGAACAGTACGACAGAGCCGTAGGTGATTTTATAAACCACCGAAAGGAATACACCAAGGATCAGCTTTCTCGGATACGCCCCTGTCAAGTCGATCCATTGCCTAGGGAGCATTGCATACCCTCAAGAATACTCGGAAATTTTTATGCAACAGCTTAAAGATGCTGCAGTAAATGTCGGCATGGCCACCATACCAGAAGCACCACACTTCGGCGTTGTAACACACGGGGATATGTGAGTTGAATTACTTCAGGCTATCAGAGCGAATGACTGATGTTTTTTTTCTAGTGTTAACCAACTACATGCATTCATCATAGACAGCTGTCGGACGTCTGTTCCTCCGGCACCCCAAGAAGTCAGCTCTCCGTGAGAAGCAGATTTGGTGAAGGCAGGTTGGAAAAAGGGTGGGGACGACCCTGAGGCCGATTGAGATCGGACCGCAAATCCTATACCCTTTTTTTGCTGTTAGGTACGGATTGTTAATAAAGCACAGTGGAATGTACGCACGCGCTCCCTATGCGTAAGAATCATACCTGTGAAGCCAAGGCCGAGTTGACGGTGATTTGGCTTTCACCCATCGGTTGATGTCGTAACTGCACTTTCTCTTCAGTCTTTCGTTGGAGAAACTGACTCACTAATCAGACCTGCTAATCAGATGGATTCGGTGGGACGCAACTGCATGGGTTTGGATATTGGATTTATGGTGAAATCCCGCAGAATTGCCAACCTAGACATGGTTGGAGTCATGCACACCATGGTGGTCTGTCTGTTTGCCTTGTTCTTTCCCTTCAGTGAGCCAACTGATCGGTGGTCCACTCCTTTTTGGTTGAAAGATTTTCAGCAGCGTCACCGTTATCACTGCCCGATCTCATTGAACACGGCTGTGGCATGCACGAAATTGTGACAAGCAAAGTGTCTACTACTCGAGGAACTCCCTGGTTACGCCAGGATCAAGTCACGTAGAAAATCTCCGTAGACAGTCTTATGCGACCGCCCAAAAAATATGCCAAGTTATCCTGCTAAACAAGATGTTTGCTTCTATGTCCGCATTCCTAGATTGAGCTGAATAAAATTTCTAGGCTTTGGCTGGCTTGGAAAAATATTTCTGGTAGCGTCTCTTTCCGCTTCGTCGCAGTTTTGATTCGACACCCCAAAGAAAAGCTGTAGATTAGGTGTCGCCCGAGGCTGCAATGTCCTCTTTCTTTTGGTACGTTTTTTGACGACCGATCCTGTTTGATTCCCATCTAAGAGCTACAAGCAGGACAACGAAGGGTGCTCAAGATCAGTATTTCTTCCCTCCCAATGCAACAGGGCAGCCATCCCGTTCCTGTACGCAGAATACTTGTCGTAGGGTACGCTCCAAGCAAGAAGGTGCCAGACGTGCCTGGATGTCTATGCTCTCGACATAAACACGATGTTTTCTTCACACTTGGATAAACCGGTTACGATGGATGTGCTATTCGAACTCTGTGCTCCCGCTGGAGTAAAGGAAGCAGACAACAGCAAAAGCATCAGCGAGATATCCAGGAAACCTTCTCAACTGTCGTGCCCTCGCATACGTCCTTCTGCTCATGGTCCCGGGATGGATATTATGTCAAACAGCTGACTGCATTCGAATCCTAGTCCCGCTTTATTAATATTAGATATTCGTGAAACTCGTATCGGTATATTCAAAGCCGTAGAGCTAGATCACGATCACATGACTACCATGACACCGCGCGACGCCAACGCCTGCGGAAAGTTGTTTGTTTACAATTGCTGCCATCTTTTGGCAAGATATCCATGCAAGACGTTCTAGATACGTATTTATGCTTTTACAATCATCTAGCGCGTAATTCGTGATACGTTCCTTCTGGTGGGTGGGAAACGATTCTCTCGTTGGCATTCCATTTGGTCTACCTCCGATGACATCGTCTGTCAATCCCGCCGTTCATCAGACTGGCGAAGTAACCCATGAGTTGGTGACCCGCGTTGTGGCGCTCTCAGGAAAGAACATGTTCACTACGCGGTCCCGGATGTACGCTGTGTAACTCGGAAGCTCCATATCATTATGAAGTACTTCTGGTGGGACTTCAGGACCGCCAAGGAGAAGACGCCGAGTAGCAGACGTATGCGAATGAGCCGCTTCCAGTAGCCGATAATCAAGAAGGTGGGGAGGAAGAGAACAACGCAGCTCGGACGTGTGACCGTCGAGATTAAGGATGAGGATACTCCATCGTATTCTATGACTGACATGAATGGGTTCGAGGGCATGAGTTGGCGTAATGCAGAGGGGTATTGGGAATGTAAGGTAGGTCATGATGTCGTCGTTGCTCATCTCAAGGTTCTCAGTGTGATCAGTGGAAGTAGATGGTGATGCCGTAACGTTCGAAGGTCTGGCTTCTGCCAATAACGCAGATGATGCGTGATGAGGATTGAAGGAAAAATATCCACCACTGCCGCTGCTGCCAGAGTGCGTACTATTCCGAGGACTTGATGATAAGGAATGTGTCGTGTTCGGCGTAGTAGGCACTGAATGTCCTGGCGTTGTCGGCGATGGCTTCCAACGATGCTCCTAAGCTGGTTTTGTCGTCTAAAGTCTGGACAGACGTGGCTAAGTAAGTGGAGGAATGCTCCTTGGAAGATCTAATGACGGATTCCGAGAAGAATGAAGTGGTTCTAGTCGAAAACAGTAGGCGTGCGGGATGAAGAAGAGACTGGCGATGACTGAATGACGCCGCTTCGTAGAGTGGAAGCATGGCAAGTGGCGTTATTAGTTTGAATGCGCAAACCATCAGTGTGTGTCCGCCAGCGTTGGTTGAGAACAACAACCTTCAACACATCGTCTCCGGGCGGTTTCGGTTCGTCGTTCGGCTTTCTTGATCGCCCGCGGTACCACAGGTGTAGCCCGCTGAGAAAGGCGCCAGAGTTGCTGTGTACGAGCATGGAACATGGAGCAGATGGATAGAGAGGGCATGTGCACGCTTGGACGGAGATGGGAGGTGGGCGCGCAGAATGGAACGTGGAGGCTAAGGCTGAATTGAAGGCATCGAGTGTGTTATGCCTGTCGCCCAGATTAGTTACGCTTTTTGCAACCTGCAGCAACGCCATACCTGCCTCAACTACCACAGAGAAGGTCCTGGTAAGACCGTTCGCTCCTCGCCCTCTAGGCTTTAGGACTCGTAACTTGAAGGTCCTTCCTTCACATAGGCCATGCATGCGTAAAAGAATGGTGCTCGGTAATGTCCTTGACTGCATCGATGAAGGCGAATTGAGAGGGTACTGTGAGTAGGTCTGGTTGAGATAGACTGTCGATGAGGTGGTCCTGAATGGTGGAAACAGTGTATCTGGAGTATGCGTTATCGGGCATCACGTCAGCGGGGGCGGCGCCAGTTTTTCTGGCGAAAATTTCGATGTTAGCAAGACCTGTGGCGTAGCAAGAAACGACTGCAACAAGGCGTACACATACCCCATCCACTGAATGCTCAACCTAGGTGGAATGCCGAACGGCGTAAAGCCAACCATTGGGAAGTGTCTAGTCTGAATCCTGTGGTCATTCGAGAGAGTGGCGATGTATTGCTTTGCGTAGACTTGGACGAACAGAGCCGTCTATAGATCAAGGCTATACTGTACGAGCAAACATAGAAACCCGCGAAACAGCACAGAAGTGGAAGAAACGAACGGGCATCGGCAAATGCCGATATCCCTTGGTGCATAGCCAGCAAGCCCAGTGCGTCTTTCCTCCGCTATATGGTGGTCACTTGTAACTCTCATCATTAGACGAACCTGAAATGCTCCGAGAGGCACACCTTTGAACCTTCGAATTCCTCTCAATCTTCAGCAGGTTTGTACGAGCAACTTCTCCGGCATATATACATTTTCGTGGTCAAAGAACGCGTCACAGACGCGTTTCTCATCCCGTGGTCGCGACGGAGCAGTACTACAAAGTATGTCTCTCGGAGTGGCGTGTTTCTCAATACGAGGTCAGGCGGAAAATGGGAAACCTGGTGCGCCTCCTACTAATACACCTCTCAGCTATTTACTAGACTCCATCCTTTCAAAGTGAACGCTACCTTCTCGGAAATTCCAGCGGATTTTTATCCAATCCCGTTCAACAAGACCATTGCGCTCGGTGGATTCGAGGACGACCAGTCTATGCAGTAGTCATCAACCCAGACTGTCGACAACAACACGAATAACAAGCATCCTTCGCCTGAAGCCGCACAGTCCTCTTTATTTGGTACGTTTTTGACTATTGATCTGGTTCGATTCCCATCTAAGAGCTGCGAACAGAACGGCGACAGACACTCAAGATCAGCATACTTTTCTCCCAACATAACAGAGCACGCTGTGCTAGTCTCCTTCCTTTTCAGCGGAATTGTCCGTGGAGTATGTCCCAGGTGAGTATGCCTCAGTTCCTTGTCTTTGGTTTTTCTTAATAGTCTGTAGGTTTTCTAGTTCGTGCTACGTTGGATCTAGTTCGTCTAGTTCGTTCGCAGCAAGCAATCAGAGCCGGTTCCAAGGTCTCACAGTACAACGGTACGTCTGGTTTGCGTATTCCAAGAAGTCGTTGTTGATGTTGTTTGGCGTAGACCAAGGGAGGGCTATAACCCAACATCCATAGCCTTGAGGCTTTCTCTTCGATTTTGACGACGGCCTTTCAGTACGGGTATAATCAAATTGGATTCAAAGGTAAGTTTTAGCTACTTTGTCTCCTTATCCTTGACTGAATGAAAGGTTTACATTTTGACCTTCATTCGCAAGCATTACCTTCCCTTACAACCCCGGCGTTTTGCATAGCCCTCCGTCAAGATAAACCCTGGTGTTCGAGTACTGAAGGTAAGTTTCTCTTCTTGTAGCTGACCTTCGTTTGCTTACTGTTTGGTTAACGATGCTGTTTCTAGTACCGAAAGGTAACTTGGTCGGGGCAATCTCACGCATATTTTTTTACTGACCTTTTCCTAGCTGATGATATATCCCGGAGGTTGCGATCCAATGGAGGGGTAGGACGAGACCATCCATCATCTTCGGTAAGTGTTCCTGATCGAGTTTGCTTCGTTCGCTAACTTTTATCCTGTTAGCTACCTTTGCAGCCCTTACCATTGAGCTAGCTTATCTACTATCAGGTCAGTTTAGTCTCTTCTGCATGAGGTACTGTTTGCTTACTCGTACTTTACCAGATTCAGTCGAAGCTCTGAGTAGACGATTGGCGGCACTAACCCTTCGTGCCTGCCCGGAGGTTACGATTCAAAGGAGGGTGGGGGCGAGATATTACCTTCGGTAGGTATTTCTGCTTGAGTTTTCTTCGTTTGTTAACTGTTGTCCTGTTAGTCACCTTTGCGGCGCTTATCCTCGAGATGGCTTGGCTGCTATGAGATCCGTTCAGTCTCTTATACATGGAGAGCCGTTTGCTTACTCACGCCTTGCCAGATCCAGATGAAGCGCTGCATAGACCATTGGTGGCTGTTTGACTTAGAAGAGGCCTGGACGAGGCTTTTAGTAAGTACCGTTGCTCGAGTTTCTTTCGTTTGCTAACTGTTTCCATGTTAGCCACCTTTGCGGTGCTTATCCTTGAGGATGGCTCTGCTACTATCAGGTTCGTTTAGTCTTTCCTGCACAGAGTAACGTTTGCTTACCCGCACTTTGTAAGATTCATTCAAGGCTTCGAGTAAGCCGTTGGCGGCTGTCACCCCTCGAGTCCGGGTGACGCTTGTAAGTCAATATGTAGTTCACTGTAACTTTACTCGCTCGGTTTACCGTAGCCTTATTGCTAGTCGCTATGCTTCACGGAGACACACGTGAGTTTGATTTAAATTAATGCTTTTCATCCACTCACGACATCTTTATTAGGTGCCACTTGGTTAGAATATTTACCTTTAGTTTTAAACTTAGCTAAATAGCGTGGCGATTGAACAAGTGCAACGGCAGGCCAACGATGCACTCCACAGTGCCGAGAACAAGGTAACTAATTTCTTCCAGTGCTCGAGTCCTTGCTGATACACCGCAGAGTTAGATTCGAGCAGGGTTTAATTCCCTTGCTTACGCGCTGTTTCTTAGGGTAAGAATTTCGTTGACTCCAAGTTCGAGTCCTCGCTAACACAGTTCAAAACAGGGTACTATCTTAGATTGGGGTGCTAATAAACTGATGCATGCGCGCTACGAGCATACCGGCAAAAGGTAACCGATATCTTTCAGTGTTCAAGTCCTTACTGATGCCACGAGGATCATTGCTCGCAGAGTTACATTCGAGCAGGGTTCAATTCCCTTGCTAACGCGCTGTTTACCAGTGAAACCGTTGGTAAAACTTTCGTTGACTTTAGGTTCGAGTCTCGCTAACGCAAAAGGTAGTTGGTTCGGGCCTGGTTCTGACATCCGCTTGCGAAAGATCCCGGAAAGGGAAGATTACAATAGTCTAGGTAAATGTTCGAGTCCTCGCTGGCACGCGCGCCCAATTCTTGGGCTCAAGGAAAAAGCGGCAACCGAACGTCATGGTAGGTGTTCAATTCCTTGCTAACACGTCCAACTATTAAGCTGAAGAAAGGGCTTGTATGCCGGATAATGGTAAGACTTGTAAGCTGCTTTATGTGCTTGGATATCCTACTCACGCGAAAGCTTTGACAGTAGTAACAGTGAAGCTTTGCTTCAAATATAAAACTTCGGAACCTGCCTTTGGATTTATCTTTTCTGACGCGTAGTTGTTTTCTAGTCTCTTGATGAATCCGAGGTGTATTCGAAGGTAATATACGTAGCGTAGGGCATCTGTATTAACTACATTCATAATACAATTCATTTTCAAGTCATCTTCATGTTCGTGCATGAGAAAGTCAAAGTTCTATTGAGGTAGCTACTACATGGACTACTACGTGTGGGCGGACGCGGACGCACACCACCACCGCACACCCGCACACACATGCATGCACTCGGGCAGCCATCCACCCCTGTGTCCAACTTCTCTGCCGACACCCCTCCCCTACCTTTCCCTTCCCTTCCCTTCCTCCCTTCCCTTGCTTTTCCTAGCGGCATCGAGGTTTCTTTCCTTCAAGTCGACTGCCGTCCGAAGAGAAGCTTGCGAGCTTCGAGAGTTCCAAATCTTGCAGGAGGTCAAGTTTTCGAGGAATGACGGGAGGTGTTTATGGCGAGAAACGAAAGGAAACAGGTCGGGATGAAGAGGGTTGGGCGATCAAGAGGGCATCATAACGACAAGAGGGGTGAACAAGGACTGGACCTGGAGAGGGCGAATTGAGACTTGAAGCAGATGGATGTGGAAGGGAGAGACGTCTCGGTGATGACGGCAGGACGGAGGGAGGCAGATAATCAGTGGAGTAGACTTGCAGTGGCGGGCTAAGGCATGCATGGGGGTAGTCACACACGCACATCCTTTACAACAGACAGCATCGGCTTGAGCAGCGATCCTCGGCATCGGTGTATCCTGTCTCTGGGCATGATGGAAGGGATTTTGGCATCGTGCATGGCAGCTACAATGTGTTCGAGATTCTACTGTTGTGATCAGTATAAATCAACGAAGATCTGAGATACTCACGTCCTCATAGAATACCATCACTACAACCATCCTCCCTTCTCGAACGCAGACCGTTTTCGACCTTGGACATGAGTGAGTAGGGCAGGCGTAACTCGTCCGGAAGCGCGTGTAGAGGCATCAGCGTAGTCTCGTCTGGGACGTTTGATCGCAAACTTGATTTTCTTCTGGCATTTATCGTGCTCGGCAATGTCGTTTGCGGTTGTTGGGAACCTGGTTTTAGGGAGGTCGTCGACTAAGCTTTTTTGGCGTAGTTTCTTTGTTTTGGGAGGGGTGTTCGTGTTATTAGAGGGCGAATTGAAGACCCTTATGACGAGGTGTCGGGACAAGAAGATGCAAGAACGCGTTCGTTACAGTGACGGGTGATCGGGCCGATAGCCGAAACCTTTTCATCAACCATGGTGGAACGACCTACGCATTGTGAGTATATGCGTCTACGCACTAATTCCAGCTCACCCTTTGCAGTTCTGTCGATACCCCTCAGCCAAGCACATCCTATTCTTCGTGCAAGAGTTGCCGATCTCCTTCCCGCACCAGACTCTAAGTACGCTGCTCGCAGGTCCTCAATGCATCCACCTTATTCTTCCCTCACTCCCGAGACCCTCCCAATTGCACTCAATCTCCTGCACTGCCCGACGCTCCTTCCAATCATAGACCCACCTCCGACCATCACTCTCGACACCCTCGATGTCCTCAGAAGGGAATCCTGTCTTTTTGCCCACGTTTTATGGGTCGGTCCATCCATCTCGTCCCGAGCGTTTGTTCAGCCGATCAATGAGATCTTCCGTGATGAGGGCTTCATAACGGATACGCGTCTCCTGAAGCTGCACATGACGCTCATGAACAACTTTGAGGACGATGGTATCCTCAAGCAGGCTGCTTTGTTCGCAAGCATCACCTTCCTTTACAACCCCGGCTTTTTTCATAGCCCTCTGCCAAGATAAACCTTGGTATTCGAGTACTGAAGGCAAGCTTGTTTCCTTGTAATTCACCTTTGTTTGCTTACCACTTCTTTAACAGTGTACGGAAAGGTTAGGTCATCGTAATCTCCCGTATATCACTTTTATTGACCTTGTCCTAGCTATATCCTGGAGGCTACGGTTCAAAGGAGGGTCGAGACGATGCCTCTGATTATCTTCGGTAAGTCTTTCTGCTTCGAGACACCTTCGTTTGCTAACGGTTGCTTTGTTAGTCACCCTCTCAGTCCTTACTCTCGAGGAGGCCGTGTTACCATGAGGTTAGTTCGGTCTCTTCTACAAAAGGCACTGTTGGCTGACTCGCATCTTGCCAGATCCGGACGAAGCTCTGAGTAGAAGGTTGGCAGCACCAACCCTTCGTGGGGTTACGATTCAAAAAAGGTTGGGGGCGAGATCTTATCTTCAGTAAGTGTTTCTGTTCTAGTTTGCTTCATTCACTAATTGTTGTCTTGTTAGTCACCTTTGCAGCGCTTATCCTCGAGATGGTTAGTTCAGTATTCCATGCACGGAGTACTGTTTGCTTACTCGCACCTTGCTAGATCCGGTTGAAGACCATCGGCAGCAGCTAAACATCACACCCACACTCTGCTTGATATCCTGAGAGGTTACGATTCAAGCCTGTCGTAAGTACTGTTGCTCGGGTTTCCTTCGTTGGCTAACGATTGTCTTATTAGCCGCCATCGCAGCTCTTATCCTCAAGGACAGCTCTGCAATTATCATGTTTGTTTAATTTTTTCTGCACGGGGTATCGTTTGCTTACCCACATCTTGCCAGATCCACACGAAGTTCTGAGTAAACCACTCGCGACAGCTATGCGTCAAGCCCAGATTATGACTGTAAGTGAATATTTAGCTCGCTGTTACCTTTTCGTTAGACTTACTGTAGCTTCGTTGGTTGCTAGCCCTCCATGCTTGACGATAACATCGTTCTCGTAGTTATGGTGAGTTTGATTTAGACTAATGCTTTCACCCACTCACAACGTCTTCACTAGGTTCTTGTGAGGTGTCGTTTATACTTGGAATATTCAACATTAGTTCTAGACCTACCTTGGGTAGTGTAGTTATCGAATAGGCACAAAGACGGGGTAGTGATGTGCTCTGTAGCACCGAGAATAAGGTAACTGAATTCCTTCAGGTGTTCGAGTCCTTGCTGATGCGCTGCAGAGTTGGATTCGAGCAGGGTTCGATTCCCTTGCTTACCAGCTGTTTCCTAGGGTAAGAATTTCGTCGACTCCAAGTCTGAGTCCCTGCTAATGCACTTCAAAACAGGGTACTAGTTTAAATTGGGTGATGCACGCGGTCTACGAGAATAACAGCAAAAAGGTAAAAAGGTAACTGATCTCTTTCAGGGTTCAATTCTCTTACTAACGCGCTGCTTACCAGTGAAATTACAGGTAAGAATTTCGTTGATTCCAAGTTCGAGTCTTTGCTAACGCAAAAGGTAGCTGCTCCAGGCCTGGTTCTGACATGGGCTCGCTCGCAAGGGAAGATCACAACAATCTAGGTAAATGTTTGAGTCCTCGCTAACGCATTCAACTCTTAGATGTCTGATGCCTGAGAAAAGGTAATATTGATTGAGGTACTCTGAAACTGATGGACGTGCATGTGGTACGAGTCCCCAATGAATGATGGTGAGGCTTCATGCATCACGCATGTATGCATGTCTCACTCGCGCGAAGGCTTTGACAATGTCTCTCATGCGGCAAGCCTAGCTTCGAAGTCTTGAATCCTTGGTAAGACTTCTTGACTTTGAATTGTTATCTTTGCTAACGAATATTGCTTTCTACAGTCTCAAGATGTCGTGTCTTCATCAATAATCTGTGGTCCCGACGGCGACAAAGGCGATGCAAATACTAAGTCAAATCCTCTCCTCCCCATCACACGGTTGACTGCGCTGAGCTCGCTGCCCCTACGGTGAGCACCTCTAGGACACAGTATATCTCTGTTGATGGTCCAGTCTGTGAGAGGGAAAGTGCTCGTATTTGGGCTCGTATTTGGACATCCATTCAAACACAGACAGACGTCGCCTCAAGCAAAAATAACGACGACGTGGTCCTCCGACAGATTCAGCGCCGCGATTCGAATCCAGTCTTCTTGCCATCTCGTCTTGCATGTCTACATCCCAGCGGGATGTACCGGGTATGAAACTGGTGGCTCAGATTGGTCCGACGATGACGAAGACATGACAGTGGTGGGAGTGGTGGCGGGTGGTAAAAGAGGTGCGTCGGCTCGACAAAACTGCTGTTTGACCTCCTACCACCACTATCGATGCAACTCGTCCCTTTCTCTGCGAACATACTGTTTCGTGGCTTCGGAGTCCACTGGATTCCTGGTCTAGGAATATTTTGACTGTTCGAATGACCTCGTATTTGTAGCTCCTACTGATGAAACTGTATTTATGACTGTATTAAGTTGGCTTGTAGACCTTGATTCTGTGAAGTAACACCAAATGAAATATACTTATCAGGATCTATATCTACACATAGGTCTGAATAACAAAGGATAGCAGAATGGTACTGATAGCAGTAAACATTACAATGAACACCAGTGAGCCATGGCTCATTTTCAAGTCTCTGGTTTGCACAGGAGTAGCATTCTCCATCTCAGTCAACACTTCATCAACATGTGCTCCCTCTAGTGCATTACCCAGTGAAGAGGTGGTCTTCTTGCTCAAGGAACAATGCCCATCATCCAGGTTGACTGATGCCAGCTTGGATACAGTGCCATTTAAAGGCATCCAATCTATTACATTTTATCAGTGGCCATACACACAATGAACCCAGATATCCCTACCTCCTGTGGAAATGTCGAGGATCTCCATGAGCGGCCACCCAAAATACTCACAGACATCTGCACCACCACAGGCTGGGTTGAATCTATAGTCGGCATTCAACTTGGGTATGGTTGTAAGCACCATTTTAGAGAAAGGCTGTCTCCATGAAACCTCCCATGTAGAAAGCTTCACACCAAAAACTTCCTCTACTTCAACTGAAGACATTTCTGAGTCCCCATCATAGAACCATGTGAAGACAGCCTGCCAGGACACCTTGTTGGTCTGATAATCAATGGAGGGAGTGCTTATTAACAATGAGAGTGTGTGATGGTCTTCAGCCATGAATGTATTGCAGAGACGAAAAGGGTCATACCTCTCTTCTGGTATGACAGATAGGCTAAAGTGTATTTTGTCTAAATATACTTGTTAGTTGATAGTTGCTTGTTAGTCAACAGACACCCACCTATTAGAAGTAGCTCGTCATCATCAACATGATCCCTGGAGTGGATACAAGATTGTAGTTGGGAAGCTTGCGCAATCCACGAATTCAAAATCCCGTCAAATGAATGTGACTGGATCTCAGCATAATAGGACAGAGTCCCAGCATACGGTAAAGGAACCATTACTGAACCACTATCAATGAACAATTAGCAAGGAGATATAAGATCAAAGTAACAACGGACTTGTTTGTCGAGGGCAACGAAAGTATAGTGTGACCTTCCCAGTACACCTCCCATTTGTCTAATCTAGCCTGGACTCTGCCCACCAAAGTCCCCCTGGATGAGGTCAATACACTACCTGGTGCATAAGGTTGATTTTGTGGATGGAAGAGTGAAGAATGTTTAGACCAAATGATGTGTTTGATGGCATCATACACATTGCATAAATTGTCCTTTTGCAAAGTCAGCGATGAGGACCATCTGTTGATTTGGCTGAGAAGTGGCTCCCTGGTCAGTGAGACCCAGAGATTGATGTGGTTCCATAGTATATCAGAGATATACACAAAAGAAACCCCAATGCCATACAAGTTAGATACTGTAGGTGTCATGACAATTTGCCCATGTTCATTGAGCTGGATAGGACTTGGCTTCAAAATTATCAGTATACATCCAGAGTATCCATGACTTTACTGACATTTACCAGGCCTCCCAGATCAGGAAGGGTGTAGTGCCTGGACAAATACTCTGTGACTGACTACAGAATGGATACTCAGGTGTATCCTTCTGGACACCAGCAGACCATACCTCTAAATCATAGAACTACACATTAGCACAACCAGAGATTAGCTGTGTTTGTACAAAATATCAAAGAGAAGATATTTTACCAGTTGGATATAGAATCGTACAAATTGCTTTGCAGTCAAATTACTTTCATAATCATAGAAAGAGATCTGGGTGGTACCTGTACATGGAAGTTAGACTAAACTAAAGACAAAGGGACCAGCATCCTCACCATGAAATATGATGGCTGGAAAGTTTGGTGATCTGCAGATGCCAAAGATTTGTGCGATGTTTGGGTGCCTACACAAAGCATCACTTGATGATTACTGGACAGACATGGAAAGCCAAACTTTATATTAATCAAAGCATCTGCATCATCATTGAATTGCTAGATTACAAATATGATATTCACTTTGCGAGTGAATAAGATAGTAACAGAGACTTACTTTCAGTATAACTTCTTTATTATGATGAGAATGTTGGTATACACGAATGATTTTTGCTGAGCTGCTGCTCTCGACTGTGCAGTATCTGTCTTCGTATACAGGGCCAAAGCGATGCCAAGGAGACACGGCCCTTCCTACATAGATCTCCCACTGGGAAAGTTCTCGAACCTGCAAATAAGATATAGACCTGTTTGATATGAGAACCACCTACCTGTCCTTTATGATCTCCTTTCAGATCCTGAAGCTTCTCACAAATCTGGGCCACATTTTCCTTCTGGATATCACCCAAGGAACGTATCTCGCCTCGAATGCAGTGAGCTTGAGATTGGACAGTGGTACTCAGTGCATCCCGCATCTCAGATATCGCGTGCCTTGCATCGGTAGTAACCAGAACCTTGAAAGGAACCGATAGTCAATACAAATAACAGTGCATGCAAGGCCAAGTGCATACAAGGAAATCCGCCTTAATGTTGTTCACTCGCTGTTTGTATCCATCGATAGCACCGGAAACCTTCTTCGTTTTCAGGAATCGTGTAATCCTTTTGGACTTCAAATTGCATCGAGTGGTGTTTATTTCAGCAATTAAACTCTCCAGGTATCTGGACAGAAGCTTCGGTAAGTGGGGCTCAGAGATTTGTACATGTCAACTCACGCCTGAAGCTCCATACATACATCGTGGAAACATGTCGCGCTCGTATCACCGTGCGCTTGAACAGTTTCCTTGATGATTCGTATTGTCGTTCCAATGCTCTCTGCCAAGTCCTGAAGGTCCTCATTGTTCTTGCCAGCTAACTAGACCCCCGCTCAATACCATACAGCAGCGCTTAACAGCACGTACCTCAATGACCTCAAGAATTGACGCGATACACCCTGCAACACCCTTGATGTACGGAAATGGGGCCATTTCACCCGCAGCCGCGGTAAGCTTTGCAAATTGTATCCATGCACCGATATTCGAATCTCCCGACATCCCGGTGGTGGTGGTGAGAGGGTGGTTCTGCCGTTGGCACAGCCGAGCCTAGCACGGTATAAATATCATGCCGTTATGCTGTTTCCGAGCTGTTGAGATCACATGCATGGGAAGCTCGAGCTGAATCAAAAGGTCTAGCGACTTTATAGGGTCATGGATGTGGATAGAGGACTCAAATGCAGGTGAGCACACCTCCAGGCCTATATCCGCCATATGTTGAAAAATGACGGGGTTCGTACAACTTTGAGCAGAGGCGATGTCCGTACCATTAGAATATCCATCAGAACAAGCACGTTTACGTAGCAGGGTCACGATGAGAAGGTCAAAACAACAGCGTTGATAGTCGCATTCAAAAGAGATGCTGTTAGGTTTATTTTAGGACGATAAAGCAGTCTATGTTAGAAGTATTTTAGACTGCACAATGACAGGTCAGTATACAAACCGAAGGGCAAACACAAAACACGCACATTACATGTCCGGTGGCATCACTCAGACTGGGGAACGAATCTATAGAAGTTACAGATGCCATGATGATACAATTCCGCGATAAACATTAGGAAATCTATGAATGTGCATTCGCGAAATTTAGGCATTGACTAGCGGAGTTTCACTCGATGATGTTGAGTTCGTTTTCGTGCTTTGGCCAGTTATCCTTGTACATATTCCGGAATCTGAAGATAGAATTCATTCAGGAAGGGTTTCCTATAATGATTCTAGAGAAGCCATACCGTGCCAGCTCATCGACGTACAAGGACTGAACGCACCTAATCTCGTCTATATCGGATTTGCGGATCTGCTTGTGAATAGGTCGACCGACTAGAAAATAGGAAGCGCTCAGAAATTAGACGGAAATTTAACAGAAAAGTGCGAGGAACTCACAAGTAAGACATGCAGCAATTTTGACGCTGATATGAACTCGTATGGTTGTGCTAACGTAGTAACACCCGTCACAGATACAGAGAGTACAGGGTGCAGATTTGGGCTGCCCCTACGTCGGATACGCGGAGAGGGTGCCAAGTAAGGGCCTGGGGCGGGAGGTAGGTGCATATGTCGGATTCGGGCAGGGATAGTGGTAGCGGGGTCATCATTGGTTATATCATGGGTTTTCCTGGCATCGTTAATTGAGTCCATGGGAGGGTAGTCGACACCCAGAAGGGCGTAACCGTCGTGACCGAAGTGCCCCGATTTCCACCCTGCCCTCCCGCTTGTACCGTCCTCCGCAACACACATTCCAAATGCCTCTCTCTCGCTACCACAGCCATACTTCACCCTCTAACACGGCTCTCCTTTGTGTTTCAAGTTCCCCCCTGCACTCCCGTTGTAGTCGTCACCATTCCGGCCGTTGTCGTCGCCGTCATAGTTAGGATTCCGTTACAGGTCCTCCCCCGCTATGAGATAGGGTCCGATATTGAATCTCAGGTGATATACCATGTCTCCCACATCCAAGGATTGCATGCCCAACGACGATTGAGGTCGATGTGCATGTGGGGGATATGGGATGGGTCGCGCTGGAGCATTGGGGGCCGTAATTGTACAGTTCCAGGGGGGATGGTGGGCGTAGTAATGGGACGTGCAGTGTCCATATCTGGCGTCGCTGAGGGGTTCGAAGGATGGGTTGCCTCACATGAGGACTTACACAGGGTGTAGGGGGTGAAGTGGTCGCAATCTGGGTCTCTTGAAACCACCAGACGCCAAAAAGACCTAAAAAAAATGTATTAGTATAGAAGATAAATAAAACGTACCATAAACCCATGAAAATGGGCAAAAGGAACGAGCGAGAGGGCAGGAACCAAAGTAGTAGTGGTGGAAGGAACGGGACGCGCATCGGCCCGACAACCGGTAGCGAGCTGCTCCTTAACCTCCTACCACCACCGTGGATGCAACCCCTTTCTTTCTCTGCGAAAATTCTATCACGTCTCTCGATGTTGAATAGGATTATTCTATATAAGACTCGTATCTCATATGTCTAGAAAACAATCCCTTGAATTTGGGTATGTATCAGGTGCGTTCTTTAGTTGGACGTATATATCGCGAAAGCTGATCGATTTCAGAGACTTCTTTTATATTTTTGCCTGAAAATTGGCTTTTCTGTGCTCGATATCGCCTACCATCGTTTGCCAACACAGATCCCTTTCATTCAACTCGAGGACACTGGTCGAGCAACGACTGCTATGCAGGAGTAAAGCGAAAGAAACCGCGAGCGGAAGGCCATTTCCTATCCTAATGACGTCTAGTGGCCTGTGCGTTCACTGTATGCGAGGAATACTGGTGTATTGGAGGCCACCTCTCTGTATGTTTCTCATACCACCATGGAGATACCCCAAGTTCTGATTTCTATTCATAGGCAAGGCGGTGTGAATAGTTCTCAGCGTGCACATCAACCCTCGTGCGCCTTTCGTTGGTCGAGGGTCATCCGAGTCACCCATATCTTTTCAAACCCCGAATCCACAATGATTCAGGAATTACGGACTCAGTGTACTGCCATCTTCTCTGCGGTGACCAATGTTGACTCGAGTATTTTTACAGAGGTATATATTATTCCACGACCAAGGACCGCATTTCACGTTCACGTCCTCTCCAGGCAGAAACAACAGCCGGCGCGAGCATCACTGTTCTGGCACTTCCTGGCGCCATCAATCTCTCAACACGACGCAACTCACTAACTCTTGCCTGGGCAAAACGGTGACCCCAGCCCTCCACCGGTACCACGGCTTTTGCGATCGTGTGGAGGCGAGCCTACAGCTTCTGCGTCGGATTAAAAAACGAGTCGGGAACCCTATCTTACCTCCATGCAGTCGTCTCAGACGGAGATGCTACCTCAGAAGACAGGATTCGTACCGGGAGTGCAGCATCTAGATGTCTCGCAATAGGAATCATGCCTCGTATTCAGATCTTCTCAACGGTAAGGAAATGAACAATAATCATAAGAAACTGCTAATGGATGCTCGCTTAGGCATCCGCCACTGTGCCTACATGCGGAGCTGTCGGAGCATCGCTCTAATGACAGAACCTCCATTACGCATATCCCGATAACTAGTGCACCAGCCACCACCCGTATTGCTACCGCCACGAACCTCTTCCACGCATCAGCACAACGCGTCGCCCACCTAAGTTCTGCCCTCCGCTGGTACTTTTGCAATCCTTCTCCCTCAGCCTCAGTTCCTTCTGGTAGCCACGCTCCCTCCAGGTCGGGCCCAGGGGATTCGTGACGCAAGGATCCATGCTACAACGATGGATGGTCTGTTATAAGGTCAGTTGCCATTAATGCAAGGAAGCAGTGAATGACTAACCAAATCTGATCTGATAGATCTCTACGTATTTGGGCTGAGACGAGGTCGCGTCATACTCAGGAAGCGTGGCGTCTGCTGCTTTGAAGTCGCTCGCAGTGGCAGATAAGGGAGGCTCAATTTCTGAGCCTAAACCCATGGCGGGTGTGGGTGGGTATGACATCAGCGTAGCCGACAATAGATCGGTTTGCCGTCTCAGCCTTGGTCACCCAGGAGCTATAAAGTCATCAGCACGACTGTTGCGATACTGCTTATTACCAGGAGAAGAGACTGCGCCGTTCGGTTATTGGGGCCGGTTCCTTCGTGATGTTTTCTCGTTGCCGTAGCTACAGACACTCTTCAAGGTTCTCCCAGAACAGCCGAATGACGATTTTCTTTGTTTGTTGAAATGCCTTCTGTGATTGTGATGGTCCGGTTCCTCGCCTGTTTCAACGGTGAGTAATAAAGTATTGGAGATGTTAATACTTTGGTGGGACTCCACGTTATATTGACTGACGCTATTCATTTTACATAGTTCGGCTTTATGAAGTCGTCTGGCCCTTCTCCTAATCTTAACCAAGGGTACCGTATTTCCATCCGATTGACGATTTATCGCAATGTAACTATTTCTCGAAATCGATATGGCTCAAATTGACAAGCCACCTTCAATGCTCCTGAAACTACGCTACAATTTTGGAAGACCTTTATTAGCACTCCGTACACATCTTGTGGGGCACGAAAAGGTTGTCTTCCTGTTCTTCGTCTATCATTCTCTCCATTTCATCTCAATTAAACGCTCCATTTCGAGACCTCCATTTTCCGCCATCCCCTAATTGCGCAAATGCACGTGGAAGCCATCCGAAGTATGTATTCATCCCATTGGACCTCATTCCCATCTCCTTACTCACCCTCTATATCAGCCTTGAATGCCTCAGGACATCTCCAGATTCAATTTTGGCTTGAGAGTGTCTCCTACTTCTAATCGTGAGCTTCTTTCGTCGATTTTGTCCACCAAGTCTTCACAATTACCCCTTATAGCCCACTTCTCTCCGCGATACATCAGGCATCTGCAAAGACTCGCAGAATCAGAAGGTCGTTACTACCATAGACAGGTGGTCCTCTATCGGACCTCGCCAGCCTTCCTTGCTGGGAAACTTCAGGCAGAAGCCCTAATTCGCCCAGAGCTCGTACCCCTAGGAGCGGAGGTTATCAAAATAGATGATTACCTTAAGGACAGACGCTTCGTTGCCAGCCTATTCCGATATACCCTCGTCAATACCTTATTTCGGGCGGCGCTCTGGCGAACCATAGCAGTCTATATGGAGGACAGCCGTACTAGATAACTCCATGGCATGTGCTGCGGAGAAGGTCCGCTTGATGACCGGCGTCGAAGGCTTGCTGAACACGGGGATATACCATTTGGAGAAGAGCATTCAAAAGACGGTCATTTTCACAGTCGATAGCGTTAGAGACCTTTTTGAGAGGAAATGCGTACGTTGCCTATCAAGTCTCCTATCCATGCTGATTGCATAGCAATATAGGATGGGGACCCTACGTTTTCTCAATTGCGCCTTCGAAGTAATCCAAGCAAGCCCGTCCTTGATACTTCAAGCTTAGAGTACGCTCTCGTTGCATTTGCGTTGCTTTTTGGCGCCGGCGATGCCCGAGAAGAGCACCAAGCTCGTAGCCACCTGACTAGAAAGTTCATGGAGGCCAAGAATCACGCTATGCCAAAGATCAATGGCCTGCTCCTTCATCTTCTCACTAGATGGCTTTGCTTTTTGGTATTCCTCTTCCTCTTCCACTTCGTGTATGTCTCTCACTTTCTCCTTCCAGGACTTCTCTCGTAAAACAGGCTTTGCAAGGGTTAACCTTGACATGATCACACGTCTACCACACGACCAACCTATCAGAAACCTGGATGAGAAGAATCGACTGCTGCAGAAGACCGTTGATAACGTTCCTCTGGAATGTATCATTCCTACCTTGGGTTCTCTAAAGGATTATGCTACTTTTACGAAGGCATGGGATACGTTGGACATTGCTGCACGCCAATCTGGAAGAGGATATAGGCAGGTTGAAGACGTAAGCTTCGTGTCCCCTCATCGGAACAAGTTCCTTTAACTGTTTTCTGTAGATCCTCGACATCGACCCCTGCGTCCAGCGTGCTAGCAGCCATTCCTGCCAAAGGCGCACAGCGAAAGCAGACAAAAACTCTTCCCCCCTGGCTGGGAAGCGTTATGATGGAAGCGTTAAATCCGATATCAAAATCTCGGTGCAACCATCGCCTCCTTCTCCTTTGGATTCGAACATTAGCGAGGTTTCCTTGTCTGGTGGAATTCGATCCTGTGAACATGACGATGATGAAGAGGCAACAGCAACAACGCGCACTAATGTCGCTGATGTCGATTCAAATGAGGACGTTGCTTCCCGGCTGGTTTGTTCTGACAAAGTAACACATCATCCTGAGACACATGAAGCATCCCCCGAGTCGTCTGTAGAAGAATTCACAGACGACGAATACGATGATAGTTTTCCAGGTCTTTTTGTAGGTGGCATATCTTTCGCAGAACCCCTTACGTCGCCGTCTACCAGAAGGCAACAGAAGTCGGCTACAAAGTCAAAGCAGCCTGCATCCACGTCGGAACCCGAGCCCCGGTGGACATATCCCATTTGTCAGGCGCAAAACTCTCACCACTTTCAAACTTATCCTCGACTCGAGGGCTCAAGGCACTTTGAAATACAAGGATTTCGAACAGGTGCATTGATCGACGTGTATTTCTTTGTCGGTCACTTACTCCGCTTCCTCAGGCCATGGCTGAACTTGATTTCGTGATCATACCCAGAGGCAAGGGGTCCATGATCTTTCGTCCTCCTGGTGGTGAGAGGCATTTTCCTTTGCTTAGATTATACTGAATAGCCTGCAGCTAGTATCAATAAGCAGCCGTTCATATGCGATCCGTATGTCGTCATTCTGACTTTGTCTTCTGATAATGAATCTAATTCCTTTATCTACAGACCTCATAACGCTAAACTTATAATCGACGACACCTTCAGGTTGCGAATACGAACAGATTTGAGTCAGCTATATGGCTGGTCTAAGTATTCGTTTGCTTTGAAGCGGGGTCGGGACGCTGTTGATTACTTTGATATTGATTAAACGATCCCGAACTAACAGAACAGTAATTCACTAAAATATAGAAGACGCATTTATGTACTCTGATCATTACTGCAACATAATATCCTTTCGTGACCGCGATGTTATTTCACATGGACAATCCCCTGCCCTCTTAGGTGCCAAGTTCGCAGAACGAACGGTTTTGCTATGTCGCAAACTCTGGATGATGCTACCAGCCATATGACCGACTGTGTTGTCATTGCCCCTCTCAAAGCTCTCCCATGAAGATTAAAAATCTATCCCCCTGCTTATAGAAAGGGTCCCTCATGATCGGGCCCTGTCATAGTAAATTAGATGCAATACGGAGATACAGACGACGTGTCAATTCTACCTGGGTACTCTCTGCTTCAAAGCCGCCGTGGATGCGAGCAGAATCATTGCAATTTTGTCGAATTTGATGAACATGCTTGAACCCAAGTCCGACGATTAATGACGAGGCAGCGAAGAAGATAGCTTAAAATAGACGTGATTCGTTTGTGAATACTATGCAGAAAAGAGCAAACCTTGCTGGGTAAAAAGGAAAAGGAAGACAATCACCAAGAAAACAGCCGCGCGTAACATCTATAATAGAATTAAATGCCAATGGAGTAAAAAATGCTGAATGTGAGGGCGAATATAAGAGGAGGCGAAAGAAATTTTGAAGTGACCGGTAAAGCCTAACATGGATCTTATACGAAAGGAGTCTCTGAGCCTTAGGCGACAATCACGATTTTGAATGCTCTGTACATTGCACACAGCAAGCACGATGGAGACGCTTCAAGGAGAACGAGATGACTACCACTAGTCGACTGAATGCTTCAGTACAGGATAGCTCCAAGTCAGTGCATGTCATGTCTCTGTGGTAGTGGTTTCAATCAAATCTGCATGACGACATCCGAGTGAGGGACCAATAAAGTCAGTAACTTTAATTTGATGAGAAAGACAAGCCTTTTCCCATGTAAGAGTGATTCTGCAGAGGGTCTGGGTTGATGTGCGCCTGAAGTGGTCTTCAGTACTATGCCGACGAAACATAATGAGCGGGTGTCAGAAGATCGCACCATATCACGAAGGGCAAAGATACTGATAATGCCAAAACGCGCAGAATCAACTCGAAGAATGGCAAATAACTGACTGCATGCAATGCTTCTCATGTTGCGGTCAATGCAGAAATGTCGCGTCTTGAACGTTGCGAAGATGATGACGATTATCATGATAATGGAGAGAAAAAAGGCCCAGCCGTTGCCCTACCTACCGTGATCTAACCAAGACACAAGAACGAGACTTCCATGATTACCACCCGGTTTATGTTATGTTTCATTTAATCCGCTGTTGGGTCTGAAGCTTCTGGATTGATTTTACTTCTGGATATGAAACCAGGATGGCTTGGCAGCATGCCCTTGCGCAGTATAGTAAACTTACGAAGACATTCAATATCCAAAACTTATCCACAAGAAAATGTATCTATTTCTTCAAATGCCTGAGAATGAACTCGACTTCCTCGTCAATAACACTGTAAAGATGGTCAACGTCATACTTCGGCACCCATCCCAGACGCTTTCCATTATCTCCAGTCAAAGCGCACCTATCAGTATACCATCAGCTCAAAGACAAAGGGCGAAAGGAAAGACGGTTCACCTGCCGGCAATCGAGATGTCCACAACCTCCCTGGGGCCGCCTTGGACCTGTGCTATCCTATCATAATCTTCTGCAGAAGGCTTGATCACTGCAGTGTCATCCACGAGACCTCTCTTGGCCAGACTCGCGGCGATGCTTTCATACAGCTTCTTCCATGAAAACTCGTTGTTCACTGCGAAGTAGTAGCCGCCCTGTTTGCCGTGGGGTACATCCTTCCCCTCGAGAATAGCGCTAGCAAGGGCCATATACAACGTTGTGACGTCCTTGATGTGGCACAATGGCCATTCCTAGCAGAACGAATCCAAGTCAGTGGATATGATTTTGAGTTGAAGGATTCACGAACATACATCGGTATCATTAGCGACTTGGTATACGCGTCTCAAGGCAAGGCCTACTCGTACAATACCTACGAATTGTATGGAGATCTTGTTCCCAAACCCTTCGCCTGGACCGTAAACCATTGGAGGAACATAGATATATGTTCGGACACCCAGCTCATCCCCAAGCTCCAGAATAGAAGTCACTGTATCGACGGGCTGCCACAAAGGTGATATAAGTATACACGTTATCCATTGCGAAAGAATGTATTACCGTTTGCATAAGAGGAATAGGCGACTTTGTCGTCTTCTGAGTGGCATACACATCATCCGTATCGTTCAGACGCTGATTGATACCGGTATGGCTAGAAAATATTTTGGCACCTGACGTCTTCCTTGTTCATGAGCAAAGGGAGTCGACATATGTGCTAGCGCAAGACTAACATGGACGAAATGAACGTTTTCCCCCGTCTTTTGCTTAACGGTAGCGAGACCTCGGATGAACGCTTCTGGTGGAACAAAACTGAATGCGTCCGCGAGATGCAGAACAATAGTCACTAGTCGACACTCAGCGTATATTCAATCATGACAATTACGCGAGACTCACGCTCAAGCTCCTCAACCGCCTTTTGGATTACGGTCTGATTCATAAGATCAAACTCGACCGGCCGTACACCTAAACTCCTGACTGCGGAAGCCTGCGATTCTGTGCGCACCAGGGCGTATATCTCCACGTTGGGTATATTGATGAGGTCATTCAGAAGTGTCCCGCCGCTACAACACGACATGATAAGTTCTAGTTCAAAACATAAATTAAAAGTATTTACTTACAGATAGCCAGAAGCGCCTGTAATGAGAAGCCGGGTCATGTCAACAATAGTAAAACCGACGAACTACAGTGTCCTTTAGTAACAAACATAAGCTGGAGCTTTGTAATTGGCACTCCAGAAAACGATTTGTCAGACTACCCGGCCCGAGCTTCCGTTGAGAAAGCAAACCAATAAAAAATCGAGCAAACCACCGGGAACGACATTTACCACCATCATGCGACCGAGAAGACCATAGTTGTCGATTATCACCTGTCGGAGTCCCCACTGGAACCGACAAGCAGAGATCAGCTAAAATACTTTTCTTGTCAGTGGTGTCCTCTCCGGAACGAGTGCCGTGGTTATTTGCGGTCTTGTCAAACATCTCCATCTCGCTGATATATCTACGGCACTTCTTGCACGGCGAAAATAAACATTCCTTCGCCTAGCCATAGTCCGTTTAGCCAGATGTTCTGTTTGTCAAGCCTTGATATCCTCGATTGTAGACATCGCCATTGAGACACTCCCACGCCGTTCCTCGCAAGGACGTGAAAATAGGATTGATGAAGAAATAAAGCCTTGCGTAAAATCCGAAAACGTCTCTTACTTGCCAAGGCGTTGTAGCAGCTCCTGGCGAGCCAAGGTGTTCCTATTAAAAAATGTATTAAACGGAGATACCTTACGACTGCTGAGCATCAGCATCAGTCAAACCTCCTACGCGACGCAATGCGGTCTCAGCTGCGTTGACGCCTTCTGGCATGCCTATCAGTTTTGAATGATCCAACCCCCGTCGATAAAATTCCCGCGCCATCGATCTGTCACCGTTCATCTGTAGATCAAAGATAAGAACCATGCCTTGCCATAGCCAAGAAGTATGTTTACCTCACGGAGCATGCCAATATTGAACAGGGCTGCGGCATATGCATACTCGCATATGGGAATGGGCTCATATTGCCGGCGTGTCCGTTGCAAGATAGCTAAAGCCTGCTTTGCCCACGACTCGGCTTGTTGCAGCTTCTCCGGAGTGGGTTTTCCTCGGATAATTAACTCGGATAGGTTACCCATCATCTGTGCGCCTACGCAAGCAACCTATGGAATAACTCTAACCACTTGGAGCAGAAAAGCCTCACCTCTGCATTGGTCATCCGGAGGTGATGTTTGTGGCGGTGGCGGAATCAAGATGGATATAGCTTGAAGATACAGCGGCATGGCAAATCTAAATTATGGTCAATATATGCATGCGAACAGCAAAAACAAGACTAACTCGACTTTTCCAATCCGAGCATAGAAGACAGCGAGTGCTTCGAGAGGAGCACCAACGTCCGTCTTGTCAACCCATGGTGGCAGCTCGAGCTCTGCAAGCGTCACCTGGTTATCACTCGTAATATCCTCGCGGGGATTAATTACTCCAGCATTTGCATCCTTCACGAGCCTCAGCACCTCTTCGACGCCCCACGACAGCCACTTCTCCTCCTCATCCGCGGACTTCTGCAGCTCCTCCGCGACTTCTCCCAGCTTCCCTGCGATAGCTACCGCACGGAGTCTTTCCGGCCCTGAGAGGGTCGCGATTGCCTCTTGCATGCGAGTCAAGCAGTCCGCGTAGACTTCGTAAGCTTTTTGTTTTTCATTCTGGCTCTCGAGTGACTCGGAGAGGGCTACAGCGATACCGGAAATCTTGAGCCATGGTTGGTCTTTCAGCAGTTCCAAGGGGAGTTGCTTGGCCGTTTCCCAAGCTCTGTGGGGTAGCTATCGTCGGTCACCACTGAACAAACAGACGCGTAAAGAGAAGAAGGCTTACCTATAGAAGTACCGCGCACTTGTGTCCAAATCGCCCTTGTGCTTGGCTTTGACGGCGTCTCGCAGGTCCTGACGGAGTTCTTCTGGCCACATTGTTAGGGTCGCATAGAGGTCGTATCTGATTTCGCAGTCAACAATAGAACATTTGTATGACGGCAAAGGATACATACAGTCCGTACGCAGTAAGCCCTACGCCGACGAAGAGAAGCCCAGTGAAGAACGGAGACAATCGACTTGAGCTTCCGGCTCCGGCGCTGTACGTTCTACATGTTGTTGGTCGTGATCTTGGTACCAGTATTGGTGTAAACCGTGCCGGAGAGCGAAAGAGAGGTTGGGAGGCCCTCTGCAGGCGTCGTAGAGAGGACATCGTCGCCGACGATGACAACGCGCCCAAGTTTCTTTGCCGGCGCGAACTCCCGAGGATTATCAAAGCTTTTGGTAAACTGAGGTAAATATCCCAGATAAGATAGTGCCTTTCCTATTTAAGCCCTTGGTTATTAAGAACCAAAGGGCGCTTCGTGGTTCCTTTCAGTAGTATTATTACGGCTTGTGTAATTATTCGGTTATCATTTTCTGATTCAATGTGTAGCATATTACGGCCTCAATTTCCCACCTAGGTCCGGCACAGAGGTGAATTTCAGTCTCGGTTCCTGGGATGCTTTGGTGTAGACACTTTATTATTCAAGAAGTTGATGCTCGGATACTATCTGCTCAACACCGTCGAGAAACCCTGTTCATAATTCAGCAGCTCTCTTGAAGTACTCCAATATCAATTATGAATATCGTCTTCAATTTCTCACGTATCATATGAATACCTACCATCAACTGGTCGCCTTCTGAATTGAATGCCACTGGATCTGCTATGACGACCTATGTGGCGTTGACCTCAAGCATCCTAACCCTATTCCGTTGCATCTTCGCTGGTATTTAGAATCGAGTCACTTACCCTTATTTCTGATTTCTCCGACGAGTTGCTAGCGCGGATAGTTCCACGGGAGTAGTACTGCTCCGTTTTTTTAGATCTTCCCCCTTGTTGCGTCCACGTACATTTTCATCCATAGGCTGACTACTCCTTCTACCCTGCTACCTAATTAATATCGACCCGTCTTTCTACCTTTCCCCGTTGTGCAGAGCCGCCACAGATTAATGATATCTCGGCGATGTCGGTGGGGTCACAGAGACGCTCTTCTGATATTTTCCAATCGTTGCCAGCTCGCTTGGGCCCCCGCTGAAAAATTAGGCACTAACTGCTAAAGCATTCTCCTTCATCTCAACAACCGGTGCCGACGGTTACAGGGATACACATGCTACGATAGTTTTCCTTCTACACTAGAATATATTTTATCCATGTGCGCTAGGACCCGTGGGATGAACGCTAGAGACGTACAAATGATGGTCCCACGGAACCGACTACATATTGGGCATCGGCAGTCGGATTCCCCCTTCCCTTGGGTCCCAAAGATACGGGTACACGCGAAATCAGCACTGAGACCACTTTGTGGATTGTTGCTCTGGCAATTGTTCATACGACGTGCCATTCCGACGATCAGAAACGTTGCTGCTAGACTAAGGATGGGTTCAATAATCACACAAATGTATCCTGCGAATCACATCCCACCTCTCGATCTGCCTATCAGAACCTCCCCAAAGGGTGTGAATCTTCTCTTCTGAGGTGGACCTCCGTTTCACATGTCATTCAAGGCCGATCGTAGTTCGTGCGGATGTAGATGAGACGGTGTTGTGAAATTGGTGTTCTGACCGGGCAACATCCACTAAATGAATTCAATAGAGTGTTCCTTGCCCCTGTTGACCGTTGGAAATAGTGCCTGAGGTATATGTTAGTTCCGTTGTTGAATGCAGGCGCCCAATATGTATGATTGTAGTGGGTGATATATGAGCAGCAGAGAAGCGCTCGGGTTTCAGCTACCATCTATCGATGGGCAGTCCCCACCGTCTATACGGACAGAATCACCATCAGCTCTTGGAGGGGGGGTACGTTCCGACCCTTCTCCTAGCTTCCGGTCATCATTACTATGGAGATTTTGAAGTATATTTGATGAGCGGTATGGAACAAAAACGCCTTTGTGAGAGCATTGAGAATATTAGCATTTTAGCAAGTCAAAGTGAGATCGATTGCGGGGTGGGGCAAACAGAATCCGGGGAAATGAATGGATTCTTGAAACGCTGTAGTACAAGATGATGGTGAAGCAAGGGGGGGGGGAACAAGTAAGAGATATGATTCGCCTGAGACTTGCGCAAACCGGATCAGGAGTGAGTCACAGACAATGATGGCATATTCAAGATATCTGTCTGTTTTACTGCCTTCTTAGCGCTTACCTCCTCCCGGACTATCGTAGATCAGCCGTCAGCTGTGACCCGGTATAGCAAGACCCTGAGAAGGTAGCAGCCCAGAAAAGTACATGTGGTAATTTATTGTGGGACAGCAGGACCAGAAACGGTATGCCAACGAATGATTGCCATGGCGAATGTTAGGACTGGTCGATGTCAAGATGATTTCATGTTTTGGATGACAAGGATAAGGAGTACCACTTATTCGGGTCGAAGCCTTGTCCTTCTTGTTGTTGTACTCGCGTATACATAACACAACAAAACTGCCAAATTCGTTCTTTATTGTTCGTCCCCCTCTTCTTTGCTGTTAACCACCACCGCTCCCTTACTTTCCTCTAATGCCCGACACTTCTGCTCCCCAAGCCCCGCAGCAAGCAGCGGCCCCGACGAAGTCGAAACATAGCCATGCGTCGTCGACAACCGTCCAGTCTGCACCACGAAAGGTCCGGTTTAACGTCGGTGAGCTCATTGTCCTCGGTGGATTTTGTGACATAGTGTTCATTCATGCGCAGGAACCCAGTATCAGGTCCTCGACGTTGTCGGCGAGGGCGCGTATGGCATTGTCTGTTCAGCTATGCACCGACCAAGCGGTCGCAAGGTCGCCATCAAGAAAATCGCGCCATTCGACCACTCCATGTTCTGTCTGCGGACTCTCAGGGAGCTCAAACTACTCAAGTTTCTTAGCGAGGCTGGTGTGAGTGAGAATGTATGCGCTATCCTTTTTTCCTGCTTGCTTCTGTACTGAGGTCCACTAAAGATCATCTCTATTCTGGACATCATCAAGCCGTCGTCAATTGAGTCGTTCAAGGAGGTCTATCGTACGTAGCTTTCCTGTCTTTTTTCACTTGGTGCTGCGCTTACAACGACCGACAGTTATCCAAGAGCTGATGGAGACCGACATGCACCGCGTTATTCGCACGCAAGATCTATCGGACGACCACGCCCAGTATTTCATCTATCAGACCCTTCGGGCTCTTAAAGCCCTCCACTCGGCCGACGTGATACATCGAGACCTTAAGCCGTCAAATTTGTTGCTTAACGCCAACTGCGATCTCAAAGTATGCGACTTCGGCTTAGCACGGTCCGTGAAAACAGCAGAACCTTCGGGGACGGAGACTGGATTCATGACGGAATACGTTGCCACTAGATGGTATCGAGCCCCCGAAATCATGCTTACCTTCAAACAGTATACAAAAGTGCGCTTTTTTTCTTCTTCAACATCGGGTCTTTTTCCTGACAGGCAGAGTCTAGGCCATTGATGTATGGTCTGTAGGTTGTATCCTGGCGGAGATGCTCTCTGGCAAACCACTATTCCCTGGACGCGACTACCATCATCAACTCACTCTCATTCTCGATGTCTTGGGCACCCCAACTCTCGATGAGTTCTACGCCATTACGACCCGGCGATCGCGCGATTACATCCGTGCACTTCCGTTCCGTAAACGCCGGCCATTCTCCGCCATCTTCCCCAATGCAACCCCTCTCGCAATAGATTTCTTGACAAAAACTCTCGTAAGTAAACATTGCTTTACGGCTTTGCTTCTCGTCTCATCAAGTTATTCAATAGACATTCGATCCTAAGAAGCGGATATCCGTGGAGGACGCTCTGGCGCATCCCTATTTGGAGGCTTATGTGAGTCGATCCTATCGCTTGGAGACGCGCTCGGATATTAATGGCTTGTTTAACAGCATGATCCCGATGATGAACCGGTTGCACCTCCTCTCGATCCGGAGTTCTTCGAATTTGACTGTAAATAGCTTTACTTCACCTTCACCTACAACCCCACTGACTTTGAACCAAAATAGTACACAAGGACGATATCAGCCGCGAGCAGCTGAAAGAACTCCTTTATGAGGAGATCATGACCTTCCGTCCTGCCCCATTTGTATAGTTGTATCATTTTTTCTTGGTATGTCCTGACCCCTTGGAGCTCGCCGTTCGCATACTAACGTATCCCAGTTTCTCCAGTCAGCTCTTTGACGATGTTATGTTCTTACTGTCCTCATGCACGCCATCAGATATATATATCGGCTCTGTTTCTTAGATCAGACCGCCCGCTACCGCCATTGACACGCTCCCACGGACAATATCGTTCTCTCTTTGTTACCATCTTTTACGTTTCCATTCCTTGGTTTGGGTTTCCTCCAGGGCACTAGTTGCCTGGATTTCTTGTACTGGGACGTTCATGCTGGACATTCATTCATTTGACCGGGTCTGACGCCGAACTGAATCGCTTTTGCTGTGCTGTACGAATCCACTCTCTCTCCAATCTACAACTCCTTTTTGATGTCTGTTCTGCATGTTACATATATTTGTACCCCTTTCATCGACGGTTTTTTTTCGCTATCTATCGACCACTATTCATAGTACGCACTTCTTGTATAAAATATCAAAGTATCGAGGAACGCAATGTGGGGTGATATCGAAAATCTTGAAAGATTATGCCAAGACCCTGAGACGGAGAAGGTTTAAGTGCGCACCAATGGAGATCCTTCTGTCAATCAGGCTGGTGGTGATGAAGAGACTCGGCGGCGTGTGTCTGCATCATGGCTTGTGAAAATGAAATCAATCACATGCGCTAACGCACCGTAAAAAAAGCGCTCAAATAGACTAAGGTAGACGCCGGCCATGCGTAGCGTACAGCAACGCCCGTCTGCCGTGATGCGACCACACAAGTGCAAAAAATAAAACCGCTCCTCCACCCTCCGGACGGAAACATACACATACAATTGAAGATCAGCAAAATTCTAATTTGGTCGAGGATCATGCACACTGTATCGTAAAAAGGTGCCTTGATGGGTGTGTACCTGGGAAGACTGTCGGATCGGTGGTGAGAAGTCTTTACTGAGAAAGTGATGCCAGGGGTCTGAGAAGAAAGGAATGTTCATGGCTGACTCGTGGGCTTGAGGGGGAAGATGGCAGGGATTATGATTGTCCTCGGAGTTCGTGAGAGCATGGCTGAACCGTGACCCGTTGGAGGTATTATATTACTGGTAATCAGGAACCTGAACATACGTACTCCATTGCAGAAATATCGTGGCGTAGAAACAACGTAATTGCGAGCGGTGCTAAATAATTCAAAGCACATGCCGACCCTTGGCAAGACAATTTTTCTTCCAAGTACCGATGGCGAAGTCGTACACCGGTAACCGGGATATCAAAACTCCTTGAAACTGCGGTCAACGACAAAGATAGTACGCCCCATTCAAGTTCAGAAATCTCAAAGAATTTAGGTCTATTAGGTTCACGGAATGTGGGGTCGGAAGGGCTTCGAAGGCGCTGGCAACGTGCATAGCAACCTATAGCAACGTTCCTGCTGTCAGTCATTCATTCAACATATGCCGTGTACGTCATTTATTTCGAAAAAGATAAACGCTCCTGGTGAATCTTCATGATATGGCTCTCATGAACACCCAGTAAGCCGTCTGCGCGCCCTTCTTCCCCAAGTAGGAACAATATCAAGATTCAACTTAGCCATTCCTTTGTGCACCAGCGCTCCGCTTTACGTTCCTTCAGAAGATTTCTTCATCAAACTTTATGTCCTCGACTGAGTAGACTCCCGTCAAAGGAGATTGGACATGGAAGGCGGGATTTACTTCATTTGGTTGCCCTGCCATTCAAGCTACGGCATCCTCCGGTACGGTAGCCGCGGGCCGCGGCACAGCGCTCGTATTTAGTTCAAGAGAAACCAAAGTCCGCGGAATTAGTCTAGTGTACTAATGAAAACCGACATCTCCCTTGATCCTTGCGCGGAATTCTGCCCGTTATTAATTTCGGATCTATTCACTTCAATCGCAGAAGGTTGAGTGATTCCGACCAGCCTTTGAAGTTTAACGTTTCAACGTTAACATCCTTTAAAGTTCTTGATCAAGTTGATTCTTCAATAATGATATCCCGCTGGGTTCGGAGAAAGTATACCCGCCTCTGCATATGATTATCTAGCAGTATTCCGATACAATCGCTCTAACTTGCTCTGCACTGTTTCCACTCTTGTCACATCAGTCCATTTCTAACATGACGACGTTATTCCATGGAGTTTCGACGATGCGCAGGGAGAAACACCGGGACACTATCATTCTGACACAACAAACTAATCAAGCTTCACTTGAATTGCGAAACTGATACTGTCCAGTCAGAAAATACGGATATGATGATATTTGAATAGGATGAGATGCGATACGGATCCTCTTCCGTGTGGCATAAATCACTAGAGATGGAAGAGACTATGCTCCGTTGAATTGAGGTATTTTGAACCCACATTTGATCAACAGAGGACATTGGCCTAGATGCCACGATGATACTATGAACTTGAGTTTTATACGGTCTTCTGTTAGGTGAAAAGATGCGAAGATCGAACGTCCGAGCCTAGTCCAATACGATCTGGGAGATCTGGCAGCCTTCTAATAAGAGTAAGTGATGCAAGCGCTCAGGAAAATACCGCAGATCCTTCATATGCGCTGCTTCATACATTTAGGACACGTATGGGCGGATAATCTTGTCAGAAATGATGCCAGAACTTTGTAGACTGGACACGCAGTACGGCACTGGGATCCACCATTACATATCTGGACTTTACACATTGTCGTCCCAGTTCTCGACGCCCCAGCACTGAAGATCAGTCGCGATTGAGGGCTCGTTGCAAGGCAGTCCATCGAACTACCCGATAATATTAGATCAGGGAATCAATGCGATATACAGTGCATGTCGAGCTGCTTGAGATGCACAGTCCGAGGTGGCACACCAAACCGCAACACCTGGAGAGACGGTAGATGATGTACATATACCATCTATCGATCCCTCCGCTGTGACCGCCACGGGATGATGGATGAAATGATTGAGCACGATGGGAGAGCTGATGAAAGATAGTGCACCAGAGGTATTGACGCATGATCATCTTGTGACGAGGCAACTCGTCATCGTCCCGAGTGGGGCGTATAGTGAGCCCACAGCTCTCGGAGGAATACCACCGGAAGGTGAGCGAATACCAGAAATGCGCAATGCGTTGAGAACCAGTAATCTGAACAAAACTATCTTGCCATGTTTGATTACGTTTCGAGCAGCAACGATAACTGGCATTGTTTCATGCTGGACAGCAAATACGCGTGGACGCCTAAAACACGGCGTCACCTCAATGAGAAGCACGAAATCAGTAGACAAATGCCTGAGGCGAAGTTCACCCGAGATTTTTCGCTGTAGAATTTACAGCACCAGATTCGTACCAGGGGATGGCAGTCAAGGCAAGACGAACCTCATCCATATTGAAATTTGACCCAGGTCAATAAAAGATGCATTTTGCCTAACTTTGAAGAGAAAAGGTCCGAGCAACGGGACGCATCACGAGAAGCGTTGACTTGCTACGGAAGAATGGATAGCTCCTGTGATCCATTTATTTGGTACGAGCATCAGATGCTTGACTCGGCGCGGCACCATACAAAAACATCTTACTTGGTAGCATATGTGATCCTTGACGCTGATAAGAATATAAAATGAGGATGTCATCCGTTCCAGAAGAAAATTAACGAAAAATAAAGGTCAAGAAACCGTAACCTATGCATCGTCGTCATCCTCCACCTCTTCGATCCTTGTTTTTCGACTAGAAGGCGTTGGTGAAGCATCGGACGTCTCGGCGGGCGTCTCAGCAGTGCTGCCATTGGTCGAGGCCTTGCCCTTCCCTTTGTCGCCCTTCTCGCCCTTCTTCTTCTTAGATTTCTTCTTTTGAATGTCCCACTCCCACAAAGGTATAAACGATTCAACCTAGAACACGGTAAGCTTTGATGATATTTCAAATAAAGAACACGCACGAATCCAACGTCCGCGAACAGTTTCGGAAATATCCAGATACCTGGACTAGCGACGATGACAGTGATGATATAGAATATAAGTCGTAGAATGGCGATGACGAAAAAGAGGCCTATGAGACCGAGCATCCCAATACTGAGATACCAAACGCCCAATCGCATGGTTGGCGGCCACAAGGGGAACATGACACCGGCAAGCATAATCGCCACCATTGCCACTCCTCCTGCATAGGTTGTCCACTGTGATCCATCATAGAACCACGCGTAATACTCGTCGGGCACGAATCGCTGCTCTTGGATGATTTGTAGGACTTTCGGTGATGATGATGAGGAACCCGACGGTCCGCCGCGCTGGACACGAAGGTAGAAAGCAAAAGTATTGACGGCGTGAAGGACAGTCTTGGCTTCCTCTTCATTGGTTATCGGCGGCATTCCCTTTTTCTTCTGGTACGCTGGTGAAAGAAGTGCCTTTACTGCAGACTTTCCTGCACAGAATCTTCGATACGGACGAACGGAGCGACGGATGGAAAACGCGACGTACCTTTGAAATAATCTACCCGCTTTCCATTCAATGCACCGACCCTAACCTTCATTCCCGCCCCTCCACTTCGCAGAAATTGGGCGACTTTTTTTAGATCTGGCGGCGCCTTGGCTTGTTGTTCCATTATTCGAGCAGAAATCTATGATATATGGATGTAAAACAATGGCGGGTATATCGACAGTGAGGAAGAAGAAGCCAGATGCTGTAGGGAGTGCTGGCAGTGGTCGTCGTCGTCGTTCAGGATAAAGGATAGTAGGCAATGCGCTGGCCCTAGACACGTCACATTGCCCTTTGTCCGCCACGTGGTGTGACAGTGGCGGTGCCCATTGTGCTCGGTACCAATCATCAAAATTTCCGAGTTATCACCTCCTTCATTGTGGTGTAGCTGGTTGCCTTCCCTCTGAATATAAGAACCTTCTACATTCCCGGAAAAACCTGGAGGAACCTGGCAGCTTCGACTTCTATACTACCCTTCGTGTCAATCGGCGGAACCTGAGCGGCGCGACAACGGCCGGCAGACATCTGGAGCGTTTTATTTAAATCACTAAAAAGTACTTACGACCAGTAACTTTCCCTCCGGACATCGCTACATTTTCTCACCGTTATGCTGCTTCTTGACGACTTTGTTGTTCTGGTCTGTTTTTGCTTCTACGATATGGCATTGTCTCGACCTTTTCTATCGAATTAGAATGTGGTTATTCATACTAAGCAGCGTAACTGCGACTGGGTCGTGTTTCATCCCTTTCCTTGTTACTTACTTGAACGGCAGAATGTCCAGGCACGGTGGGAAATCCATTATACGCACTCCCTCCCCCCGGTGTGTACCTTCCTTTCACTACAAAATAGACGCCTTTGAGCAACGACTCGGCAAAGTGCAGCTAAACTCCTCTGCGTCAGAAAGTCTCCCCTGCAAACGAGTCGTGGAAATCTCTTACACCCCGTTATCCGTGGAAAGGTAGCAACATGTCAGGCCATAATGACCTGTAAGCCTAGTGTCAGCACTGCTGGCGAACAACACTAGTGAGAGATACGTACACGGAGTCTACAAACCAGCACGGTCAGTTCAAAGTCAAGTCAGTTTTGTCGTGTCACTCACCGTTCCCGCAATAGTACCGCCTTGGGATATCCCGTCAGCATGCAAGGTCAGCAATACTACATCTGGTCGGTATGGACATACATTGCGATCCTAAACCACCGGCCTTTACGGCCTCAGTATCCTGAGCGACAGCAATCGTGAAGAAAGCAACGAGAACAGTGTAGAGACTAGCTTTGATGAAGAACATCTTTGGCAAAACACAATGATAATTGAACGGGTCCGAGCCTCTTATACGAGCGCTTCTGGTCACAGGTACGATAATGTCAAACCGGTATAGACATATTTGATGCTTTTCCATTCAAGTACTAAGCCTAACGTTGGCTCAGTACGGTAGAGAGCATCCTAAGCCTCCTTCAAATCAGCACACTCCGTCTGGCAACTAAAATGGGATAAGCGGATGTGCAGAACGATAGCAATGAGGAGCCCACGTCAGGTAGTCAGACAGGTATGGCACTGGACAGCACTTCAAGTCCTCCGCACCTAAAATAATGGGGTCAGTGCCGCTGAAAACACCCCTTTTATCCTCTTACATTGTACCTGGGATGATATACATCAATTGTTAAATTTTTAGATAGGCACCGGAGAGGATCTTACCTGAGAGACAAACCCGCCACCTAATGAATAACGATGAGTATGACGCGGTCAATATTCCACAAAGTAAAAGGTATGTACATTGTTCACCAAGCAACGGTGTAGATGACGGTGCCCCAACCGCGGGAGACTCGTCCCTAGTAACAGACGGGGAGGCCAAGACGTTTGGCACGACAAGGACGGAGATGAAAGTTGTCAAAACGAGAGTCTTCATGTAAGGTTGTCGGTAAACGATAAAGTAATGGTCTTATATATACGTGTCCGACTTTTATTAAAAGCTTGGCTGTGGAATACACTCCGTCATGCCTTCGACCATGCCGACACTTGCACCGCGCAATGACGAAAAATGCCTTGGCATACGCCTCAAGAGGTTACGCAGAGGGTTTAAATAGCGATTCCAAGGTTTCGACCCATACAGTTTGGATTCGACTGCGTATGGGGAGCATCAATGAGGTCACTACTAGGACGTCATCAGGTCGAGATTGGGGGTTCAAAAATAAAGGCCGTCAAGTGACTTGCCCAGTGGGCCAGAGAATAATTAACTGACCTGATAGTATTTGAGAATATCCTATCGTTTACTCCTTCCTGTGCCCTGAGAAAGGTTCGCTGCTGGCACCGACGCCAACACTGTCGAATCGTCAATTGCCGGCCACGTCCGAATCTCAAAAAATTCGCGAAGCATCAACAATAGAACCCACCGAATGGTGAGACGGTACCGCGAAATCGCGGGAAATATATCAACAAAGTATTTTTTACCCTATATACGGTGATGCACGCGACGTCGATGGTATCAAATATATAACACACTCAAACTCGTCTGTTGCCAGTAGTACGACAGCTGTAATGAGCCAGAATAGATCCGGTAGAAGGACTTCGATGCGTTAGGGAAAGACATGCGGCGCGACCGGGCCGGTGAGCCCCGAGTTTTTCACTGTCGCGGGCTCAGATTTTCCCTACTAGTCTTGATCAATGTCAACGCAGCACCACCAGTGTATCTTCTTCAGGACGTAATTATGCGCTCAAATCCAAGCAACAACTATGTCAATGGCCATGTATGAAAGCACAACGGCTGCATCTGCTAGCCTGATCGCTTTGTTCTGGATCCCAACTGGTATTGAAATTGCCAATCACAGTGGAAACCTGGCATCCGGCACAAGCTTCGACCCATGTACATCTTGCCGGTGGAGTTGTTATCAGCGTCAAGTTCTACTATGGCCGGTTCAGCAGGCACTTGCGATAGTTGGGCGAGAAGGTTCAACCCTTCCCTCCTTGTTGTGTTAGGACGGTATGGTACAGAAGCCCTGATACCTTCAGCCGCTCTGCATGCAGATTGAGTGTGCATAATACGGACGTACTCGAATCTCAAGCTCAAAAAATCCACCGACGTATCGAGATAGGCTTTTCGAAACAAACAATAGACGTGAGGGGTACTGCGCGCTTCAAGGTTTGACTTCTTTCCGATCTTAAAGGCTATCCTAACACTGCAGTTCCCTTGCCGTGCAGGAATGCTTGCTTCTGCTGCACGATTATCCTTGTGCGTTAAGTTATGCATTGGTAACGAACTCGAATATGGCCTTGGATCATTTGGATAAAGATAAACCAAGCTTTGGCTTGGAGGCACTTGCCGGCGAGTGCTCAGCGAGGACTTGTTTGTCACCAGTTCTCGCGCACCTCCTACCATATTTCCTCAGGGCTTTCCCGGTACTGGAAGAGGTCAAGAGCAATGTTGAGAGGGGTGGTTGCGGGCTCCCCCTTGAACCTGTGAAATGCATCCCTTCATCAAGGTTAACCACCTGGGTGATGCCTTATTCCGAAATTCACGCGATCAAGTCCACGCGTCTGCTTATATACGTTTCCCCCCCCCCCTCTCCCCCCCCATCACGCAACATCGATATCGACAAAAGAAGGTTTCCATTTAGTTAGCCTCCAGTGGGGGGCCCAGGGTCACAGGTCAGACTTGTAGCTGAGGTAAATATTTGCGAAACCGATATTCTTGGAGGACTTTTGCCGGTATGAACGATGCTTGCAGCTGAGCGCATAACTCCACGGATTCGGCGTTAACTCATCCTTCTGAAGCACCTTCATGTCATTCGAACTACCGGCTACATGACTGCAGGTGAAACTGGAGAGACAGGGCCGGATATCTCCCGCTGTCAGGGTAACGGCGATGGAACAAGAACCACTTCTGTCTGTGTCGTCTGTTTTAGAATCAAGTGCACAAACAACAGAAGACATGATGTTGATTCGGGGGAAAACTGAGATCAACTCTGACCAGAGGCACGGTTGTAACCTGAATGAGGCGATGTACCGAAGAAACAGCTTTATCCACTCCATAGCGGAGGACTCGGGTTCAGGGTAACACCACAGCTGCCCTTTGAAGCCCGTGGCACCCTGTGGCGCCAGAGAGATGAACTTCGCCAGAGCCATCGACGCGATTGGAATTTCTGCGGAATTTGCCGATGAACGTAGGCATACCGCTTAGCCTTATTCGTCTTTCGTTCACCCGCGCTATATCTTCTGAGCACTCACCAGTTCGGTGCCACTCATTCTCACCCCTCCTCGGAGTCACAAAAGTAGAATCAATGTCCGTGGATGTCGAGGGCTCGCAGCGTGCAATTTGCCGTAACCCCCGAATCGTAACTCAAAATACTTTTACCGCAACGTTGCTCGTCATGGCTTGATCAGGGTGGTGGTTCGAAGAGTTATGGCTATGCTCTTCTGTTCCCCCGCCGGACTCATGGAACACTTGTACTTCTCATAGTCCTGAGTGTGCCTTGGCTTTCTTTCCAGGTATTAATTTCGACTCCATTCACATTGAGGCGCCACTCCGGCCTCAGTCAAATGAGCACCTGACGCTTACAGCTCGAATGGATCAGTAGGTATCGCAAAAACACGTCTCCGCTTCTGGCGGTATATCTCAATCAAGATCCAGAGTATCTCCCATGTATTGTTACCAACTGCTCCCAGGTTCACCCATTGTTCCGTGCCCATATTTATTGATGACGCATCTGCTGCATCGACTAATCGAACTATCATTGGTTCGCTGGTCTGTTATTAAGACCAATCCGTCTCTTCTGAAGTGCAAAATTGGGAAGGGCCTCGGAAGCCATGATGGCGGCTCCGAATGTCTTCCAAATCTTGACGACTGCTGAAAGGTATGACGTACTTTTCAAGCATTTGGTTCCGCACCGTGTGATCGGACAACGCTTTGTTCGACCGTTTCTGCACTTCCACCCGGTCCCAATTCGACGAGGATGGCCCGGATGCTGAAGATTCTTTTGTCTCCAACATCGTTTTGGGGTGGTCAATTTGGGTCAAGTCATAAGATGTGTCGTTTCACATCATGATTTTGCGTTAACGAAACGTGGAGCTATCGTAATGACAAATGGCTTCCCTCAGAAACTTAGATTCACATCTATTCACATGAGGGGCAACAAGAACGCGTGTTCGGGGTCGGATCGGTGTCCGTACTAGCACAGGCCCTTCAAATGTCTGCACCTATAAAAGATTCTGTATACAAACATACGAACGACAGCTGCATACTCGTACGCTTTCAACCCACTCTTGCACCCCAACCATATCGCCCATGCCTCCTGGCGAAGCTACGTACATCTGGGATATTGCCGGGACAAAGAAATTCTGGGCGAAGGGGGAATACTGTGTTCATTGGATCATAGTACACGGCAAACCAACCATGTACACTTTTGAGTGTCTCCAAGACCGTAAGTCTCCCTAGCTTTTACGCCTTGTGACTCTTTTCATATATTGGCCTTACAGATACTATCTCAGAAGGTAGTCGCGTGAGCCCCTCCTGCCTTCTTCGTGACTTCGAACTGTTGACCTATTTTTATTAGCCCATACCTGGGAGAACCACCGCTTTTTGGACGCCCTATTTTCCGAAATGATTATGGAGACTGCCTTTTATCTGCTATGATCGATATTTCGTAAGTAATGATGAATGTTCGTCGTATGGTACACAGACTTCTGATTTGTTGTTGGGTGTAGCTTCTGCTTGTTCCGACCATCGAATATGTTTTGAACCTTACTATCCGAACCCTGACCGGTCCTTATCGATTAATGAGTGTTGTATGTACCTGTACTAGTAGGATAGAGATATCCGCTCACAGCCCGTGCCTGTCCTGGCGATGACGACCTTTTCCCAGTCTTCACAGATAGGTTGGGGACTGTCAAGTGACCAGACTTGTATGTTTGGGTGAAGTGGTCAGGAGTTATTAGCTCAGAGTACGGTACCAATATAGCACGGATAGAATAGGAATTTTTGAAGGTCCGAGGAATCGAGGGATCGCCATGACGCTATGCGACAGAACAATAACCGAGTGGTACTGCCTGCCGGCGGCCGGATTATAAAAGTGGAGCCCATCCGTGGCTGCCATCATGGAGTCCAGTCGTTCCTTTGATTCCAGCCCCCGTGCAAAGCCCTCGATTGATGAAGTAGTACTCAAGTCCCGCATTGAGCAGCGCCTCTCCGACAAGTGCATGGAACTCGTTCCCTTCGAGCAATGTACGTGCCTAGCTGTTTCCGAGGATGTTTTCAATTTTCACCTTGAGGTTCTGGGAAGGTGGGCATCATATGGTACGTTAGTCTGCTGGGATACCGAAGCCAGTCACTGAATAGTTTTCCAGACTTATACTGCTCACATGGAAAAACGACAACAAGCACTATTTATTCGAGTTCAATGGTCCATTCTGAAACATGCCGGTTGCGGACTGGCCTTCCCATCGGCTATGCGCTCTGAAGTACGCCGAAAGTTACGGTCTAAGGCTTCCGTTGACTTGTGACTAGGTCTCCACCATGCGTTTTCTGAAATCCAGGACAAAAATCCCGGTCCCTGAAATTTTATTTCACGACCTAGACATTGATGGGAACGTCGGTGGTGAATGGATGATCATGGAATATGTACGTCCAGGGGCTTCGTTATGGAAAAATGTCTATTGAGATGATGTATAGGTCGATGGCGAGAACCTTTCTACAATGTGGAGGTCCCTCGATGCGAAACAACGCGAACAGGTTTGCTTGGCTATGGCGGATATGTGGGTGCAGATAATCAGCATCACTTTTAATTCTATTGGAAGCATATACGAGAGAAATGGAGGGGAATTCATGATCGGGCCCATGACGCGCCTAGCTTCGAACCGGAGCACCTCCATCGCCCCGCCACGGCTTGATAAATGCGGTCCATTCTCAACTGTGAAGGGCTGGTTACTGGCTACTGCACGACGCGACATGGATTATGAAGATGCGCCCGAAGACGCTGATGTGTCTTCCCGACGTCAGCATTTCATCGACGATGTCGTTTCAAAAATCCAGCATTTTCCCTTTCCTTACCCAGATTTGCCTCTCGTCCTCGAGCACATAGATTTTGCACCGCGGAACATTCTGGTGAGTCGGATGGACCCGACGAAGATAGTGGCGGTCATTGACTGGGAAGGATCGCGCTCCGTGCCAATGTGGGCTGCGAATCCAAATTTTACATTCCCGCCAGAATCGGTGATGGAGGAAGAGAGGAAGCGCTTGCTCACGTTATTGACGAACCGTATAATCTCCCAGGTTCCTGAGTGGGAGAGGGCTATAGGCCAGGAACTGCAGCCTCTGCGAATATTACATGACCGCGCAACGTATAGCAAAGTCGATCCTAGTGTATTGCCTCATGCCCCGTATCTAGCAATGTCAGCTTCATATTGAGAAGCTATACAACACATCTGGAATTTGTATCTCAACTGACACCGGGAATGGAGATTTCAGAAGGAAGATCGAATCCACTGGTCAAATAAATGATGTCGGTGTCGCCTCAACCTTCCAGTGCATTGTCTCCATACCATGCTCTTGAGGCTATGTCGCTGTCGATAATCATGGCGGATTGAAAATTTCTATCAGCTCCAGTATCATACGTTCAAGGGTTAGCACGTATGATCATTGCTCAAAACAACATCCACATTTCCTGTTGCCTTCTATATCATGATATCGAGAGCTTAATCCTCACATAGGATTGCCATTGTCGCAACGAATCCTGCACCTTTAATCCTTTATGTCAAAATATTCGCCCACGACGACCTCAAATAGACTTACAATCCATAGAGAGGCTCGTAAAAGCAACAAACGAGGCCAACAGCACCTGAATATCGTACAAGCATGAACATTTGGTCGAATGGACTTGCATATAAGTTTACAAGGAGGCTAAGAGAAAGGTAATGATGAGTTAGATAGACGGCTCATTCCAAAGCTGATGACTCACCAAGCTAGCTAGATCACCACCTAATGTACAGTCAGATGACGGTAATTGACATGTTGTAGAGCGAGCTCACATGGCACTCCGAGACCTCCAGTCCTAGTAGTAGCGTCTTGAGCGGTCCCAAGGGTCAGAACGACAAAAAGCGTCGCAAGTCTGGCTTTGAGGGAATAAGTCATATTGAACGATATAGCAAATTTGGGTCTGGGAGGCTTAAATACACCTTACAGACCCTTTAGATACTCGTACCTACCGCAACAGGTACTAGATTCCCATGTCGAATGTCAAAGCAAGAATGGAGACTTATTATGAGCGATGCTGCGGCGAGAGTAATTAATATAGAGGCGTACTAGAGAATAGGCTGGACGAGCGGTGCAAATCCTTAAACTTGGATTTTTTATCTAAAAAATGAAGGCAACTTCTAGCTCGAAAAGAGCCTTTGGTTCATTATCAGTTTGGCGGGGAGACAGAAGAGGTAGCATTTGCCAGGCCTACATTGACTGGGCTTATTATCTAGCAAGAATCGGGCTTTCGGAGATCCATAGCTTGATTACTCCAGAAACAATGGTGGACGGTGACCTTCAGCGTTCATATATGTTATCGTATTCCCGCTTGCATCCCTTGTACAACACTTACAATTAACATTTATGTTGTCCATCTGTCATTAAGAATATAATTAGTACTGAGGTCCTCGTTTCAAAGATAACAATAATGTCATCGAGTAGAAGAGTGATGTATACCTTCATGCATGTCGTCTCAGAAAGAGTCCTATCTGTGAAACCCCACTGAGTGGCAAATGGTATGGAACGGGAGAAGCCGTCTGAAAAGTACTTGGTCAGGAGGCGACGGAACTACGGCCCGATATCTGGAAATTACCTTTTATCCTTGACTATATCGTGCGACTCGACTGACTTGGCAATGATTTCTTGACTGAGCGGGTCCCTAGATATCATATCTCTTTGCAGCAAACCACCACCTCTTCCTGTACAGACCATGTTCAAAGCTCGCTTCACCTCGTTAAATGTGACCCAGGCCCATTCCCAGTTGAAGCGATCCTCTCATTGTCTTGTCATCCCTCATACACGAGACTCTGCTATCATCTTTGGGGGCGAACTGCAGCCACGGATTCCAGTAGACAATGCATTGCACAAAATTGGCCTTTCATCGGGAAATTACGAATTGATGAATGTGCTAACTGCATCGTCTGCGCCTCCTCCTCGGGTGGGATCTGCATTGGCATTCGCGAAGGAAAGTCTATGGGTATGGGGAGGCCGTGGAGGTGTTTCTATGGAGTGTCTTCCCGAAAAGGGGGACGTCTGGCGTTTTGAATCGGGGGAATGGACCCGGGTCGAATGCGACGGAGAGCCTCCACAGGACAGATCCTATCATGTAATGGTGAATTACAACGAGGTGCTTCGATTTATCATCTTATATTTACTTCCCTCGATAACCCTCATTTTCAGGATCTATACATGCATGCAGGCTGTCCCGCAACTGGCCGGCTTTCAGACCTTTATCGTCTTTCTCTAGCTTCGCCAAAGCCTGTATGGACTAAACTGGCAGATGCTCCTGGGCCTGGACGTGGTGGTACCGTCCTCGGGGTTGTTCCTGGGCTCTCTTCCTTCATACGTTGGGGAGGATTCGCTGGATACGAGCTCGGTGGTCCGCTCGACATATACCATGTCCCTACGAACACCTGGCATTCTGTCGATGTCGCCGGAGAGCAACCAGCAAAGCGCAGCGTTCATGCCCTCGTTGGCCTTCGAGGAGCTCCGCGAAGTGACGGAATTGTTGCGCTTATGTTGTTCGGCGAAGGGGAAGCTAGTGATCTTGGACATGCTGGTGCCGGGGTATGTGCTAGATAATATTCATTAATCTCGTTCAGATTTTGACTCTTGACAACAGAAATTTCACGATGATATATGGGCCCTCGTCAAGAAACCATTGACCGAGTTAATAGAAGGCTGGTCCTGGGAGAAGGTCGTTATTCCAGAAGGTAGCCACAAGCCACAAGCACGCGGCTGGTTTGCGGCTGATGCGTGGTCGGAAGGGAAGGTTGTATTTCAGGGTGGACTGAACACCGACAACGAGAGACTCAGCGATGCGTGGATTCTGGAGGTCGAAAAAAATTAAATATGATAAGACTGCTAACACCGGTGAAAAATATGTACATGTACTCCTTTTATTCATTCTTCTTCCCGATAACTCTGTAAACCCATTCCACGTGGACGATATGTCCGCGACTCTTATATACGTAGACGCCGTAAAGAAGTCCTCCAAAGAAAACGACAATCCACGACACTAGCCCTGCCCAACGAAACTGTTGAGGATCAGATAGGATCATAGTCAAGACGTATTTCTATTTTGACGGTCAGTGAGATTCCGTTTCGTAGAAAATATATCACCGAACCAGCATATCGAATGTGTTCATGAGAGAGTACTGCAAAGCTGTGAGGGTGTTTCTTCGCTACACAACAACGTTAGCCGAGGATGAAACCCTCATCCCGATGAGAAAATCTTACAGGATGGTGCTCAAGGGCTTCTTGCAGGATCTGTAGCTATAAACAGAAGATTGTAAAATTTTGACGATCCCAAAACGTCGGGAGAAATGAACTGACTTGTGCCAAATCGAACATCCAGAGTCCTACACGTGAGAGTGCCATCCCTGTGTGCGCAGCAAACACATCAGTATCACTGACCAAGGTGCATGATATGATATATACCTCCAAAGAGCATCGCGTTGTTATACGCAGGCCCATGGCCGATTCCCTTGGGAACTCCAATGTACAATGCCAATACCGTGGGCACTAAAGTAACGACCTCCGACCTTAAAGATGGTCAGCACTACGCAGACATGCGACAAAATGCAGGACTACCAGATGGACCAAGCACCACACCGAATCAAGCCGATTTTACGCTCGACATGGGGGAGAAGAATCGTTCCTATGAGGCCTGTTACAGTGCAGATCGCTCTCATACCTGCGATGAAAGGACTATCGATGATTGTTTGTAAACACCATGAAACAGAAGAGGAAATAAGCCTACTCATTCCAGTCTCTAGCGGCTTTGAGGTATGATCTATACAAGACTGATGAGTTCATGCTCTTTGGAATAAAGAGAAACGTGCAGAAATGTTCCATCGAACGATAGGACAGTGAGGTATATACTAAAAAAATGTTTAACCTTATTTGAAATGGAGGGAACAAAAGGGGAGATTGAACCTCGAGATAGACAAAGACGCTGAAAAAAGGCATCAAATGATTATGATAGTCACACCCTGAGTCCACTTACTGTAAAACACAGGAAAATGAGAGAACTCTTGCCAGTCCCGAAAGGTCGGTCTCGGATCGATCCAACGCTTGAATGAGAATTTCTGGTTGTGACTCTTTTGGTCTGCGTCCCGAGAATTCGCCATACGCTGCTGGTATTCTGACTCAAGGGCGGGGAACATTTTATACACGACATGAGATAACGGGATCTGAAGTTGATAAAATCAGTCTCCACTAGCTGCACTCATGATAGGGAAAACGAGTACCTCGATGGAAGCAGTGGTGACGGCCATACCGCACAAGAAGGCTGCCGCAAAGCGGTAGGAAACTGCGGTCGTCAGCATAGAGACAAATAGCGGGGATATCAGTTTGCATATCAAGTCCTGTAGCGTATAGATAAGCGTCAAATCGAATTTACTGAGGAAGATGCCAGACTATACGACGCAGCCAAGTGTTTATCCTCATAAGGCGTACGGTGTCGCCTTCTCCGATGGTAGTAGCCCAATCTCTCTCTATGCTAATCTAAAGTATCAGTCGCCGTCAACGACTGATTACGGCTCGATTGGCACAGTTACATACCTGGATGCACACAGTAGCCAGCTTGATGACCATGCCAGATAGCACGATGGCAATGAAGAGTGCCCATATAGGGCCTTCGGCATTTTTACCTTGGGACCCGGCCTCCAAGAGTTTATCGATAAAGAAGATAGCCGTGAATGCTGCATAAGCACTTGCGGTAGCGACCTTTTGGAAGAATATTGCCAGTTGTAGGATGCGTAATCGGTGCCGTTTGTCAACTAGATGCCCCATCCATCCCGATAACTGTCACATAGTCAAATACAAACTAAAACACCATATTTCTTGAGTACGGACAACGATCGCGGCACCAGTCGTGCAAAACCCAAATATAGACGCAGGAAGCAGGGTAGAACGGAAAATCTGGATAAGAAAGAGATACGCTGCGAACTAGGAGATGAAAGATATTGAGTAGTTACATCGAAAATATTAGTTGACCTTTACCTCGAAACATCGGTCTCCCCAGGTGCTAAACGAGATAAACGAGCTGCTTAAAACGGGATAAAGACGAACATGACTCCCGTACCTTGAAAAATGAAGGGAAGTAAGTAAAGCTAGAGATTTTGTACGGATCGGATGGTTTCGTGATGGTAAAGGCGACGCATCAGGTTCCAGGACGTGGGGCAAAAAAATGTTATGTCGAGATGATCTTGATTGAGAGTCATCGGGGGCATCCTCGTAGACAGAACGTATGTCTGTCAGTTGTATGACATCAGTCCGAGCTATGGATTCCTCTTGGGTGGCTGGCATGGAGAATTGCTGAAAGAGGTGGGCCGATAATTTTTGTTGAAATAAGTATCGGAACAAATGGACCCCAAGAATTTCTCCACGGTGACCTCGTGGGACCTACGAAATAGGAGTATTGAGAACATTTACGACATACGAACGTCCATCGTGGTATGTCCTATTTCCAGTCTGTAAAGACCACGCTAGGTTCGCGAAGAAGTTGATGGTTCGGCACCACGAATGTATCGGCCCGGATAGCCGAAAGACGGAGCTCCAAAGGCCCGACAAGTACCGACTCGAATTCTCCCACTTGACTATTTTCATTATTGCCACAGAGAGTACAGCAAGAATCGCGCGTCCGTTCGACGACATTTCAGAAGAGGCGGATGGGGAAGACTTCTGTAAGTTTCTATCTAAATTTTTATTGTCAATTCCAACTACAACGAACTAACGATGATCAGTACTCACTAGCAGAAGTTTAGGGCTTTTAAGCTTCCTCATCCCCGGTATGGCTCGGGAGCTCCCCAGGAGAAGCCTCACTCAGGATGGCATCACTATATGCTGTTTTGTTGTACCAGTGTCGTACCTCCAATCCAAGAATTGGAGTTCGATGGAGCGAGAGAAACCGGATAATAGTGTCAAACGAACATCATGTCTTCTTCGGAGGGGCAATCGGGGAGAAGGATGTCTGGTTTTCACAGTATCTTCCAATGGTGCCGATGAGCAGGGTGAAGACATGAGAGGAATATATGGCAGGTAGAGCGGATTGTTCGACCAGGATAGAGTGCTTTAGAGGGGCTGTGGTATACTTCCTTTCTTCGTGAGTGCCACATAGTCGTTTAGATATTCCTTGGTTACTTACAGCTAATCAGCCCGCCCATCTCTTCGAGGTGGACGTCCCCTATGTCGCGTAAACGCCGGACGAGCACAAAGCGACTTGTACCGAGATTTCTACTTCATTTTTCGACTAGATCAATCAATGTCAACGAAAGTGCTGTTGACCATGTTCGGTGCTCTTTCGGCTAGCTTTCTTTCTACGTCCCGGGAAATATAAATAAGATGTAAAGTCTTAACGGCCTTCTCACTCAGTCACATTATGGTCCTGGGGTGCTTTAACATAGTTTTCACAGTGCCCTCCCTATGACCGGACCATGATCAAATTATTACGAACACCCCCATGGCTATTGGGTACCTATTGGGCCATTTCTAGCGCTTCATTAGGAGACGTTGTCGACCTCGACAATGTCATGGCCCCTTCTTCGCGCGGCACCTAGACTCAAACCCAAATTGAAGTCGATCAACTACATATATTATCGGAGAGAGCGGGTGGTAACTATGGTTACGTTTTGACCGAATATATTGGCAGACTCCTTCCCATTCTCCTTCATGGGGGGTAAAAGCATTGATCACGTGAGAGGGAAGATAAGATAAGATATTGATTTAAGTCAGATGCTAATGGCTGCGAAGCAGCTTTGGCCCCCCACGAAGGAGAGTGGGAAGGAGACTGATATATTGGATGCTTTGCCCGCTCCTGAACCACGGGACGCATATTTGTGGAAGTGGACACATCAGTTGTTGAATCGGCTTTAACACCGGAAGATCGAGCAGCCTCGCTCTTTCAAATTGATTCGGCTCGCGGAACGCAGGTGGGAGCGTCAAGTGAGGACCTTTCCGCGTCTGTAAATTGCATTGGAACTAATTCTGCATTAAGGGAAGATATCTTGAGCTGGTCCTCGGTCCAATATACGCTGACTCAAAGAACTTTAATATCCGATTCTTTCCGCCGTCCACATCACCACCGCTGCCAAGATGGCCTTGAAGAGTCAATATGAGTGGATAATATTGGCCCTCCACCACTAATCCACCGCCCAGGACATCTATTTAACCGAAGCTGACAACTATTAACTAGTCTCGACTCCGTTGCACCCCGGGAATCAGGGTGGGGCTGTACTTGAGGGCGACGAATTAGCCTCGCCTGACATAGCCGTCGCAGTCATGGGTCACTGACGTCCAAAAGGCGCTGGGTATGTTTTCTGCAGGCCCAACCATCTTCCACTATCCGCGTGCTCTCAAGGCCGAGACGTAAATCCGACCCGGGTGGCATGACTCGGGTATTCGAATTTGGGCAGTCCAATGTGTTTGGTGATTTCTTAGAATGCGTCCTTTACAAGTCCTTTCGGGAAATACTTATAGGTGCGACGTCGATGATCAACCATCATATCCGATATCACTGAACGAGCCCATTTTCAGTGCAAAAAGGGCTCTTTTCCAACGACACACGTTCGGTGGCAAATAAATACGTTGTTTTATTCTTGTCTCGTGGTTTGTAAGTAGGGTGCCTTCAAACAGCGAAAGTCGGCGAAAAGCGCCATCTCAAGCGGAACATTACTATTCGCGATCTGATTGGCTGCCTACAGAATCTGATTGGCTCGCGGCGGATGCACTCAATTCTCTGACTTGTCATTGGACGAACCATGGCTGTATATGGTGTCATACCTGTCCCTCGTTCGAGAAACTTAGGGAGGTCGAGGCCTATACGAATGGTATAAATGGGCATCCGAGGGCGCCTGAGGAGCATAACAGAAACGTACTCGGAGCTCTTCACTGCATACTAGTACCCGCTCACTACAATGGCCTTACAACACGTCGACCCCGCCACCCTGGATGACCTCCAAACACGCGTCCAGTACCTCCGCAACTTCATCGAATTCACCCAGGCCGACGCTGACGTGCTTCACGCCGCGAAACCCGTCGTCGGTCCCTTAGTCCCCGACCTCGTCGACCGCGTCTATAACAAACTGTTGTCCTTTGACATCACTGCAGCGGCGTTCACACCCAAGCAGACCGGTCAGGACGGTGACGACGCGTCGGAGGCGAAGGTTGACGAACTCAATCACGATCATCCCAATATCAAGTTCCGGAAGGACTTTTTGCGGGGATATCTGGTGAAGCTCGTTAGCCTGGACTACAACAAGCCGGAGGCGTGGGCGTATCTGGACAAGGTTGGCATTATGCACACCGGGGTCCCAGGGTTTGCCCACAGGAAGAAGAAGCCTGCACTAAGGGTCGAGTACATTCACTGTGCTTTGCTGTTGGGTAAGCCGTTCAGCAGCTTTCATTAACTTGATCGTGACTCAACGTACTTCTAGGCTTGGTCGAAGACATGCTTGTTGATGCAGTTATTCTCCATCCTGACATTGATCTGAAAACCAAGCACGCCGTTTGCCGCGCCGTAAACAAGGTACATACGCGAGTCTTTCCTCCGAGAAGTGGTCTGACTTTGGTTTTGCAGTTGCTTTGGATTCAGAATGATCTTTTCGCCCGGCACTACCTTGAGGACGAGCAGGTAACAGCAGCTAAGCTTGCAGGAAACTGAACACGTCGCGAATTGTCGTGTTGAGACCATGGAGGACCATGTGTCATGTACTATATGTTGCTCTGCTGTAACTTACCCTGCGTCACCAATGGCGCCACCACTACTTAAATCTCCCCTCAGAATGTAATTTGAGTTTTGTGATATTGCGTTTGTCAATTCTATCATTGAGCATGATGTCAGGAATGTTCTTCGTCATCGCACCAAAAGTACATCACCCTGTTCCATAATTCTAAACTGGTCGAGAACATAATGCAATGCGACGTAAAAGACGGAGTCTGTAGCCAATGGTACACTTCAAGGCTCATGCAGGGAAACAGTTTAAGCTTCTTGTTGGAATCTTCGGCTAGGCCAGGCTGTTCTATTGGGGATGGCAGCCGCCACGCGATAACGTCCTCAACAGAGGGCCGTTGGCCTTTGAAGAATCGTTGTGGTCGTCACAAGACACCCGTCAATTGTACTACCTTCCATTCATCTACACCTCTCCCAGTCTTTCTAAGATTGGTGAACCCATTATTAAAGGCAGCGTCCAAGCCAAATGCAGCAGCTAGCTTGGTGACGTCCTCCTGAGTCTTCTGACTTGTTGGAGGGATCGTCATTTCCAAAGGTCCCTGAGCATTATTCACAAACGCCCTCAGCCAAAGAGATAGTGCAGGGAGCTCTATATCCGGGAAGTCTTCCGCAGACGAAGATGGGGCAGAGATAGTCGTCTTCTGCTTCTTACGCCTTCGTTCGGGCATCGCAAGGACTCTCGCCAACTTCTTCTCGCTGATAGCCTGCCGGCCTTTAACTTTCCTGTGGAGTATCATCCAATCCCCATTCTGATTGACTTTGAGATGAAACGCTTTGGCCAGAGCTGTGACTCGTGGATCTGTCGTGGCTGGAATTGAGAAAGCTTTAGCTTCCACATCGTCAAGGAACGCGCGCAAGCACTGCTCGAACGCCTTGATATCGGATACTCGTTTGGAATCTCCATCGATAAGCTGTGCAGCTCGGAAGCTGGGATGGCTCTCCTTCAACAATCGCTTCACTGACACTTCATCGATATTCTGACGCGTGCTGTTGGCTGTTCGGGTCAATTGGGCATATGGTCTTCCAGGTGTCTCAGAATAAATGAGCTTGAAGGCATGGGCAAGCAAGAACACGGCGAGCGACTTAGCATTGTTTGGACAGTACAGCGTCATCGACGTCGGACCTTGGGCATCGAGGACAAATTTCCGAATCTCCTGCTCAAGATTGTGAGTCTCATGCCGAGATTCACTAGTGGCAGGGCCCGTTTCCTCTCCATCTGACGGCAGCGGTGATTCTGGAGGCATTTCTGCACCATCGTCACTCCCCCCTCTGGGCCTCTTCCCATTCCTATTGAGAACATCGGCTAATCTGGTCTCGCTGACAACGAAGGGACCCTGGGTTTGTTTGGTCAAGACAATGGCATCCGATTCTGGTGTGACAGCGAGGGAAAATACGGCAGCGAGCTGATATACTTCTGGTGAAAATGAACTCTTGGAGATAGTCATGGAGCGGGGTCCATCAGTGTCGGCAACAAACGAACGAAGCTCGTTTGTGATAGAGTGAAGACTGGAGAGGGGACCTTTACTGGCAGACTGCGAGGGGGTTGGAGCTGTGGCGCGATGCGTCTTCAAAAAGAGGCGCTTCTCTAAAGTCACAGCCTTTTTCCTCTTCTCCCTCAAGACTGATTCCACCTTCTTCTCATCAATCACGGTAGAAGGCCCCTTGAACTTCCGGGATTTGGTTAAGAGAACCCCGTCCTTCTCGGCAGTCACCTGTAATTTAAACTGCCAGCACAGTTCTTGTATCCTTGCGACCTTTTGAACCCGGATTGACTCCGCCCCATTTGGATCTGCTATCCATAGTCGCAGCTTCTTTGCCAGAGCCCGAATGGGAGTGTGGAGAAGATCTCCATATATGATCTGCCTGACCTCGTCTTCGTCTACGACAGTAGGAGCATCTGCCGAGAGGGTGAACCGAACGTGCCAACGACCACGGGGGTCGTTAAAATTCAGATAAAATATAGTGCCAAGAGCATAGACTGCATCTTCAATTTGCTCGTCTTTACAAGCAATTTCGAGGTAGCTGCGAACGTTATTCTGACGGTTGTCACTGGATATGAAGGTGCGCATTTGGTCGACAATGGATTCTAGCTCAACTAATCGATCCATGGGTTCACTTGACAATGACGCCACAGATGAATCCGGCGAATCCGGCGCCATGCAGACGACAGAGAGATTATCATCAGCGATGGATTCCGTATCTTTCCAGCCCGGTGTAATGTTAGTGTAGTCAAAAATAAAATTCAGGATTTTTAACCACCTGAAGCTCTTTCGATTTTCGTCATCTTGAAGTGATTAAAAGACGCTGAAGAATACCAAGAATGAAACGCGAGGACCTAGGAGCGTGAGTCAGAGGTTATGATTGACCAAGTTGCATCAGAATAAAGTATCTGTAGTAGAATTAGCCGAAACCCGCAAGCTATGGATTTGAAAAGAAAATATATGTCACAATGCAATATTTTGCGGTGTAGGCTGCGCGAGTAGGTGATGGAGTTTGTCTTCGTGTTCTTGGCAGGGCCGGCAACTGTTGTTAACCGGACCTCGTGCTTTTCGATCTGCAGGAACACCGGGAGGATAGCACCAGGGCAGAGCCTAATATTTAGCTCGGTGGTATGATCCTTGTTTCTTCCTTCACTCTCTGCCTTGCTTTTACATCATGAAATTTGCTCGGTGAGTCTATGCTGTTCCTTTTGCAATGCAAGAACTGAGTTTTACAAGATATTTGCAGGAAACCCAGGTCTGCTGGAGAATTTCTATCTATAACGTTGTATTGAGTCTAGTTCTCTCGTCAGACAGCGGAATGGAAAAAGGCATATATGTGAAGACCTCTACTACTGCTTTTACTAGTATTCATCACCGTGCAGCGACTATCGAGGACTCAAAAAACGAATTACGGCTATCAGGCGATGGCAAGAGGGCCATAGCAGCATTCTCACATCGCCAGGATCTGAAGCACGTATTACAGAGTCACCCAGGACATCTGAAGATTCGGACGAGCGTACCCACCATGACCACGAGAATGAGGCAGGCCCGTTGCCAAAACTCGGCGACAGCCCTAAGCGCAGCGATATCCCAGATCCCTCGACAAAGAGCCAGAAGCTTTCCAGCAAGCAAAGTCGCTTTGGCTCAAGGCTGAGACGAGGCGCCCGGAGCTTGCATGGTACGACACTTAAAAAGCCCTCAATCTGCATATCTGACGTTATTGTTACAGCAAACTCCACTCTTCATCCATACTCCATTCCCCCCACCCTCCAGGAGTTACGCCGACAGCTTTTTCCAGAGGAACTTTCATTTTTAGATGCACTCGACCAGGAGCTCGAAAAGATTGAGACGTTCTATCTTAACCGTGAAAAGGAGATGCAGACACGGACCACCGCGTTAGAGGAACAGCTTCACGAGCTTAGTTACCATAGAAAACTCTTTCACGAGACGCACCCTTCAACCCCGAAACCCTGGGTCTTAGGTAAAGTTGGCAGAGTCAGTATCAAGAAACCTCAGAAAGCCGTGGCCACGGACGGTTTCCGGTCTGGGAGAAATAGTAACGAAAGTGCGCGACCGCACGGAAAGGGTCCCAGTTATGCCCACGCTCTTGACCCGGATGAATACCAGAACGCGAAAAAGAAACTTAACAAGGCGGTATTGGAACATTACCGGTAATTTAACATTGTCGAGCGTTTCCAGGTACTCATCGTACTCGGCAGTGGACTAGAAACGCTACACAATTATCGAGTTCGTGGTTTGGTTTCCTTGGCGGCTCCAGCAGGTACTGATCTACGGACCCAGGTTTTGAACCTGACTGGATTCCGCAAGGCCCTAAAGAAATTCGAGAAAGTGACAAAGGTGAGCGCCGATGCTATTCCTTTGTAGCCAAAGCCCGTCTCATATTGAATGCAGATACCTCTCCAGAATGCGTATATGTCAGAGAAGGTGGAAATGAGTCCTCTTGTATCCGACAAGGGCGTCCGCAATATGATGGAAGAAATGGAGAACATATATGCGACTCAATTCGGTAAGAGCCCAAGCTGGGTGGTGCATAAACGCACTCACCTTTATCCCAGTACGAGGCGACAAGAAACGAGCAATGACAAAACTACGCGGAGGCTTCCTCACTAAGACTCACCATTTCAGTACTTTCCGATCAGGTATTTTGTTAGGTCTTGGCATCCCTGTCTTAGTATCCGGTACATACCAAAGTACGCCATGGCTTTGAAGCACGATAGGCATTTCTGACATATTTCAGCTTTCCAACGTACCACGCGAGATCAGATACCCGGATGGGATGGACTACTCTTCGCCTATAGTATTCTTCTCGTTCCAGTAATCTTCTCAATGCTTGTCGGGCTAAATATCTTGATATGGGCGCGAGCCAGGATCAACTACGTCTTCATATTCGGTGAGTTGAGCGACACACGCACTTGATACTCATTCACCGCCTTGGCAGAACTGGATTATCGAACACAACTTGATCATCGAGAGTACTTTGAGGTCGGCGGTATTTGTTGGTGAAATTGCGAAACTCATTGACGTCTTTCCATCAGATACCTTGTATCCTTTTCACGACACTGTGCTACTCATTCTGGCTTTCGTTCGCACGCATCGGAGCTCCATCTGTTGACCCCACAATATGGCCTGCAGTCTGGTTAGGTTTCGCTGCCGTACTCCTCTTTGATCCACTGCCTATGTTCTTCAAGCCTTCAAGGTTCTGGCTTGTACGAAATGTCGGTCGACTGCTCATCCCGGGGGTGCAGCGTGTAGAGGTGCGTCTTGTTCTTATAACATCATCCCGAATCTAATCAATATAAAAAAATAAAGTTCACCGATTTCTGGATGGGGTTGGTCATTATGTATCATTTTGTGGCTGCTCTCACATGACGATTTCTTTGCCAGGGATCAGTTCTGCAGCCTCATATTTACGCTCTCGAACGTCTATCTCTTTTTCTGTTCGTATGCACAAGGCTTCGACCAGTGGCGACAATGTGGTGCCGGTTCCAAACATTGGCCAATCATCTTTGTTTTGGCCATGCTTCCTCTCTTGTCCCGTCTTATACAGAGTGTTAGACGTTATGCGGATTCTCATCTGATCACGCATCTGATAAACGTTGGTTTCTTCCCTCCGTCGAATTCCTTATCCCCGATTCATTTTATTTCTGCCGTAGGGCGGAAAATACGGGTCTGGAATCATTAGCTACCTCTTCTATTTCCTCTGGAGACATCAAGGTATTCCAAACGTCTCCACACTTGCCAGCTTCGTTTATCTCATGATGCAGGTGGCAATCACGGTGCAATTTTCGCCCTTTGGTGCCTCCTCAACACTATCTATTCCCTATATGCCTCGTCATGGGTATGCTCCTTCCTTCCGTGGAATTTGATCCTATCTCAAATGTGTTTTAGGATTTTCTGATGGATTGGTCAGTGCTGAAAGCGCACGCTAAGCATCCACTCCTGCGGAACGACCTTCTGTATTCTAACTATGTTCCTGTTGAGTTACATCTATTAGCTGTTCCTGTCTGCATGACTCAATCTCTTTTTCGTGTTTCAGACGTACTATTTTGCTATCGTAAGATCTTCACCAGGGCCTGGAACCTTTACTGAGAATATTCTCCGCGTAGATCTCCAATGTTATCATCAGGTTCATCTGGGTCATTTACATTCCCCAAAGAGGTCCCGATTTTTACCTGAGGTCGTTCATTGCTGGGATGCTGGAGTCCATGCGCCGGGTGCAGTGGAACTTTTGTAAGTTATCCTCTCTCCTACGAAGTATTCTCTCAATGATGAATAAATAAGACCGACTGGAGAATGAACATCTCGGTAATATGGATCAATATCGAGTAACACGAGAAGTCCCGTTGCCCTATTCATTGGACGACATGGGACGTGATATGGACGATGATGACGTCGACGATTCCCACTAGAATATTGCAATCCTGAAATTACCGCTCCATGAGCCATCATATTATATTATCCTGATCCTGGACCGGAGACCGGCACTGTGTAGTGAGGGTACCGCTGCATGGGGTTTACCGAGGATGTCCGTCACAATCGTGTGCTTATGCTAACCGCTGCTGAGGGCGAACCCAATCATATCCATGACCTGAATATATACGCGTGCTACTTCATTGACGATGCGATTTGGTCGAGCTCTCGTTGTATGAAAGAATCAGTGCATTTCTTCCGTATTGAACTGTAAAAGACGTTATAAACGTTCGTCGTTTCCGAAACGATAGAACAACGCACTCGAGCTTGGCTTTATCTCCACGCTCCTTGCATTCTTTCGCGGCGAGCCGCCATTCGTTGCATTCGACATAAAGGTCGGCACGCTTCGGAGAGTCGCACCGAGCAACGTAGGGCACAGCTTCCTTCGAATGCCCGTTCTCCACGAGACAATGAACGAAAGGCTCGTAACCAATAGGGCTTCTTTTTGACTTGGAAAAGGCATCAAGTCCTTCAAAATCCCCCATCTCTACGAGTGTAGCCATCTTGAGATACCAGAATCTAGGAAACCCGTGGCATTAGTTCAGCAATTTCTGATGACTTATATCCCACCTTTTGTCTGGAACTTTAAAGTCCGCTTTCGTTTTATCCGCACGCTTTGACATGCCGTTGAGCAAGCATGTGCGAATAGTTTCGTTAATACTTAGGCCGAAGAATGGAATCTTGCCATCGCCTTCCTTTTCCAGTTGCTGTTGGAATGTCAGTAATCGCACGTATTCGTCCATCATCTGTGCAACCGAGATATGGTGAACCACAGATTTAAGCAAAAGGAAGACATTTTACTTTGGCCTCAAAGGCCCGGTCCTTATCTTCGGAGAAAAACTTCTGTGCAGACTTAACGGATGTAATCTTAGAATTGGGGTCCTAAAGATAAGGAAAAAATGAGCCAGGACTACATTATTCTGACAACCATAGTTACCGTCATTCTTGAACATTCATCAAGTGCTAGGACGGCGCTCTCCACTCGCCGATCATCTGAATAATAGAAATCTCGCAGCATATCCCGGTTTTGCTCTCGAGCGTAGACCTGAAGTAATTTACTAGCTGGGGCAAGGCGAGAACCACCATCTTCGATGAGCCGAAAGAAGGAACCGAGGGTGAGTTGCTGATGTAGGTGTAAAAGAACATGGTAGACTTCGCATAATGATGAGCATCGTGGCCGAAGAGCATGTGTCGAGATCATACGCACCGAGGTCTGTATCGCCACTATCAACAGCCTTCTCCAGAGCTAGTCGATCTTCCTTCATAGTCAACAGCAGAGGTACCTGGTCGGACGCATTTGACTCATGATCTAGTAGCTACGATAGAACGTTAGGGAACGGGCCTCATGATAAAAAACATCGCAAACTTTGGTAGCAAGTCCCGCCCTCCCGACTTCCCAGGCCCGCTTAGCAATCTCAGCATAGCTAACATCCGCCCCACCGAGCTGCTTGAACTTATCGACAATCAGTTTGCAAACTTCGTCGTCTCCTCCAAGTTCCCCGTCACTTCCGGCCACCGCAGAAGGCTTTGATCGGAGAATTTTAGCACTTGCCCAGTGCTTCAGTACGTGATCGGGTTTCATACCGAGAAAATTGGATATCCGGAGCGCAAGCAGATGCATATTCCGAGAGGTAAGGCGAGTAATGATATATGACGGCAATGTATATACATATCTGATGAAGCGATAATGAAAAATCGTTCATAGGAGAAGCGACCGACTTACTGGGCATAGGTCAGCGGTATACCTATCTCATAGTAGCGGACCGCATTGAGAACTTTAAGCGTCTGGCCCATGTTAACGAAGTCGGTAGGATTATAGAAATCTAGAAAACCCCGTCCAAACTTGGCGGCCTGGATCAAATGAAATGAGAACAATCTTCAGGGATTTATGCTGATAAGCAGTTTACATTCAGAAGACTGCGCTGCCAATAGGGCTCCCACTCTTGGCCCGCAGCATCAATGCATTGATCTACGGCAACAGCTAGATCTGGGCGTATGCTGCGAATGCTTTCGTCCGCTTTGGGAGAGCGCTCGGTGAAGCTCTGCCATGCGTCGTAGAGAATAGCAGCTGGGGCCGTCGAACCTGGTCTGAAGATCGCCAACGTCGATGCTGTTTCCGAGCTATTAGCGCTTTAGAAGATTAAAAAGACGAAGACCTACCCGGCACCTTCTGTATAAGGTCACAGACTTCTGGGCCCATAACGCGCACACCATCTGGTTCGGTTACTGCATACAAAGAACCACCATAGGAATATCTGTGGCTGAGCTTAGCATACGCGAAACGATGTAGCGAAGAGAAGCATACTCCAGAGTGTCGGCGAAAGGGCCAACTAGAACTGCGATGGAGCTCCGAGTGACAAGGATAGCGTCATTGCCACACCATTCCACCTGCTGTACTTGACCTTCAGCCGAAACAGTACTAGTATCGAATTGGGTGATTTGGCGTTGAAAATCCGTGGAGATCACAAGGAGAGTGCCAGAAAAGGTGAGCAACGCTAGCGTCTTGCCGTTAGGAGCTGGCGAAATATGCGTGAATGGCCCTTGTGATAGTCTTTGATCAACGCTTTCAAGATTGTCGACGGAAAATATAGTTCCCTCTGTTGAAAGGAGGACTTCAACATGCCGAGATATATTCAAGTCCGGAGGAATAATGGCCCATGAATGTGGTGGCTCTGGCAACCCTAGCGAAGAAGTCAGTGTGATAAATGAAAAGAACAGAGTCTCAGATACCCGGGTTTGCAAGAATTAATGGTCTAGTTCCCTTCCACCCCTTCACCTCTAAGAATGTCAATGATCCCGTCAATGCCACAAGGCCGTCTTCGTGTATTCGCGCGTCAATCACGCCTAGTTCGGCTGCATCGCTTCCCAAGGAGTATTGTTGGTAATCTCCTTGAAGGTCGTATATTCGATAAGTGCCCTCTTCATTGATTACGACCAGGTTCTCGTCAGCGTTCCAGCCAAAACGAATAATCTTTCCCTGGTCCCACTGTCGACAACCAAATCAGCGAGACCTGACGTGCATTGAATGATACAAGATATCCACACTGAGCATCAGAAGGCCTTCCCCGGCTGGAGAGTAGATCTGTATCTGAGATTTCCCAAAAGCCGGTGTAGCTCGTCCCAGTGCGATAAGTTTGGTGGTATCACGCATCACCGCTAGTGACGACCCTCCTTAAGCACAAACGGCAAGAACGACTAGACGCATAGCACACCTATTGGCCCTCCATACCGACAACCCGCCGTAATGTAATCCGAAAAGTCAGGAAACTTGCCAGATACAGAATACAACTGTTGTCTTCGGTAGAACACGTTTCCATCTTGCATCGCCTGCCACGATGCTGTCGGGTGGTCAGGCATTGTCAATGAGTGGACAACAGTGTTAGTATTCGAAAACGACTCAGATAATAGGAAAATAGAGGGAACGAGATGACGGTACTGAGCAGAGGACGTTCGTCCCAAAAAGGAAGCTGGTGCTATTACGATCTTTACCTACTTATTGAACACCTAGCTAATATGTACCAATTACTTTTGTACCATCAACAACGAAGAGGAATGGGTGGAAATGGGGAGTAAACGATAGCAAAAAATGGAGTAATGCGTTTAAAATATACACTTGGATATTGATAGCGACGAATATGAATACATGCAGCAAACTGTCCCAGTCCATGATATGAGTATTGAAGCCATAAGATTGCTAGTGAAACGTATCGTCTAGATGATACGTATTGGAATGCGGTCATGAATCTCGTCTTGGCCAACGAGAATAGATACGTCCAGGTAATACTGCAAAGCAAATCAACAAATGTTGAACGACGAGAAACAATGGACAGACCTTGATGCTTAATCCCGCCCAATCAATGGACGGGAGCATATCCTTGTCCAGAATTATTTTAGATTTATGCAGCCCATCCGGAAGGGTTGCATGGACCCGCAATGACGGATGTGTGTTCGAGGCACCGTGATGTCTTGGGCGCTTGGGGAACCCAATACATATGCTTGAGTGGATGGCAGTTGACTCTGAGAAGACTGAATGCACAGGAAGTTGCGGGAGAGGTTTCTGTGGGAGAGGTTTACTCCGTCGCTCCTCTACACTGTCATCAACCGTTTTGTTGCCACGAGTAATGAGGGGGGATGAGCTCTTCACGAGTCTGATGAACCGAATACCGTTGCGAGGGCCATCGTTCTCGCTCGAACTCGGTGTCTGTGGTGGAGTAGGAGGTAGTGCCGGTGACTCCGTGACGTTGACCTGCCGTATGAGCGAAATAGATATCGTCGCATCTGAGGCAATCTCCCGGGTCAAGGACAGAGATCGAGGCATTGTAGTGAACACAACAAAATATGGAAGGGAAGAGGAGCGAAGGAAAGTAAGATTAGTTGGCAGAGTAATCTATTGCCAGCGCAGCGTCATTCAAGGTGTCGCAAGATAGAAAGGGAAAAGACTTACAGCACATTGGAAAGGAACTGGCCGGTCAGTTCGCAACGGCATTTCAAGCCAAGAACCCTTGTCGCCAAGACCATCTAACGACTGAAAATCGACATCAGGGTGATAAAGAATAGGTGCTTCAAGGCTATAGATTCAATTAGTAGCTGTGATGCGATATTCGCAGAAGTAACTTACAATGATGGATATTCATAGGCCGCCGTAGGGTCCCAGGTCACCAAGATCTTATACTCGACCGAAAATGATCCTGCACGCGAGGTTGAAGCGGGAGAACGTGCATGCTTCGACGAGTAGAAGGTTGGAGGGAGCTCTTCCCCGCCCCGACAACTGTGAGGAAGTTCAAAAGAGAAGGGGTACGTTCTTTCAACAATAGATGGCGTCGGGATGTTCAAGCTCGAGACACTCGGGCGCCGTCGCATGCCACTGGCAAAGACTTCTCTGAAGGTAGAACGAGTTGTGCCATCGGAGGAAGAAGACAGCTGGAAGGACGTCGAGGCAGAGAAAAATGTATGTTTCCGAATCTCATAACTCATCACCGACCCAGCGGTGGGTGGGTAAAATGTGAAGGTCCCTTCCAACTGAAAAAAATTTTCCATCAGAACAAAGGGCTGAGACATTTAATGTTGCCACTTACCGTTACCGTCAAACGCCCAGGTTGAACACAACTCGGGTCTAGTGTTACCATCCCACTAACGTAGTCACCTTCACCAAACAGTGGTTCAAGTTCCCTGCTTGTACGACCAAATCTCTCCTGCGCCTTCACAGAAGGACTGCATACCCGAAGAACCATTTGTAAAGAGCTGAGGAGGCATATGAGAAAAGTTCCTTCGCAGATGCTCAGTAAGAGAGAAACACCCACCGAGATGTTGAAGTATGAGGGTAGGGAGGAGCAGTGAAGGCAAAACTTGCAGGAGTACGACGGTTCTCATTACTAGATAACGAGTCGAAACGGCGACGAGGGAACATGGAGAAGAGAGGGACGGGAAGAAGGGCAGAGTACCGGTTCACGAGAAGGGAAGCGCGAAATAAGTGTCTTGATGTACTTTTAAGCGTGAACGCATCAGGGACGGAAGGTATTCGAATATTCACATAAATTTGTTAGGTGATAAACGAATACGTCCTCGCGCATCGCGCATCGCGGAGATCGAATCTACCATCACCGGTTTTTCACAGGACTCCTAAGCCTACGGTACGAGGACCATCATTAGCGTGATCAGGTTCGTGTGGTGTATTATTCCTGAAAAATCATTAGTCAACTGTTTTGCTAGTGTGATTTAGAGTTCAGAACACCTTTATGTGGGACTTTCAATAGGCCAGTGGGAATGACAGTATCAATCGGAAGCTGCAAGAGTCTTCTCGAGTAGCTGGATGTAAAAGCCTCTAGTATGGAATAAAATTTATTAGCACGAGGCACACAAAGTATGCCATCGGAAGTGGTGAATGGAAAATGCATGAGACATCCCGATCGGGAAAATTGCTTGAGATCATCTTACGGTTCTTTCCATGGAAACCGACATGGATTCCTCAAACCCATGGACTGAAAGAACCAAATTACTATGCATTATGAGGAAAAACATCCCTCATACTAAGTAGGAAAAATCAGGACTCACGTTACATTTTCTGGGGTGCTGGGAGGGTAAGTTGAACTTTACTGAGTACATAATCATCGCGGGCTTTGTCCGAATCGAGTCCGAATGTTGTCCCTATACGATTGCTTCTCACGACACTGCACGATCTACCGGAGCGGTAAACAAACGCCAGCTTCGTCTGAAGTTTGCAGCCTGCCGAATACGATAAGCCCGATTCTAATTTGTGGATTTTTCCGAATTTCAGGACCAAGAGCTGCATGGATAAACGAGATTAAAGCTCCATGAACCTTCGCCGACGTAGATTATCGATGGTATATGGATCCTCCACCAGATACTCAAGCCACCTGTTCAGTCCTGTGCCAAAGGGCACTTGAACAGTTTAGGAAGTGGGTCCCAAGACGTCGGCGCAAGGGTAGACGCGGAGCCTTCGGTCATAGTAAATCAAAGATAGGAAGGGGAGCAGCTTCCAAGACTGTATTGGAGATATTTGTATCGCCAACAGTTCGAGGAATGACAAAACAGCACTTACATCCTTTTGAATACGGATGGAGGGACCGCGAATCACACCGGCAGAGATCATCATTCCAAAACAAACGAGAACCTAAAGTAACGGGAAGGGTGAACACAGCCTGGCAACCCGTTCTACACGCTATAATGAATGGATTCTGATCCAGAAGAGAATTCAATTGAAAAGAATAAGATTTAAAGACCTCGGAGAAATCCTCACACCAGTTAGAAATGGCATCCCGCTCGGGTTGCGTTTGGGTGAGTAAATTCTGGCTCAACGGTGCGAAAGAAAAAGCGCCGCGAGTGAGCGATACTTGCTTAGTTTACTTTGTCAGGCCGAATGGTTCAGATTTTCAGGAAAGCACTAGTCGAGTAGCACCTAGTAGTAAAACGTCCGTCAGGGCCAAGCGCACATGAAGATTTTGAGAGAAAAATTACCCCAACAAAGACTGTGGACTCCAAAGTTTTTGAATGATGAGAAATTATGGTATCGAATGCGAATCTTTCCCTTCGAAACAGAGAAGCTAACGACGAGGACATGTATACTGCCTCCGCCGACCAACTGCCCACTCCGAAACCTGTTGGTCCGTTTAACGATCGCATCCTGCGCACTTGGTATAGCTGAGTGAAACAAAGCATCCCTAAACCATCGAATCCGCTGACCTCTTTGGGAGAAGAATATTTTGGTGTCGTCAAGCTGGAAGGACCCGTAGGTGGGAACAGGGTCCAGGTCTAGGACGGCTTTGTTGCCAAGTCGCTGCGCATTCTGGAAGAATACAGTCTGACTTTTGAATTGGCGGCGTAGAGGAACTTACTCAAAAGTAGGAGTTGAGTGATGGAAGTACCAAGAAAGTTCGCACCTTCGGCTCGGCTGCCGGGTGCCGATCACCCACGTGTGATTCCAAGTGATAAGATAATATTCACCAAGTCCTCGTTATTCCTTACCATGACTGCACCCGCCACAAAACAGCGAATTATCATCACTGGTATTCCCGCCCAATGAGAATACGTGTAGAAGAGACTTATAATCTTTATAGGTGCCTCAGGAGTCCTAGGAACTGCTGTACGCGAAGCCTTCGAACGTGCAGGGAATTTTCAAATCCTCAGTCTTTCTCACACACGATCAGGCAACGACCTAATCAGACTCGACCTTGTTGACAAGAATGAGGTCGACAAAGTATTTACTGCATTTAACCCCGACTGTAAGTCGTCCTGCCAAGGGCGGCCGACAGATCTAATGGTTTACACGATTGCAAGGGGTGATCCATTGCGCTGCAGAAAGGAGACCGGATGTCGCTGAAAAGGTTGGTTTTCATATTCGTCTACTTTGATGCGACTATGCCGACGATCTTATTCTTTCTCAGGATCCTGATGGTACCCGCAGAGTACGCTTGAATCGTGTACCTCAGTCTAGACGATATCTAATTTGTCGGCCAGCTCAATGCAGAAGTTCCCGCTCATCTCGCTTCCATGGCCAAATCTTTGAATTACACTCTGGTCTATATTTCTACGGGTCCGAGATTTCGCGATTGATCATAACTCAGGCTGAAACTGAATCTTTTCCCAGACTACGTGTTTGACGGTACTTGTCCTCCCTACGGCCCGTCTGCGAAGACGAACCCGCTTCAGCTTTATGGAAAGACCAAACGTGATGGCGAAGAGGCCGCAATGTCCATGGACCGCGCAAAGGTCATCGTTCTGAGAGTCCCGGTCCTGTACATAAGTTCCTGAGTGATCTCACCAACCAATCTGACTCTCGCATAGGTACGGCCCAGCGCCGAAGAATTCTGATAGCGCCATCAACATCCTCCTTGACGTCGTTCAGGACCAATCAGGGAAAACCTATAAGATGGATCACTATGCGACGCGTTACCCTACCAACGTCGTTGATATCGGCAATTTCCTAGTCAAGCTTACTGGTACGCATTCATGCCGCTCTTAAACAGAGCATTGGTCCCTCATATATAAATTGCAGAGCTCAAGAAACCCATCCCTCCCATCCTCCATTATTCTGCCGCCGAGCCCTTCACCAAATACGAGATCTGCCTCATATTTTCCAAGATACTTGGGTTACCCCATAAGCACATCATCCCTAATGCCGAGCCGCCTACAGGCCCTGGGGCAACGACCCGTCCCAAAGATTGCCAACTATATACACAAGAAACCGAGGATCTTGGAATTGAGGGCGGCCTTGGCTTATCGCTTTTCGAGGAGTGGTGGACTCAATACCTCAACAAGTAAGCAACCCTATATCATCTCCCCTCAGGACCACGCCGTCTTTTATATTGTAATTAGTAGGATATTCAACCAATCGTAAATGTATAGTTTCCTGAAAATTCAGGACCGTACCCCGCAGGACCTGAGTTTTACTTTCCTCCTTGGAGTTCATCTTTCCCAGCCGCAACCTGCCGAATTTTGTGACCCTGGTGCGAGCCTCGAGGTATCAGGACGGGGCCTGCAGCTTATCGGTGTGTCAGAGGGTGGAATGGACTTCCCATTGTACGGACACCTGAGCCCATCAGTCTCTATCGTCGACCGTCGCTTGTATCACGGCTTTCGGACTTTTCAAGCCGCCTATTTACAGACTGAGACGCCGCTTGAGACTTGATGTCAAGGAAGCTTACGACTCGATATCACAATCTACGACAGTCGGCGCTATGAAAAGCAGTAAGGGGTTGCATAAATCCCGCTACTGATCTGTTCTGGATAGCTCAAGCGATGTGCCGGCTCGTTGTCGTTACTCGTGCCTTGATTCTGCGAGGCTCATCAATGAAATGTTCCTGGCGCACAATGATTCCGACAGCATCTGTCCGTGCATATATAAAGTCTATTCGTCTACGACAAGAATTGTACAACTCGAACGCCAAATGGCACACTAGCGAGTACAAGTATGAAAAAAAGATCTGAGTATGTATACTTCCTATGTAATTTAACTGTATCCTGCCGCAGGAGGTCGTTGAATGGTGTTACACCAGCCGATAAAGACCAAAAAATCCGTAGAGAGAGATTTATTTACCACCGGACGTTTTGAAAAGTATAAGTCCGCCCAACGCGATCGAATAACCTACACGATTTTATCAGCTTGGGGATTGAAACATCATTGAACGCCACCCACCGAAAATCTGGAGAGGGGTGACGGTGGAACCGAAAATCAACACAGATCCTGTTATAAGGAGAATGTCCTTGAAAACTCCAGCGAGGGTCAGAATGAGACCACTCCCGACGCCGACCAAGAATACAGCCGCGACATTGAGCAGGAATGCGACGAGTGCATTGGAAAGCAAGATGAGCGGGCCGATCCGAGCCAGTTCGTAAAATGGCTCAAAGCCCTCAGTGAATGGGATTGCTACGAGATTGATGAGGGCACAGACAGGCGCATAATAGTGCAATGAGACGAGCGGATCCATCTTAAGACCGTGGAGCAAGATCTGGATCATCACTAGCCTTGATGCTTCAAACTGAAATGTTTTATCAGTCTCAGAAGGCGTTTAGGCGGTGCAGGAACTTACAGCAACCGCAGCCGCCTGGATGAGGAAACCAAGGAGATTAAATCTAAGCTCGCCACGAGAGGCAAGTGCAACACCGGAGGAAATCATGACGACGATGATGCCAAGCTTGCGGTTGGGCTCTTGGATGCGGAAACACCATGATATGAGGAGGATGGCAACAGCAGTAAAAGCCTTGATGAAGAGCCTAAGAAAGCGCTGGTGACAGATTGATTAAAGTCGTACCTTAAGCATTTGAATGTAGGAAACGCTGAGGTAAAGGTAAGCGGTGTTGCTGAGGATAAGACTGCCGCTGAACAATAGGCCGATAGGCAGAATGGATTTCAGGAACATGTCTTTAGACATGTGGACGTCCTTTGCACCGTCAACGAGGGTGGTTGTCCTCTCGAGAACCCGTGTACCAATAGCCTGTAAGGATGGTAAATACACGAGTACAGTCAACAAGGAGAAGGATACGCGCCGCAAACGTCAAATGCCATGTCACCAAGAAAACCGGATACTTGAACGAGAGGGTGTTGTACAAGTAGTTGTTGTATATGATGACGGACGAGCTGAGCACGATCCAGATAGGTATTATCATCGTCGCCGAGAGCTTCGGCTTAGGTTTCGGAACTTGTGCAACTGCAGGCGACGGCAGATCCTGTCGACTGTCGTTGATATCAATGACCTCCTCCTTCCCGCTGAAATCCTTCTCCTCTATCGAAGACATGGTGGGATCCAAAGATGGAAATGAAATAAAGCTAGAAGCAAGATAAATGAGAAATCCTGAGGCACAGAGAGATACACATACAGTGACTGGGTTAAGGTAAGGACGTTAGGCGGAGGATGGAGAAAATCGTCGTGGGTGGGCAGAACGAAACGTTGAGAGCGGAAAGGAGGACGCCAAGGGCATCGCTTCCCACGCGTTGACAACCGATTTAACCATATCGTAATTATGTAATACAAAAAACTAAATATTTCAATATCATTCCATCCGCCTTTTGCCCGACTCGAGGCTCGCCCACAGCTGGTCGCCGTGGTGTATTCATGTGGACGCTGTCGGTGCTTGTTCTAGGCGAATGCAAGACGGGCAGGTCAATGTGGGAGATATTTGGAATAAGTAGAATTCCCGAGAGTTCTGAGGTTTCTATTTTCTTTTGCCAAGGTGTCGATCACTATAATAGTGTCCGTAGAGCAAGTCAAGCGCGTTCAGTACGGATTTATCCCTGAAATTTCTCAGGAAGGGACGCTAGCAAGATATCTTTGCCAAGGGGAAATGACATTCTATTGGTATGGAAGAGGCTGGGGTATTACCATGATGATCAACTACAGTGCATCTCGTTTCAAAGACATGGAAAGTCGGAGATGCGCCGCGTAAATTATCACCATCATTCTACGCGTGAAGATTCTCGTGTAGACGGCGAATCCTCAAAATTTTCATCCCCACGCAGATTCTTATCTCGTGTGACTGCGACGTCGCTAGAACCTGAACAATCGCTAGAAGTAAAATAGTTATTGTTTAGTTGCCGGTAAGTATGTCGGATAACACTTCAAGGCCGTCAGCGGAAACAAGCCTCGGAAACGCTGAGAGTGAAATCTTCGGGACGGAAGGATGACAGGGACAAAAACACGTTAACTGCGCATCGACGTGGCCGAAAAAAGGACGATGTCCGTAAGAGTAAGACCGAGGAGGCCGGTCAATAGAAACGGAGACAAGCCGTACCAGCAGACGAAGAGCCTCAGGGCCGCCCAGTAAAGAAGGCGATTTCGCTTTCAGAGCAGTTACCTGGCGTCGTCTAAGAAAGTCAAAGTGATAGGAGCGCCACGATACGTCAGCAACCGGCGCTAAACAGAATCCGAACAGGACTGCGGGAGCGAGGGAACCCCTGGAAAATCGGCCGCGTACGCAACTCCTCATGAACACGAGGACGCAAGTATTTATTGAAGGCGCAACTGTCATTCATGGGCGCGACTTGGGCGCTGAGTTTGAACTTCGCTGGAGGGTTCTAGGTTATTTTACGATATCTGGCAATGGTGGAAAACATACCGTAATCAGTATCGAATACTGCGGCAGCACTTGTAGAACGAGGAGACTGTTTAGTGTGAGTTACCGCAGTGCGAAGTCCGACTCAGAGGACTACGGTCCTTAGTACGGTCACCATGATGGTTGCTTAGTGGTTTTCGGTAGACCTGTGACCGGTCCCTTACAACGAACAAGCGTCGATGTAAGGGGCCCGCCACTGTTCAGGCGAGAACGAAACTGAGATAAAATATTGTTCAACTAATGCACGGTGGCCGCGACTGCGTAAAATGATAGCTGACCTTGGAACAGTACCAGTAGCTGTTATCGTGATTCGGCAGGAGGAAAGAGGTCTCCTTTTACCCTGCTAACAATGGGAAGTTCCAAGCACCCATTCACAGCCTGGCTAGATGGCTGTTTAGTGATAGCGCCGACTTGGAACTTGGAATCACCGAAGTTAAACTGATGTTAGCAAGAGTGACATCTGAGAAATATCCAAAAGGTGAAAAGCAGCGGCTTATTTGGCTGGAAGAAATTAATAAGTAGTGTAACCCTAACCCTAACATCGATCGACAAGGACCACGTGGAACCTGCACGGACTCCAGGACCGCTCTTCTGTTTACACTCCATGTCCAGCCTGCAAGGCTACGTCGACAGTACGCTTTTCTTTTCCTTCGGTACCAGAATCTCACTGACATACTCCCACAGGACGTGTACTCCTGATCTTGCAAGATGGTCGCGCTATTGTGGTCCGTTTTCTCAGCCAGTGGAGCTTATATTCCGCTCAACGCGTTTTGAACAGGGAGTAATGGCAGGCTACGACCAAAAATCAAACGTCGTCCTCTCAGACTCGAAGGAACGGGTGTACAGTATGGAAGAAGGCGTGGAGGAGGTTCCGCTCGGTCTGTATCTCGTGAAAGGGGACATGATGTGCGTATATGTGGTTTTTGTTTCAGTATCCATTGTGATAACGACGACTTTTTGGGTAGCATCCTCATCGGAGAACTCGATGAAGCTGTCGATGAGGCCGTTGATCTCTCGACGATACGTGCAGAACCGTTACCACCCATACGATACTAAAAGGTCTATATGCACCATCACTCATCACTCGGCGTCTTCCCTATCATTGCTCGCCGGTGTCAGCGAAGGATATAGCTGGACGGTTATATTGGTTTCCTTCCATACAGCCAGCGCTTGCGAGTTTGAGGGTCATTCCATGTGCATGTATTGCATACCCACATAGTATGGTGCATTTTCATCGCAGTCCCGGTTGTGTCCCAGATAAAGAAAAAATTCTTGTATTAGGTACGCCAGCGAAATCAGTACATAATTCTAAAGTTCGTGACCAATGAAAGAAAAGATAAAAGATGGATAATAAAAGAACGATATGAATATGGTTGCCCAAGTAGATGCTGCCATGGTACCTGGCAGATGCAACGAACTGAACCTGTGAAGTCCACGGAACTCAGAGCCAAAAATAAAAAAGAAATGATGCAGATGTTCAATGAATATTTTTCCCTGTTGGTTGCGACATTGCAAGGACGATACCGTCTTGTTGATCGGCTTGATAGAAAGGTCGACGAGGTGATGGCAGTATTGCTGCAAGCAAGCATAGCCAACGAGGCTATTGCTCGATGTGACCGTAAAAATTGTCTTGCCAAAGCCCGGGCCCCATCAGCCGTGGCATTCGTCCATGTGTCATCGTCGCATGCAACTGCGACACACAGACGGCGAAGGAGACATTTCAGTGATTGTCAGTCGACTGGTGCTGTTCGTGGCTATGGCCCGTGTCTGTCCTATCCAACGATGCGTCCTTCTGACAGGAATGGTAGATGGTGATTTGCCCGCGACGGCCCAGTGCATGTCTCAAAAGCTACGAAGAGTTCGTTTGCATCGAACGTAGAGAAGTCGAGATGAAACTTGAAGTACCAGAGCTCACCGAAAACAGAGGTGTGAGGGTCCCGGTCCTCGCTCACGACGGCGACTAACGCCGGAGCGGAACAAGGACGCGACCATCAGCATGGAAGTCGCCCAATCTCTGACACGATTTTCCGTCCTTCGCGGTCGCATGCAGGCAAGAGCCGCTCCGCGTCGTAGCCGGCCTTTTCTGCGAAATCGAACCCGGCTGTCCAAGCTTTGTGAATGGAGAAATCCTCTTCGAAGGGTTCCACTAAGCCTCTGTCAACTAGATACTGCGAAATGTAAGCATGAAGCTACGAGCAAGGGGTAATCACGCACCTTGACAGCGTCTAATACCCAGTTGTGGCATACCCAGCTGGAATCATCCTGTACGACGGTAACCTGGCGCAATATCTTGTCTAGCGTGTCACCGCTGAGCCTCTTGTCCAATTTCCCAACTAGCTGGACGCCTTGCACGCGAATGGGGCGATTCTGCACCCTTTGCATCACGTATTTCCATATTTCTTTCTTGGACGTCGGATCTATCACGTTCAGCGAATGATATTGGTACGATTCCTCTGCGGTAACGTCCTTTGAATTCTTGGGCGATAGTAGCAAACAGGAATGGAATTTGATGTCTTCCGGTCGCTTGCGGTGCCGTACAAGATAGGCGACATAGAGGCGATTTTTGTTGGTGGTGAACAATGGCATTCGGGACGGAAGGACATTCGGACCGAGCAGCCGCCCAACATTTGGGTCAAGCTTTTCAATCTCCGCTTGAAATAATCTCTCCCCTATGGTACGCGCTCGTTCCCATTGTCGAATTGTTCATTCACCATTGTGACCGCAGATTATTCCAGTTCGCTGCTTTTCATGCGGCAAGGTCATTGGCGACAAATGGAATGATTATCTGAAGCTCCTCTCCAATGACAAAACTGAAGGGTAAGCGTTTTTCGCGTTTTTCTGTTGCATTTTGCTGAGTGAAGCCTGCAGTGAAGCTCTCGACGAGCTGCAACTAAAAAGATATTGCTGTCGCAGGATGGTGTTAACGCATGTCGATTTGATTGAGAAATTGCTGCATTATAATCGTGCGTTTGCTGGGCACCTTCTTCCTGGACGAGATATCTGACTTTTTTCGCAGCCATGGAGAGAACTAGGGACAGGTCACACTTCGTCCAACAGTAATGAGGAAAGCCTCATTTTTGTATCGTAGTCAGCTGGCAATGCTATCCGTGTGTATCGAATCGTGTCCGAGACGACCAACGAAGTAAAATCGCCGCATATCCTTCATTTGGTCTACATTCACCTTCTATTCTCTCTCTAACGTTGATTCCTCCCAAGATATTTCTAGAACACGGTCTGACCGCCTTTCGATACACTCAACTCAGGTCGTGAGACTGACTGAAGACAACGCTCACCATCGACGAGGATATCAGCTCCAGTGATGTAGCGACCAGCAAATTTGCTGCAGAGCAAAACAATCGCGCCAGTAAGTTCTTCAGGCGTCCCCATCCTTCCCATTGGATTCCTTTCGCACCAAATCCTCCTACCCTCCACCAAGCCCTCGCCTTCATTAAGAATGGTGTTCATGTAACCAGGACTAATGCTATTCACGCGAATCCCGTATTGGGCCCACTCGGCCGCAAGCGAACGCCGCAGCTGCACGATGGCTCCTTTAGAGACATTATACGATACCTGCGGTTGCGGGAAGTTGACTCTGTGCCCAGAGATGGAAGCCGTGAAGAGTATACTGCCACCCGTCTTCTGGGTGATCATCTGTCTATTGACGTCAAGAATGATCAATCAGAGGGCCGGCATGTACACACTTGGCTGCAGCCTGAGCGCAGATCCAGCTTCCGGTCGTGTTAATATCCAATACGCGTTTCCACTCTGCAACATCCATGTCTAAGGCGTGCGTTGTGCCGACGACGCCCGCGAAGCACAACAGTATGTCCACACTGCCTAGCTTAACTGCCGTCTCACTCACCGCTCCGTGTATAGTCGCGTCATCCCGGACATCCACGATCTTGGTTATAACCTTAGCCCGGGGAAAGTCTGCTTGAAGCTGAGCGATCGCCTCCTTTCCTGAAGAGATCGAGGCTAAAACATCGAAAATTGATACGCCAGATGCTCCATGCTCGAGCAGAGCCCTGCATGCTGCTAGCCCAAGCACCCCCGATCCACCGGTAACTATATTATACCCGTTATTCTGAGGGGCTCAGCGGTTCCGCAGGCATCCATACCTATCGCATTGCCCTCGATGGCGAATCGCTGACGAGTACGTTCTGATGATGTGGATCCAGAAAGTTGAAGCGGTGCGGTTAGGGGGTTCCTCGTATCGGAGAGAACCATTTGGGGGAGGATGCGACTGGATAGATCTTTCCGCTCGGTCATGGTTGGAATTTGGAAGTGGCGGGGATCTAGAAAGGACGTTGCTGTCTTAGTGGTGGTAGAGTTTTAAGGTTAGTGCTTTATCTGATGGCGAATGTTCCCTAAGTTGATATCGTTATCGCCTTTTAACAGCTTGGATCGGGGCATAAAAGCTACTTACGTGTATATCTGGGGTAAGGTTTGATTCCGCGAGGCTCGGCGTCTTTGGCCAAAGACTGTGGCGGTCAGCGAATTTGTAACAGGTTCCTCCAGGACGACCGACGTTTGTGCCTTTTCCTTTAATTAAAGCTAACTGTTTGTCGAACGACAGCTGAGACTCTGACTCTGACTTGACGTTATAGAATGAAGTTGAACGAATCCCAGATTCTCAGGAAGCCGACGTCGGGTTGAATACACCCTTCCTCGTTACTGCGACATGTCGGACATCATTCGAAATCATTGAGGCTTCTGACATAGGGTACGTTTGGGGCTGAGTTACCACTGAACCCAGCTTCGAATTTTTCCTACGATTCTAAGTGATTGTGGCCTTTGATCGGCTCTCTTCCCTGAGGCCTGTAACCTGTTTTCTCCGTCGACCCATTGATACAACTGTCTCATTACGGGCCTGTGCCCTTCACATAGGACCAATCGGTTACTGCTTTGAGAAATCATGCCACCTATGATCTCTCGACCGAGCCAATCTTGCGTGCGCTCGGAGATCGGGGATGATCTCGGAAACTATACAATGTTGGAAATACCTGCTTGTCCAATACCATGTGCGCGATGATTTCTTATAAGACAAAGGGGTTCGGCCGCAATTCAATTAAGGGAATCTCTCAGTTTCTCACTCTCTCCCTACCGCCATACTCTAGCCTTTATCTCCCAGAATGCCTACAGCCAAGGTCAAGTCGAGTACTGGAAAGACCAAGTTCAACTACACAATATCAACACCATCGTCTTCGTCGGCCAAGCATATCGACAAGAGTCTACCAACCTTGCTGTTCATTCATGCGGTTTACATTGGACAACATATCTTCCAACGTCAGTCCCCCCATGATTCATCTCCACCACCGTTCAGCTGTTGAGCTAATGTTCACTTTAGGACAATTCGAGGACCCGCAAATAAGAAGATTTAATTGTGTTACATTGGATCTTCGAATCCATGGTCATACGTCGGGTGATCCTATTCCCGAAGGCTATGGCGCAAAAGAGTCTGCAGAAGACCTAGCAAAGTTCATGGTCGTTGGCTCATTTCTTCAACGGGAGCGTTACTGAACGGCGATGTTAAACAGGATGAGATAAAATTACCCGCTTGTCACATTGTCGGTCTTTCCATGGGCACCATTGCGGCAATCGGCCTCGCTGTCTACTACCCAGATAAAGTCGCATCCCTTTTCCTCGTGTCACCGCTAGGACTGGAAGAGGTGCGCTCCTTGACATGTTGAGGTTGTATCTGACATTAATAATGCGCGTAGCCGACAGATGTCGCCGATGGCCGGCGGGAAATAGCAGATTACTGGAAGGAAGGTTTCAAGACAGGCCAGCCCGACATGGAAGTCCTCTCTGACGCGGTCTACGGTGCCCTGCAATTAGGTTTCAGCAACAACCTTGACGGCTTAGCGAACGCGTGGGTACAACGGCGCTTCCTATCCCATTATGACTAACTGTGTTTCAGGCTTGTCGCTTTCACACTGGCTTTGGCCCTGAAGAATTGGGGACCCAAATGCTTTGACCAGTACGACAGAGCCACGGTCGAGTTTTTCAACAATCGAAAGGAGTACAGCAATGACGAACTGTCTCGGATACGAGGACCAGTCAAGTTGGTCCATTGCCTTGGGGATGTCGCGTACTCCCAGGAGTACACGGAAAAATTCATGCAACAGCTCAAGGATGCCGCGGTAACCGTTAGTCTTACCACGATATCCGAAGCACCACACTTTGGTCTTGCAACGCACGGGGATATGTGAGTAGACTCGGTTGCAGGCTACTGGCATGACGGCTGATCTTTTTCCAGTGTTAACCCCATTCTCCATGATTTTATTATAGGTAGTTGCAGAACCTCTGTTCCGCCAGCACCCCAAGAAGTCATCTCTCCATGGGAGACCGAGTTGGTGAAAGCTGGTTGGGATAAGGGTGGGAGTGACTCTGAAGACGATTGAAAACGGTTTTGCTAATCATATACCCTTTACTTTTAGGTCAAAATTGTTGATAATGTACAATAGAATGTGCGCGCGCTCTACACTAGTTGGAATTTGAATTCACTTGCCCCTGGATAGGATTCGGTTGCCTCAAACCTTCTGAGGGCAAGCTGATGGTGCATGACTCCCACTGACGTGAGAGATGTCGTAATTCTTCGCCCTACGTGCTCTTCTTTCTGTTTGTTGGCGAAAAGAAGAAAACTGGGACGCCACTCAGACGGATCCGAGGACTACCCACGGATGTGTTTGAAATATCGCAGGTCTGAATGGTGATTTTGAACTCTCACTACGTGCAGAAAGCTGGCAAGATCTCTTCGACGCACCTGGAGACAAGGAGTAACCGTCTCGGAATCGTGGACTTGCTATTCATCTTTGGTTTGTCAATTTACCTTGTCGTTTCTATCTGAGCCAATTAATCGGGAGCACGTTAATTTGTAGCTGAAAGGCTCGCGGCAACGTCGTTGCGGTGATCACGGTTTAATCTTAGATACCATAGTTAACACGACGTGTACATGCTGTGGCGAAAGTGCCTGGTACCAGAGTGACTTCCTGGTTGCAACGGTCAATTGGATACACGCCAACGCCAACGACGACTTCGAACCTCCACGCCATTTGATTCTGTCAAGACCCACGTTATGGTCACCGGATGTTTTTTAAATGCGCTTGAGTCACCACGGCGTTCTCATTGTTCTTCTCAATACATCGGCAAGTATCAATTGTCGATCGGGCGGGGTGGTGCGGCAATTGTCAGACCACAGTCACTACCCTGTTGATAGATTCTCTGCTTCTAGCTCTCTTCAATGGATTCGAACGTTCTCACCAGTCAGCATATGTCGTGACGCAGTCAGGAACGAATGGGTTATCGTTTACCCATCGAGTTCACCGTCACCCCAAACGCCTAGAGGTGAATTCTTAAAGGTACTAAAATGGACAGTCTCCCTAAACCGCGTGTTCCGACGGGTTTCCGTTCAAGCAAGATAACAACACGCTGCAAGAGGTTTGTATCCGTTCACCATAAATATTTCACTAGTACTGCTAGTTTCTGCAAGTGAAGAACATCATATTACATCAAGTTCGCCCATCAACTTAATGCGATACCTGTCAGGGGAGCTCCACTATATCCGTCGCTTGATAGAATTGATTATTGAATTGATCATCTTTCTAGATGCCATGATGGGCAGATAAATTCTTCGATTATGAACTATGTTTTCTCCGGTACATTAAGTCCTGTTGACTTGGTGTCAGCTGACCATCAGTGGCGGCAGGATTCGACTAGACATCGTCAGAAACCTCTGCGGACTAGGTACGCCCATCTAGAAGCTTGAACGTTTGGACTCTGAAATTTGAATGCTGAAATTCACGATTGAAATCGGACCTCGGACCGACTATATATCTGACATTTGTTCCGCTTTCGCGCGACGGGGACCTGACGATCGAAAGATACGACTTCCCGGAACGTGGCGCAAGTGCAAATGTGATTTTTCGCTAGCTGGACTGTCTGCAATCGTCATTCTGGAGCCTTGGACCAAATCCTAGGAAGCGGATGCTTATCTGATGAATAGGAGAATCAGAACTATCGATGAATTCTGAAGGCCAGTCACTTCTAGATGGTTCTAGTTGACAGAAATGACCAAGACGACAGAGTACTCATCAAGCTGTCCCTTGATCAATCTTTCTCAGGCAGTCAGAGGCAGTTATCCCACGACCCTGGACGATATATCTATAATGGTCGACTCCAATCGTTTCCAGAACCGCATGAGTGGCGTCTCTTAACAGGGAGCTCTACTTACCTTCTAGCATCGAAATTCTTCATTTCGCTTTCGGGTTTCAGTATCGATCTTCCTCAATCAGGCCCTCTTACTCGGGGATGCGCTCATGTTTTTCGCGGGCTCTTTTGTGGTGACGGCCCTGATCCTGTGGGTCTAATCATCCATGATTAAATTGCCAAGTTCCTCATCCATCTATTCTGAATTTCGGATACCTTAATCCCATTTGTAAGGGTCATTTTACCGTGATTCAGCTATAGGTCCGAAGCTGCAAGCGTCCTGCAGCTACTCAGCGTTGATTTTTCTCAATTGCCTGGCCCCTTCACTGTGTCTGTTTCAATCCACTCAAGTTGTAAATGCACTAGCTGCCGGTCTCTACCAGTCCGGCTACATGGTAAGTCGTTATCGTCTCCATTCCAGCCCGATTGCTTTGATTATTTGAATTCTTCGAAGAACAGGGCTCCACTTTCCAGCGCACCAGTACTGAGTTTGATATATGAGAAGGCGGTAAAGCCGAAGACCATCCCTCCATATTGTAAAGGCATAATTTCCATGACTACCAACGTCGAATAGTAACTCTTGGAAGGCTGGATCACGCCATATCCTTCTTGGAAATAGCGTAATCCTCAGCTTTTTATTGCTAGTTCGCCTGCTCGATCCCGACGAGGAGGCTGGAAGGAGCTGTCACCCGTAAAATGAATAGCTTTAGATGGTAGCCACATGTTCTCATCGCTTCATGGGATATATGCGCATGGTTCCCTGTGTGCAGAAGTGTTGTGACAGTTAGATATGTTAAAACTATATGTACCGGATTTCTGAATCGTGGTAAAGGAAAGGAACTTCCTGCGTATTTCCGCATAAAATTGTTGCTTCCTACTATTGAGATCGAAGATTCTTCTCATTTGACTGGTGCGAGCCAATTGTGCATACTATAACCTATACTAACGTAGTATGCAGGCCTAAAAGCTTAAAGTTAAATCCTGACAATCACGAACTCATCGTGTACCTCCTAATATCGGCGCCCGTGTCCGCATGCAATGCCCACCAAGCTTCGAGCGGAATTCATATCAGCAATGCGCCTCATGCTCCCATCAGTGATCACTCCACAAATATGGAAGCGCGGATCTTCCGGGCCTACCAGATAGTTGATAAGAAGTACCAAGCTAATTTATGCTGCTAATATCTCTCTAGCATTCCTACAAGTAAATTGAGACTAGGAGACCCTAGGAGACCGCCGCAGCGCTGGCACATGACCGCGACGGAAGACGTCGGAGTTAGACGGAGTTATGCTGCGGTAACCCGGCTCGAACGGCCCGAATATTCCTTACATCCAGCCTCATCCAGCGTTTGTTTTGGAAGTTGACGTGAGCGCAAGTCCCTCTTGCTTGGCAGATGCACCCCCTTCAACTCGATTAGCCTGTAGATAATTATCGCATCAACATTTTCGAACCATTTGAAGCCCAGAAACTCTAGAAATCTGTTTCAACACAGAACGGTCGAATTCTAGGTTACTATGTGCAGATTCTAGCAACCTCTATCCTTCTTTTTCTTAACTCTAGGCCGTAGTTGTTGAATACCATCTGACTACGATTTTGCGTTTCTTTGGACTTCGTCTCCGCACTGCAAGCCGCTATGCCGTCATAGGAGACGGTAGGACCTTCGAATTCGTCGGCAAGCCGTCGTTAGCTCTCCGCCTTCTCTCACCATCAAGTTTCTCAATGTATGTAACTCGACGACCTTTTCCTTTCCTTCTCTGATCGTATAACCATCCGTTGTTGACAGCTATTGCAGCATTTAGGAGTTCATCTCTATATTTGGAATACCCATGACAAGAATCTTGACCTTCTTTCTTGGCAGCCATTTCATATTTCGCGTTGCAATCAGGTGGTTTATCAGGGTTTATCTCCATCAAATATGCAGCCCTAAGTACTGTGCGTTAGTAAGTACACCGATCAAGCCCTGCTCCAGTCGCTATCACATCAGTGATGTCTCCATCCTGGCCATACAGTGGAAAGCTGCGCAACGATTCCAAGATCAAGAAAGTTCCTTCGCGCTATTCTCCGACTCAAGTTCTCCAATGGCTGGACTGCTTGGGCTTTCCCGGTACGTATTCTGAGGTTGACATCTCCTCGGGAGCGTTCCCCGTAACGCTAGAAAATCTCCATATCCTTACGCGTCTTTCCACTGTTGCTTTTCCCATCGAGAACACGACTTTGCACTAGTCAGTCATTTTTCTTTATTTGTCAGTTCGCTCGCGTTGATGATATGAAAGTGGAAAGGACCACATCATGGATATTTCTGCCGGAAGCGTCTTTCAACGATTAGTTGTAGAACGTAAAGGATCTTACTATTTTGGACTCAATGGGCTATTTCTAGAGATGCTTAAAGGCCTTGGATATCGGTGTGCGATAACCTTTATTATCTACTACAGCGCTGAATGTTCTTCCTATTCTAGGGTATACTCAGGCTCAGGGAAAATCAAGGAGTCCTCGACGCCTCGAGAAACTCCCGAGTATCTTTCGTTCGTACACATGGTGCTGGTTGTTCAGCCCATCGGCGACTTTAATGATACCTACCTCGTGGATGTCGGATGCGGCGGGAACGGCCAATTTTACTATCCTGCGACCCACATAATGTCATGATGCGGTGTCTCTCCAACCGAAAAGCATCGTCTTACGAGAGGCTCTCGGGCTGAGCCCAGTCTCGGTCAGTGTTGCCGTTCGTGATTCTAGGACGTTTAATCGTAACGAAATCCCGCAGATCTTGGCCCTGAGGGAACGGAATGGCGCCTTGAGGTGCTCCACGAGAAAGGGCCTGACTCCAAGTGGAAGATCGTTTATTCGTTCCTTGAGGACGAGTTCTTTGAGACGGATTACACGGCTATGAACTTCGGGGTATCCCTGTCTCCGGGTGGCTTCTTCGTAGACAATCTTGTGTACGGGCGGAATTTCTGGCTGACCGCGGATGAGGCTCGGGGGCTGGGTGCGGACGATAGCGATATGGATTCGTTTTTGACCCGCTATATGGGCAAGATTGGCGTGAAAGGTGGTATTATTACGCGGCATATTGGCAGCCGCTCAGAGGTGATCAGGACCGCAAAGACAGAGTTGGAACAAAGGGATATCCTGAGAGAATTGTGTGGCATAGATATTCCTATCGAGGACCTGGAAAATATAAGGGGGAGATCTGCCGCTCTCCCTTTGGGATATTAATCGCCTGTCTTAGAACATACCGAGATCATAGTGTTCTGATGCATCTTAGAGGTCCATTCTTCCCATTGGCCATACGTTAATGAATACCAGTCTCCGTTCTAGTTCAGTCCGTTGTGATACAAATATACAATAGCCTTAGGTAACCTCTTCTTACAATTTCCATCTGGAAGCACGATCACGGCTAGTATTACACCATTATTGCGACTTGCAGACACCGGATATAACCTGTTTTTAATTTTTGAGGGTACACCGGAATCCAGCGTGGATCCTCATTCATACTGCCATTCCTGGAAGATCATACTCTTGGTGATGGAAAATATTGTGCATTGGAATGACTTCTCCGTTCCCGAGAGAATCATCACTCTTCTACAAAGAAAATCAACTGTCAGCGCGAAGTTACGGTGCAATTATACCGACAATACCAACCATGTTCATGCACCTCTTCATGAACTCTGCGTGGTGCGAGTTGGTTTGCACATCAGTCGACGTCGGCTCGGAGACGTGCATCCGGGAGGTCACTTGAAAGGGAAAGCCGCTTTGACTGGTGTTCCGATCTGTCGTACCCCGGCCACGAACAACTTTGCGTGTGTTCAAACTAAGAGAAGAAATCAAGGTTTGATGACATATGAATGCCAGGACGAAACATACGCCGCCAGAAAAGAAATCGCGTACACTGTCGTAGAAATATCAGCGAATATCTGCCAGACGGTGGGATAGGAAGGACCGACGCTTGCTCAAAAGGAAGTACGCCGCTATGAAGATGAGATTGTCAGGCATTACGTTGTACTAGATTGTAAAACGTTAGAGGGCCAGATATATCACCCAGGTTCACACAGACCAACGTCAAAGTAGCCGTACTGATCAAACTAGAGGCTCAATGAGGACATCGTTTTCCACGGACGTTATCAACAGAAGATACCTCGTCACCGCGCCCGTGTTGATGGCGTATATCACAAGACCATTCACAAGTGTGTCGGATCTAGAAATATATAGAGGACAACAAAATAAACAGCTCAGAATCTCTCACCTTGCATGTCCTGTACGAAATCTATTGAGGAAGTAACATAGTGCTGCGGCAGTCGATACGTCGGTAACGACACCTAAGCCTAGCGCCACCGTTCCTAGGACCTAACATAACGTCGTTAGGACTAGATGGAAATGCGGAGAATGCGATCCAGCTCACTCTAAGTCCCGCTACCGCGAACACGCTTGGTAGTGCAAAACTAAGATGCCAATATGAGGCTGAATCGGGGTCTCCAGAAGCGTAACACTCACGCCTTGACACTGAAAGCTAGGTGAAGAGTTCTTGTTTAGATCGTGTAATCGCGCAGTAAATATATGCACACCTATCGCAGTACCTTGGAGACGTTATTGAACACGAATTAAGGATAATTGAACCGGCACATACCCAGAACACCGGAATTCAATAGCATCTGGAGATGGTGATAGGTACACGTCAACGTTACTTGTTTGCGAACCAAAGATACTTACCAAGGATGTCGTAATGAACCAGTTGTGTTTGCTAACTGATAGGCACGGTCACAGAGGTCAAATCTAAGTCCACAGTAATGCTCACATCGCCAGACACGTAAGGCAAAGCACCTGATAGTAGATGAACAAGAGCCTGCCCTGACAGAATTAAAATCACTCACACTCTGACTACAGTGCCACAGATGGACTGAAAGGCATCAGGAGCTGAGGTGGAATCGTGGAAACGTGAAGGCACGCACTCCCAGCAATTGCTGCATCTAGACCACATTTGATTTAGACAGCAGGAAGCCGTTCTGACTTTTCGCACTTACAATGAAAGACCTTTGAAGATGACTTTAGCAGCAAAAGACAAAACCCGAGGAGGTACGTACCATGTCATCGACGCGCGGAGAACAACGAGAACGTTTGCGAAGTTTAGTATAGTATAAAAATAAAGAGTGTGGCCGATGAAAAATTCATCCAAGAGCTCTAGCACCCTACAGCAATTCGTTCGATTCCATAATGGCAAATTCAGAACTAGTCGACGCACAATAATACAACAACCTGCAACCGACATCATCGTAAATGTACTCAAGATGACAGAAGCATAGCGACTAGTATGTAACTCACAATAATTTTATAGGCCAGCCTATCCGAAGGAAACCTCGTGAAGTAATGGAAAGTTTGCACAAGAATGGCCCCAAAAGCCGCGCACGACAGAGCAAAACCTATGAGAATAGCGCCCAACGTCGTGTCAAATGATGGTAGATGCGACTGGGAAGCCATGGGGGGTCAAAAGAGGGAAGACTCGGTAGCTGAAAAGCAGCACATTTAACTTCACCAGTGACAGGGGATCACTATCCCACGCAGACGTCATAAAACATCCGGGGGACTGATTCCTCGTATCCACGCACGTCCAGTGATGATGTGAGAAGATGTCGGGAGAAAGGGGCCACGGGTACATCGGACTCACCTCCCAGGGATAATAGAGTGGGACCGAGAAAAAGTCGCAGGACAAAGATCCGACCTGAATGGGGGGGGCCTGAGCATCATACAATTTATTGATGATTGATAGGATATTCAAACCAAGGATAGGCGTATTGTGACTTGCTGAGCATTGCGAATCTGTACCCTGCGTTAACGTTACCACGGCAGATCGTGGTCTCCAGTAGGAGGAGGGCTTCGCAAAGGGAAAACATCCGGGGAGACAGTAATAATACAGTCGAATGGGAAGAATCCACGCTGGCCTGTAAGGAAGCAATCCTAAAGATCAAGATTGATGATGCTGCGGATATGGATGGTACTGTACCTTCTCCACTAAATGTTTTACTTGACTTCAACATGATGAGGAGCGTACTCACTAGTGCCAGAGCTCAGTCCGATATACCTTGTACTTGGTATATCAAAGACGGACCCATAGTGAGACATTTGCTTCATTCCACTTCATTCCAGCGATGATAGTCCGTGAAACCTTGTCTAACGAACCTAGCTTGGCAAGCCGCTTTATAGATACTCGCGGAACCGCCAAATCATGTAGCCTCGGTAAAATCCGGGCCGATATTGACTGATTTTAACGTTTGGGCACGTGCTGAACCTCTTTCTTTTTCGCCTTCCGATTCGCGAAAATTTCTTCGACCGGAATTCCACCTAATTGTTCTGCCAGTCTAACCGGTCGCATCTGGGGGGAACGTGTGGCGCTGTGGATTACCGGAAATTTAAGAATGTGCTGAGTGACTGTAATGCTATTAGGAAAGGCCCTGCGTTATCATGGTTGTTGGCGAAACTCACTTAGGGACATGATCAGAATAAAAACCACCACCACCACTACGGCACCATCACACACAAATCACATTTGCATTTAAAACATGCCAAGTCAATTGTTTAATTCTTCTCCCAACGTGTCCTTGGTTTCAGTTCGTCTTCCATAGCGATTTGATACAGCGGAATACCAACGTCTTTGGGGTCATGATGATTGGTCAGGCTGATTCAATTGTGATGGTCAAACCGGAAAGGTGACCTCCGTCCTCAGTTGGGCTTTTTCTCCTGCGTCAAACACCTTGCAATGTGCTCCATCACTCCCCACTAATACTTGCCCATGTAACTCCGTAGCGGTCCAAGACCACAGCGCACATTCTTGTACCTGGGCAACGGTCCTGAGTTCAGGAGTATAGTGACGAGAAGATAGTGCGGAACCTGGACCCGAACGATCCCTGAGTAATGATTACGCCTAGGGGTGTTTGTAAACTTGGAATCGCATTGCGACCAAGTTCTGTTGACCACATCGACACGCCGGCTCACCGTCATGTGGGGACAATCCGGGCCGACGGGCCGAGGAGACTACATCCCTGTATAAAGACCGCGCCATCGATGGAGAAGTCCACAATTTGTCCTTCTACGGTTGCTATATCGATAAACAATGTCCGTCCCCACAGTTAAGCTCAACAGCGGCTACGAAATTCCCATTATCGGACTTGGTTCGTGCTTTCTCGTCCTCGATCCCCCTCGATCACGTCTAACTTTGTTGCAGGAACTTGGCAATCCAAACCAGAAGAGGTCGTTGCTGCGGTCTCTCACGCATTGAAGGATGCTGGATATAGGCATATCGATTGTGCATGGTACGTGATTGAACCTTCTTTCTTAGGGTGTCATGAAGTTCATTAATCGATACTAGGGGCTACGGAAACGAAAAGGACGTAGGCGAGGGTATCAAAGCGTCTGGCGTTCTCAGGTCTGAGATATTCGTGAGTACCGTCGAACGAGCTTATCTGCGTGCTAACTTTCGTGTCTACAGATAACCAGCAAATTGTGGGGGACATGGCACTCTCGTGTCGAAGAATGCCTTGATCAGACCCTTGCAAATCTCGGGACAGATTACCTTGATCGTGCGTTATCGCCCTATCTTTGCGTCTGATCCGAGCTCATATTTCGTGGGGGGAAATAACAGTATACCTCGTGCATTGGCCCGTCCCTCTGAATCCGAAAGGAAACCATCCTGTCTTCCCGACCCTTCCAGATGGTAAACGGGACGTCGATCATTCTTGGGCCCTCAAGGATACCTGGGCCCAGATGGAAGAGATGTTAAAGAAAGGTATACGTTAACGCCATTTGGCCTTCCTCTTTGATCCCTAAATTTCGATTCTAGGTAAGGTCAGAACCATCGGAGTATCCAACTGCTCCAAGATGAAGCTCGATGAGATCCTTCCATACGCAACCATCATTCCTGCTGTAAACCAGGTACGTCTTCTCGTCTTCTTATTCTGCGTCTCTCTAATGCGAACCTTGATTCAGCTCGAGATACACCCTTACAACCCCCAACACGAATTAATCGAGTATGGTCGGAGTAAAGGGATCCTTCCACAAGCCTATTCGCCTCTGGGATCAACGAATTCCCCCATTCTCAAAGATGAAGTCGTCGTCGCGATTGCTGAGAAGCACTCCATTCAACCCTCCGACGTTCTCCTCGGCTGGCTTCGTATGTTTTCCATTCTTGTTGAAACAAGGTGCACGATATTCTAACTCTTATAAAGTGGCAAAACAGATTATCGCCCTGCCCAAGTCGGTGACCCCGGCTCGTATCACGTCCAACCTCACAGGCGCACTGGCCGGTTTGTCTAAACTGTCCAAAGAAGATGTAGAGAAACTCGATGGGCTCGCTGCGGCAGGCAAACAGAAACGGTATGATGATCTTCTACTTTCCCGGTACACTAGAAGCTCAATGTTCTGTCTTTCACCTCGAAGTTTCATTACACCTCCCTGGCGTAAGTTCCCTTTCTTTGACGGTCAACGAATGTCCATCTCATTTCTGTGGTTAGCTGTCGAACTGGGCTTTGACCACTGGCCGAAGCTGCTTTAGACACGGGGTTAGTAGACCAAAGAAAACAGCAGTTTATTTATAAAGTCACTATTGCCAAAGGTCGATGTAATATACAGCTGATATAGGTGCTACGAACACTGACGGTGTGAATAAATACATCTTACAAATCTTAAGTCATAGCACATAAAAAATCAGGTCTTGAATATCCGAAGTAGCCGCGCCTCTGTGATGATCCTAGTACGGCATAAGGGACATTCACGAGAACCAGCCATAATCAAATCGGAACATTCTCTACACATCGCAAGGTGCCTGGAACGACTATTAGGAAAAACTGAGCAAGGCCCGATGGGAAGAGAACATACCCGCAATCAACTATAGCAATATTCGCTTCCTCATCCTGACATACGACGCACAGGCCGCCTCGTTCGGTAAAACTCGATGGTGCGGGTGGCTTTGGAGGCGTAACCGGTGGTGAAGGAGAAACTGGGGTATCATCAGCCTCTGAGTTCTGCTGAGCCTCAGCTTGCCTCGCTCTCTCAATCTCTTCCAGTATCTCCCTCTGTCTCCGAATCCTTTCCTGCTCTTCCTGCTCCTCTGCCAACCTCTGTCTTTCTCGATCTCGTTTCTCGTCCTCAACGAGTGCTGTCACTTTCGAGACAAGATCGCTTTTCTCAAGGATGATTCCGACGTTGACGTGATTGCTGAAAAGTATCGCTTTGAGGGAGCCTATCGATAACGCTGATATGCTTGCCGGGGTCATTTCAACGAGTTGGTTGAGAGTGGGAGGAGGTGAGGTAGATGTTGTACGAGCTCGGGGAGGAGTTCGGGGTACATTGAGGTTCTCTGATGATCGAGACGCCCTAGGTTGCTGATGTTGCTGGCGGGGAGGAGTCTGACGCGGTGCCTGTGCCTGTGGGGGACTCTGACGAGTAGGATTTGGACGGGGCGGTGTCGTAGGGGCCTGACGCGGTGGCGTTGTTGGAGCCTGACGTGGTGGTGGTGTCGTGGGAGCTCGAGGGCGTGGCGGTGTCGGACGGTCCCGCGGTGGTGGGTCATCAGGAGCAAGATCTGGTCGAGGAAATTCGTAAGTCGGCTGTCGATTAGCTGGCCGCCGAGGCGGGGGTGGTGGTGGGATAGGTCCTGTACCTGGTCCTGTTCGCGAGAAAAGTCCTCGGGGGCGTCCATATCTATCCGGAACTGAATATTGTCGATAATATTCCTAATGGTAACTTGGATGAGAAATTAACGTTCGAGCGGCGCGTTATGGGTGAAAAGAGGATCAGTGGCAGGTCTCGTTTCACCGTGGCAGAAGTAGGTCGCGCCACACCATATAGTCCAGTGAAACGAGACCAGGAAGCGTTCCGTTCTTCACCCATATAAGCCATCACAAAATGGAAAACGTCGTACCTCGTGATTAGGACTTAGGCAACCATTTGGACGCTGTAAGCGCTGGTAAGATGGTTGTCAGTGACTCAAAGCCTTGGTACGCACTCTTGCTGCGAGGATAGTCTCAATAACGTCATCCTTTTCAACTGCATGATCCAATCTTATATTGTACGCATGGGCGTACTTTCTCAGTTTTGCCAGCGAATGGTTTCTGAGAGCTCCCTTTGATGCCGCAGTCACTGGCTTGAGATGATCAGCTGCGATTTCGTCACCATCAGAAATGCACGCACTTTGTAAGAACTCAATACAGTAAGCGCACACATTTAGGGCTTCATAGCCACTGGAATTGGCACGAGGCATAAGAGCCTGATAATCGGTACAGCTGTGGCAATACGAATATCCTGCAAAACCAAAAGCAGTCAGATTCTCCCTCTTCTAGAAAGAAATTTCTAGGTTCACCGCAATGATTGCACTGCCGAGAGCGAGTAAAGATAATATTGAACTCTTTATTGCATTTCCTGCATGAGCTCTCAGCTCGTCCTGGTGTAGGTGGAGGACCACTGAGTAGAGGAAGACCCTCCGACATGGCCCTTAGCACAGATAATGATTAAGCAAACAAGAATTCGCTCGACGTGATCGTTATAAGCAGAGATTCATAGAACGCCAGAGAACATGGTGGATGATTACCAAGTAGCGCCGCTGGCACCGGCCCGAAGCATCTGTTTCGGATCCGTCGGCTTGGCGTGGACAACACAGCGTAATGACAATAAAATAATGCCCCAACGGTGGGATGAGGAAGTTAGCCGGGGGCCATAGCAGCTAAATACTTCCCACATAAATGTTTCCATTGAGATGGAAAAGAATAAGACGGAGGGATTTTTTCCCCTTACGATAAGATGATCGTCGAGTAACCACCTTGTTGCTCCTCGTTCTCATTTTTCGAAATCTTAATATCCCAAAATCTTTGTCGTATTTTACGAGGCAAAGCGCGAAAGAGACCGTCCCAAGGTGAAGGCCATAAATCGCCTTCAGAAATTATTTCTATAAAGTACCCAACTATACATTTTCACTTCCATATAGACCCATCCTCAGTAGTAAGCTTCGCCGATCAGTACGACCTCGTACTTAGCATCAGCTGGCGCTTCAGGTGTGACAACCGTCTTCGTCGCCATGTCGAAATCGATCAGCCGCCAACAGTGTGAACGTTGATGGTGGGGACAAACAACGTCGGTAGTTGCTCCCACGATATTGTTGGATCTCCATGCCATAATCCAGTGGAACCCAGGCCACGGACAACATCGCGAATATCACTGTAACAAGTTGAACTATCCATGAAACACGCATTTCGGGGGGGATGACTGACTTGAGTTCTTCCTCCGCTGGGAGCTGAGTACGCCACAGAGACACACAGCAACGGATCCGACGGAGGCGCGCGCCATTCATTCCAAGGCGACCCACTTTTCCGTTTGTCTTCATCAAGATATGGAGGATCATCAGGAAGCCACCAACATGTACCCTTTGAATTGTCAGATACACTTGTATTTTCTTCGTCGTTCGATCAATCAGTCTCCTCAGAGTCTGGCTCGGGACGTTTGATCTTGATATTCTCCCAAGGTTCAACGTGAGAAGCCGGCTCTCCTTTGATGTCAAAGCAGTCTGTCAGAGGGATGGTGAAGAATCCAAAGCATCGTGGTGTAATTAGCCCATCACATCCTGGTTCGACAGCAAGCAGTTCGCAGAACCACGCTTCTCGGCGCTAGAGTCCTGCCATATTCGGGCTTCGCCACCTTGACAGCTCAGGAAAGTCTGAGTCTGCCGTATCGTGGATAATTCATGTGGAGTATACGATTCCCACTCTTCCCTCGGATACGCAGCCAGTCAGCTCGAGCTCGAGACAAGCGCCATTCTTTGGAAGAGGGAGAGGAGATCAGCTCTCAATTCTAGGCAAAGGGACATCCAGCCAGACGAAAGCGTGGAACTGGAAAAGACTAAGGTCGACATAGCTGCCACAGTGTAAGGTCCAGGACGAGAATATACGAATTTTGGCGCGCTGCGATAATGCGGGATCAACCAACGGCTGTATCCAAGTGTTATCCGGCACGTACTGAGTGTCCTTGAGAAGGGAAATCGGCAAGCGAATCGTCCATTTATGAGTGTATATCAAGTTCGTCTTCAAAATTCGACGAAAAGGCGACCCAAGCACGTGATTGGGACCTCAGTCAGTCTCCGGGCCGCCCGGCCCATATGATCACATGGACGTGAAATACCCATTTATATGTTTCGATACGCGAGTTTGCATTATAGCTACAACGACCATGCCCGCGACTATCACTTGCCTCACAAAAAATTTCTTCCCGGAACAGACCGACCTCCATGAGATTTTATTTTCGTCGTTGATCTACAAGCCATATTCTTATTGCTCAAGCTTCGTAGGAGCCTAACAAAGGTTACGAAGGGCGTCGATTAGGTTGTGGCCAATAATGTCGTGTCACATTTTCCGAAGGAAGGCACTATATAGGTTATTCCACCCACACTGGCCCACTGTCTCAGGGTACACATCACCTCTTCCCTTGATAAGCCTCTCCAGCATGGAGGCTTTTATCTAGACCCATCCCCAGAAGTAAGCTCTACCGACTAGCTCGACTTGTAACATAGCGTATTTGGCATCAGCTGGTACTGCAGGCGTAACAAATGTCTTCGCCGCCATGTCGAAATCTATCAGCCGCCAGCGGTGCGGACGTTGATGGCGGGGACAGATCGCATCAGTAGTTGCTCGTACAATATTGTTATATCGGAGGTCTTTGTGCATTATTCCGATGGAACCTAGGTCATGGACGACGTCGCGGATATCGCTACATCAAGTTATGGTGTGAGCGAAGATATTACAGAGAGAGAGAGAATAACCGACTTGAGTTCTTCCTCTTCTTGTTTTTTTGGGGAAGAGAATGCCTCTCCTAGTTTTTCCAGTACGAGGACGCATATTAGCGGATCCGACGGTGAAGCTCGCCATTCATTCCAAGGCGACCCGCTCTTCCAACCGTCATCGTCCTTGAAGTACTTGTCAAGATACGACGGATCGTCAGGAAGCCACCAGTCTGAGGCGCCCTGTTCATCTGTGATTTCTTCGTCGTCTGACTCGTCGGTGTCATCATAATTTGACTTCGGACTGTGAAGCTCAATGTTCTCCCAAGGTTCGATGGGCGAAACAGGCCGTCCGTTGGCATCAAAACAGTCTTTAAGAGGAATGGTGAAGAACCCAAAACAGCGCGGTGAAATAACTCCTTCGCATCCCGGTTCAAGAGCAAGCTGCTCATAAAACCACGCTTCTCGCGCTAAAGTCCTGCCATACTCAGCCTTTACCACTTTAACGCAAAGTTCAGGAAGGTCCGAGTGAGTCGTATCATGAATAACGCGGGCAGAGTACACCAGACCAACTCTTCCTTCGGATATTTTGTTCGTCAACTCTATCTCAAGGTGACCGCCGTTGTTCGGAAGAGACAGGGGTGCCCAGCTCTCAATTCGTGGTAAGGGAACGTATGACCGGACATAGCGGGGAGCTGGAAATGATTGGGAGCGAGAAAAGGTAATTTTTGCTGGGTTGTCTCCAGAATATCCAAGACCGTGCACTGACAAAGAGGAGAAGGTAGAGATGCTAGCCTCACGCTGAGAAAAGTCGGCGCTCAGTGCGAAGGAATAAATCAATACATTGGCTACTTACAACGGGTGTCTTTTGGAGACATTGTTCGCGTGCGCTGGACTGCATGAGTAACAGTAATTGTTTGTCAAACTTCAAGTTGAAGGAGTCGCATGGCGGGAAGTAACCAAGATCATGACCCGCTGCGCGCTTGTGGCACTGACACGTGACAAATATTGGCTTCCAGGCGATTTCTTCAGTTAACCGGACGAGCCATTAGTAGAATGACGGATATTAACTTCTAAAATTTCGTCACAGAAAGCCGTCAAATAGCTGCAGCTATCTATTGTCTAAATGAGTACCAGTATAAGCGCCTGTACATCGAAGAGTGAACGTGAATTATTTCAAACTATATCCATCCACAAAAGTAAGCTGTGCTTATCACCCTAACTTGCGAGTTCATAGCATAACTGGAATCGGCTGGTGTTTCAGGCGTAATAAACGTCTTTGCCGAGATGTCGAAATCGATCAACCGCCACCGGTGCACACGTTGATGACGAGGACAGATCGCGTCGTTAGATGCTTGTAAGACATTGCTATACCGAAGATCTCTATGCAAAATTCCGGTAGAGCTCACATCACGCACGACATCACGCATATCACTGATTGGAATCAAAAGGTGAGCAAAAAAGCTTGATACAAGAACAACGTACCTGAGCTCTTCCTGTTCGCGTTCCTTGTGAGAGGAATAGGGCTTCCCCAAAATTTCCAGTACGAGGACGCATATCAGTGGATTCGATTCAGATGGGCGTCATTCGTTCCAAGACGATCCACTCTTCAGGCCATCGTCATCCTTGAAGAAATCATCAAGACCTGGAGGATCGTAAGGAAGCCACCAATCAATATCCTCTTCCTCGTCAGAATCATCTGTCTGATCAGAATGTGGCTCGGGTGGGTCGATCGTAATGTAACTGTTTTCCCAAGGTTCAACACGCGTCACTGGCTGCCCTTTGGTATCAAGGCAGTCTTAAAGTGTTACAGTGAAGAACCCAAAACAACGTGGCGTAATTGCGCCTTCGTATTCTGGCTCAAGAGAAAGTTGCTCATAAAACCAGGCTTCTCGTGCCAAAGTCCTGCCGTATTTTGGCTTCACCAATTTGATGCAGAGGTCAGGAAAGTCCGTGTCTGCCGTGTTGTGAAGGACTCGGGCGGAGTATGCGAGGCCAACTCTTCCTTCTGATATGTTACTAGTAAGCTCGAGCTCGAGATGAGCACCATCCTTTGGAAGAGGGAAAGGCGCCCAGCTCTCAATTCGAGGTACAGGAACGTACGTGTCGACTAAGCGAGGGGCTGGAAACGATTGAGACCGAGAAATCATGATTGCCGTGAGATTTTCCGCCGAAGAGCTCAGTCCGTGTATCGTTGAGGTGAATGTTGGCCTACTACGATAGAAAATAGAATTAGTCTTGGCGGATATATACAATCACTCGCACACTCACCGAGGGCCTTTGAGAATGCGAAGTGCTATTCGCGATACAAGAATCCATCGCTGTCGCGTCTGTTATCTGGCGTGGTGATGTGGTGGTGGTTCAACTTGAGGATGTGGACGCGTGAGTGACCACAACCCTGGCCGCAACTGGCGGCTGCCACTGAGCGAGTCTTTTTCGAACAAGATGTGCTAGCCATACTCTTCAAAGTCATAGAACTCGGACCCGCCGCGCGCAGCAATGGCCCACACCTCTAGTCCAACTAAAGAATGCATCTGATACCCAAAAAATCAAATGATCATTTTCTCGAGATATGAGATACAAATCTGGGCAGAATAATCCTATTCAACATCGAAAGACGGGGTAGAATTTTTGCAGAGAAAGAGAGGAGTTGGATCCATGGCGGTGGTAAGAGGTCAAAGAGCAGCACTCAGGCCGGCGCGCGGCCTCTCTTACCATCCACCACCACTGAATCCGCCTGTTCGATATGTCCCTTCCTCAATGTCCAACCTTGGACATGATCCTGCTGTTCGCCTGCAATCTGTGTCCTCTATCCACATCCATAGCCCTGCAAAGTCGCTAGATTCTCGAGCTTCCCATGCATGTGATCTCAACAGCTCGGAAACAGCGCAACAGCTTGGAACAGCATAACAGCGTATACTTATACCGTGCTAGGCTCGGCTGTGCCAACGGTGGACCCACCCTCTCACCACCACCACTACCACCACTACCACCAGAATGTCGGGAGATTCGAATATTGGCGCATGGATACAATTTGCAAAGCTTACCGCGGCTGCGGGTGAAATGGCCCCATTTCCGTACATCAAGGGTGTTGCAGGATGTATAGCGACAATTCTTGAGGTCATTGAGGTACGTGCTATTAACTGCTGCTGTATGTTATTGAGCGGAGGTCTAGTTAGCTGGCAAGAACAACAAAGATATTCAAGACTTGGCAGAGAGCATTGGAACGACAATACGGATCATCAAGGAAACCGTTGAAGCACACGGTGATACGAGTGCGACACATTTTCGCGATGTATGTGTGGAGCTTCAGGCGTGAGTTGGCATGTACAAATTGCTGAACCTTACTTACCGAAACTTCTGTCCAGATACCTGGAGAGTTTAATTTCCGAACTAAACACCACTCGACGGAATTTGAAGTCCAAAAGCATTACGCGATTCCTGAAAACGAAGAAGATTTCCGGCGTTATCGATGGATACAAGCAGCAAGTGAACAACATCAAGGCAGATTACCTTGTATGCGCTCGGGCGTTGTATGCACTAGTATTTGTATTGACTGTCTGTCCCTTTCAAGGTTCTGGTTACTACCGACTCAAGGTTCGCGATGTCTGAGATGCAGGATGCCCTGAGCACTGTCACCTCGACCGTTAAATCTCAGGCACACTACATCCGAAGCGAGATACGTTCCTTGGGCGATATCCAGAAGGAACATGCGGCCCAGATTTGTGAGAAGCTTCAGGATCCGAAGGGATATTATAAAGGACAGGTAGGTGATTCTCATATCAAACATTCTATATCTTATTCGTAGGTTCGAGAACTTTTCCCGGGGGACATCTACATAGGAAAGCTCGTGTCTCTTTCTTGGCCTGATTCTTCCCCTGGATACGAAGACAGATACGGCACAGTCGAGAACAGCAACACAGCAAAAATCATTCGCGTATACCAATATTCTCCTGATAATGAAGAAGCTACGCTGAAAGTAAGTGTCTGTTACTATATTATTCACTGGCAAAGTGAACATCATTTTTGTAATCTAGCAATTCGATGATGATGCAGACACTTTGATTAAAATGAAGTTCGGCTTTCCATGTCTGTCTAATGATCATCGAGTGATGCTTTGTGTAGGCACCCAAACATCCCACAAGTCTTTGGTATCTGCAGATCGCCAAACTTTCCAGTGATTGTATTTCACGGTGAGGGTGTTGGTTCCTTTTGTCTTTGGTTTAGTCTAAGTTCCGTGCACAGGTACCACCTTGATCACTTTCGGTGATTATGAACATAACCTGACTGCCAAGCAATTTGTACGATTCTATGTTCAACTGGTAAAACAACTTTTCTTTGATATTTTAGACCAACACAGCTAATCTGCCACTGCGTAGTTAGACGATTTAGAGGTATGATCTGCCGGAGTCCAGAAGAATATGCCTGAATACCCGTTCTGTAGTCGGTCTCAGAGTATTTGTCCAGGCAATACACGCTTTCCAATTCGGGAAGTTTGGCAGTTGTCAGTCAATGTATGGAACTCTCAATGTATACTGACGATTTCGAAGGACAACTATACCCATCTCAACGAACATGGGCAAATTGTTGTGACGAATGTGGTATCTAACCAGGACAGCAGTGGGGATTTTTATATGTATATCTCTTATACACCAAGGGAGTGCAGCTATTTTTCGGTCTTGCCGCCTGACCCGGAGGAGCTGCTTTCCAGCCAAATCAAGAGATGGTCCCTGTCGTCCACATTGCGAAAGGACAATTTATGCAATGTGTATAATACTATCAAACGCTTCATCCCACGTGGACCTTCTCAGTTTTTCTATCCACCAAATGAACTTTCTTTGCCGGGTAGTGTATTGACCTCACACGGGGGGGCTTTGGTGGGTAGAGTCCAGACTAGATTGGATGAATGGAACATGCACTGGGAAACAACAGTCAACAGTCACACTATACTATTGTCGCCCTCGACAAACAAGTCCGTTGTTACTTCGATCTTATATCTTCTTACTAACTGTTCATTGGTAGTGGTTCAATAACGGTCCCTTTACCGCACGCTGGGACCCTTTCCTATTATGCTGATATCAGTTCGCGTTCACTGCGGCGGGATTTTGAATTCGTGGATTGCGCAGGCTTCCCAACTACAAACTTGTATCCGCTCCAGAGGTCATGTTGACGATGACGAGCCATTTCTAATAGGTGGATGTCTGTTGACTAACGAGCAACTATCGACTAACAAGCGTATTTAGATATGAGCTTTGATCTTCACGTCGACCCGGACAAGAGGTACGACCCCTTTCGTCTCTGCAATACATTCATGGCCGAAGACCATCATATGCTCTCGTTATCAATAAGCGCTCCCTCCGTTGATTATCAGACCAACAAGGTGTCCTGGCCTGTCCTTACATGGTTCTATGACGCGGACTCAGAGATGTCCTCGGTTGAAGTAGAAGAAGTTTTCGGCGTGAAGCTTCTAAAACGGGGGGACTCGTGGGCGCGGCCTGTGTCCAAAACGGTGCTTACAACCATACCCGAGTTGAACGCCGACTATGGATTCGACCCAGCCCGTGGGGGCGCGGACGTCTGCGAGTATTTTGGGTGGCCGCTCATGGAGATCCTCGACGATTCCACAGGAGGTAGGAAGATCTGGGTTCGTTGTGTGTATGGCCTCTGATAGAATGTAATAGATTGGATGCCTTTACATGGTACCGTATCCGAGTCGGCATCAGTCATATCGGACGACGAGCATCAGACCTTGGGCGAGAAGACCGCTTCTTCGCCAGGTAATGCACTAGAGGGAGGACACGCTGGCGAAGCATCGACCGAGATGGAGATCGCTACTACTTCTGTGCAAACCAGAGACTTGAAGTCGAGCCGTGGCTCACAAGTGTTCATCGTGATATTCATTGTTATCAGTGCTATTCTGCTGTCCTTCGTCGTTCAAACGTTCAGACCTACGTGTAGATATAGATTCTGACAAGTGTGTTTCATTCATAATGATATAGTACAACACTGGCGTCAAACAATCTGGTATTACGCGCTGACTTGATACACTCACTCTTTAGTAGTTTCGTTAGTAGACTGTTAATACGAGGGAAATAGTCATAATATCACTGGAACAAGCCAGCGAAGTTATGGATACAGGCGTTCCAACGAATATTTCCCGTGGCAACTGCGTCCTTACATGTCACAGAACATGTTCCATCAACGGACGAAGGAAGGAACACAGAAAGTAGAGAATACGACGCTAGTTCTGCAGGATCTTCAGATTGCGAGGTAGCTAGCTGTATTCTTCCATCGTGCTGTTTTTTTTTTGCCTGAATAGGCTGACGGCACTGAATCCAGAGGTTAGTCGTTGTCAAAACATTGTTGGAGCCAACCACCAATTCGTCTCTATGCTAACAGTAGATCTAAATCCAAAGACTAGACAGCGTTTTTCAGTGAATCAGAATAAATCACCCACTCCACGTCTAGACGAAATAACCCTTACAACCGTACTATGCGCCTCCCCGTATATAACCCAAGTAGAGATTATATTGACAGTTTGCGCACGGTAATATACAATAAATTCCAAAGATACAGTGTGAAATCCAGATAAAGAAAAGATCTATACCGTGAAGTGCCTCGTTTTGTACAAATCATATCGGCTGGAGAGCATCACCGGCTGACGTATCGGGAGGCCGATCCAGCGACGGCGAAGCTGGTCGAGACTCTTCTGTTGTTGAAAGGCGGCTCATCGCAGCCTTCTTCTTCCGACCGAACGAAACACCCCAACTACTAGCGAGGTTCGCAAGAGCACTACTGGCCGTGGTCACGGGGCGCGAAGAAACACCCTCCGTAACAGTGTTTGACGTCGAGCTCTCCGAAGCAGCTCTAGCAGAGGGGCGGTGATATGATGTTGTCCTTCTACGAATGTTCAGCATATTGCTCATCCCATTCGAGATAGAATCGTCCGGTGAAGGGACGGAGGTTACCCCTTCAAACTGGCTCTCGGCAGAAGGTGATGACGCTATGGGTTCGTCCGATATCGCAGTAGTGGCGGTGGCTTTTGCACCCAGCGATGATGATACAGACCCCAACGCTGGCATTCGGCCCACAGAAAACCTTGAAGTTGATGACGTCTTGGAAGCCCTTGATCCAGGACGTAATGGAGAAGGAAGCATAGCAGCGTGATGTGGTATGGATCCTACGGGTTGAGTGGGTGAAGAGAGAGGAGCAGGAGATTGGGGAGATTGAGCCACTGGTGACGGTGTGCGAACTGGTGGTGGTGGTGGAGGAGATGGCGGCGACGGTGTCTCTTCGGGTCGCGGATCCTGAGAAGCTTGAGCAAGAAGACGCGAAAGAGACGAAGGCCGGGTGGATGGAGAAGAGTTGGCACGAGTGCGTAAGGGAAAGAGACGCGACGTCGGAGGATGTGTCACTTGAAAGGTGTCTTCGACTTCAGCTTCAGGCGGAGCTGGTGGTAATGTGGGAGCACTACCATTAGTAAGAGCCGTAGGCTGTTGAAGACTGTCAGGCTCTTTCATTGACTTCGCAGCGGAGGAACGACGACGATTCTGTTGCGCAGGTTGTGTCCAATCCTCAACCTGCAACATGTAGTACTTGACGCCGTCACTGAGACCATACGGATTACTGGTCGGGTCCTATAAAATAATTAGTGACAATGTAAGTTGTCATCTCGAACAAACTGACATTATGATCAACGACGCGTTCGGTAATGGAGGTAATACGCGCAACGATCCATTCTCTCGTTTTCAATTGCTCAGCAAGATGGCCGTAAGCTTGAAGGAAATAATGCGGAAAGAATACTGTCGGAAAGACATCAGGATCCGGTGGAGCAGCATACAGGGAAGAAGGCTGACCGTTGAATGCAGCCCAAGGTTTAGATATCGAATTTCTCGTGGGGAGGAAGAGGGCAAGGTCCCCTTTTGCAAAGTTTCGGAAAGAAATCCTTCCCTTCGCCCGCTCTCTGTACTCTTTACACTGCTTCTGCCACTTCCGGATCGTCGAACCGACCTTTGTTATGGCTTCCAGAAAATGATCATGATCGAATGCTCGTAGCGCTTCCAAAGCTGCTGCAGGATCCGAAGGATCGATGGGTGACGGTTCATCTAGTTGTCCTACAATGTTATGCCGTAGTCCGGGAGAAAAGATTGATTCACCCAAACCTGCAGTCGAATGTTTTGAACCCGAGCCCGGATGGGAAGTCATCGCTTGTGCGGAAGCCATAGCTTTGACATGGGCCGCCCGGAAGGCTAATGCAACGTCAAGTATCTGGGCAACCAAACGATCACTTGTCTCTAGTCTGTGCTCGTAGTCAGATTGGGAGGCTAGACCTGCTCTCAGATCTTCCCGAACTACTCGTTCAGCGTGCCTCGCCTCCCTGAGTTCGTGCTCCGTCCGTTGAAGGGCTTCGCGCAAACCGACCGCGTCGGAATAGGCAATCTCCAGATCAGACTTTACATCTTTCAACTGTCTCAGGAGCTCGTCTTTCTCCAGCAGCAGCTCAGCCTGGCGATGCTCTAATACGGCACGGTCCCCATCGGCCTCCGCAATATGATCACGCAGCAGCCGATCGTGATCAGACGCCTGAGCTCGTAAGAGCCTATCTTTTTCTTGGCTAGCTTCCCTCAATGCTCTGTTCATCTCCTGGCTCTCCGTCCGCGCGGCTTGAATCTGATGCTCCAAATCCTCTCCGCGCGCACGAGCTTCTTCCAGCAAACGCAGATTAGTAGCTTGGTCTTCAATCAATGCGGCAAGTTTTTCCGAGTTTCTCGCCTCCAACGTCTTGATATCCTCCGCTTCGCTCCGAGCGTGAGCAAGCTGCTGTCGTAGAACCTCGGCTGCTTTGGCCTGGTTTGTCGCCTCAGCTAATGCTCGACCCAGCTCTGACCCTTTACCATCCACGTCTCTAATCAAATCTGCGTTCCGCTCCTCGGTAATGCGACGGGCCCTGGTTTCGTTCTCAATCTGTGCTCGGGCTTGATGGAGTTCACGTTCCAGTCTGTCGGCTCGGTCGCGTTCCTCGGATGCATTGGAGGCAGTGACTTGCAATGTAGATTGCAAGCGCTGAATCTCTCCCTTGAGCCCGAGTCGCTCCTCCTGAAACAGCGACTCTTGATGATTCTTGGTTTCCTGAACAGCCCGAAGCTGATCAACCACTTCATTGTATGCGTGTTCGTCAGCTTCTATGGCTAAAAAAAGGTTAATAAAGACCGTTGATTACAACAGACAATTGACTGACATCTCCGACGAGAATGAGATATCCGAGACGCAGAAAGTACTACCATCAAGTCATGTTAAACCCAGAAGAGCCTTTCAAGGAAATGGACGCACACGACCTTTCGGCAATCTTATCGAAACCAGATTCCAAGCTGTCCATTTTCACGACTAATCTCTCCAGCCCAGTTCTACACTCCCGTACAGCAGAAAGTGCTTCAGGATCGTTTCCGTTGCGGGACGCCTGCTCTAGATCATCGAGTACGTGAAGAAGGCCTGTGGTGGGTTCAGTGGAGTCTATCGAGACAAAGAAACACTCCGTACCATCAACATCGGACCGTTCAATAGAATAGGCTGCATCTGAATTTCCGGAAGGAGAAAAATCAATGGTTGGCACAGGGTCATCCATACCCCGCGTTTCGAATGGCAGTTGACCATGAACTTCTCCACGGTATACTTGACGACGTTTCCGTTCATTCGCGCTATCAGATCGATGGGTCATTCGTTATTTTTAAGTGTAAGGTTAGCACTTACGATAGTTTCGCCATGACTTCCAGAATGCTTTGAGCTCGTTGATAGAAGAACCTGGCTACCGCAGTATGAGATGGGTCTCATTGCAACAAGATGAACTACTTACAGAACTCTTTCCGCCTCACGATTTCAATAACGGTAGCACCATATGCATAAAGCATATTGTGCAAACGTTGGATGTGTGAAAAACTGTTTCTACCCCGAAAGCTATTTGATAAGGCCTGCAAACTTGCGGGTATCTGCTGCATATCGGTATTCAAGAGACTGATTGACCGCGTTATACTTATGCATTGATGTGTAAATGTGTTCTGTGCCCTTGAAGTGATTAAAACGCTGCTCCGAGGCTAGACGCGTGAAAGATACCTTGGCATCCACAATGTATTGCAGCTGATCCCGAAGAGTAAGATCCAATTGCTTAAGTTCTGAAGAAACGTAAGCCCAGTTTGAGAGAATAAAGCCAATTAATATAACCTTGTAATCTGTCATCAGAATTGAGTGCACGTCCTATATACGAGTCAGAAGATAACTTCACAGGTATCAAACGACGTACCTTCCAACGCTGTAGCTCCGTCCGTAATCTTCTCGAAGATGTCTCGAGATCGCCGCGAGCATCCATCGGCCTCGTCCAGTGTTTGGGTCGAAGCCACTGCTGCTCGCACACTTGCCGTACCATCTTTAAGCTTACCGACCGCTTCATTCACTTGCTCAAATCGCAGGCGAAGCTCATCATGCGTCCTCGCACACGTTTCCGCCACCTGCTTCATCTTTGCATTCGAAACGTAATCTCCCAGCGTGCGAGGCTTATCGCCCGCTTCCATTGCCTTCCGTACCGCAGGCGACACGAACTCCGTATGTATCCGTACACGGCTGATAATATCCAAGTCCGCCTCCAATCCTGCGAGTAGTGCCGCTTGTTTGTCTAGCTCCTTCTTGAACCCCGAGGAAAGCCCGTCATACGTATCAACAATAGCGAGAACGTTCAGGTCCAAACTGTTCGATGCAATCTGGACAGCTTCGTGTTGGTGATGCATGGTTGCATGGAGATACTTGACGGTCTCATGATGCGAGTGAGCCGCTGCGAGGTATGAAGCAGCCAATTCAGAAGCCTTGAAGGGAGGGGTTGCGGCTATACTCTCTGTGTCAACCCCTTTGTTAATGGCTCCAAGCTCCAAGCATAAACCCAACTCACCTTCAATTGGGGGCTGGAATGCTGGTTCTACCCGGAGGTCGCGTAGTACTTCATTAATATCAAAGTCCAAATAGACTTTATTGAATACATAGATGGACTGGACTTTTATTTCAATGGAAGAACGGCAGATGAAGAACAGTACGACGCACCTGATCATGAGCACCGGCAAGCTCCCTTATATTCACATTCGTCAACCGTCGTCCATCGGAGAGATACGCGAGTACAGCCTCTTGAGGAACTCCGGTCTCCTGCTGTAAGAAGAGTTCGATACTCCCTACCCTGTGTACATTGTCAACGACCGTCGACCGCCAGTAGCGCCGTATGCCTCACCTCTCAATGTCTCGGAGAGTAGCGTTCACCTACACATCGCCTTCAGTGCTCTGTTCGACAGGATACAGTCACAACATACCTGAAATGCCTGACCGTCCTCCGCGCGGCATATCTGCAGCATTTCATGCAGGGTATCACAGTCAGATGGTGGTCGCGTTTCGACCACACGGTGTGCTAAATCGAGTATTTCCCCTGTAACTTCAGATCCAAATACAATTCCATTTTTGGCTAAAAAGTTGGTAAAATATTGTGGACTCGTTTTGAGACTGCGCAGAAACGGTACATTGAAAAGAAGCTCGTTAGATCGTGGAAATTGAGTGTAGAGATAATTTACACGGTGTCGAAGCAAGAGAAAAAGTCGGATGCAAAATAATATGTACTGCAAGAACAGACTGCTTGAAAATTACCTTCAAGGCACATATTTACCTGCAGGAAGGAGGGAAAGAGAAAGAGAAAAAGAAATATATATGATATTGTATGCGTACCCTAATCTCACATTATAACAAGCGAAAAGCAATGGCACCTACGTAGTCCGTAGAGGAGCGAGCGACACTATGCAAAGATGAGGGGGAGCTTGCGAGACGGCAAAGGAGAGGATGTCGGGATGCTCCTCGACATAAGACATGGTTCGCTGGAACGTAAAAGCCGCTCAACCCATTCGTCCTTCCTTCTTCTTCTGCTTGCGTGGCGGCGTCACGGGCCGCCCCATGTTCATTCCGCCGTATGGGTATTTTGCCTTCTTCTCCGCAGGTTTCAAGATCTAAGCCACCATCAGCCAAACGCATCACCGACAGACTTACTAAGACATACTTGGAATGAACATAACAACGTCTCATCAACACTCATCATCGCGCCGGCATTGTCAAATTCTCCGCAGTAATTGGGGGCCGAGAACAGCGTCACTAAATGACGTTTTGCGAAGAACTCGTAACCGTCCTCGACAACCTGCGCAACTGTTAGTGCACGACTCGACAACTGAACCAAAAATTGACCTGATGAGCCCTACAAATCAGGTCCATATCATGCTTCTGCAGGAACCGCGACACCACATCCGGCCCAAAGGTAAATGACACTCCTCTGTCATTCTCTGACCAACCCGTGATATCCTTGTCGGGATCGGACCACAAAAGGTCACATAACAGGCCTAATGAGAAGATACCATGAAAACAGGTGAAATGGTAACGTGTACGGTGGAACTGACCGGTATCGGGAACATCCGTAGGCCGCATTACTCTCCGTATCTGCTCCATCGACTGTAAATCAGGACTGAGGCCACCATGCATCGTGAAAATCTTCTCGTCGATGATGGCTGCGATTGGCAGGCAGTTGAAACAATCGGTGAATGTTTTCCAAAGTTTAATGTTGTATCGACGTTTACCTGTAACGACCGATCAGCCTCATGTTTGTGGCGGGAGTAGAGATAACATCGGAGTGTTGAAAAAAGGAAAGACTCACATTCGTCATAAAACCCATAAATCCGATTTATACTCGCGCACTCGTGATTTCCTCGTAAAATGAAGAAGTTTTCTGGGTATTTAATCTTGTACGCGAGGAGTAGACAGATGGTTTCAAGGGATTGCTTCCCTCGGTCCACGTAGTCGCCCAAGAATAGGTAGTTTGCCTCAGGTGGGAAGCCGCCGTATTCGAAAAGTCGGAGTAGATCATAGTATTGGCCATGAATATCACCTATGAGGATACCGAATTAACGAATGGCATCGGCTCTGAAGGTCCTAGGATACTGCGTACCACATATCTTGATCGGCGCCTCCAACTCCAGCAGAATCGGCTGGTTAATGAAAATCTCCCTGGCCTTGGTACACAGGTACTTGATCTCATACTCCTGAAGCTGTACAGGCTTGCCCGGTCGATTACCCCGCACTGTGGAAAAGGTGTTGCATCAGCATACTGCTTTGTCAGAAACAAAAGCGGAACAGAAAAAGAATATCGGCTTCTACGGGCGAAAATAAACGCAGCCCCGAGTCGGTGTCTGGCTAACAACACAGACAAAAGACCGAGAAGAAATATCATACAACTCTGGCGGCCACTGAGTCGCAACAAAGAGGAAGAAGAAGATGGCGTCGAGACATGCCAAGGTCCAAGAGCACCATGAGACACCGGAAATGCGCCAGGACACCGCCCGCTCGACGGCACGAATTCTGCTGTCGCCAAATGACGGCCAGCAACTGCATCACTGCAGATGAAGGATCGCAACCATCGCCAAAGGAAGCATCGACGCCCCCTAGTGGCTCGACTACGAAGGCGAGAAGCCACCCTGAAAGAAGTCAAATCCCAATCTCGCGCATATCGTATTCTCCATCACAAAGGCGCATTCCTGACCACGCCCATAGCCAGGACTTCGTAGGATGCCAATGGGGCCACCAGACGACCTCAATAATGCCGCCGCTCCCGGAATTGCGCCATTCTGAGACTCCTTCGCGGCCTTACAGCCCGTCATCCGCTCGTCGTCAAGCACGCCCAGTGCATCCAGCAGCACCAAAACCGACGGCATATTGACCCAAATGCTCAACAGTCCACCGAGCATATCCCTTTGTCCCTTTCTGGCACGAAGAAATAAAGGTGGTGTGCCAGCTCACCTTCCAGCAAACGGTCGATGACCGAGTCCAAATCTATCTCCGTCGTCGAATCTGCCATCTTCAGGCTTTCCAAATCGTCTGGGTGTGTCTTTGTATTAGATTGCGACGGGTTTCAAAAGCTTTTGGTCCCCAAGATGTCGTTTTTCTGAAGCGGCTTCAGGCTGGAGACAGGGACTTCGCCAATTTTTTTCTTGATTTTTGTGGGAGAGCGGGTCACCTAACCGTCAAAAAAAGGCAGAAGAAAGTGTCGTGAACCGGTTTCCCGAACCGCAGAGAGAAATGGCAAAGGATATCGATGAAGGGCGGTGCAGATAACGAACGTCGTGTTGATGCCTCCAATTTTCCAAAATCGGCAACCTTCGGATGGGCACGTGATAAAAATCCTCTGCGAAAAAAAAGAACAAAAATTAATCCAAAAATATCCTGGGCACATGAAGTCGCTATTTTTCACGCTTAGCAACAATTATGTATACTGAATATTCTACCTTTACAAAGCGCACCATCCTCTTCAAGGCAGGAAATCCAGTTGACGACATGCGGCAGCATAGGTTCTAGAGCATGTCATGACATTCATTGCGCTATTGCTACAATATTAGGCTGTGGAAATGGGTATGTAAAGATATATAATCTTAATACAGATCGCTGCAGTGTATACGAAAGAAAGGAAACTACCACCAAATGAAAAGAGATCATGCCGACGGCCCTTAATATATTATGTACATGAGCGTCAGTAATATTGCGTGAATATCGTTGCCATCATGTCGTTTGTGCAGACGGTTGTGCGCTATCGGAAGGTGCATTAGTAGGTGATCCTGGCGCTGCAGCAGTGTCTGTTCTACGGGCACCACGACGTCTACGTCTCCTAAGCGAAGAAGATCATTAGGTCTGGTGACACGCAACAAACAAACTGATACCATACCTAGGGAATAGCGGACCTCGAGGCATCGGACGTTCATCAAGGTCTAACGCAACGTTCGTTGCAGAATGCAGTCCCTAGACAACAGATGAATATCATTAGCCATGGACGCCAAAAATGGCTTCATACATACCTCAATCCATTCCACAACACTCGCCACATTCATAGCTTGTAATAAAAACTGCTCGCCCTCCATTCGCACCCGTATCACATTCTTCCTCTTCAGATAGTCATTCCCCAGCCCACTCTCGGCGTGCTGCAGAGTGTACGCTTTGATCAACTCACCCTCCGGCACCTCAGGAACAGACATTATCGAAGGAGCAGGTGTACGACCACTAAGGAAATGCGATCTCGAGTTCGAACTTCGATGGCGCGTTGACGACCCCGAAGACGACAGAGACGAGACCATCATGCTACTATCGGAGGGAGAAGACATCGCCACCGTGGGAGTCCGCGGCCTCGGTGTGGACAGCGACGACCTTGGCTGACTAGGTGGGGTCAATCTCGGTGGATTCGGTATGTCGCTGCGTGATCTACTGTGTGGCCTAGACGGCTTCAGCAGGTTGACCAGTTTCGATCTACTCTGATTTGAGTGTATGAAGGTCTGCTGCGGCTCTTGCTGACTGGGTACAGGCGACTGCGAGGAAAGCTGAACGTCCGTTTGACTCCCTTCCCTGACCACATCAGCCGCTACCTCGCCCAACTTCGACGCCAGTTCAGTTCTGTCCCCCAGAACAGCATCGGAGGCCTTCTTTGTAGACGCGGATCCGCTCGCTGCCGGGATACTAACATCCCCAACACCCACTTTCCTCTCCCACCACGATCCAATTGCGCTTACCCCAGCCGCCTCCCGAGGACATTCATATACGCGAAATACCGTCCCTTCCAGCTCACAGACCACTCTCCTCCATTTCCGATCCTTAGCCTGCACGCCTGGCTGAGTAAACTCCATCTTCCGAGGCATTACTGTGCGCAGGTATATGGAATTCGAGTATTCCGGCAACGTTTCTCGTCCTTCAATGATGTGTGGGGCATCAAAATCAGGAGGCAGTTGATGCGAGGATAGATGTAAGCCTTTATAAGGAGCAAATGAAGGATAGGGTGGAGGAGGTGAACCAGCAGTAAAAGTGGGAAGCGACCGTCGTCGATGGAGAGTGCCTGGCGTACCACCCGCTGATGCTTTCCGCAGCGGAGGATGGGGTATCAGAGAAGAGGGTTCCGACACTTTGTCTATAGATGAAGGTAACCGAGCCACGACACCTGCAAGCCCGGCAGTCCTTGACACGACCTCGATTTCGTTCTCCCTATTTGTCTCCTTTTCCTCATCCCGGCGACACAGAGACGGTCCCACAATATTTATCATACTCCTGGAGGCGTGTTTGTATATTGTCGGTCTACCATCAACCTGATGACCGCGTGCTAACGGCGATCCCGGAATCTGCATACCGTCTTCCAGGCGTGGTGTGCGTGTTGGGGAGAACGTGGTGGTACTGGGAGTCCTTGTCATGGGACTAGAGGGTGTCGCGATAGAAAAGTAGTCGTCTGAGAACTGCTGCTGTTGAGGGGTTGGAAAGCCTTTAGTCCTGGATGCTGTAGGCGTGGCGGAAGCAAGGTCGGAATCTTCCCTTTGTTTACCTTTCCCTTTCATATCAGAGGAACGTGGTGGATCATCAAGGAATGAAAGATCGAGACGAGCCAAGTTGATCGGAAGGTTTAATGATGGAGGTAAAGCTTGCGTTCTCTTGTACTGTCGTGATGGAGAAGCTAGTGCTGGTCGATCTTCTGCTCTGGGACTGTCTTCCGCTGTCCGGTCATCGCCGTCGTCTCCGCCGTCGCTCGCTTCGACAAAGTCCTCGCCGTCCTCAGTATCTTCGCCGTCATCCTCATCCTCATCTTCATCATCCTCGTCAATGTTCGTGCCCTGTCTGGGTAAAGCCGGCATGCTTCTCAGCTTTTGGTGAGGCCTGTTGGCATCGGAGCTAAGCGCATCGGAACTGGACGAAGGGGTAGAAGGGGGTAGTGTCGGTAGATTGAGAATTGGCATGGGTGGATGTCGCGTAATCAATGACGGTGATAATCTTGCGGAGCCCGTACCCTCAGCAAGGGTCATGCTGAATCGACGTAACGGCATTGGAAGAGCAGGGGGAGTTCGACGTGTAGGTGTCGTCCCGTACGCGGAGGACGAAACTCTCGGACCGGAGTCGGAAATAGCTTCTACTGGCGTCATTGGGAGCATCTTTTCTGAGTCTGGGGCAGGATCGTGCTCCTTTCCTGGTGTCCGTGGAGGAAATATGAAGGGAACCGAACCCCGAGCCCTTACATTCGTCGAGCCACTGAAAACGGACCGCGTTGAATGAGATGATGCCGTGATAGAGGTAGATGACGGCCGAGAAGAATCAGAATTTGGGCTGGACGTTTTCTTCGACATCCCAGAAAGTACATCTTCGTCTGTGTCAGATAAAGACACGGGCTGACCAGGTCTCAACATCGTTGTTTTAAGTCCTGATAGGGCACTTGACGCTGTTTCCGAGTGGACGACAGCCCCAGCAGGCGGATCGGAAAGCTCTGGGGCATTGCTGGTGTCGTGTGTCAGTCTTGAGGGATCAACAAATGAATTAGCGCCTCTAGACGTAGGTTGCGAGCGTGGCGTCGTTTGCTGCAACAGGGAAGTAGATGACATTGGAAGAAATGATGAAGATCCGCCATGTAGTGAATGAGAGTGACTTGGCGGCGTGTGAAACGATTTTGTCGACGTACTAGCAAATGAAAGGGTTTCTTCGTAATCGGGGGCTAAGTCTCGAGATAACGGAGGGGATGATGATGTTGACGACTGAGTACCTTCATTATCTCCTGTAACCACTTCAGGAGACGGGTCACGTACCGTAGCGTTAGGTATCGGTAAAAGGGACGGTCTGGAATTGTCTACGTTAGCCGGCCTATGTTTTGGTTCGGAATCATTTGCTGGGTAAGGAGTGTTGTTCGTGCGTTGTTGAGTGGATGCTGAGGATGACGAGGGGTGGATGGGAGTTTCTTGGAACGGTGGTCGTGATAATGATGCCACTTGCTTCGATATGAGTACATGCGGCGCTTCCATTAGAATCGTGCTGCTTTCTGCCGTTCCACGATGGTCAGTAGGCAGACCTGAACCATGCTTCAATGTGGCACTGGTCGTTAGAACTGGTGCTTCGCCGGGTAAGCCGTCGAAAGTGATGCTTTTGCCAGTGAATACAACGCCCGTGTTCGTGCCAGTAACTACTGCTGTCGATATCGAATGACGAGTGCGTTTTGGTGGGACAGGCGCTCCGCAGGGCTCGCTTCCAGTTGGTGAACTGGAAGGCGAAGATGAGAGAGATTCGTCGACGTCCCGACGCTGCTGAATGTTGTATGGATTGGGCGCTAACATGGGCTGGGACATGTAAGGCTTCGCCATCCCAGCATCTATTGAAGTCGACTGTCTCATGTACGGCCCTTCGAGAGCAAGATTAACACTACCCTTGCGCGTGCTTGAAAGACGAATTCTGCTGCGAAAGTTGGATAATTTCTGCACCAGTTTACTCGTCCTCGACTGACAGGGTCGTCAGACCACAAAACATGAAAGAACGACAGCGTCACGCACCTGTGCACCCGCTTTCATCAAAGTTATAGGCTGAGCTCGCGGCTGCTCCTCCATTCTACAGCTATATTGCGGTAATGGCAGTCGAGAGGAAAACGGAAAAAGGTCGTGGACAAGAAGATAAGTACACCAGTGACGAGATACCGGATCGCCTCTGTAACTGTATCAGCCAATTCCGATCATACACATGTCACAGTGACAAAAGGAGCTCCTCACCGTCGGGAACAGCGAGCTCAGCATGCAGCACTGCGAAGACAACCGGGTGATGGGGAGAAGAGAATTCAAAATTAGTATTCGCATCGCCTTCGTCGTCGGGACCAAAGATTTGTCCTTCCTGATTATTCAGCATCAATTACGTAGTGTATTAAGTAACCACATTCGCCGCATCCAGCCGCGTCGTGACCGTCACTACTCGTCGTCCCGCTTCATCTCTGCGTTGGCGTAAATGGCTCAAGCGGGAAGAACAGGAAAATTGAATGCCAGGAGATGTTTCTCCGATTCACGACGCATCTTTCTCATCACTTACATATTTATTTTTACCCAGTCACAGGGTCATCGACGCTCCAACTGTGATCCATTGGGCCCCGTGTTCGTTGTTCTCATGTATTGGACCGCGATCTCTTCACGTTCTGGTTCTCTGTCGTCAGACATCTGCTCAATGAACCAACCGGACTACCGCTACCAGCTGATATCTACATTCAAATACTGTCCCGCATACTTCCGACTCGGCGACTTCATTCGATCAATGCATCAGTGCATCGAAGCCGGAAAATCGTAGAGCAGCACTTTGAACATGGCGCCTTGACGCAGAATTCGTCCAAGACGTCTGTTCTTAATCTTCCTTAATATGTTCATCCCGGGAAGGCTGTCTGTTTCTTAGGCATCATTACTAAGTTGAAGGCCGCTACCGGCCATCTGATCTTCTGACCTACAATGATCTTACGCAGCTCTCAATTCGTTTACGGTACGTGTCAATATGCCCATCGACCGAACCCTGGTTACCTGGCCATACAACCTTTTGGTCTGGCCCTCGGTTGCGGATTATTGGCAGAGGGTGTACTCTTGGTCCACCATCTACGCTGTATCAAGAACCCGGTAACTTCGGCCATACTCTCGTTGCGCGCTCGTGTTATCATCAAGCTGTTTAGTCTATTATAACAGGCCCATCACCCTCGAGCTTCCAGCCGCTGCATTTCCCAGACCTATCACTACATCCTTGGGAGAATAGTGCATGCTACGCATGATACCCGAGGAACTCGTTTCTCCGCTTCGCGTACCTTCAAGTACTAGGCCAAATGGAAACTGCAACGTTCCAGCGTGACAAACCATATCACATGAGATCTGTTGTTGAAATGTCCGATTTCCCCACAAACCCATACGAAATAATTCATCAGGTCAGTGAGAAAACAGATTTTGAACGTGTGCGTCGCCTCCCTTCCAAACGAAAAACGATGTTGGCCCTGTACAACATTGCACTCCAAAGCTCTTGTATCTCAAGTTGGGTTCTCTGTCTTGGGTTGTTTTCTTTTCCTGACCCCAAATTCTCCAACAGATTTCTGTCAGCCCTCGTCTCTTCCAGGTGCCATCACGGTCATACAACACCCCTGAAAATGAAAGATGTGGCGGTGGCGCCCAAAGCCGAAACCGCGGAGACGTGAGCCTTGAGCGAATTTGGTTTCCATAGGGCGACTTGAAGTCTTATGTTCTTCTGAAATGGTACACTGTTGCAATTGCTAATCATTGTCATTAGCGTCTTCTAGCAGCTTTATTCGAATTAACGTATACTTAGCGTCCATTCTGAATCTGGGACTAACTGTTTTTGCTTTCGGAGATCAGGATTGCAAATGAACGAAACCAGCCGTCCTCCAGATATCTGGCTCTGCGCCAGGGCTCCTTCAGGGCATGCTCGCTATTTTGATGTTGCAAATCAATTTGGTGGCCACTGCGTTGTTTACCTACGTCTACTTATTTAATATCTCTTGGGAGGCATCTATTTTCGCCATAAGAATTTCAGCCAAAAATTTTTCACCACAAATACGCTCCTTTTGATAACAGTATCTCATGTATCTGCCACATCGTTCTGGCGTGGAATCGCCATTCTGACGAAAGTTCTCAAGTTTTCCGATCCTCCTCACTGACCAAACTCCTGCATCAATAATATGAGGGAAGGAACCGGCGTGCGCTGCTGATTTTTATTGTTTCTGTACGTCCTTCCGTCGCTGTCGAGCAGTGACATCAATATTGACCTATCGTTACCGGTAGCCGAATCCTTCTATTCGCAATTCTCATGTCCTTCCAGGTTGAAGTTACAGGGGTTACGCCTCCTTGAATGTCGACTTTTGCCATCTACAGTCTTTAATTCGGTGCCGCCTTTATCCAGTAATACATATACCCGTGGTGCCCTTTTGATTATCCAAGGCATGTACTTACCCTCGAATCTGGGATGTTATTTGCCAAGCCTTGGATATCTATCTGGATCACTTCCTACCAATCCCTGTTGTCAGCGTAATAGACCCTCGGATACTTTACCTAGCGGGTAACATTCTGTAACATTCCGAGCTTCTTGAGGGTGACTTCGATGGCTGCTTGGAGACTGTTGTCTTTATTCAATCTTGCGATCGAGTGTACGCCGACCTATTGCAATCAGAAGTAACCGTTCCATTTACAGCAGTTTTTTTTTCTTATTCGCATGCAGACCGATACTGTAGAAGCTTCAAGATTCCGTCGGCGAGTGTTATTACATACCCCTGCCTTGTTGATTTGGAAATCTAATCCTTAGCATTAAGCTTGATAGAGAGCCTGGCGCTCGTGAGTCGATATGGCCCGGATCGCCCGACTTCTGGCAGTGGAGAATACCAATTCTGTTCGCGGATCCGGAATTGTATTGGATAATGGTACTAATCTAATGGCAACTTGTCACCATCCCTGCACAAGGGATCGGTGTTCTTGGAATTCGAAAAGCAGGGGAATTGAAAAATAATTGCCAACTTTGCTAGCTCAGGAGTTGATGGCCGCGGAAGAAAAAACTATATGGATTGTCAGGGATTTCGTACATATTCAAATGCTACGATATCGTGAGGGTGATCATGAGCAATGTTCTGGAGCAGCGGGACACCTCCTCACTGCCTCATCCGCAGTGGAATTTCATTGCCGGGTCTCGGCGAAAGTCTTCCGAAAGAGAACGTGTACACGTTCACGTGATCTCACGTCGGCGGAAATTTCACACTTTTCGATTTAGATTCCTTCTGGAGCTCCTTTCATTCATTCAGACACGCGGCGTATACGGGCGGGGCGTGATCGAAGCGCTCCGTAAGATGATCGTTCTGATCGCTCCTACCAGCAACCAGGCGCGGATGTCCGACAGATAATTATCCGACAACCTGTAATTGGTCGATGTTTATCCTGTTGAATCCCCGGGTGTCTTGTTCTTGCTTTCCTTCCTCTGGTGTCCAGTCTATAAATCCAAATCGTATATATCATGGGACTAGTCGTGCCCGAAACTTAACTCGTAATTTTTATCGTCCATATGAACCAGATTTCCACTTTGACAAATAACTCCTTTGCCGAGAAGCGCAGAGTTGTGCTCAGGAGGTTCTGATCATTCCCGCAGGTCTACATAAGATACGCGGCGATTTTATAGGCAGACCTTAGCCCCACCTTTCCCCCCACCGCTCGGCTATTCCTCTCTTTTGTCATGGCCATTGACGTCGGGTTTAAGACCCAGTATCCGTGCGTCCACTTCTTGATCATCGACAATGGAGTCCAGTCTGTATGAACATCTCTTAACTCGCAGGTTCGAGGAACTCGAGGTCACTAAAGGAGATTTACTCCTTGGATCCATCGTCTTTGGCTTTTTCGTCCGTCGTTTTACGCTGTCCGTTTTTCTTGTTCGTTTGAACCTTCCTATAGTTTGGATTTGCAGTCAATGTCACATGGTGCGCCATTCTGGAGACGAGAAGGGCAAGAAGAGTGAGGATCCTTGCACTCTTTACCTTGGAGATATACTGAACTTGCTGCTCGTAGTTTTCCGCATACATCGTCATGATTTGGGTAGAAATTCTTGCGTTCGTTGTTCAGCCTCTCTTTTGGATTTTTGACATTCATTTTTTGCACGCAATAGGGACCTTGGTTTTTGTGTACGTATCTTAATGAGCTGGAGGTGATATCATTCACAATCAACGCCTTCCCGTAGATCGTCTCATGGGGCTACTTGTAAGTTGGCATACTATCTGATATCGTCTCGAGCAGCTCATTTGTTTACAGAGCGAAGATTTTCCCTCCTGGCCTCGGTGTCTTCCTTACGGTCATCCTCTGTTGGATCTGTCAAGTAGGTCCCTACTGTGGTTGATGCTTGGCGTTCCTCTAAACCTTAAAATCAGGTTCAGTGCCTGATGCTGATTATCGTCAACCGACTTTGCATCCTGTACTCGCAGCCAAGGCAGAGAGTATGTCACGTTAACATGACTTGAGAACCTTCTCTGAAATGCAGCCGTCCCTAGCTCATCCTCAAGGCCTCTGTGGCGACCATCGTGACCATGATATCCATATCCACAGCTTGTATTTGTAAGTGGCGTTCGCAGTCTACCGGATGAAATGTCTGGACTTCATCTATCCTGAACCAGGGATTCCTGCGCATCTCCAAATTAACACTACGTACATTTCGGTGCGCTCCTCATCGTCATTCTATGTCTCCCGCTGATATAACGGCTTCAGTTGAACCATTGGTATGATCGATTCGAGAAATCAGTGTACCTTCGTATGTCATGTCACCACAACGTCTACCTCACCTACTAATAGCGGCATCGCAGTTTTGGACTTGTTCCTCAATCTCTTGTTCATCCACAAAGTGAAGACACGGCTTATCCAGCACGGCCTAAAGAAGTACGATAGAGTCATGCGGTATGTGCTCCGGTACTTGCAGACGCCGCTTCTACTTGCTCACTCTATTATAACCACAGCTTCAATCAGTATATAATTATCATATCTATCGGCATGGACATCCTGCTTTTGGGCGTCACCGCTCTCAGGAATCAATTCGTATACTGTCAAGTAAGGTTCGATAACACGGAGTCCAGTTGCCGGACTGAACCGGACCGTTATACTTAGTTCCACCCGGTGGTATACATTGTCAAGCTACAAATTGAGATGTCGATGTCTCGTGAGTAGAGTTTCTAGTTTCCTTTGAGCACGATGATTATGACCGCGTTTCAATCTAGGACTGCTCATCAAAGTCGCTCGTTCTACCGGTATCAATGTTTACAACGAAGAAAGAGGCGAGGTAACGTCAGAAAGCGTTAGTGGGAGCAAGCCTACGGGCGCTGGAGTGTGCGTATATTATTCTTCTCACGGCAAGTATCTGACTTTGATCCGTTCATTGACTTTCAGTGGTATCCAAATCACCACTCAAATCTATACACATGCCGAGCATCCCGATGAATACGGTGCGCTTCATATAACAGCCCCTTGATGCTCAACTGATCATCCCTCACAGAAATGGAACACCGTAAAGTACAGGAGGCAACATCAACGCATTCCTCGAATGGCGAGGTCATCAAAATTTCGACAGTTTAGAAGATAGATATACCTTTCACCTTGCTTTCAGCTACGTCTTGCAGTGGATTTTTTTTGGTTTTGCTATACCACCGACTGGCCCTTATGTACCCCAATAGAGTATCAGTACCGAATGTACCGGATCATACCAACTTGAAGCATCTTCCTGTGGTCCATGTTCCTTGCCGGGACGTCTGTCGGTGAGTTCTAACAGGCGGTGGGACAGGATCAAGCTCGCGTCGGATGCTAACCATTCAATTTTGATCGATTATTGTCGAGTCTTCGCTACTTGTACGCTACACAAGATCTTCAAGTTGCTTCTCCCGAGAACTTCCGCGGATACATACTTCCCCATATCTCTTCATGTCTTGGGACCGTGAACAGATTTGAGAAATGAATTGGACAACCACAAAATCGCGGTTATCACTAGTGGGTCGATTTTGATGCGGAGGAAGTTCGGAGTGCATTAAGCGGAAGTCTCCCACTGATCCTTTGAATTATGGGGATTGTAGGCTGCTAATGGGGACTGCAGAGCGGTCATGGGGCCCAGATTGCGATTATGTTCACATCTGTATCAGCGTGCAGTCTCGATGGAACGGTCTGGAGAATTCTCATGTCAGCTTCACTCTTTTCTGGCAGAAGCTCCAGTAGAGTGACGCAGTAGCTCCAAGTCGTAGACAAGGCGGCCAAATTTCGAGAAAATGCGGCACGTTCCACGGACAGTATAGCAAAGGTAAGGCATAATGCGCAACCTCTGAGGGATGTAGAACAACTAACTGTTCATGTCCCGTAGGTCGGAGCTAATACTAAAAATGCATCTTGACCCTCCGTACTAGACTCAATTCTTCAAGTTACGGCGTACCTTGGGAGAAACTTCTGCGATCAGCTGCCACTGCCCATGAGACGGACTGCCCGTGGGTACTATAAAACCCGTCTGGTACATTTAGGCGAACTTTGTTGTTCTGATACCGTCAACTCTGATACCCCCAACTTCGCTACGCAACAATGGCTGGAGGTGCTGTTGCAAACGCTGGGTCGGTCGGTTATAGTCACCTTATCGACCCCAACAGGAAATGGTATAACAACAGAAGGTACGATAGTTTTGTTATTGTTGGACGTCAGGCTCACGAATTCTTTTATGTTGAAAGAATCATTGCCCTTAACTTCTGCATCCTTTTGCTGTAAGTGTTCCCTTTAGGTTTGGTAGTTCGATGACCAACGTTTAGACCAGACTCATCACGTCTTCTACGAACGGATACGATGGAAGCATGATGAATGGACTACAATCACTCACTCAATGGTCTGAGTATTTTCACAAGCCAACTGGCGGGAGACTTGGCCTTCTGAATGCCATTCAGGTGCGAATACAGCTCTGCATTTCTTTCGAGCCCTGGCGAATAATTCCGCCTCTACAGAATATTGGGAGTCTCGCCGCGTATCCCTTTGCTCCATATTCTTCGGATGGCATTGGACGGAGATATACCATTCTTCTGGGTGCTACAATCATGATTATGGCTACAGCTATTCAGACGGCTTCTCAGTCCGTTGGGATGTTTATTGGAGCTCGGTACGTCTGTATTATCATTGTATAGATCGACATTTTTGAACGTTTTTCTAGATTTCTCATTGGTTTTGGTTTGACCTTTGCTGGTACGCCTGTTATTCCGCAGAATGCGAAGTAACTCATGCGTGAATAGCAAATTCTGCTCCCATGCTGGTCACTGAGATATCATATCCATCTTATCGTGGACCTCTCACGTCGACATATAACTCCCTATGGTATCTGGGATCTATCATGTAAGTAATCATCTATTCAGAGGTCTTTCCCGTTTATGATGTTCCTGTAGTGCTGCCTGGACAACATTCGGTACTTTCAAGATCAAGAACACCTGGGCGTGGAGAATTCCGTCAGCTCTTCAGGCCCTGCCTTCTGTACTACAGGTCGCCCTCATTTGGTTCATCCCCGAGTCTCCGCGTTGGCTTGTCAGCAAGGGCCGTGAAGAGCAAGCCCTAAAGGTCTTGGCTTATTATCATGCCGATGGAAATGCGTATGTGTGACATGATTTCCTTGGACATCAGCGTCTAATAACCAAACTGTAGCGAGGACCCACTGGTAAAGCATGAGTTTGAGGAAATCAGGGCTGCCATTGAATTGGATCGCACCGGTGCGTTCTTGCATCTTCCGAAGGTCCACGTTATGCCACCTAACCATCGAGTCTTATTTCAGTGACCGCCAACGTCGGATGGAAGTCTTTGATTTCCACCCCAGGAAATCGCAAGCGTATGAGAATCATCATCGCTATTGCATTCTTCTCCCAGTGGTCCGGTAATGGCTTGGCATCGTACTACTTGAACCAGATCTTGAACGACATCAACATCAAGAATCCAACAATTCAGGTAAGTAATTTGTCGGCTGCATGCTTAGGATACAGGCACTGATGTTCGTCTTCCTTTCAGCTCTTGATCAATGGTATCCTCCAAATCTGGAACTTGGCTTGGGCATTGCTCGCTTCAAGTCTCGTTGACAAACTCGGCCGACGCCTGTTATTCATGATGTCCGCAGTGGGCATGTTCGTCTTCTTCAGCGCTCAAACTATCTGCTTCGCGGTGCACAGCGAGAAAGGAACTGAGGGAGCTGCTCACGCCCTGATAGCTTTCATTTTCTTGTTCTATGCAGCTTATGAGTAAGTAACGCCTCTATCGGTTATCTTATACTACAACTTCTCACTTTCTGCATAGTATTGCATTCTCGCCCTTGATTGTAGCTTACACGGTCGAAATTCTTCCTTACCCGATCCGTGCCAAGGGCTTCAACGTGTTCAACTTCACAATTTCAGTGGCTCTGATTTTCAACCAGTATGTGAACCCAATCGCATTGGGTAAGTGTTTCTATTCACTCCATCATTGCACCCAAACGATCTGAATTTTGGCAGGCAACATCGGCTGGAAGTACTATGTACGTGATCGTGTCATTCTATCCTCTTCCACCGTTGACCGGGTTTACAGATCGTCTACGTGTGCTGGATTGCGTTTGAATGCGTTTTCCTTTACCTTTGTAGGTGCTTTTCTTTGGACCGTGAATGAGTCAGTTCTGACATTTTGTACAGACATCGTCGAGACAAAGAATCTTACTCTTGAGGAGACCGCCGTTATCTTCGACGGAGACGACGCAAAAGATCAGCTTGCGCTAGCTGCCGGTATCAAAACTGATGACGAGAAACTCTCTGGATCCTCGTTGCACCACGCGGATCTACCAGATACTAAGATGTAGAATGGATCATAATTATTCTCCGGATGTCAGTTGGGAAGGATATATGTATTACAATATATATAACGCATTTTGCTTTGGACTTTAATATACACGAAATTTCTATATTACGCTGATGCCTCGCTGCTTTGCCTACCAAGTATGTCCTAGGAATGAAGACAATTATACTTAATGCCTTAGGCGTTATGATTTGACTTGAAAGGATTGTGTACAGTCACAATCGTCGTCTATTCTTCCTTCGCAAGAGTACAACCTTAGTCTAGTAGAGATACATGGACAACACATCGATTGCAGTGACACAAGAAAGCAGGAACAACAGCAATAGCAATATGAAAACAAGACTTAAGAGCAGTAAATTTGAAAAGGGAAATGGTCCAACTGCGGTGCCAATTGACTGGGAACCTCCCGCCAGTGCTGCTCGCACAACAATTATCAGTCCTCACTTGAGCTCCGATGGTAGTACCCATCGTAAACCGCCTGCTCGACAGCAATCACTTATTACCTCCTCTGTCGTTGACGACCCAGGAGTCGTCCGAACCACGGAGTTGGGATATCGGGTGACAACATTGCCGTTATCAAACTTGACCTCCTTGTGCTTTCGGGTATCCGAGGCGGGAACGGAGGGTAGGAGACTGGTAGTCCATTGAAGGGACCATGGGAGGCCTGAGGGTTGGGCGGACCGGGGAGGCTATGTCGATAGTTGATGCTACCTTGGGTGCTGACATTGGCAGTGGCAAGGTACAACACTGGTGGTGGTTGAACACCAATAGGATGATAATCCAACCCCCTGAGGACTTCTGAGAGTGAGGGAAGACAGCAAGGGGTTGAAGTGCGACTCGGATAGTCGTGAAATTGATGTTGGTTCACATGATTTCCGGAAGATGATTTCAAGGCAGGAGGAGAGAATGTGAGGGGGAGCCCGAGAGGGCTATTGGGCCTTGCATCGTTTACGTCGAAACGGTAATGGGTGGTGTCGGACGGGCAGGCAGAAGGGCTGGAGTTAGACGCCGCGTCGGAGAAAGCCATGACATTGCTCTGGGATCCAACAGTGATGTATTGTTTCCTTTGCTGCCTCTGAGGTGAAAGAATGGTATCGTGAACAGTGGCATTATGTTCAGCCAGTGCTGCCAAATCCTTGGCGACCCAGAAATTTGTGCAGTCAAAACACACCAGATGCCTGTGACGACGGCTAAAACGAGCCTAGCTGTGAGTATGCCAGCGTTGTCCATATGAAGAGAGGAGGACTCACTGCTTGGCATTTATGTGCGACTTGATGTTACTCCGTTGGAAGTCGCTAGAGTTGCACCAAGAGAACGGGCAGTAAACAAGACCATTTCAAGTTAAGGATTAGCATGCGACATGAACAGGTAAAAATTTACCTTACGCTTTTGCCCGAGCGTCGCCGGTCAAGTGAGTTTTATAGTGTCGTAGTAGGTCGTGACGTCTAGCAAAACGCTTCTTGCACGGCTTCACACACGCGTGTGGTTTATCGGTAGAATGTGCGTGATTGCCATGATTTTATACAGAGAGCGCAACGAAAGCTAGCGTGGAACGTCAATGCGAAGCGAGTTGAAGATTGCGTTTGGCGAAGTTGGAGTCAGAAACAAAGGCGAGATGTGCGTATATAAGGAAGCTCCTTCCAGATCCTGATCTTCTTTGTAATGTCAAATATCTTTGTGTCGGATTGGCCGAAAGTTTTCCACGTCCGTTTACAGTACGAAATGAAATTGGATATCGTCGCCGTAAGCCATAAATTTGGAACAATATCCTATTCTGTTCTATGAAGCGAGGTCTGTCATTTCGAATCGAATGTTAACCCTGGTTCCGAGTTTTGTCCAACGGGACCTTGACCAGTTTGGCACCCATTTCCATGAGTTTTCGGACTCCGAGGGGCCTCGATCAACAGTAATTAAGATTTTAGATCTCTAGTGTCGCCAGGAGGGCTGGTCAGACAAGACTCGAGAAAACATGAGAGTTAGAAATTTGAGCTAGAAGTTCAATATATGGCTCGCAACCTGAAATAACAGCTGGCTACCTGGAGATAGTTAAAGTAGAGTCTAAGAACGCGTGGAAAACAACGTAGCGAACGCAAAATACCATAGATAAAGATGACATCTCTAAGGCACCGGCGCGTTGAAGCAGCGCGAAAAACAAGTGCCCCAGTCGTGCATTTCTCAGGGAAGCCCTAGCTTGCAGCGAGTTCGAAATTAGACCGTACAGCGTATCTGATGCACAGCAATCGGTGTTAGGCCTGATTCATCTCGGATCTCAACGAGACGAACGTACTAAACAAAGTTTACGCAAATGCGTCTCGGCTGCATGCTCGGAATAAAACTATTGGAGAGCCCCGCTCCGGGGGCTCCCCGAGGGGCTCTTCAGGAGCCCCAGCGTTTTCGAAGTTTTCACTCTCGGCCGAGCGGCCATGCCCGTACCATATTTGGGTTTGCGTCCCCGGCGTCTTTCCTCAAGTCCTCGCCGTTGTGAACACAGTTCCGTCGTTGTCAGCTATGGACTGGTAGAAGCATTCATACAGATGAGGTGGACCTCAGGCTGGTGATTTCCTGGTGACTAATTTGTGGAACCTTGTACTTATTAGCCAGTACTTACTATGCATTAACCAGTAAGTAGTAAATATTGTCCTGGAGTAATATCAAACTGCGACGATTCTGCCCATTTTCTTACACTTATCTCACCTTACTTATTGTTACCTCGCTGTGCAAAGAATTAACCGAAGCTCCCCGAGTCTATAACGTCCATACTGTACAAATTCTCCCGGTAGATACAGTGCAGATCAATTTACGCATTCTATCGTAGTTCTGTACAGTGGAAGCACTTTGCAAAGTCCCGTAAAATGTCAAAATCACATGCCAGCATGCTAAATCGTGCTGCGGCCATACCCGGTCACTATTTCCCACGCTTCAGACATTGATCCCGCGCCTCCTTGCTCGTCGTCACCCGATTCTGCGCCCTTTCATCCACTTTAGGTACAGATCTGGGATCGTACTACTGTGATGGGATCTCAAATTTTTATGTGGCTGTACTACTGGCTCATGGTAAAATATGCAATTCAACGGTTCGCGATCTCTTTAGCCACCGATTCATCTGGGAAGAGCAGGGGACTGACACTGTCACTGGGTCTCTTTTTGCTTTTGCTATACCCCTATTCAGTGGAAGCATATTTCTATACCCTTCTATGCTATTCAGTTGCGATATCAATAACTGTTGGGTACGTTATCGCGCTAACATACAGTAAGGAACAAAAATTTCCAGCTTGTCATTTGCCATTATGAATATGCTCACGATAAGTATGCCGTTCGCAGTGCATGTTGCTTAGCTCAGCTCTATGGTGTCAACAATATACAGATTGAATAGATGCATCGTTGATCATTGTACGTGCTTCACTGCGTACAGTTGATTCTACGAGAATGTACAAAGTCGATGTCACGAGAATTTACAAAGTCGACTCTACGGGAATTTACAAAGTCGGTTCCATGAGAATGTACAAAGTCGACTCTACGGGAATTTACAAAGTTGGTTCCACAGGAATGTACTAAGTTGACTCCATGGGAATGTATAAAAGCGAACCCACAATGAGTGAATCCTTATCCGTTATCCTCTCGCTCTCATCGCCTACCTATAACAGTACTCCCTCCTGCATTGAATATGTCTCTGGAGGTAGACCTATTTCACTATCACCGATATAATCGAATTGGAGATGGTTCTCTGTAAGTTGGTTTCCTTCATACTTGCATCCTAAGCTTAACAATAATCTCGAACAGAAGCATTATTGGAGTCTTCGCAGCTTCATCAGAGTACGAATATGCCATCCGATTGTATTATTCTCCGGAGCAGCGCCAGTGGCTTGCCGAGTTTGGCCTGGACTTCGAACGTGCCGTATATGCAGACACAGTGCTGCGTTTCCTTGACAGGCTATATGAAGAATACTTTTTTTTGTGGCCAGAGGACGTTTCAGGACTGTTCATAGGAAGAAACCCAGATAAGGAGCAGCGAAAGATTGTTTGTCATCCCTTCTATCTTGATTCCTTTGCTAAACCCAACCTACAGGAGATTTTCACACTCTTTATTATGGGTCTGAAGCAATTGTGGCTTTATAGTCATCGGGGTCCACATAGTTGGAGCCGCAGTGCAATCATCAATGTGCTCGATGACCTAGAGAACATGGTCACCCGTGAGTTCCAAAAGATCCGTCATGTTTTTGGTCATCCCCATGTTATTGTGCCGTCCTACTATACTCCTATTGAAGTCGATCATGATGAGTAGTTATTGATGTACTGATCTCAATATATCACAACCCGACTCTTATCATATTGTAACCTGACTTGACAATAGAAAAACTACGTACTATGTACTTCGCTGTTAATACGGCCATCGAGATCTGCGGTTGCTATGCTATGTGTCAACGAATTCATGTCCAGAGTAGTCTGGACGTTGTGCCATTTGGCTTTTGCGTCCATTTGTAGCTCGCTCCATAGTGCTGCTTGCCTGAAAGCATAAGCTCTTGCACCAGGGAGTAATCTCAACTCAGCTCGCTTGGTCCACAGCTGTGAATAGTACATAAAAGTAGCCTGGACACGACGCAACTCCTCAGTCAATAACGTGCATTCTTCTTGCCACCGTTGAGCTCATGCCTGGGACTTGCACCACTCAATTCTCAACGCTATCAAAGAACAGGCTCAGTTAGAATCCAGATTTCAGATTTGAGCAAAGACACTTACCTTCCTGGAGACCTTTATCTCCACCTTGGAGATTAGTTTTCCAAATCCATGCCAGATTGCGATGTCCCTCTGAAGTCGACTCATTGTACTGATCAAGACCTCGAACATCTTCATCCTTGTTACGATTATTCTTTTCTTTTTCCTTTCTTTTCTTTTCTTACGTGTTCACGCTTACTCTATGTTGCGATCTCGGTCGGACGTTGCTGCGGCACTATCTTTAGCCTACGCAACGTGTATTTAAGTAGAGCCTCAGCTGGTCTAAACCCCAGCTTCGGCTAAGGTTTATTCTACCTAACATCGAAACTCCGTTCTTCTGACTAAGTGCTCCATCGACTTGCGTCGTCTTTGACTTGCTGAGTGTCGTCTACCGAAGTGCGAGTAGCGACCTTAGTACGATCTAAGTCGATTAGAGTTAGTGGCTAACATTTAGCCGAAGCTCGATCTACGTTGCTCAGCGTCACTTCCGAGAAAGAGCGCTGCCCAACTTCTTTACGAGAAAATTTACCCCGCTTGACCAGAGAGGTCATCGCATACGTTCGTGTGGACAACCCGGTGCTTGTCAACGTACAGCGAGTGGACCGACGGAAAAGCACTCACCGTCATCATTCATCCGATACACTACCTCGTCGCACTAGCCTTGTGGCTAATACCCCCTCGGCTACTCCTTCTGTTGCTAGTAACTCGGTTGATTGTTGAAACCATCCGAAACGACGACCTACTCCTCGGAGTAGTCTTCACTATATTCTTTACCTTTGTTCTTATCGGGCTCGGAATATCCGCAGCGGTACTAGCAGGATTGTTAGCTGCCCTGTACGCGATATACCCTCGCCTCTTTTAAGAACCACGTATCCCAACACGAAACCTTTCGTACTCGCCCTCCAGCTTGCATCGCTATTGACAATCATCTTGTTGATAGTAACAAGCTTTCCTAATTCCGACGAGTGTGAGATCCTGTTAATGAACGGCTCCAATTACGAGGCCGACCTTAGCTTGATCATCGCGCTCTTGATCGTTCTCACCATCCTCGCGGTATACCAACTTGCATGGTCAATCGTCGACCTGCGCAAAGGATAGATCCCTATACGGATGCCCTGGTCCGACGCCATTCCCGCAATCTTCGTAACTTTTATCGCCTTTTTCTTGTCCATTTCTTTATACTACACACTCCGCTGTTGCCGACAACAGAGAAGGGTTCGACCTCAGCTTCCCTTCCATTACGTGCCCAGCGCACCCGCATATCCCCCGCAGGTGATAGATATCCCCGCGGCCTCGCAGCAAACACTACCAGTTCCAGAAACCCCTCGGCTAGAGCTACACTCTCTCTATGGAGAGTCCCTCTACGGATCGTCGCGACCCAGCTCGCGATCCTCAGAGTCGAGCACCGACTCCTACAGAAGCGCCACCGCCGAGTCAACCGACTCCGTCGACATCACCGATACCAGGAGCGTACTCCTCGACAGAGGAGACTCGCCCCTACCAGGCCTCTTCGACCAGTCTCCAGTCGAAGGCGAGTCAAGCCCCGACGGAGGCCGAAGACAAGACACCAGGCATCTGGTCACGGGCGAAGAAAGCCCTGATACCGAGTTCGAAGGGGACGAGCTCACCGAGTGGGAAAGAACCCGCCTCGACGACATCCTCGACGACCTCTACCCGAATACGGAAGAGGATGCAACCTATTCCGGAGACAACTGGTCCGGAAGGTCGTCCACGAAGTGGGTCGACGCCCAGTGGGGAGATCCCGACCTCGGGACAGAGCGAAGGAGGTATATACAGGGGCAAAAGGATGACTACGACACCGATTCCGGAGAGCTTGGCCTCGGAGCCTCCGCGGCTTCCACCAGTACAATTGACGCACAGTCTCTTCCAAGGGCCTGGCCACCCAATAGAGGACCCCCAGTCGGCTGGCATCCCAGCACCAGTTGGGTCTACGCCGACAACAGGGAAGAGACTCCTGTGGCCGGAGTCCCGACCAGAAGAAAGCCCGACCCGATCGCTGAGGGCCCCGAGGCCCCAATACTCACTTCCCCCGTCCCCTCGCACGAGCCGACGCATGGGGAGCTTTGGAGCGAGTTCCCAGACTTCGACGCCGAAGACCTTGGGACAATTACCGCCGCCGAGCGACTCGCCGGAGTCTCCGATTGGGAACCGTCCGTCCCATCGCGAGCCTTCGCCGACCCCGTCCCTGCGACCCAGCGTCCTTGGCCGCTCCTCTATCACACGTACATCGAGTCCCTCCGACTCACTCGAGCTGCCAGGGAATCCCCAGAGGTCCAGGCCAGAATGGACCGAGGCCGAGCGCACGATGCACGCATTCGACGCGCCGAAGAGGACGCCCTCTACGGACCCAACGGCTTCTGGGACCTACCCGTCGAGCCCGACGCCACTCCCGCCGAAATCGACAACCGGATACGAGCCGCTGCCGTTCGCTACACCGGATACGCCAGGAGGGCAGGAACCGACCTCGAGGCCAGAACACGAGCATGGAGAGTTTACCAGGAGGAGATCTCCAACGAGGACTCCGATATCGGGAGGTGGAGGCGAAATAAGGAAATCGACCGAATCGCCCGAGAGAGGAAGGAGGCAGAGGATGCCAAGTCGGCCCCCAAACCAGGCCCTGGAACCGACGGTAATGGCGGCGGTGAAGCAGGTCCTTCTTCAGGGACCAGTGCCTAGGCCAGGTATCTTCGAATTACTACCCTGGCACGGACTATACGAAATAATGATGGAAGACATGGAAAGAGACCCGCAGTGGCTCTTCTCCGAGGCAGGCGAAGACTACTGCCACGCGAAACAAACGGGGGATGTATATCTAATGAAGAACATCCTCGAAGTAGAAACCTGGCACCGGGCGGCAATCGTCTGGAACCTGGTAAACCCCACTGCTCCGCAGCGAGGGTGTGAGCCCTATAGAAGGCCTCAACCGATGCCTCACCCGACGGACCCATCGGACTTCTTTCCCGAGGGGTTCTTCGGGGGGGCAGGCGAAGACGATGACGACATGGACGACCCAGGCGCTGGGCCGTCTCGTACCGACAAGGGAAAGGGGTCCACAGTACCCCCGTTCCCACCAAAACAACCGCTATACCCGGACCCCGCGGGATATCCGCCCCCGGGGGATAATCGAAACTTACGATCGGTGTCGCGACCGCCTAAACCGCCGGTGCCGCCACACGTACCGTCACCTCCCGAACCCATTCCCCCCTGGCAACTCGCGCCGGGAGCCGTCAACAACCCGTGGAACGATGTCAAGCCCAAGCTGGTAACCCAGCCCGAATACTTCACCGGGGTCTCTTCGGACATCACGCGGTTCTTGCATCACTGCGAAGTCTACTTCTCGGTATTCCCCATGTACTATACAATGAACGATCAAGGGCACAACCCTTATCGTATCACGTTCGCACAAGGATACCTACGTGGAGACGCGCAGCAGTGGTGGGTCGACCAATACTACCGCTATCGGGACCCGCAGGGTCATTGGAGATTCCCCACCTGGGCGGAATTCTCCGATGACCTAAAGCGCGAGTTCCGCGAAGTCGCTGAATTGACCATATGGAAGTCGGAGTGGAAGAAGGTCCGACAGGCGGACCACAAATCCGCAGTAGAATTCTTCGCGAAGTTTGAGCGGCTGGCCCATAAATGCGAGGAGTTCGGAGACGAGAAGCAGATGTTCGAAGCAGTGGAAGCGGCGATAAGGCCGACAGTGCGGAATACGGTTATGCATGGGGACAACGAGCGCCCCACAACCTACGCACAGTGGAAGGCACGCGTCCTTCGGATAGACGCCAACTACAGGTACGGAGTGGCCCAAGGACTGGGCAATAAGTCCTCCTCGAACCAAGGTGGTTCGGGTCGAGGCAATCAATCAAAAGGAAGCGGGTCGGGGTCCGGTGGCGATAAGAAGGACGCCACTGGAACCACCTATGGAGGAGCCGGGCAGCCAATGGAGATCGACAAGCTGCGGTCCGACAAGCGATGCTTTAAGTGTGGGAACACGGGGTGGAGCCCCAAGCACAAGTGCCCTGACGACAAGTCCAAGTGGCTTCCCGTCAAACTACCACCTCGCAAAAAGCCCAACGTCGCCCGCCTCCGCCAATTACTCGCTGAAGCCGAGAAAGAAGATCTAGGGAAGGATACCAAGGTCGAGGAGGTCAAGGAGGAGAAGAAGTCGTCAAAAGACGAGCCGGCGTCGAAATAAGCGATTCGACGGCGTTGGCAGAGGACTCAGTTTCCACTGGTACGCACTCATGTAATATTAGTCGGACTTATACTACGTATGTAGGGACTCCGTATGAACAATATACCAACTTTTTCGCCGCGTTACCAGTCGAAGAAACTAAGGATGAAGAATCGCAAAACGCCAATGGCGTAGGAGGGGATTACCGCCGCTCGTCGCGGTCTGCGACAAGCACTGAACCCCTAGGGGCCGTCCCAGCTCAGGAACCCCCGGCCGACCGCACAGGGAAAGCCCCTCGAGGGCAGAGCCCCCTAGGTCGTGTCTCGACTGCACCCTTGACGAAGGGAGGTCAGCCCGGAGTGGGAGAAAGG